TTTTCTCCAATAGCAGTTTGCCAGTGAGATATTTTTGTATTTTTTTCCATAGGAGGGGCACACCAGAGGGCGCTATGCATCATTTTCTCCGCTGGTATGACTCTTTGGGAGACAATCTTACAATATTTTATCCTGAAATGATAATTCAGGGTCTGTTTTTCTTCAGAGCAGGACTTTTAGTGATTCAACACTGGCAGGACGCTCTCCACCTTAAGCTCTTTTTGTCTTGTCAGCCACCTTTGAGTAAACTTGGTGAAGTTTACTCTACTACTGATCATGCAGCGAGAGATTACATCTTGTTTTCTCTGCTAAAAAAGTATTTTGATGGCAGTATGTGATGTTGAGGCAGTTTCTCCACTGAAAAGGCCCAAAACAAAACTCAAAACTTTATAGTTTTTTTTTTAGACTTTTGACATTGTTTTCTCCGATATGGGACACACTAGGCAGTTTTTCTAACACATTTTAAAGCTTTTCTGATCACTGATTTAGACTTCTAGAAGGATTTCATATTTTTTTATAACAATAGCATGCTTAACATCACACTTTTCTTAAACTGGCAGTGCACTCTAGGATAATTTCTGTACCAGTGATTACCAAGGTGCAAATCTTATCGTATTTTCTCCAATAGAAGAGTGTCACATCTGCGATTTTTTTCTGTTACAGCTACATCTTTGTCATGTTTTTTCCACTTTAAACTTTTGCACATTAAGAGAGAAACCTACAGATTTGATTATTTTCCAATAGAGAACTTTTAATAACCTTTTCTCCACTGGACGGGAATATTTGGGTATTTAGTTATATTTCCTGGACATTTATTCACTTTTTACATAGTAAGGGTATAACATGTTATTTTCTCCACTAGTGACCAGTGATAGGGCTTTTAATCACACTATTTATTGAAACACTTCATGGCTTTTTGTATGAGTCTGATCTGAATAGTGTTTTCAGTGCTAGAAATGAACTCCAAAGAGCTTTTCTATACTATTAGTTTTCTCTAATAGAGGACAATCTTTCTGCTTATATATTGTTGTTTTCTCTAATTGACTGCCAGCTTTGATTAATTTGTGTGTGTGTGTGTGTGTGTGTGTGTGTGTGTGTGTGTGTGTGTGTGTGTGTGTGTGTGTGTTTTTCCCTAGTGTTCCTGTTCCCCTGGGTCCTGTTCTACGAATCAAGTTCAACCTAGCGAACTTGGAGTTACCTCGCTCAACTTAGCGCGGTAGCCAGCAGTCTCGCTAAATGGTCTTACGACGCTGGTTATCAAGCTCGTAAGTGGATCCAGCTTTGCTATGAGTGCGTGCACCGGTGTAAAGCGGAGCCCGCCCTGTTCAACATGCGCTTTTAACTAAGGTGACCAGACGTCCCCGATTTCCAGGGACAGTCCCTGAATTGGATGATCTGTCCCCGAAAATATCCCTGATTTAAGCGTTTCATGAATGAGAACAAAAATGTTTCATGTGGGCTTGAACAATTGTTATTACAGTGGGTAGGAAGCACAAATAAGCAGTCCTGAACAACAGTATTTACGAGGGTTATTACAAGGGGCGTGCGCTGCTACTAAATGGTACCGCAATGTTGTCTGTGATCACGCAGCCCATGCAGCCCATGCCCATTCACTTCCAAGATGAATTCATTCATTTGTTCATTCCTATCGTGTTTACATTTTTGTGTGATATGTCGGCCATATGAGCCTTTCATAAAGGTGGTCATCCAGAAAGGTAAGTGGGTCCATGCGGTCCCTGAAAACTCTCACGCGCCGGAGTGCTCCTCGGACAATCCTCCAAGAACGGACAAGCCATTTTTCGAGAGAGCTCATTGGTCAGTGGGCGGGGTTTTTATACTCGGTGAGTTACCCTCGAAGTTACCTCGCTAAGCAGTAATCCTGCTTCGTAGAACAGGCCCCTGTAGTCCAGTCTTATGAGTTTTCAGTTTGTGTTTGACCCTGTTTCCCTCCTGTTCTCTTTGTTTTATTCTTTAGAACAGTTTTCAGTTTTTATTTCCTGTTTTATTTTGTAGTAGTTGATTCCTTGTGTTTCTAGTCTGGTTTTACATCCCTAGTTTTCCCTCCTTCGTTAATCACCCATGAGTTTCACCTGTGTCTCGTCTGCCTCACCTGTTGCTCGTTTCCCAGTGTGTATATAGTCACTGTCTTCCCCTCTGTCTTGTTTGGTTCATTGTATGGGTGTATGTCAACGTATGGTTGGATTCCCAGTTAGTCTTTTTCCTGTTTTTACCTTTGGAATTTTCAGTTGGACATTTTGAGGTTAAGTTTTACTTTTCACCTTTGCTTAAATGAATCCTTGCATTTGGGCCCTTTTGTCTTTGTTTAACCCTGCACCATGACACTTTTCTCCTTACTGTTCAAAGCTTTTAAACATTTTTCCACAGAAATTGACTTTTAATAGTTTGTCATCCAAAATTTTGCTCATTTTTCCACTGGAGCAGCACTGTAAGTAACTTTTTTTTTTATCATGTTTCCTTAACTAGAGGTTCACTTTTATGTGAATACACAGTTATGTACTCATACACTATCATTTTTAGAAGCAGAAGAGGCCATTGTGGTACGGAAGAGAATTAGAACCACTGGAAAAAATAAAAAAAGGTCTAATATAATTTTTAAATTATTATTCTGAGAAAAAAGTCAAAATTCTGAGTTTAAAGTCAATATTTTTTTATGAAAATTATATACAACCTTTAATTTATTTTATTTTAATTTATGTATTTATTTTAACTTATTTTTATATATTTTTATCTCCTGTCAACTTTATATGCACTGGAGTTACTACAACAAAAAGCTATTTGCCCCTGGGGATTATTAAAGTATTACTGATTCTAAGTCAGATTTCTTTTTTTTTAAGTGGCCCTTATCCTCTTCCGTAGTTATGATGATGACTCTGGCAGAATATTGAGTCTTTTGTTGTAGTTTTTTCTGTCACTCTGAGGTATTTTTTTATAACAATTAGTTTGTGAAAAAAAGGAAAGTATAACATCGAACATAGATTTATAAATATGTTTTATTGTGGTGGAGTGGGATAAACCCGAGTCTTGATAAAAAATAAAAAAAAAGTACACGTACTCGGTAACTGCAAACCTCTTTATGTGTAGCTGTAGTTTCCATAATAGTTTAATAGCAACATGTTGACCTTTGACCTTGGTTAGAGAAAGGCTGTCAAATTACCTGCTGAGTGTGCTTGTGCAGGAGGATCTTGTGTGCCACATGTGAGCAGATCTCAGCACAATCAGCCTGTTGTAGCACCGTGTCCCCGGGCAGCGAGGTCCTGACGGCACAGCTGACTCCTTGACCAGGAATGTCGAGTCTGCGGAGGCCTCCCACATTAAAATAGCCGGCGTGCCCTGTCAGCACACCCTCACAGCGAACGCACGGGCGTCTAACAGCTGCCAAATTCACAGAGCTACCGAGGAGAAAGGAGGAAGAAGCAACAACAGGAGGGGAGACCAGCACGAGGGGAGGCGGAGAATCAGATTACTCCCCCCTTTCTGCTCCTCACACCAGAGTCAGAAAACAAGCTGAGCTGTATGTTAGCGCTCAATATGTTCATGTGATGAGAGCGGCGGCGACGTATGGGCTGATGAAGAGTGACCACGACCAAACGGCACATTGGTTTGATTCGCTGTGGATTCAGGAACAAGCTGTTGTTGTGTGGAGACGTTTCCTTCCGACAGTTTTCATCAACGTTACAGAGAGCTGCTGCCAAAGTGTTTGTGTGTTTGAGGAGAGCAACTGAGAGGCACATGCTTTCCATAATTCACTGGAAATCATCATCAGGAAATGTTCGACATATTAACGTGAAAAGTCTAAAGCTGCTCATGATAATCTGATGAATTTTTCTAATGTTATGATATAGTAAATAAAAAACCATAAAGCACCAAAACCGTCCCTGCTTTCCTTTAAGAGTCGAGTGTCTTACTTCTTGTTTGGCATGAATGTGTCTCAAAAACCAAAAACGTTACGAGTTTACAGTCTCCTTTGTTCATGAGTAACTCATGAAGAAAAACACAGTAAATAGAAAATAAAGAACATTAGCGATTACATGTCATCGACTCAATCATTTTAATGTCATTATGTAACCTGTTTAAACCGGATTAACAAGCTGTTAATTACTTGATTCTGATTGGTCAAAACCAGGTAACGATGGCGATAAATTATCGGCTCAAATCAAGTAGAGGAAAGAGGTCAGTGCGTGACGCCGCTGACTGTTGGCACTGTGGCAAAAACATTCGCTATCCCAAACCAATAAAAATACGTGTACTTTTTTCTGATTGACGTCTTCCAGTTGACAATGTAAGAAAAGCTTTGTTTCCGATTATTTTGATCAATATGACTCAATTTATCTTTTACATCCAATGAGGGATGTAAAAACGCCAGAATCTGTATGAGAGACATCAGCTAAATTGAAGGAAACAGACTAAAAGCAACAGTTACATGATTGTTTGTAGGATCTTCTTTCCATTTTCTCCATGTTAAAATGCTAATGCTAACACACTTAATCGTGAATATAATATGATCTAATTCAAGTTGGCTAAAGGTACCATTGTTTTGTAAGTGCTGTTTCAACCATTTTATCTGTTTCGACCAAGATAAAAATGTAGTGAGGCAGTCTCACCCAGACTTTTGACTTATTTTAGAGAATCAAACTTCAGATTTATCGGATAACGGATGATAAGTCAGCAGCTTAACAAACAAGGAGCGGAGTAAATAGAGACATCCATCAAATTGAGGAAAACAAAATCAGGATTAACACCAAACAAAACACAGCGCAGATTTTGACATCGTTAAACTTTAGTCTGAGGGGGAGCTTTTCTTTAAGCACTTTTTATTCAATAAAGTCCTCGTTAACTTAGATTTTATGCTGACTTAGATAGACAAAGAGCGAGGCTAACACTCTTTAACTTTTAGGCAAAATTTTAAAGTACCAAAGTAACTTCTTAAGTGACAAAAAAACCCACCAGAATAAAGGATAATGAGACACTAATGGAGTCGATTCAGCAGGGAGAGTGATCTAAGGTTTAATACTTTAAAGGCACAGTGTGTGAGATCTGTCGCCGAGGGTTTCTGAGTGAAAACAGAAGGTGTGGTTTGATGACAAAATTAAGAAGCAGGCTAACATTGGAGTTCAAGATCTATACAATTATATATGTTTGCATTTAGACAGGAGGAGGGGTTCAGGGTTCATTCGAGTCCTTTTCTGGATCAACTTAAACCATCTTCAATAACTCAATGTTGCAAAATCTGTATGTTTGGTTTTACTCCTGAGAGAGTAGCTTGAGTATATTTTAAGTTTTTACCTTGACTGACAAAATGAGACATCTGCAGATCTGACTCAACTCTGTCTGACATTTGTGAAACTTTACCTGTTAGCAAATAATGAAAAACAATCACCTTTAGAGCCGTATGTGTGATAGTTTCAAATCCTCACACTGACCTCACGGTAATCCTGGTGTGGATTTGACTGTGCCGGGTTCCCATTAGGCATTTAATTTGTGCTATCCCAGCTGATCAGGCAAGTTTTGGCAAAAACAGCAGAAAACGCAGCAAAATACAAACAAAATAACAAAGAACTGGAAAAAAAAACTGAGTTTGGATTTGAAAATAAAAGAAATAGTATCAGGGTGTTTTTCCTTTCATCCCTTTTCACATAAAACTCTCAAAAGTTACCATCAAACTTTTTAAGTGTGAGGATATGCATGTCTGGTTGGCATTTATAACAGTTAATTAACTATTTTTGGGTTTGGACATAAGTATATTTCATATTTTACAATCTAAACAAATAAAAAGGAAATGATAAGCGGACAAATCAGTGATTAAAACAAATATGAGTGTAGATTTGTTGAATATGTTTCTTCAGACCACTGCTTTGAAAACAAAAATCAGGTTTAGCTTCACTAATAAAGACAGAAAATAATCTTCACAGTCGTCTGTTATTCACAAATCAGCCGTTTCTCAGTGTTATTTCCAGCATTTAAAAATATACAGTCACAACATTATTGCATTTAAATTTGTTTTAATTAAGGAAGGAGTTATACTTTCACTCTATGAAAAACAAAAAAATAATCTGGAGGTTTGAGTCACATCTTAGTTTTAAGAAATTAACCTTTTATATTCTTAAATCTTGAACTTATATAATACATTTTTCCTTTATAAGTATTTCAAAATATCTTTTGCTGGTTTCGTTCAGTAATATTTTCCTATAATCTCAATATAGTTCTCTTTTGGAAAAAAAAACAAAAGAAAGAAAAGAAAAAAAAACATCCATCATCAGTGTGTTTCTGTCCAGGGTCTTCGCGTGTCTGGAAGATGTTACGTCAGAAAAACGGCCTCAGGCTGGTGGTAAAGATGGCCGTCTGTGTGTCCGTCTGTCCCACCCTGACCACGACAGAGAGGACGATGGGATAAAAATCATCTCTGGCAGAGCTGGAAGGTCAAACGTGGTGCTCCCGTACAGATATTTGGACCCACGAGGGAGCAGAGGAGCATCATTCATAGTCCCAAATATAAATATACTGTGAATCTCTATCTTTAAATACAGTATATCTTTGTTTTCGTCCTAAAAGGGGGGCAGAGGAGGCCCACCCGGACAGTCCTCTCCTCACATGCCGGCTCTCCGAAGCGGCCCTTCTCAAACACCAGGGATGCTCTGGTGAGAGAAAACGCAGCTTTTCCTCCTCGTCGTTGAGTGAAACTGGAAAGAATTAAAAATACTCGCTCAGATTGTATGTATAACATAAAACCCAGCTGATCCACACTGTAACTGACTGCAGGAGTCAAAGCTTTAGTTTAAGTCCGCCAGGCGATGCCCTTGTTGTTCGGGCTAAAAGATAATCCTCTCATCAGTAACTTCCCCTAACATTTTGGGTAATCTTTACGATTAACTGCCGCCTGCTGCTGATGCTGCACGGCTCCATCAGCTGATAACACATCCAAGCAGCTTTCTATACATTCCTCTCTCAGGTTCATCTGACTTGCAAAAAAAAAAAAAAAATTCCCACAATCTGCCCACCGAGGAGAGACCTGGACTGGAACAGGAATACAATGGATGCTCCTTTAACCGAGCAAGTAAAACATCTTAAACAGGTTGACTCCTCACTCTTTAAATAGAAACTATGTTGCAGATAAGAAAGCATTCATCAACTTGACTTCTTCTTCTTCTTCTATTGTTATAAAAGACCAATTTGTTGGTTCTTTTTCCTTTTTTTCTCGTTTTTTTTTCTTTAACAATAAAGCACTCTTGTTTTCAGCCAATGAGATGCCTTAAGATCTCATTTGCACATTTAATCCACTTGCAAAGATTCACACAACCACTCCAACCTTCAACCCTACAAACTTTTTTTTAGAATACACCAAAAATTCCCTGCACATGTACTTGTTTTTTTTTTTACTCCACGATACTTTAGTAGGCTATAACAGCACGATTTGTCATGCACTTTATCTCTTTTTTTTATCTTTTGCTGAATACCCCTGGCTATACTGCAGATCTGTCATGGACTAACAGCTGTTTCTTTTCATTTCCTCTCAGTCGTCATCCACGTCCTCTCCCTCGGACTCGTCTCTCCTCTCGTACATTTTATCCCTCTGCCTCTCCTGGATCTCCTTCATCTCCTCGGCGTATCTGCAGAAAGCTCCCCCGAACTTGCTCCAGGCTTTAAAGGGGATGGTGATAGAGTTCCTGTAGCTGGGCTTCACCTCGCTCACCCGCAGGAACACTCCGTATTTGTTGGAGCCCACGTCGAAGAAGAACCGCTTGGAGTCCACCATGATGGAGGTGCCCTCGGGGAGCTCGCTGTACCCCCCTGCGGCGGCGGTGCCCCCGGCCAGCTCCTCGTCGTCACCCCCGTAATCATCTATGAGCTTGGCAAGGGCGTCTCTGAACTCTATGAGCCCCTGAGCCGGGAGGGCTATGGTCTGACCGGCCAGCATGCCGCCCACGGGGCCCCCGACCCCGAAGCCGGGTCCACGGTTAACGGTCTGCCGGATCCTCAGGAACCTCCCCCGCTGGTTCTCCTTCAAGTCCAGGTAGTATTTACGGTTCTCCCGGACTAGAAACTCACTCTTTAGCGCTCTCCTAGGCCCGCCGTCCTCTCCCACAGAAGCCTGGGCTATCTGCTCCGGACTGCTAGGCCCCAGCTGGGCGTAGTGCTCGATGAAATCCCCGAGGTAGTCCCGGAACTCCGCTGCCACCGACAGGGAGAGGGTCAAGCGACTTTTGGAGCCCCCGGCCCCGACTTCGGCGATTTTGATGAACCGGCCCTTGCTGTTCTGCTTGACGTCCAGATAGAAGCGCTTGTTTTGGATGTCAAGGCGCTTGGACGCCAGCTCCTGGGTCTCCTGGTCCCTCTGGAAGTGCTGGAAGCCGCCGCCTCCGCCTCCTCCTCCCCCGCTGCTGCCTCCGCCGCCGCGCTCACTCCCGCTGTCTCCATCCGCCATCTTCAGCTCCACCATTCGGCTTCTGCCCCTCTCTCCTGCGTAGCTGCTCTCTGCGCGCGCCCCCTTCACGCTCAACAACAGGGCACTTTTGGGAGCGCCACGATTGGCTCAGCCGTCTGTCAATCACGCAAGTTCACACGGTTACTGCTCTCCGATTGGTTCATAGATTTTGACAATTCCGCCCACAGAAAGTATCCCTTGTTAGTCATTGGTTGGGATCGAGGTTCCGTTTGCGTACTTCTTGTTTTTACAGTCTCTCCCCCGGTTGTGAAATCTGACTGTTTTGTGACATAATATGATGAAATTAAAATTTGTCAGAGTTTTTTGGCTTCAGCTGATAAAATGTGTCGACATAATTTGTTTTCCTCAACACAATTCTTGTGGAAAGGAATCTGGAAAAGTTTCAAGGTCGTGTTTTTAAACCCACTTTCTCTCCATAACTCTGGCCAAACTGAAAGAATATTTGTTAATATTATTTACACTAACAGCTCAGAGATTTTAACTGCAATAATATCTCATAAATTATAAAAAATAAAAATAAAAAGTGAAGTATTACTACCAGTACAAACGTGACTTTATAGATCAAATAAAACAAATTTAGCCATTAAAAACTGAACTGATTAAAAATTGAATTAAAAATAAAGAATTTTACATTTAAATAAGTATATATATAAATAAATTAATTAAACCCTTATAAAAGAGCCCCAAGAGGACATGCATCCATACAATTTAATTCCTGCTAAAATAAATTTAAGTTTTTTGGCTTTAGCTGATAAAATGTGTTAACATAATTTGTTTTTCTCAAAACAATTCTTGTGGAAATGAATCTGGAAAAGTTTTAAGGTTGTGTTTTTAAACGTCAGTATAGTTTAGAGACCCACTTTCTCACCATAACTCTGGCCGAACTAAAAAAATGTTTGTTACTTATTATTATTATTATTATTATTATTATTATTATAACTTTTATTCAACCAGGTTTGCCCTATTGAGATCCAAGATCTCTTTTCCAAGAGAGGCCTGGCCAAGGATGGCATCACATACAGTTTCATAATTGCATTAATCTTATAATATAATATGGTTAATATTAGTATAATAATATTGTGTAATATTATAGTAATATTATTTACAGTAACAGCTCATAGATTTTTTACTGCAGTAATATCTCACAAATGTTTTTTTTAATTACTCATAATAAATTAAGTATTACTACCGTTACAATCGTGATTTTATAGGTCCAATAAAACAAATTTAGCCATAAAAAATTGAACAATTTGACTGAAAAATAAAGAATATTACTTTGTTGTTGTTTTTTTGATAAATTTAAGTTAAACACTAGTAAAAGATTATGGATTATATGTAATTAAAATAAATAAGTTTAAGATTTTATGATTCAATGTCAAAAATATGAAATTCAAAAATGAAAATAATTATATAACAGGCCAAAATATGTCTTAAATATGTTTGAAGTATATGTAACAACAATTTTTTAAAACAACAAGGTAACATCTTGGCCAAAACAGCATATTAAAACCCTTTGAATATATATGATATGTTTGATGAAAAAACTAAATTAATACTATCCCTGAAGTTTGAGTTTTTATCTCAGAATAAGATTGACTTTGTGTCCTGTAATTTTTACATCTTTGCTTAATCTTTATTGGGTTTTATTCTGACCCAAATGGGCTTCTATACTCAGAGAGGAACTCAGCACTACTGTGGTGATAAATTATAGAGTTATATACTTCTTTGCCCCTTCATTTTTGCTTAATATTATTGTTGTAGTACCGTTCTACGCCCACAGGTGGAGGCAAAGCCGTTCTTTCTCTTCCCTGTTAACCGTCAGGTAGATTTTCCACTCTGACCTGCTGGAACAACCAAAATGTCAGCAGCACCTGTGAGTTGGGAGATGAAACCACAGCAGTGTAAACAGCTCTGCAGAGTATATCTGAATCTTTATTTTCTCAGTTTTCTGATTGTACACTGCAGAAAACTCTGACAGGCAGAGTGACAGTCCTGTAAAAACCCAGAGGTATTTCAGAAAGACAAAATCAGACTTCAGCCAGCAACCAGAGCCAGTGTACTTTTTGAAAAGTATAAAAACTGACACTTTTTATGGAATGAACTGTTTATTTGCAGTATATGTGAGTAATTTCTTCCTACTCAGTCAGTCTTCTGGACACTAAATCTGAACATCCAGACTGGTTTATTTGTTTTCTTTAAATCATTCTGTGAAGTTTGGTCAGAAAAATATTGTCCAGCCCTCTCATCACGTCTTCAAAACCTCTAAATTCCTGGAAATACGACTAAGAACAGTTCCTCCCTGCCTTCCATGGAAAAAACACACACACTGTTTTGGTGATTGTGCAATATGAAAATCTGCAGACTGAATCAGAAGAATATGACACTTGGTCGCACATTGAACTGAAACACACACAGTTAGTGTTTATTTCTGGGCTCTAAATGGCAGAAAAAGTGTAATTTCAGTTCAAATAAACAGTATATTTAACGCAGGTTCTCACACAAAGTTTATCTGATCAGCTCAGTGAGATAGTTAAGTTGTCATACAAGGTAAAGATTGTAAGTTGGAGTCAGAATTGTGACTTTTTTATGATAAAATGTGCGATTTCTCCATGTAAAGTATTTAAGAGACATTATTTTACACTAAATACCTTCTTGTTAATAAAATACAGGTATTTCAACATGCAAACCTTAATACTTTAATACATATTGGTGTCACTTCATCAGTAATTCTATAAAGTTAAATTTGCCTGTTTAATGGAGCTCAAGCAGGGGTGTGTCTATAAGGTGGCCTGAGGGGGCCGAGAGATCCAAGTTTTACCATCCCGTTATCCCTCCTGATAACTGCTGAGACGGGTTTTTGTATTTCAATGTAGTTTTGTATAATTTTGACCTTTTTTCTTTCTCATTATATAGATTTACATAGATAACGTTCATATTTTTAAGAGCAGGCTCAAGACCCACCTTTGTAGCTTAGCTTTTGATTAATATATATTTTTTTTATTTCAATTTATTCTAGTTAATTGAAATTTGTTATTTTATATTTTATTCAAATGTGCAATTTCTCCATGTATAGCATTTAAAAGATATTATTTTACACTAAACACCTTCTTGTTAATGCAATGCGGGTATTTCAACAAAATCTTAATACGTTAATAAATATTGGTGTCACTCTAACAGTAATTTTATAAAGTTGAATTCGCCTGTTTAATGGAGCTTGAGCAGAGGTGTGTCTATAAGGTGGCCTGAGGGGGCCAAGTAATCCAGGTTTTATATTTTAATGTAGTTTTGTAAAATTTTGACCCTTTTTCTTTCTCATTATATAGATTCAATTTTCATTATTTGGATGTTTTTGTTCAACTGTACTTTATTATTTAAAACATGTCAGACAGTATGTAAAGTTTTAAGATAGATTTTATTTTAACAATCTTATTTCACAGCAACTTCACATCAAACTTTGATAAAACACTTCATAGATTCATTTTAAATATTTTCAGACTGTACATCAGTTACAAGTATTGCACACCACCCTGTCTGAGTCATGATTCAAGTATTGATTTCCTTCAATGATGATCCTGTCAGGAGGACGAATGAAGAAGTCAAATGAAGTCCGTTTCTGTTTCAGTAATACTGAGGATACGTGGTGTAAGAGGCCATGAGAGGAGAGGCAGCGGTGGGCAGCATGACCCCGGGGAGGCTGCTGTACTGATAGAGAGAGTCCAGAGGCAGAGAGGGGACGGCGGGAAGAGCCGAACTGTACTGCAGGTTGTGAGGATGGACGTACGAGGCTGCAGCCGGGCCTTCCTGAGCGCCTCCTGCTGCAGAGTGATACCTCGGGTATGGTCCCGGCCTATACGCCTGCAGTTCGGGATAATGCATCAAGTGAGAGGCGACGTTAGCCTGACAGGCATGAGCGAGGGCGTCCTGGACTGTCCGCTTCAGCTTCATCCGCCGGTTCTGAAACCAGTTTCTGATCTGAGAAGAAGAGAGGAAAAATTTCTGATGAGAAAAAGTTCGCTCTAGAAAAACTGAGATGACCATCATGATGAGTCGTTTAATATAATTTTTACTTTCAAAATTTTTCTCACTGTTAGTGCTAAAATCAGCTGCCATCATATTGATTATTACACATTAATAACAGATCATTTAATCTGTGGTTACCTGTTTGTCTGACAGGTTCAGCTTCTTGCACAGCTCGGCTTTGTCCTGCGTTCCCAGGTAAGCATTCCTCTTAAACGCCTTCTCCATGCTGCTGATCTGCTCCGCCGTGAATGCTGTGCGAGGCCTCCGGCCTGAAGGGGGCGACGTCGGGCAAGAGGAGGAGGAGGGGGAGGAGGCGCAGTCTACTTCGGGGGCTGAGGGGGAGACAGACTGACCTCCTTCACTCTCATACCCTGAAGTCTCTTCCTCTGTTCCGCTGCTGAACCCGCCTTCAGATGCTGCAGACACCAACAAAGAAGAAAACTGTCTAGAGTCACTTTTTCCTCAGAATAACGTTGATGCATTCAGAGCTTTGACTACAATTAAGTTCATATTCAACACTGTAAAAAATGAATTATTAAAACAGGAAAAATATGAATATGAAATCAAAATCATGAATTTGTAAAAATTCAGGTTTTTTCCTTGACCATCAATCCAGGAAGCCAGCTGACCTTTTGAGTTAAAAACTGTAAAAAAAAAATTCCCTGCTGAAACTTTGCACAAACTCACCGACTATTTCATGAAAACTGGCAAGTTTAATCAAACTGATCAAGTTTACCCAAACATTATGCAAACTTAACCCAAATAAGTTGAGTTTCACCCAACTTTAGCTCAAATTTAAGGCCAATTTTTAACCAGAAAATGACAAATTTATCCAAAGTAATGACGCTTCACCCAACATCTGTCCAAACTTTGACCAAATCGACCAGATTTTTCATGAAAACTGGCAGATTTCACCAAACTGATCAAGTTTACCCAACACTATGCAAACTTTACCCAAATAGGTTGAGTTTTACCAGACTTTAGCTCAAATTTTACCCAAAAATGACATATTCATCCAGAATAATGAAGCTTTACCCAACATCAATCTAAACTTTGCTCAAATTGTTTAAGTTCTTACCAAATAACTGACCAAATAGGCAAAGATTTATCCAAAATTGGTCACATTTTTCCTAAACTTTCCAAAGTATAAACTGTCAAACTTATCCAAACTAATCAAGTTTTAAAAAAGGCCAAGTTTTATCCCCAAATTGTTCTAACTTTGCCCAAACTGACCAAATTTTTCATGAAAACTGGAAAATGTAACCAAACTGATCAAGTTTCTCCAAATACTATGCAAACATTGCCCAAATAAGTTGAGTTTTACCCAACTTTAGCTCAAACTTTAGACAATAAAAACAAATTTTAACCAGAAAATTACATATCCAAACTAATCAAGGTTTACACAGGTTTGCCCAAAAAAGGCCACGTTTTACCCATCACCAGTTCAACATAAGTTTTATCCCCAAATTGTTCTAACTTTGCCCAGACTGAAGAACTGGTATAATGGTCCCAGCGTTGGTCCCTCACTTTGTCTTCTTCACAGATCTACAGTAACGGTGATCTGTAGTCGATGTCTAAATATATGAAGTTTGAAATGATGAAAACACACAAAGCTCACCTGGATTATTCTGAGAGTTCTGGTTCTGCCTCGAGCTCAGGCTGAACCCGACCTGGAGGCTCCTGTTCTGGTCCTGCTCAGGTAAAACTTCAGGCCTCTGCCGGCTGTAGAAACCAGGTAAACTCTCTGCATTTGTCCCACAGGTAACAGGTCCAGATCCTGATCCAGATCCTTGGGTCTCTGTCTCTGCAGTCTGGCTGCTCTGGGCCATCCACTCGATGGAGAAATGTCCTCTCATGTCTGCAGAGTTTCACAGTAAATCCAAAAACCTGAGTCCAGAGTCTGCTGGTGTGGTCCTGGTGATGAGGGAGTCCTGACTGTCCCCCTTCCTCACAAGCAGTCTGTATTTAAAGGGGGGGTCCCCGGGTCAGATCAAAGCTTACATCCTCCCCTCCTTTACGTTTTCACAACCAGAGTCATTAAGACGTCTCATTCAGAGTCTCAGAGAGGCTGTTACAGGCAGGCTCCAGTCAGTCTGGATGGACCCCCCTCACCCTCTTACACCCTCCTCCTCCTCACCTCCTTCCTGCCTCCAAAGAGAAGATAATAGACACACCTCCGTCTGCATCTCCTCTGAAAGAGTAAAAACAAGATGATGAACACCATGAAGGAGTCCACAATCTAAAAATGCCTTTTGTTTCAGAAACTTTAATGTAAAAGGTGTAAAAAAAACTTAACGTGCCAGAGTTGGTTTTTATGTTACTTAAGGATGAAAGACTCTAAGGGCTTTGAAAAATAAATCTTTCAGGATGTACCAAGACCTTGTCTGTTTTTATTTGCAGATTTTCCTCCTGACCAAAGATTACACAAAGGTTGGAGGTTAAATGACCTCCAGACACACTTTGTTGTCTTAAAAGTTGAATTGGTGGCATTTAACGTTTTTTACGTAACATGAAATCAGTATTTATCAATCCACTTTTCTTTGGTTTTCCTGTAATCTGTAACTGGAGACATAACATGGAGACAGACAGAAAACAGGTTTTTAAAAAGTGTTAAAGTAGTTTAAAGTGTTTAGATATATATATTTTACATTTTGAACCTTTAAATTGATCAGAATGAAATTAAAGGCACAACCAGCAAACACTTGTTAAAATCATGATTGTCTAAGTCTTTTATTCAGAGACAGGCCATCAGACTGATGGGAGACATAATAAAGAGTGAGTAGTTAAATATGGCAGCTCCATGATAACAGATAATCCTGTGATTATCCCCTCAGATTAAAGGCTGCGTCTTGATTTAATTCAAATGATCCGCTGTGATTAGTCGATCAATAGTCCCAAAAAATGAACGACTCTCTGCCGTCTGTTAGATACAGGGACCCTGGAGGGCCACTGCACTTACGTTTTTCTGAGCAAAAACAAATACATAAAAAAATTATATATCACAAAACACAAAAATAATTGAAACTTAAAACTCAGTTTACAAAGTTCTAAAACATTTTTCATTAACTGCAGAAATATTTAATTTTAAAATATTTTATAAAATGTGATAAAAGTCAATTAAATGTAAAAACATTTTATAAATCCAAAAAAAATAATTAAATAATGGAACACAAAAAAATGTTTTGAAAATTGTTTGTGTGTGTGCCTTTTATATAATTTTTAATATACATTTTTGCAGTTATTGATCATTTTATATCCTAACGAGTGTTTTTAAAAGTAGTTTTTTCTTGAATTTATACTTTATAATATTTTTGTGTTTGGTAACTTAAAATGCGCTTCATGGAATACGTTTTCATTTGTATTTAACATTCATGTTTGATGAAATATTTATGCAGTTGACCAGTGAGAAAACTTTAGTTTTTTCAGTGTATTGATCAGTATTCTTGTTATCATGCAATTTGTGCATCAAGTTACTTGTTCAGAGCTCAAAACTTAGACTAAAACCTGACTTTGTGCAGAAAAAGGCAGAACAGAGACAAAATTAATGAATTTAAGTCTGCTGTAATAGGGCTTTAGTTGAAGATGGAGAGTAAAACTGGAAATTAGTTAATTTAAGTGTTAAATAGTTCCTCCACAGTCAGATCAAATCTAAACTGGTTAGGGCGCCATAAATCATCTCCTGAGACTCTTTCTAAGATGAAATGAGTATTTGAAGATGAAGAAAAGAGACTGATAACGACCTGAGAGGACGATCCCACCTGAGAAGAGGAGCCTCATCACCTCCTCCTGCTCCTTCAGTATGGGGGGGTGGGGGGGGGTGCAGGCCGGCGCTGTTTTGTGTTCAAATGGTCCGTGGCTCAAACACAAAGTGGGTTTTAGGGGATTAATCGGCTCAATCACGCAGAGGCTCATTGATAAGATAATGAGGGAGCTCGTGGATGACGCTCCGGAAAGCAGACGACGAGTCTCTGCGCGCGGCAGAGAGGACAGCTCGGATAGGCTCGCCACGTGCACGCGCACAAACACTAAAAAACTTCAAAGAGACTCCGAGCTGGAACCCTGAAACCCTTAAAGTGACAGAGATCCTAAAAACTGCGGATGTCTGCAGAGTGAAGGCTGAAAAGCTGAAGATATGAACTCTGATATATACAAACCACTGCACTGCTTTGTCAGAGTTTGGTCTGTTTTATCATAACGTTTTATGAAAATGCACCATTTTACATTTAAAGCATGTTAAAAGTTGGTACAAGAGCAAAAAAAAAGGGGCAAAAGTTGTGTGATATTACAAAAAACATCTGGAGAAACATCTCCAAACTAATGAGGTGAGTGTCCTAAAAAGGACATTCAGAGAGGCCGAGTGTCTCAGGAGGAAAGATGGAGAAGTTCACCACTCTGTGAGAGACTGCTTGAGCAAACAGTTCAACAGTTTCAGGATAAAGTTCCTGAGTGGATTTCATCATCTAGAGTAGGGGAGACCAGGGCTTGTGGTCACATGAGTAAGTTGTCACATTGCAATTTTCTTTGCCACCCGAGGGCACAACTAAAAAGTGGAATAGTAGTTTTCTTCCTTTACATGGTCAGGGGTCGTGTCCTGTCTGAGAAGAGAAGAGCACATTGTGAGCTGAGCGCCAATTAACCATTTTGCACAACCCAAAGTAAAAAAAAATTAACTTCTTCCAGAAAAAAATCCTAGCAGTGATACATGTGGACTTGTCAGAGGAGAGATTAAGACATCCTGTCATACCTCAGTCATTGTTCTGTTTTAAGATAACTTTAAGCTAGAGCTAGAATTAGCAAAGATGGTAGTTTGGAGTTACACGTCTCAGTCATTTTGGGGTTAGTTGTCACATGTTTAAAAGGGATTAAAATTGATGTAGAGAGTCTGCTTATCAGCAGTTGTCATAATTTAATTTGACTTTATTTTTACAGAGAAAAGAGTGCTCTAAAGGAGAGGAGAGAGCAAAAGGACATGGTCAGGGATTACAAAAGAAAAAACAGTTGCATAATATTTTATGTTCACGTTTGTTTAATGGCTACATTCAATGACTTTTTCTTTAGCTCAATGATAAACATTTTCTGTGCCTGATTTTGATGTTCACTTTCCTGTAAAAAATGAGAACAACAATAATTTTGTCCTTGTTTTATTAGCTGTAAACTCCACTGTGACATCTTACCCCATATAGTGAGACAACTTACCGGATGGTGGGGCAACATGTCACATGATCACACTCTCTATTTGATTAATTACAACTCTGCACTGACACAAGATATGAAAATGACATGAATATGAAATATATACCTTAGACTTTAGTCTTTCTTCTGGTACACATTTTATTATATATGCTGTATTGATTTCAAGAAATATACAAGAGTGTAAAAAGTGTGACAACAACCCCCAGTCTCCCCTACATAATATCATTCAAAGATTCAGAGGATCTGGAGAAATCTCTGTACTAAAGGGACAAGGATCAAGTTAGTCCAGTTGTCCTTTCAACGAAGAATTGGTCATCATAGATGCTGCATCCTCAGTTTGAAGCAATATCTCCAGGTTCAGGAGCCACATCTGCTGCCATCCAGACAAATACTTTTTCATTTGATCATATGATTTTAGGCGGACTGAGGGGAAGTGGGAAATGTCCTGTGGTCGAACAAATCAAAACTGGACTTTCTCTTTGGAGATCCTGGACTCTGCATCCTTGCCTCTAAAGAATAGAGGGAGTACCCGTCTTCTTCACAGCTCTCAGTCCAAATCCAGCCTCCCTGATGGTACGGGGATCATCAGAGTCCATGTCGTGGGTATCTTCCACATCTGTGAAGGCTCCATTAATGTGAATTATTTTAATCAAATTTTGTCTTATCATGATTCTTATCTTTATCTTGCTTTTTTATGCCTTTTCTTCATCGTCATCATCATCATCAGAGCTTTTAATACCTTAATAAGCCAACTCGCTGCCTCAGATCCTCTGGCGAAGGCCTCCTGGTCGTTCCAAAGTCGAGGCTCAAAACTAAAGGTAGTAGATCTTTCTCCATCAGAGCTCCTCGACTTTAGAACGACCTGCCAGAGAAGATAAGGCGTGCAGAGACAGTCAAATTTAAAAACTCACTTTTACAGACTTGCTTTTATGTGATGCCGTCTTTTATCTTTTACTCTCTTTTACTTCTGTCTTATTTTGACTTCCTGTCTTTTTAGCCTTTGTTTTAGTTATAATCTTTTCCTATTTAACCTTTTAGGCCTCTAATTGATTGATTGTTTTTTTCCTGCTCACTTTTGTTATTATATTTTATCATTACTATGACCATCATTATTATTTTGTTTTGATTTTATTATCATTACTTATTCTGTCTTTTTATATTTACTATCCTGTTTCCTGCTTTCTACCCTACTTTTTTAATTATATTTCTTTATCTTACCTATCTTATGTTTTTATTTTGGTCCTCACGGTCTCATTTTATGTTGTAGGGTTCTTGTATTGTCTGGGTTCCTCAGACAAATGAAATTGGCTTTCAATTCGGAGGCCTTGTCTTTAACTGAGCTTTTATTTTTATTTCCATGTGCTGATGTTCTGTGCTTTACGACTGTTTGTTAAAGCACTTTGTAAACTTCTGTTTTTAAAACTGCTATCAAAATTAAGTTATTATCTGCTTTCTATATTGCTCCTTGTCTCCCTTTTCATCTTCTCAGTCTATGAGAAGGTCCAGAGGTACAGTCTGTGGGTATGTGAAAAACCCTCCGTCCCTCTGTCCCCGTGTGATGAGTGGAGTCGCGGGGCCTGCTCGTCCTCCAGGACCCGTCCCACCGGCCCCATCAAAGCCGCGGGAGCCTTTGATGAGGCTGATAGGGATCAATAGGAGAGGGGAAGAGCCCTAACTGACTGTTACAGACGGGGCGGGACTCTGGTGGAGTCTGCCGGCTCTGAGGATCAATGATTATTGAGCGTCATCAGCTCCTTCATCTGCAAAGAGGATCCATTCAGATCCAGAAACACTTGCAGTTTAAGGGGTTTTGTGTGTTAAACAGGGTCGTGATAAGACAGTATGTGGTTTATGTCTTTGAATTAAAGAGGGGAGACACAGAAAAAGGAAAACATTCAATTTTACATAGATTTTTCATCATTATACACTTTGATACAAAACAGTATAAAATGAAACAGCATGATTAAAATACAGAACAATGTGATACTGATCAGATATGAGACGATTCTATTCTAGGATATGATACAATATGATATGGTTCTCATCTGATATATTTGTTTCAACGACACAATATGATACAATCCTAAAAGATTCTGTGACACTGATATTATTCTAGAATACTATCCGATTCTACGATACGATACGATATAAGCGAATGACAGGATATGACATCATATGACCCTACGGCACAATATGGTTCTACGATATGATTTATGATTCTATGACAGGATTTGAGACTATTGCTGCGTTTGAGTTACCTCGGAAGTCAGAAGTCTGAGCTAAAAATAACGTCACACCTGAGTTCCCAGTATTTTGGTTACCAAGTCAGAAAAAAAAACAACTGAGGTCTGAAACAAGATGGCTACATTTATGAAAGTTATTTTAGCATTTGCCCTGTCTGAATATAGGGCATCACCATCTTGTTTCAGGCCTCAGATTTTGCTTTTATCCGACTTGGTAACTGAAATGCTGGTAACTTGGGTGTGACGTCATTTTCAGCTCCGACATCTGACTTCTGAGGTAACTCGAACACACCATGATACTGCGATATGACCAAATCAAATCCTGTCATTCAATACGATATAATTCTACAATATAAAATGATACGATTCTACGACATCATGCGTAGCTACGATTCATGACATAAGAATCTGTGACACAATATATTATACGTTTTTACTTTAGCTAGGGTGCAGTACATTGCATTTTGTTATGTTACGTTGGGTTACATTAATACTAAAACATTTTGATTTCCTTGAAGGAACCTTCCTAAAAGGATAAATAAGGTTGTGTCTAATCTAATCTAATCTAATCTAAGTACTGTATTTTCGAGACAATAAGTCGCTCCGGAGTATAAATCACACCAGCCAAATGATGCATAATGAAGAAGAAAAAACATATACCGGTATAAGTTGCATTTTTGGGGGAAATTTATTTTACAAAATCCAAGACCAAATTATGTATGAAATTATTTAATAAATATATAAGTCGCACCTAAGTATAAGTCGCAAACCTAGCAAAACTATGACTTATAGTCTGGAAAATATGGTACATGATACTAGGCTGTGATACATTACATTATGATACAGTGCACCATGTTTAAATAGGATACAAAATGATACAGTATGAAATATATGATACAATCTACTATGTAACATTATGTTATCTCAAGTTTTGGTTTGTAACATTTTGTTACAATATGATACAAAATAATTTGTTATGGTACGTTTAGTGACCTGATGTGATTTGAAGTGCTGATATGTTTTCATTTAGTTGGAAATTATTCAAAATAATAGTTTCCAAATTTTGAAATAAAAAAAATTAAAAAGGTAAAAATTAAAAAGTAAAAATAAGGAAGAAGAAATCAGTAAAAACAAAAAAAAAAGTACTATTTCTTTGTGATATTTTATTAGGCTGTGATACGTTACATTATGATAAATTACGTTACACTCTGTTACACTGTATCATACAAAATGATACAGTATGAAAGAGTAGGAAAATTTTTGAAATAAAAAAATTAAAAAGGTAAAAATAAAAAAGTAAAAATAGGGAAGAAAAAACAAGAAAAAAAAAGTAGGAATTCTTTGTGATATTTTATTACCTTTCTCCGCAGACCTGACGTGTAAATGATTGTACTTAAAGTAAACGCTGATGCATTTATAAAAGATCAAGTCCTCAGTGGTTATCGGGGGGACTAGTTCAGAGCCACAGAACTGAGGACTCATGGACAGATGTTTTGTGTCCTGAAAGGATTTATTGATAATGAGAAACAGAAAGCCCATCAGCCTCCTCCTCCTCCTTTAAAGAAAGTCAAACTGAGTTTTATGCGTCTCAGTTTGTGTGATTTTATCTGTAAAAACCTGATAACGCAGAGACGAAAGCAGATATTAGCTCTTATATGCGGAGATCTGAGGACGACCGTGTTGGGACATGTGTCTCCTGTCAGAGTCCCGAGGGGGGGGAGTGAAGTGAAGTGGGGGTCTGAGGTCTGAGGTGTATTTGCGTCCATAACAGAGAAGCAAACAGGCCCATTAGAGATGAAAGGGTCTGAATGGAGCCAATCAAAGACGAGCTCAGCATGGGGCCGTTACCCCACAGACAGAAAGACAGCAGAAGACCAGGACCAGAGACTCCAACCTCCCCCCTCAACACCACCATCAACAACAACAACAACTGGGAGAAGGTACAGTCACACACACACTCCATCTGTTAATTTTTTTCATTTTCATACATTTTCATTCAGTTAATATTCAAAACATTTAATACAAACAAGGAAAAATCTCAAACGTGAATGAAAAGGAGCAGAAAGAAGAAAACTCTTACGGAGTCTGCCCCTCTTTCATAATATATTAATCAACTAAACACATAATAATAAAAATAAACAACAGCTGCAGGCCAACATGCCTTTTTACTGTTTATTATTTCCTATTTTCAAAAACGAACAGAAAAGACTGTGTTATTTCACATTTTTTCACAAAACAAACATACCGAGACTTAGATGAACACATTTCCCTGTATTTACTCAACATACTGGCTTTGACACTTTCTTTGTTAATAAAATTTGATTTAGTTTCTTTAGTTTCTTTGTTCAGATTGTTCCTCAAACTTATTCCTCTCACTGTAACACAGCGCTCTTTCAGCTTAGTTCTCAATCTTGGCTTTTTAAATATTTCAAATCCTTTTAAATTATAACAACTTTATCTTTTTTCAAATCGGCTCTAGATAATGACTGGTAAAATTTTCTTATGAGCTTTATACATAATCTGCAACAAACTGAAATCTACTCACTCAATGAATTTCAATAACTGCAATTTAACAAATAATGGGTTTGAAGGATCTCTATATTGACTTCTACTAAAAATTCATATTGCTCTTTTTTGTAAAATGAAAATTGGCTGGATGGAAGTTTTACATGAACTGTGTTCCATATCTGACACAGTAGGTTAGATATGGAACAATAATCCAATTATACAAGAGGTACAAAGCTTAATTATTATCTAAGTAGTCCCTTACTTTGTTTAACATTGCAATCGTTTTTGCTATTTTCACTTTTATTCCATTAATATGTGATTTCCAGGTCAAATTTTATTTCATTTACTCTATTAATTCCAATACCTTAAATATTTACTGAAGCATCAATATTTTTGCCTTTGTTACCCAATAGCATAAAGTTTGCTTTTTCAATATTTAAAGATAATTTACATACATCAAACCAGTGCCTAATTTTTTTCATTTATTTTCCGACCACCTCCAACACACATTCTAGATTTCCTTAGGTGTAAAAAAGGTAATAGTAGTAGTAGTAGTCGTTTATTCAGTCATGTCAACACCAAATATTGTACACAATATTGACATTTCACACAAAATCACTAAATCACTAAATCAAGAACTATGTGTTGAATATTGACTGAAAAGGCAGAAGCAGACTGCTTATAAAAGCTTATCCTGTATTGTCAACATTTTAAAGCTACCAACCTCCAGAAAAGCAAAGAAACCACAACAACAGATAATTAATCGCACTTAAAAGCTTCAGAAAATAGCTTTACAAACCATTTTCTTAAAAACCAAAAAAGAATGACATGTTTTTAGATTTATGTTGGCATCATTCCAGAGTTTAACTCCAGTAATGGAGACACATCTCCTTTTCATACCTTTTTTAGCTTTTTGTACAGTAAATTTGCAAGCACCTCTGAGATTATACGGACTGTCCTGAATTTAAAAAAACCTCTGTATTGAGTCAGGAAGCATTTTTGATTTATCTCTTTGTTCAGGATTGTGATTTTGAAACTTTCCCTTTAATGTATTCAATGTGCTGTTTCCATGTTAACTTTTGATCAATGACAACCCCAAGAAATGTAGTCTCAGTAACTCTCTCAATGTCAACGTTACAGATTCTTAATTTAACATTACAATCACTTTCGTTTAGTCATCATCAGCAAAAAGAATACATTTAAACAGTTTTTAATCAAACTTTTTTCATGAAAAATAGACATTCCTCTTATCGTTTTATTTCTATACCAAACCTTTGTCCTGTTTCAGATGTTTCAGAAGCTGGTTTCTCAACAGGATTCTTCTCCTACAGAGCCATGCTGTTGTCAGAATGTGGTTTGGGATCATATGAAGGTCTTCCCTGAAAAAGTCATTGTCCGGATGTCAGCAGATGTTGATCCTAAACCTGTAGATATTGTTTAAAACTGAGGATGCAGCATCTATGATTTCCAGTTCTTTATTGAAAGGACAACTGGACTTACTTGAGGCGAAACGTCTCAAGTAAGTCCAGTTGTCCTTTTCATGCAGCGATCCCCACTCCAGAGTCCTCCAGCAGATGTTGCTCCTAAACTTGGAGATATAATTCAGAATTAATGGAGCCTTCACAGATGTGAAAGATACCAAGGATATGGACTGATGACCTCCATACCATCAGGGATACTGGATTTGAACTGTGCACCGGGTGGCCGCTCTCATATTCAGAGCAGAGAACATGGCGTCCATCATTTCCCAGAAAGAACGCCATAATCAGATTCGACAGTTTTCCACTCCACCTTACTGTTCCATCTTCATGATCTCTGGAAAAATTCAACTCATACGAAAGTCATTTTTCAGGACACACACGTTTTTGTTAAAAAAGTATGTTGCATGTTACTTTACAATAAACCAGACTGTCTTTGTAAACTTCTTGTCTGTTCAGAACTATGTAAAGTGCAGGACTCCATTAGCGGGACTCCACTGCAGTTAACTGAATTTACATTTACACAAACTACATCCCCTCTCGTCTCTGTTCTCTCCGAGGTCCAGACTCTCAGGCTCCTCGAGTCTCTTTTTACTTCAGAAACTTTAGCTTCACACTTTCGGTGTCAAAAACAGTCACGTGTCAATGGTGATTATAAAGGAAACATGAAATAAAAACAAGTTTATTCCTTTGAAATCTTCCCTTTTCACTCCGCAGGCTGGCTGTGAACATCACTGCTGTCAAGTATTTACTGTTATTGGTCCTAAATGTGTAAAATTAAAGGTTAATTCAGCAGGAAAAAGCAGAAGTGTGCACATGTCAGAGGTGAGGATGTGAGAGGAGTGGAGGTGTGAGCTGGGACGCAGTCTTTGATGTTAAACTGGTATTTAGAGGTTAATGAGGCTGTTAGGAAGAGGTGGAGGAAACGCCCCGACTTCACACTCACACACGGGAAACAGATCTGACCGTCCTCCGCTGGAAAAGAGGATTTCTGACCGTTAATACATAAAACTCTTCAAATTCAACAAAGGCATGATTCTTTTTTTTCTTTTTAAGACTTTATTTTGCAGTTTTCTTTTAACAGGCATTCAACCTCCAAACATTAACCCCCTCCCACAAGGCTCTTGAACAAAAAAGAAATAAAACAGAAAAATACGGAAAATAAAAATACAAAAATAGTTCAGGAAATTGATGTTTTGAGCATATTTTAAAATGGTTGAAACAAACAAATGCAACTCAAGATGTATCACTGAAATGGAAACCCTTCTACAAAGGGACTCCAGGTAAGGGTGAAGTTTCTGTGGGCTTAAAGGTAGAAATGATCGAACATCCCTCAACCACTGTAGAAATGAAGGGGCTGAGTTTGCTTTCCAATTTAAGAGTATGAGTCTGCGTGCAAGCATTGAAGTAAATGCCAGAGCGTTTGCTTGCAAACTTGAGACTTTGCAGCCTGGAGGTAGTACGCAGAAAATGGCTGTGTGATTATCAGGTGTTTTAGTCAGACCACAAATTTTGGAAAGTACATTAAATATCTGTCTCCAATAGTCGTTGAGGGATGTGCATGACCAAAACATATGTCCTATTGTGGTAGGCACGTAACTGCACCTCAGAAAACCAGGATCTGCAGTGGGAAAAAAGTTTAAAAGATTTATCTCTTGAATAGTGCAGACGATGGAGAAAAGGCATGATTCTGGATATTTTAGGAGGTTTATACAGGAGCAGAAAGTTTAATAGAAGTAAAACAAAAGTTTTAAAAGTTGAATGTTAGGTAAAAACGTTCAGGATTTACTTTACATGGTTGTTTGGTGTTTGTTTCTCTGCTGTGGTTTTCTGCAGAGTGAACACAGGATTTGGTTAGATGATGAGGACGTTACAAAAACCAGGTCACTGTCACACAGGTGTGTGTGTCTGTGTGTGTTCAGTGTGTCACATTGCTTAATCTGAAGCCACTTATAAAAATAAAAAAAATAAAGAAAATCATCTTTAGAGAACAGCAGTGTGATACAGTTGAGAGTAATTTCTAAACCACGCTCATGATCTCTCAAACAAACAGTGTGTACGGAGGCCCTAAAATGTTAAATTTCATGAATACAAAAAATACAAAAAAATTCACTGAAAAACAAAAACATCAAATTTAACCCGGATATATTTCACAAAAAAAGTGAAAGGTTTATAAAACTTTTTACTATTATGTGAACAAATTTTATGGGTTTGGTTAGTTTTTTGTTGATTGGGAGATGATTCTGCCTTTTATGAAAAAATTTTACTTTTGTGAAATATTTTTGCACTCAGTAAAATGTTTATCTTCATGAAATATCTTTTTAGTTTTGTGAATTTTTCTGCAAAAGTAAATTGTTTAGCGTATCTTGAAAAGTTTTGGTGTTTTCTGAAATGTTTTCTTCATTCAGTAAAACTTTAACACGTTAATTGCTATAAATTAATTACAGTAATTTATCTTGTTAAAAATATCAACACATATTAGTCGCACCTACTGTATTTTTGCACCACATAACGTTTCTCACTGGACGAATTTAAGGTATACCGATAATACTGGCGCACCCCAATGTGAGTGCAGTAGTGATTCCAGTCCCACCCAGCGTGCGGGAAAATGAACGAAGTCGCGGATAAATGTGTTTTGATTGGCTTCGGCGTGGATGAGCATTTTTGTTTAAAAAAAGAAAGATGGATGGAAGCCTGGATTTAAAAAAATAGTCTTGTGCAAACTATGCGAAAAATGCTGCGTTCGAGTTACCTCGAAAGTCAGGTGTCGGAGCTGAAAATGACGTAACACCCATGTTCCAAGCGTTTCAGTTACCAAGTCGGTAAAAAGCAAAACCGGAGGCCTGAAACAAGATAACTATATTTACGAAAGTTATTTTAGTGCTTGCCTTGTCTGAATATAAGGCAAGTGCTAAAATAACTTTTGTAGATGTAGCCATCTTGTTTCAGGCCTCCGATTTTGCTTTTTTGGTAACTGAAACGTTGGTAATTCGGGTGTGACGTAATTTTCAGCTCTGACATCTGACTTCCGAGGTAACTCGAACGCAGCAACAGAATTAGCATATCACCACAGCATGTCAAGCCTCTGGTATCACCTGAATGCTAAACACACTGCAGCTAGCATGGAAGCAAACGTTAGTCCGACTCCGAGTACAGCGACCAACACTCAACTATATGAGTGGATTCAGAGCAAAGATGAGTGAGTCGACGTCCGAAAAATTAACAAACTCTCTGGCTCACTGGATAGCACTCGACTGTAGACTGATCTCTGAAATTGATTCTATATTATTCACTCATAAAATTTCCCACTTTATGGCATAAAAAAAACACTGATCTGTTGGTCTTGGTTAAGTATCACCTTGAAAAAAAATAAACAAGGTTTTGTTTGCTTCAACTTATGTATTGATTCAGTTCACTCTTCATTGATTTACTCGTATACAATAAAATTAAAAAAAGATTCTCATGGTTCTCAGGTCAGATATTTATATGCAATTTATTAATTACAAAGCCTATGATTAATTAGATTAATGTTTTTTAATTGAGTCCCAGTCCTAATACTTTGATATTTCATGGTCATTAAATCTCTGTGTATTTGAGCTTCAGGGCCTCCGTAGCTCATAATCACTCCCTTTCCCTTCATACTGAATACTTGACTTTCCCTCTGTTTTAATCCTCTTTTTTGTTATTTTCTCTGGTTGGATTTTCTTCAGAGATAATTAAAACTCTTTCTCTTCTTATCTGAATTTGAATCGAATTAATTTCTCTGTCGAACAGTTTATTTTCCTTGTTGATTAAATCAAACTGTTTTGTCGTCTCTTTTTTTAACCTAATCTCAGGAAATGAAGCCGATTTAATCTCATCATTGTGTCTGCTACAGAAAACACGGTCTCCTCTTTTCTGTTGAAATAAAATAAACACCTTTAGGCAGGTCCAGCTCTTGGGATGCTTTTTACTTCCTTACAGTGTGAGGATTAGAGGATTACAGGTTTTAAGTACTTTTCATCACCTTTTGACTGCAGGACTAGAACATTTTAACAACTTGTATTGCATTTCTAAGACATTTTAAACGTTGATTTAGGAAAAATGTCTCAATGGTCCTCTTTTTAATCTTTTATTTTTCAGAGTGCATTTAAAACAAAAATATAGAAAAACAGGTTTATAACTTTTGAATTCATTCACAGTCAACCACAACCACAGTCCAGCCACAGTCCTTCTGTAACAGGCCCTCGAGTTTCAGGCACACAGAAGCAGCAAAATCACAGCTCAGACTCGTCTGTATAGTCAGTTTTCTTGATGCAGCAGTTAAAAATCTGTCATATCTGTAATAATTAGGCATTTTTAGCACCACCCAGAATAACAACAGCAGCAAAGTTTTCGACATGTAGAAGATTTAACGACTAAAAATTGATATTATGACTGTGGTAAGAGTCTATTTTAAAAGCAGAGGTCCAAAGTGAATCAATCAGAGCTTAAACCTTCAGATTTTTATTTTTTCAGTCTATGTTTGACCCAGTTAAATCTTCACCATCTTCTGCCATGTTAGCCGGCACTTATCTTTGCTGCAGAGACTCATCAGGGCGGCTCAAGCATTTCTCTCAGATGGGGGAATAAACTCCAAACCGAGGTGAGCAAATATCTCCTCCTCTGACGTCGCTCTCAGATATCGACCCTGTTAGAAAAACAAAATTAATCTAAATTCATTTATTTAATCTAAATTTATAAATCTACTATTTGTGTTGTATATAGTGTAAATACTTATATATTATCTCTTTATTTTTACTTAATTTATCTATTTATCTCTTTTTTTTAACTTATTTTTATTTATTTTATCTATTATTTATCTCATTTTGATACTGTATTTGCACTGGAGTACTGTGACAAAAGCAATTTCCCTCTGGGGATTATTCAAGTATTTCTGATTCTGAAATATGATGTAGAAAAGTGAAGATGAGTCAAAGGCGTTTCCTTTTGTACCTGTTTGCTGTCAAACAGAGCGTGGCTGCTCAGAGACATGGACCGCTCGTGTCCCGCCCACCGCCGCAGCTCCCTCTCAAACAGCTACAGAGAACAGGAGGTCAGTCTGAGTTTGATTCAAAGAGGAGGAAGAAAAGAGGAAGTTTATAAAAAGTCACCTTTGACCCGGTCCAGCCCAGAAGAGCGAACGCAAACTGGCTGATGGGAGAGACAACCAGGTCCACCCTCACAGCTCGCCAGCGTTTGTGTTTGGAGGGTTTGTCCTTTGCTCCATCTTCAGACGCCCGTTTTCTGTCTCCACTGGCTTGGCTCTGACCTGAAGATGGTGAATGTGATCCTGGATCTCCATTCAGAGTTTTTGCACCATCCTCCATCAGTGTTTCTCCCCGTTTGTCCTCCTTTGCCAGTTTAAAGATGGAGAAACACCTCTCAAAGCGGTCCATGTTCGAGGAAGGCCTCCCAGGTCCACTGCTGGACTCCAGGTAGGAGTTCCTGGTGGTTTTCTGATACAGAAGGAAACCCTGGAGAGATGGAAACCAGATGTGAGTCCATGTTGGACCACTTTAGCGTGAAATATACCGATGAGTCGACATTTTAATAACGTTAAAAGGGATATTCTGGCGTAAAATTAAGTTAAGGTCAAACACACCGTAACACCGAGTAAGACACCCCCTCCAGAGATGAATGTTGCCGACCGCTTTCTTCTCTAGTTTTACTAACTTTAGTAACGACTGCAGGATAGCAATACACAGCGGTCTGAGGAGCCAAAAACAAACCTCAACCAAAACGCCACTCTATAGCCACAAATAATGCTCAGAGCAGCACCTAACTTCATCAACAGGACATATAGGGTCCCAGCCGTAGTACTGGCCACCAAACATCTTTTTAACTTTGACTAATTTCTTTAGCAAAGAGACTAAACACAACTCACCTACTCTCTCCCAGCATCCGCTTGTTTTCATCATTTTTTCATGGAAATGCAATCAGACAGAGACGCTAAGGCAGAAGAACTACCGCCTCTGCAGTGCAAAATGGTTAATATGATGATTATTACTTAAAGCAAATGATAAAGTCATGATCATAAATGTTCTTCCTTGTGCTGCGTCACCCCACTGTAGTCCGTAATGGACTGGCCTGAGGTCTCGCTACAAACAAATGGCTGCTGAAAGAGAGTAGGTGAGTTGTGTGAAACAAGAAGTCAGGCAAAGTTAAAGAGATGTTTGATGGCTAGTACTATGGCTGGGACCCTATATGTACTGTTGATGAAGTTAGGTGCTGTTCTGAACATTATTTGTGGCTATAGAGTGGCGTTTTGGTTGAGCGCGTAGCTCTCTTTATTGCTATCCTGTGGTCGTTACTTAAGTTGGTATAACTACAGTAGAGAAGCGAGCGGTCAGCGACATTCATCTCCGGAGGGGGTGTCTAACTCTGTGTTACAGTGTGTTTGACCTTAACTTAATTTTCCGCCGGAATATCCTTTTAATGAGAGTAAATGCGGCAGATTAGACCTGAGCCTCCAAACAGGAGACCACTTTAGACATCAGTCCCTCCTCTCTGCCCTCCTCTGGGTGAGTTATCAGGAAGTCGATGTCATGGCCAGTCTGCTTCCCCCTGAAAATTCAACAGTGATGTTTCTGTTTAACCGCTGTGCTGATTTATAAAACAGGAATATTACGATTCAGGGCCACTTGTAAACTTGTTCGTCTGAAAACTAAACAGAAAAAACTTTCTAAAAACTCTAGGATCACCTCCTGAATCCTCCAATCAGAGTCATCTGTGCCCCTGGTAACACAGAGATGACGGTTCTCTCCATGATTTCACTGATGGCGTCGGCCTCTGCTTTAGTGACTAGTTGGTTCAGATCATGGTAGTGCTCCAGACCTGACGGTGAAACATCATTTACTCGATAAAAAAGTTTGATGTCACACTTTTTAAATGTTGAGACATGAGTGCAGACACACACCAGCCTGCTGGGCTCGGTTGAGTGTCTGTTCTGAATCTCGCAGCTGCTGAAGGTCTTGTATCCCCTCTCTGATCCATCGGTCTGCTGTTTTTGCTCCAACGCCAAAAATACCGGTTAAAACCTGAAACACATTTTTTTAAAAAAAAATTGATTTAAAACTTGACAAATTTGCCATTCTACCTGGATTTCTTTTTTTTTTTTTTTAGAAATGTTTATTAATTTTCAATGAACAATAAAATGAAAAAGAAAAAAATATATAAACATATATACAGTATATACAGTTGTGAGTGAAAGTCAGGGCACCCCTTTAAAAAAAAGCATGGTTTATTTATTAAAAAATTGACCTTGATATTTATAGTCTCTCTGGTAAATAGGAAAAAAAACAATATTATCGGAAATCATTAATGCACAGTTACTTTTTATTTTATAAAAAGTACAAAATTACAAAAATAAAAATAATCTTTTTGGCATGTGCAAATGTCAGGGCACCCTTAAGCATCAGTACCTTCAGTACTTAGTAAGACCCCCTCTGGTAGATATCACAGCTTGTAAACGCTTTTTATAGCCAACTACAAGTCTCTGGATTCTATCCTTTGGGATTTTCCCCCCATTCTTCCTTGCAAAAGGCTTCCAGTTCTGCAATATTCTTGGGTCGTCTTGCATGCAAAGCTCTTTTAAGAACAACCCACAGATTTTCGATTTTGTTTAAGTCTGGAGACTGTGAAGGCCATTCCAAAACCTTCAACTTGCATTTCTTGAGGTAGTCCATGGTGGATTTAGAGGTATGTTTAGGATCATTATCCCGCTGTAGAAAACATCCTCTTTTCAGCTTCAGGTGCAGTGATACCTGCCTCAAGAATTTGCTGGTATCTAATGGAATCCATTCTTCCCTCCACTTGAGGAATGTTTTCTGTCCCATTGGCTGCAACACAACCCCAAAGCATGATGGATCCACCCCAATATTTCAAAGTTGGCAAGGTGTTCTGTTCATGAAAAACTGTTCCTTTTTTTCTCCAAACATACCTTTGCTTATTGTGGCCAAAGAGTTCTATTTTAACTTCATCAGTCCACAGCACTTGTTTCCAGAAGTCATCAGGCTTCTCTGGATGTTCTGTTGCATATTTTTGTCATTGTTTTTTAATATGAGGACGCAGGAAAGGTTTTCTTCTGCAGACTCTTCCATGAAGGTCTTGTTTTTTAAAACATCGCTGCACAGTGGAAGGGTGCACCACCACTCCTGCGTCTGCTAAATATTCTTGCAGGTCTTTTGGAGTCAAATGTGGGTTTTGATTTACTTTCCTGACCAGCAAACGAGCAGTTCTCTCTGAGATTTTACTTGGTCTTCCAGATCTCATCTTGACCTCCACAGTTCCCCTCACCTGCCATCTCTTAATTATACCTCGCACTGTGGAAACTGCAAGCTGGAAACGCTTTGCTATCTTCTTGTAGCCCTCCCCTGCATTGTGGGCATCAATAAATTTCATTTTTTCTGTCTTACACACCTTTTTAGAGGAACCCATGGTTGCTGGATGAATGCACAAGGTTTGTGGAGTTGAAACCCCTTAAATTGGCACCAGCTGGCGCTCCCTGATGAGAATTGTTGACACCTGCTTTAGGACTAACGAGCTGGTGAAAGTCTGAGCTTCTAAAAAGAATCTTTAAAGACCAGACACTTTAAGCTCTCAGGGTGCCCTGACATTTGCACATGCCAAAAAGATGATTTTTATTTTTGTAATTTTGTACTTTTCATAAAATAAAAAGTAACTGTGCATTAATGATTTCTGATAATATTGTCGTTTTTTCTTTTTACCAGAGAGAATATAAATATCAAGGTTAATTTTTTTTAAATAAATAAACTATGCTTTTTTTAAAGAGCAGCACATCAAGAATTACAACTACATTACATGGTCATAAAATGAGTATCGACTATACAGAATATAAAAGCAGACATGAAATTATAATCGTAACAATAATAGTAAAATAAATAGGTCGGTAGACAAGATCATATTTTGTTTGCGCTGTAAGGCTTTGTACAACAGCCATAGTCTCTGTGCTTTCATTTTTAAGGTAATTCAGTACAGGGTCCCATGTTTTATCAAATGTATCCCCTCTATCTTCATTAATGATGGGCACAGCAGTTCTTTTAGATGTACTGAATTACTAGAATCAGTTAACTAAAAAGACTTGTTCAAAAGATTTGTTCACCAAATCACCGAATCGTTTAGCAGGAGGAGCCTGCGACTTCGACCTCTTGAACTGATACACAGCTTAACGGTTCAGGATTCAGTTCAATTCATAGTTTCTGGGACCGGGAGACAAGAGTGTTTGGCTGTGCTGCATTGGCAAACAGATTTGTAAAAATGAACTTGTTTATAAGTCATGGTGTTTTTAGTGTACCAGCCTATGGTATGCTATTTATCAGGTCTGCTCGGTAAATTGGGGTCAGTGAGTGATTCGTTCACTGAACGTTTAGAAGAATTCAAACTACACATTTTTAGTTTAATGCACTACTTGTTACATGCTGTGTCCTATTGTATGCAAGTTGTTGTGGTGGCAATTTAGCAGTGAAAAAAAAAAGATAGTTTTGTGAGACAAAAATGATTCCAGAGAGTGTAGTCCGATGCGTGATTTGTTCACCAAGTGATTCAGGGGTTGGTGCATGTGGTCCCTCGTTCGCCAGCTGCTGACCTGGCAATGCTGTTTCTCACTTCAGCTCAACTGAACGAATCACTTGAGGAAGTGATTCGGTTCAGTACGTTCACTTACAAGATTTGGTTCTTTTGAACAAGTCGTTTGCGAACGACACAACACTAATATTCGTTGTAGAATCTCAGTCTCTCCAAATGTAACGTCTTTGACAATTCTCCCAACCATAAGTTAAAAGTATGCACAGAGTCTGCTTTTCACAGTTGTAGAATCAACATTTTAGCGATCACCATCCTAAACTGAATTGCAATTCTTTAAATCTATTAACAGATAAAGGACACACATGGTACCAAGAATGGAAACCAGAGGGTTGGGTGCCAAATTTTTATCAAAAGCCTTATAAAAACACTGAAACATACACTGCAGGCCAAATGTTTGGGAGCAAGATCAGATTTGTACAAAAAAAAGACCATAGTTTCATTAATTAATTAATTTGCAACACAATAAACATGACTATTGTGAAAAAATGAAACTTATAAGAAGACACTTTGACTACAATTATTAGGTATTTGAGTTATTGTTGCTTAGACTTTGCTTTCTTTAACGTAACCTCCTCTGGCTTTGACAACAGCTTGGCATATACCAGGCATTCATTCCACAAGTTTTCTAAGGTATGTTCCAGGGATTGCATTCCAAGCTTTCTTAAGTTCATTAAAAGGAGACTGCTGATTCGTGAGACGCGCTTTTCTGACTGATAGATCCAATTCATCCCACACAAGCTCGATTGGAAAAAGGTCTGGAGACTGAGGTGGGCAACCCATTTTGAAGAACTCCTTCCTCTTCTTTTTTTGTCTAGGTAACCCTGACAGAGCTTGGCAGAGTGCTTAGGGTCATTGTCTTGCTGCAAAATAAACTTAGGAGCCACAAGTCTGAGTCCAGATGGAACAGCATGGTGCTGGAGGATGGAGTGATACTGTTCCTTCTTCATGATACCCTTTACTTCAAACAAAGCTCCTACTCCATCACCTGCAAAACATCCCCATACCATGGAACTACCACCTCCATGCTGAATTGTGGGTGTAACACATGGTGCTTTCAGACGTTCACCAGTTTGTCAGCGGACATAGACTCTGCGTTTTGAACCAAACAGTTCAAACTTGCTTTCATCGGTCCAGAGAACTTGTTTCTAGTCATCACAGGTCAAATTTTTGTAAGCTAGATACACAACCCTTCAGACCAGCCTTTCTCAAACGTCATTTCACGGTTGTCAGCGATATGGGTTTCGACCTTGTCATGTTGATTTCCTCCCTTATTTTTGGTGCTGTCTTTCGCTGCTCTCTCTTACTGGTGACAATGCTATGTGTATCCTCTGCTTTTGTAGTAACTCTCTTTCGTCCAGGTCTTTTTCTATCATCATAACTTCAAGGTTCCTCTAGTCTAGTCTCTTCAGAGTGTAGTGGACTCCTTTGTTAAACACCTTTAGGCGTTTTGCAATTTCTCTTTCTGTGTATCCTTCTTTCCTCAATGTACAAATCTGTACTTTTGTTTCTTTACTCAGTTGCTTCTTTCTAGCCATTTCTGCAGTAGTTTAATGCAGTTGAGATTTATTAGGATTTTTGTATGCAGACTCTCAAAAGCCAAAAAGTTGAAGTAAATAATCCAACTGTGATTTTTTTTGCTTTTGCACTGAAGTTGTGACTCTTGCAAATGTTTTTGACCCTAAAACTAAGCCCTTATTTTCTTTTGCTGACAAAAATTTCGCAATGGTCTGTTAACATTAATGTATATCTAAAGGTAAATGGAGTAAAATGGTGCATTTCCATGAAAGCAACATCTGATCATGGAGTAAATACATCCCAAAATACATAAAACTCTAAAAAGATCTAAAAAAAAGCATTGTGAACAAAAACTTGAAGTTACTCCCAACTGTTCGGCCTGTAATGGCCCTGCTTCCAAACTTTTGGCCTGTAGTGTACATTTCCAAAATAAATGAAGTTTACTACACGCCCAGAATGAATGTGTACTTACCGAGGATTTACATCAGTTGCATGTTGGTGGGACATCAGGGTAAAATTCATGTAGTTTTACTTGCGAGTAATGGAGACTGTAGAGTACTTTATACTGTATTAGGTTGTGCCTGGTGTTAACTGAACACTTTTGTACATTTCATTTGGACATTCTTTGGATTTATTAGTTAGCATAAATGATAACCATCGAAACAAACATCCTTTTTTCAGCAAAAACATTTGGCAATACTGAACTAATAAAACCAAATCTGGATTTGAAGCTGGAGATCGACGAACTTCTGATGGGTGTGTTTGAAGTCTTAAACAGCTTCTCTTTCTGGTTTTAAATAATAATAATAATTAAACTGTCTGAAGTTTTGAGTGTTTTTTTATTTTTACGTCTTTTTCTAAGATTTGTTACTCATAAGAAGACAAATCACAGCCCGGGTCTTTCTCAACATGTCGCTCTGTCTGAGCTTGACCACTAAATGGTGCTGGTGAGACAAAAACAAAGAAATGCAGCTCCTCTAGTCAAATCCTGTAATAACTGCTGTTGTTGTTTCTCTACGACACAAAAGATAAAGCTACAGGCCGTGTGAAGACACGATGAGGCGCACTGATCAGTTTCAAGTATTTGGGGACAGTACCAAAGTTTTTTAACAAATAAATGTGAGATTTTAAGCCCCTGAGAGTAGTTTTAAATGTTTCAAAAAAAGGAATGATTTTTTTTTTTTTTTTCCAAAAAGACTCACAGCTCAGATATAAACCAGTAGTCCTTCAGCTGACTTACCTTTAGCGCCTTGTATCGCTCAGACTCCCTCATAGATTCAACCTCACTTGAAGCTCCAGTTTCCAAAATCTCCTACAAATAATCAGAATGAAAACATGATTTTTAAGTCAGCGGTCTGAAAAGCTGGAGGGTCAGACAGCTGACTTACTTTGATGACTCTGAGAGAGTGATCCCCCAGACAGGGAAGTCCTCTAAGCTGGGCCATGCTCCTCACTGGTTCAGGGAGACATTTTAAGACGGCGGCAGCTCGTCGGAAAGCAACGCCTCGACCGTCCTCCTCGCTGAGCTCGGCATTTTCAGCCAAGAGCGACAGAGCATCCTGAGAAGAACACATCCTGAATCCCTCTGCTATCAAGACTAAGGCAGCTGGACTCTATATATCTGTGTTCACAGACTTACAGTGAGGACCATGTTGTGGTTCTCCAGGGTGGTTCTTCTCTGACAGGCGTAGCTCGGTACAGAGAACGCCACCACCTCCTCGGTAATCTGCTGCTCCTTAAACCAGAAGAGTTAAATTTACTCTGCTGAGAGGTGTACAGGTGTTGAAATGACTCATTTCAGTGCAGGTGAAGCAGCATGTACCTGAAGTTTATGTCTGTCCAGGATCTGAACAGGATGTCCGGCCTGCATGCTCTCCGTGAACCAGCTGACGTCCAGGAGGTGAACTGAAGGTGTTTGACCTCTGACCTGTGTGTCCAGCCACGTCCTGACCTCAGCAGCAGAGTTACTCTCAGAGATGACGTGTGTGACGGTCTCACTGTGAAATAAAGGATTTGTTATGTAATTAAGCACACAGTGACAAGCCTCCACACAGTCAACCATAATATAAGACTTAACTAACTGGAGAACTGAGCTGGTCTTACTGGTTCAAATTTAGGACAGAAACGAGGACAGCTGACTTCACAGATGATCAGACAAAAATTACACGTGGGGTTCCTCAGGGCTCCGTCCTGGGAAGTGGCGTTTTGGTTGCTCTCTTACCCCACTCTCCCCTATATCTTCATACTTTCACCTTCTATTGTTGCTGTTTTTTTTTATTTTTTTTATGTTTCCGTCTTTTCAGGGTGCTTTTCTAATATCTGTCACGTTTTTTTATTTTTTTTTTGAGTTGCCTCGATACAGATATATACTAAATGTTTGATTAAATTGTTCTTTAATAAAGATCGACATTACCTGAACTTGTCCTCCACTTTGAAGCCTTTCCTTCGGCCGAGCTCAGACAGAAATGATCTTCGGCTGGTTCCCATTTTTCTCTCCAGCAGAAACAAAACAAACTGAGGAAACTTGATTTCTGTCCCACAGGTCCCAGTTTGAGAGGACACGACTTTCCTCCTCTTTAAAGGAACCATTTCCCCCTAAATTACAGTCTGCTGTTGAAGCTTACACATGTGAGATCTCCATAGTTTTATAATAAAAACGTAAACAGCTCTAATTTAAGTTCACTTCATTGATGCGTACTTGTTTTTCTAAAACTAACCTTCATTAAAAAGTTGTTCCGGTAAATAAAATAATACAATGTTAAAACACTGGAGAGAATAATCTGTCTAGACCAGCCGGTTTCATCTTCAGAGTCAGACTAGTGGAATAAAAACACATTTTAGCAGTAAACTGAAGATCTGTGACATAGTGTCACCGGATGCAGCTGTGTTCAGACACCGGCTGCACCTGCGCTCTACCAAAATAGATCCGACTGGAAACTTACGCTGCAACTTTTATGGCACCAAGTTTTAAAACCCGTTTCTGCCAAAACACGAATAACAGCACTGAAAAAATCATCGTCACAACAAGACACAATGATAAGAATATAACATGTTTTCGACATTGACTGTAATGATGTTTGCCTCTTGGTTTGCCATTTAAAAGGAGATAACGAGTTTTTAATGTCATAAATTAAAAACTGCTTTGTTCTCGTGTTTGTGCCACACCCCCTCTCATAAGGCTTAGAATTTTTCACTTTAATTTTTTTTTTCACATGTAAGTTTAAATTTTCAGTTTGAAAAATACATAATTTGTATTAGAGTTTTAGTATTTTTGAAGTTTTGACAAACCACCTTCAAACACTTATGTATTGTTAAAATCCTTTTCATGGTTATTCATTTCAAATGTGTGCCTTAGGGTGGTTAAAGGTGCAGAACAAGCTAAATATAAATTGCCATATGCGTACTGCCATATTCAAAGAGTATCCAACTTTCTTTGTGGACGAATTGGTGTATAGTGGCTATTGTCGTCAACATGTCACTCGGCAGGTTAGCTCTGGTCATTTAATTGTTCGATTCTCAAAATCCAATCGTATGAGGAGAACAGTGTTATTTGGATCTTTGGAAATGTGGAATCAATTGCCTAGCACACAGCAAATAAGCAGTAGGTATTAATTTAAAAGGACTTTAAAACAAAACTGTGTCTATGAATGAACTATAAAAGCACAGATTTTGGAGTGATTTAAATATTTGAATGTTGTGAAGAATCATGATTTGAATCTGTAACTATATTTATTTTCAATTAATTGCTGAAATGTATATGTAGTGTGATTTTAAGTTTTTGGACCCCAGGAAGACTAGCAACCACTCTGTGGAAGCAAATGGGGTTCCAAACAAACAAATAAGCAAATAAATGTGTGTCCTTACTCTTCTGACATGGTAAATTCTTCATCATAAAACCAAATCTAAATTTGATCACTCCTACCTCCTGAAATCATTTTAAATGTTAAAGTTTGCATTTATCTATAATAGGCTGACATACTATAATATATTTGTTGTTATAAAACGCCATTCACTTTCCAGTTTTGTTGACATGTAATCCAAAAATTGTCAAATACTGTCTTTATTTGTGGATTGGATTATTTGAGATGTTAAAATGTAGTATGTCATAATCACAATTATTATGGTAGCCGCAATTAGGTGAGTTTGGCATTTATGTCGAAAAATGCTTTTTTTTTTTTTTTTTAATGGTTTATGTGTTTTTTTTTAAACTGTAAATGCATTCAATGAAATATTTTTGTGTTCAGTAAAATCTCCATTGTGTTTGGAGAAATTTTTTTTCTTTTAAAAAAACCCTTTGTATTCCCTGAAATGCATTTAGTAAACTGTTTTTGCATTTCATTAGACTTTGCATTATTTAAAATATCTTTTGTGTTACATTAAATGCCTTTTTGGCAGGTAAAATAAATTTTATTTTTATTTTTTTCAAATAAATCAAAGTCGTGTTTTTCAGGAAATGTTTTTGCATTTCATGAAGCACTTTTTGGTGGAAATTATTTAGTCAGTTGACCTCCAGGAGAGTAATCCAGTCAAAGTAATTCATTTCAAATGTGTGTCCTTACTTTTCTGATATGGTAAATTCTTTATCACAAATCAAAATATCTAAATTTGATCACTCCTACCTCCTGAAATCATTTATAATGTTAAAGTTTGCATTTATCCATAATAGGCTGACATGCCATTATATAATTGTTGTTATAAAATGCCATTAACTTTCCAGTTTTGTTGACCTAAAATTCAAAAACAGTTGTATACTGTCCATATTTGTGGATTGGATTATTTGACATTTTAAAATGAAGCATGTCATAATGATGATAATTATGGTAGCCGAAATAAGGTGAATTTGACAATCACGTCAAAAAAATTTTATTCTGAAAAATGTTTGTGTTTTTTAAAATGTTAATGCATTCAATGAAATATTTGTTTTGTTTAGTATAATGTCAATTGTGTTCAGAGGAATACTTTTGCTTTTGTAAAACCTCTTTGTATTCCCTTAAGTTTGCATTAAGTAAGCTGTTTTTGCATTTTATTAGACTTTTTGCCTCATTAAAAAAAAAAAATTAGATGTTTATTTGTTCCATTAATTATCTTTTTGGTAGGTAACAAAAATTTTTGCATTTAGTAAACTGTTTTACATTTTCATTAGATATTTGTATGATTAAAAAAAAATTCTAATTTTTGTGTTTCATTAAATATCTTTTTGGTAGGTATAATGCCTTTTTATTTATTTATTTATTTTTCAAATACCTCACAGTCACATTTTTAAGGAAAATTTTTGGCATTTAGTAAACTGTTTTTGCATTTCATTAGACTTTTGCATCATTTATTTATTTTTATTTTATTTTATTGTTGTCCCATTAAATATCTTTTTGTTAAGTAACATGATTTTTATTTATTACATTTTTTCAAATACCTCACAGTCACATTTTTCAGGAAATATTATTGCATTTAGTAAACTGTTTTTGCTTTTCATTACACTTTTTGCATTTAAAAAAAAAAAAAATTGTGTTCTAGCAAATATGTATTTGGTAGGTAACATGATTTATTCTTTTATTTTTTTCAATACCTTACAGCCACATTTTTCAGGAAACGTTTTTGCATTTCATCACTTTTTGGTGGTCATTATTTAGTTAGTTGACCTCCAGGGCCACTTACATAATCTTAATTCATACACCTCTCATTTAAATATATTACATCTGCTGTAAAAATAGTCATCTTGTAAGTTGTGGGATCAGTTTATCTGGTCACAGTAACTGTCTCCATGTCTGTGGACGGCTAAAGTTGGGAAAGTGTGTGAGTTGTGTAAAAGTGGTTTAAAGTCCACGTTGAACAGTTTGTTCTCGATGTTCACTCCTCCCACAGACATCCCTCTGATCATATGACCACAAACATTTGACTCCACTTCCTCAAACTGTGAAGCTGCTCCCCGTGTGTTAGTCCAGCCTGCCTGCACGCTCTTACTCAATAACACATCCTCCCCCCTCCGAGCAGGAAACGAAACCCAGCCTCAGACACTGTCTGTCGGCGTGAGAGCAGCTAGAGGCCCGGAGCTGTGCTGGTGGAGGTGGTGGTGGTCTAATGGCAGGTCAGTGGAGTGGAGCTGGAGCGACACGATCCCGGCAGACAGGACGACCAGCAGCTGCTGCCCTCGCGCTCCTCACGCTGCTCACCTGCTGCGTCAGGTGTGCGGAACCGACAGGAATCAAACCGAGCAACATCATCCTCATCCTCGCCGATGACCAGGATGTGGAGCTGGGGGGTATGGTGAGTGAGACCCCTCCATGAAAGTGCTTTATAATATTCACTTTTATTGAAAATAGGTGTTTTATTGGCTTTAATTACTGTTATGGAGTTTCTACCTGTGAGACACACACCTGGACGTTCCAATAATGTGTTTATAGACACCGAGGATACACCTCAGAGTCATGTTATCTAACTTTATAATCTTTATATCATCTTATTATCTGTTTTAGGGGAGAGTGGGGTAAGTTGAGCCACCCCCTGTTGCTTGAAAATGGTCAAAGAAATTGATCATGTGACCAAATATTTAGGAGATGGTTCTCAATTCATGGAGTCTGTGAAGGTTAGAAGCACATGGGCGAAGGGGTTAGACATTTATTTCCAAAAAAAAAAAAAAAAAAACATTTTCCACTCTTGAAAGTGAATTTAGTCTGTCATAAGTTTCATTAAAATTGTGTTCAGACCAAAAAAGATGTGGTATCGATTAGCTACAACATGAGGTCAAAAACCTAACATAAAAGTCCACCATTTTAGCTTAGCGGACTAATAAAGTCATAATAGTAGTTCTGGGGTAACTGAGAAAGTAAAGAAGTCTGATGAGAGGATCAGAGTTTCAGTTCAGGTTGTTGAAATGTTTTTACTTTTTCTTTTCAAAAATACAGCTGTGAATGTTCTGAATCACTTAAAAACATTCTCATGTTAAAATGACTTTTTAAAAAAACAGCTTTTTAAAAATAGTAAAAGGAATCATTGTACCGGTTGAATGGCGTATAATAGATAAAAAAAATACACAAGAAGTGACTGTTATTTAGGGAGAGAGAAGGTGAGGGAGGGCTGGGGTGGAGATCCAACCTGTGAATGAATAAAACTTTAAGGCTGTATTATAGCTTTTTCAGCTAGTCTACTTCAATCACGATGTAAGCTGCTGACTGCTAACTTTACAGTATATGAAATGAGAAAGATTATAGCCACCATGACAAACGTTTAGTTTGAGTTTATTTTGGCATCCTCTGCACTCCCATAAGGGCCTGTGTCCACCAGAGGCATTACATGTGCATGTCATTAATTTTGAAGCTTCTCTCAGTGGCTAATACTGTTGCTAGAGTTATTTAAAGGGATATTAAAGGGATATATCATAAATGTTCTTCCTTGAGTTGCGTCAGCCCGCAGCAGTCTGTAAAGGACTGGCCTGAGGTCTCACTACAAACAAGCAGCTGCTGGAAGAGAGTAGGTGAGCTGTGTTTAGTCTCTTTGCTCAAGAAATTAGGCAAAGTTAAAAAGATGTTTGGTGGCTAGTACTATGGCTTGGACCCTATATGTACTGTTAATGAAGTTAGGTGCTGTTCTGAGCATTATTTGTGGCTATAGAGTGGCGTTTTGGTTGAGGTTTGTTTATGGCTCCTCAGACCGCTGTGTATTGCTATCCTGCGGTCGTTACTAAAGTTGGTATAACTAGAGAAGCAAGTGGGCGGCAACATTCATCTCTGGAGGGGGTGTCTAACTTGGTGTTACGGTGTGCTTGACCCTTAATTAATGTTACGCTGGAATATCCCTTTAAGTTGCCTTGTGGCGCTTCCTCTTACCTTACTACTGACCATTAAGTCTGGTTTTAAAAATGCTCTGTATGCTTCACATTTGCTTTAACTAATTAAAACATAAAGAAGATTTAAAATAGATAAAAATTTTGTCACAGCATCTGCAGCAGCTGGATATTGTACCTTAACCAAGCCTGTGTTCAGTTACTCCTCCTTATAAACCTCCACCATTGTTGTTGACAAAACTCATATGAAAAACCACGCCCCTACCTGATTTTGATTGGTTGATGATGGAGAAGTGATACGCCCCAAAAGTTAAACTATTTTCATATGAGAAATACCTGTTTTCACTTTTTACACCATACAAGTCATTTTATGAGAATATTATAACACCGCCACACCCTTAATGTACTTAATTTTGTATCCATTCATAATTTTTTCTCATTGTTGCAGGTATAACATTTTTATGACTATCCTAACCTCTTCACTTTCCTAATGCCGCTGCTCTCTGACAGATACTGAACTGAAGTTTGTCATTTTAATACATTGACAATAAAGTCCTGTTAGGCCCCAATGTAGTGACTATGCTGACCTGAATTTTGGTCACTGTCTGGGTGCGGGAGTGAGGTGTTTTTGACACTTCTAGTACAATCCAATATTTCATGCATGTCTTTCTGTTAAATGACAATAAACTCATTTTCTACAACCTCAAAATATTTATCCAACTACCTGACAGTATGACAAATAACAGCTGCATGAGTTCATATCTGAGCAACTTAAAACTGAATGTTCAGCCTTTGTGCAAACAGAGATCATGTGTGCAACAACACTGAAGTGCTTTTCTAATGAGTCAAACTAGGAGTTTATTTTTTACAGCTTCAAACTTGTGAAGGGGATGTGTGAGGTCAGTGGTTGAGTTGGTCTGTTTCATGCTTTCTCTATTAAATACTCAGTCACTATCATGAAGATAACAGTCTGGGGAGAGATCAGCTGTCAGATAAACAAGCTTGTTTGTTATTTAAAGATCTGTGCTTTAACAGAGTCTGTGTATTGATGTTGAGGAGGGAAGTTAGGCGTCTGTCCTGGTGTCAAGTTTGGTTTCACTTTGTCTTTCTGTGTTCTGCAGACCCCCATGAAGAAAACCAAAGCTTTGATAGGAGACGCAGGAGCTACTTTTGTGAACGCTGTGAGTATTTTACACAAACACAAAGTATTTTACAATGACAGCGTGTCTAAATAGTCGCTCAGAATGGTGCATTCCTGTTATTGGGTTAGCTGAGGAGTAAACAAGGAGAAAACAGCAGCAGAGTCAAGGTGATAGATTTACCTTGAAATCTCCAGATCTCAAACCGATTGAGAACCTGTGGGATGTTCTGGAAAACCAAGTCCATCCACACCTCGTAATTTTAAAGGATCAACTGCTGAGGTTTTGGTGCCAGATCCCACAGCACGCCTTCATGGGGTCCTGGTTTTGACTGTGTATGAAACACATGTCTGTCACCTTTTTAATCTTCCTGTCACATGTTTCCCATGTGAGTGAGTAATTTCCCCTCAAACTTCTCACAAAGTTTCCCCTCAGGAACTTTTTTTAGTCAGCAGTGAAAGAATGAACCAGGTGAGATGTTAATGATGTAGACAGTTTAGCTTTCAAACCATGAGTGCAGCAGTATCCCAGTTTGGACCTAAAAAAATGCTCTGTAAACATGAAACACTGTAAAGTTATAGACAACTGAATAATATTGTGCTGTAACAGGCTTTAACAGCAGAGTGTCCTCAAAAGTTCTTGAGTTTGTTGAAAACAGACTCAGATTCTCTGTTTTATTTGTTGCCAGCAACAAGTTTTTAAAAATTGGCACAGAGTTTTGTTTACTGTAGATGTTAAAAATGCAGAGACCTGGTTCTGCAATCCATCCATGTCTGAAGTTTTGAACTGCTTAACATTTCAGGGTCTCCAAATGTTTTCATGGACCGCATCAGTCCAGTTTCTGAGCAGGACTCTTCTCCTGCAGATCCATGCTGTTGTAATCCCTGTTGTCAGAATGTGGTTTGGGATCATATGAAGGTCTTCCCTTAAAAAAACTCATAGTCTGGATGGACGCAGATGTTGCTCCTAAACCTGGAGATACTGTTTAAAACTCAGGATGCAGCATCTATGATTTCTAGTTCTTCATTGAAAGGACAACTGAAATTACTTGAGACGTTTCGTCTGAGGCGAAATGTCTCAAGTAAGGCCAGTTGTCCTTTCCAAAAGAATGAGAGAATTTGATCCATCAGACCACAAGAAAGTTTTCCTCGTCCCCTCAGTCCACATTAAATGGACTCAGGTCCAGAGAAGTCTCTGGCATACCTGCCAAAACTCCTGTTTTTCCCAGGACTCACCTGTATTTTGATGGTCCACGTTCATTAATGAATCGGATCTGATCTCTCTATATATATATGTCCAAAGTTTCCAGATTTCCAGACAACCAAAGATTGTCCTGTGTTTCTGCTGAGCCTCACAGACACTGGATTGATACTTTTACTTTACAATTTGGGATGATTCAAGCTGTAAACTATATTTAAACAGTGTTTGTTGAAAAGTGAACACTTCAATGAAAGGGAAACAAACGTGAGATATAATATTTACGTTGATAGTCTCGGAGTAATGCTTTCAAGGCAGCCTCAGATAAAAAAGTGCGGTATTGCACGCACAGATGTTCAGAGAGCCTCATACAGGAGAGCATGTTAAACATATGACGACTTTAACACTAATACTAGTGGACTAAATAAGCTCAAGGCATATCGTAGCTGTTATTTTTTTATTACCATTTGTTATTGTTAAAACAAAAAAGTGTGCAGCCTCACTTACACTTATTTGGATGAGCAATCTAATTACAAATACTCTCATAATTAGCTCATATCCACCATACAAGGTAACCTCAAAACTGCCACGCTGCAAAAATCTCCCGGATTTTATAACTCAAATGTTGGTAGGTATGGTCTCCAGTGTTTCTGGTTGTATCTGGTCTCCTCTTTCCTCGTTCAGTTTGAACCTCTTTAGTAGATGCAGTGACGAACTGTGTTCACAGTCTGTGGTTTTTAAAGTGATTCTGAGTCCATGCAGTGACTCCCACTCCAGAGTACTGTCTGTTTTTCATGTTCTGTAGACCAGGACAGTCTTGGTTTCACTGTTAGTATTTTATCTAAAGTCACATGATTCTTCAGTTTGGCTGAGTAACTTGAACTCGTGTTTTTTGCGCCCACCTGTGTACCGACATGTTTGAACCTCACGTGTTGAAACTGAACACATCCTCCTCTGTCATGCTTCTCTTTTGTCATCTCCTCTTTCTCCTTCTCTTCCTCTATTCTCGTCCCCCTTCTCTCGCTTCCTCATCCCGTGAAGTTCACAGTCACGCCGCTGTGCTGCCCGAGCAGGAGCAGCATTTTGACGGGTCAGTACCCCCACAACCACGAGGTGAGGAACAACTCCTTGTCTGGGAACTGCTCCAGCTCTCTGTGGCAGAAAGGACCAGAGTCCGAGGCCTTCCCCATCTACCTCAACAAACAGAAATACCAGACCTTCTTCGCTGGGAAATATCTCAACCAGGTTTGGACACTTTTCGAAACTTGACCAGAAGAGAAAGGAGGCTTTTTAGTAGGTGAAGTCAGGGGATCAACTAACTGAGAGTAAAGTAGTTATTTTAAAAGATTAAAGGCGTGAAAATGAGGTTGTTAATTTAGTTAACGATTGATTACATAATGCTTATTTTGAAGGAGGATAGACTTATGCTGCGTTCCAGTTATCTTGGAAGTCAGAAGTCCGAGAAGTCTGACGTCACAACCAGGTTACCAGTGTTTCAGTTACCAAGTCAGAAAAAAGCTAAATCGGAGGCAGAAACAAGATGGCTACATCTACGAAAGTTACTTTAGCACTTGCCTTGTCTGAATATAAGGCACTGCAACTCACTGCAATGACAGTGTATGAAGAGATGGATGGATAATGGACCAGTAAGTAATCTAATGTGATGGCACCGTCCCCTCGGATAAATTTGACGATAAAATTATAAACAGGCGCTGATTTGTGTAACTTAAAGTCATGGTTGACGGTCTGAGAAGCAGTTGAAAAAACTGAGCTGTTGAGGCAGATTTAAAAAAAGCATCCCACCCCCTCACACACACACACACAAACCCGTATCGCCCTCCCCACGACACACCTCTTCTGGCAGAGCAAGAAGCCGGTCAGCAGAAGATCCTACGCTAGCTTTAAATAGGATTCACTATATCGTAATGTTAGTGACTAGCGGCAGCTCCGCTAGTGAGCAGCGTCTGCAGCTGCCTGGACAGCTACCGCGTTGACATTGCAGAGACTAATAAGAGTTATTTATGTAACATGTGCCATGATAGAAGCCGATAAAAATGACCTGTTCAACAAAAACTCTGCTGTCTTGGCGTCTGTTTTCAGGCCCAAATCCTGGCGGAGCTTTCTCCACCGCTCCAAGGATGACCCGATGTTTATTCCAGTCAGATTCCTCGCTTGGTCACATTTCCTCTTCGACTCCGCCCTTTCTTCTGTCGGCTTGCGTTTTCTTCCCACTTTTGGCGGTGGGGCAAGCAGAAGTGTTTATTTTTGCGTCCTTCTCCTTAACAGCTCCTGTAGCTAAGCTGCTACGCTACTTTTAGCTCAGAGCTCTGAGGAGGGCCGGGAAAGTGGGAGGGGACGAGTCGGAACTACGAGAGAGGGGTGTGTCGAATACAGCAAGGTGATTGGATGGAGAGGCAGAGCAGGAGATTGACCAATAGGAGCTGTGGATGGCTCCTATTGGTCAATGTTTTTGCAGCCCTGCACCTGCTAGGGTGAACAGAATTTTTCTGTTCTTTTTTTCTCTTCACTTTGTTGAGATCGCACTATAGGACCATGATCGCCATAGAAACGAGGTTCATAATAATTACCAATCTCTCAAATTGTCAACCATGCCTTGAAGAGATTAAAAGCTGTTTTGAAGGGGGATAGACTTAAACACCACAATCCACCGGACCAGTTTTGTAGTGAAACCCATCGCAGACCATCTCTGTGCAGTTTGCTCCAGTTTTAGTTCATTCTGACTGAGATTACTTCTGTCAGCATCTTCACTCTGCTGCTCAGAGCTGCTCTTTGCACTCTTATCCTGACTGTGCTTATTTGATCTACTGACAGTATATGAAGAGGTGGATGGATAATGGACCAATACGTAATCTAATGTCCGTGTAGATTCTCATTCATCAAGGTCATGGTTATCTTGAAGATTTAAAAACAGGCAACTGGACTGTGTAGAGTTGAGACTCTACACAGTCCAGTTGCCTGTTTTTAAATCTTCAAGATACGTAATCTAATGTGTGTGATGGCACCGTCACCTTGGATAAATTTGATGATGAAATAATAAACAGGCACTGATTTGTGACTCCACCTGTGGCTTAAACCAGATTGCTGCTACAGCAGTCTACGGTAGCCCTCTAGTGACACAATTTTCTCCAAATGAAGACTTAATGGATCATTTTACAGTAGAGGAATCATGCATCCTAAAAGTGGGCTGTCCTGTATGTACCTGCTGAGCCTGTTAGCTGAGTCATTATCAGCATGTTTGCGTGTTTGTGTAGGGATGTACATGCTGAGGTACGTCTGCAGACTCTTAGCTGACTCTCTTTCTGTCCTCAGTATGGTAAGAAAGACGGAGGGGACGTCTCCCATGTTCCACCTGGCTGGGACCAGTGGCATGCACTGGTGAGTCTCACACACACACACACACACACACACACACACACACACACACACACACACACACACACACACACACACACACACACACACACACACGTATGTGTAGAGTCTATAAATAAAGGCACTTCTGCTTTCACAGAGCTTCACTTTGTGGTTTCAGGTGGGGAACTCGCAGTACTACAACTACACTCTGTCAGTGAACGGTAAAGAGGAGAAGCACGGGGACAGCTATGAGAAGGACTACTTCACAGACCTCATAGTAAGCAGTCCTCTCACCGTACAGACCTGAGTGCACAGGTCTCTGCTCACACACAGTCTGGGATCAGGTCTCAGGAGGGTTTAAAGGCTCATTTATGTGAGGGTTTATGAGGAACAGTCCAGACTGTTTGGATGATCGAGGGTTTACTGTGGACTGAGTCTTCTTTGTGGTCCAGTCAGCAGTGTGAGGGTTAATCATCAACACTGTCACATACATGAGGAATACTCAGGACATTTGGTCTGCTGTTTTAAATGTACAGGGTCCTCTGTTTTATGTTATATGAAGTCATGCTGCTCCTTTACGTCGTCCTCATCAGGTGACCGTCGAGTCTTTCTGCTTACCCAGCTGTCTCTGTGCTCAGGACACTTTATGAGAAGTGAACTTTCTCTCCTCTCTCCTCTCCGCTCATGATGTTTGAACATAAATCAGCAGAAAATAGACTCCTTTAGTTTGGTGTTACAGTTTAAATAGTTATTTTCTATAATATACCAATTTATCAATGTAATGCTCACAGTTTTAGTTTAATTTTGTGGCTATAAACCGGTTACCATAAGTTGACCTGATTTAGTTTTACAAGTCTTTATTTAAATCTCCTGTGTGAGGTTATTAGCTGATAATAAAACAGACTACAGTTAAAAGTGAGGCCTCTTTATGGCCTACAGCAGGGCTCCCAGACCGCCAAACTGGGCCACAAAAACACAGTTGGATGTAATTCCCACATACAGTCCTGCTCACCATTATTGGCAGCCATGAAGTTTAAGTACATAATGTGAAAAAAATTTATCAATTGAAACCTGTTTTTCTGTAGAGAACTCGTGTTTGATATAAAAGACCAAATGATAAACAACAATTTAAATCAATAAACAATGGGAAGAAAAAATAGAAAAACTTAAAGCGTGCTGTGTCACTACGATTGGCACCCTCTCCTGTAAACTAGTATGGGAACACATTGTGACTCACCTTTGGTAAATCACAAATGAGAATCACCTGTGATTAATTGTCTGTGCCCATGTGACATGAACTAACTAACGAATGAAGACTTCTGTGTTTTAAAAAGCCACCTGTTATCCCCTGTTCCTTTGCCACAATGGTGAAGAGAAAGGAGCAGTCTGAGGACATCAGAAGTATAATAATTCGCAAACACAAGACCTCCAAAGGGTATAAGGCCATCTCCAAAGACCTTGGTATCCCTGTTTCAACAGTGTGTAATGTGATTAAGAAGTATCACAAGCATGGAACTGTCAAGAGCCTCCCTGGACATGGCCGGAAGAGAAAAATTGATGACTGAAGTCTTTGAAGGTTGGTGTGAATGGTGGAAAAAACACCACGTCAAACATCCAAAGACTTGAAGGCCAACCTTGAACAGTCTGGGGTCATGGTTTCAACAAGTACCATACGCCGCACACTCAACCAAACAGGGCTTTATGGGCGAAGGCCAAGGAAGACACCATTCCTGAGGCAAAGACATAAAAAGAAACGACTAATCTTTGCCAAGGAGTACCTGGGCAAACCACAATCCTTCTGGGAAAACGTTCTGTGAACAGATGAAACAAAAATAGAGCTTTTTGGCAATGCACACCAACAGTTTGTTTACAGACGGCGCAATGAAGCCTACAAGGAAAACAACACCCTCCCAACAGTTAAGCATGGTAGAGGATCCATAATGCTGTGGGGCTGCTTTGCTGCATTTGGTACTGGAGGCCTTGATTGTATCACAGGAATCATGAAATCAGAGAATTATCAAGAGATTCTAGAGCGATATGTCCTACTACTACTTAGAAAACTTGGTTTGAGTCGAAGATCATGGGTCCTCCAGCAAGACAAAGACCCAAAACACACATCAAAAAGCACACAGGAATGGTTGAAAAGGAAAAATTTGACAGTTTTAAAATGGCCAGCAATGAGTCCTGATCTCAATCCCATTAAAAATCTTTGGTATGAGCTGAAATCTGCCATTGTAAGTTCAAGAATCAGAACTGAAACGACCTCCTTTAAAAAGTTGGAGAGCGCTGGTTTGACTCGGTGTTGGAGCATTAGTCATGTCAATAAAAGGTGTTTGGTTGTCTTTAACCAGATGTTCGAACATACCCTGGGGTGATAATTACTCACAGAACAACAGGGTCCATTTTCTCAGAGTATTTCCATCTGATTCTGATCCCTGCTAACAAAGACGCTGTTGTTTTCTCTCAGTTTTATTCCTTCAAATCTGAAATGCTAAAACAGTTTTGTATTAAGTGTCTCTTGATTTCCTCCATCCAGACGAACCGCTCCCTCCACTTCCTGGATGACAGGAGTCCTCAGCATCCGTTCTTCCTCATGTTGTCTCCTCCGGCGCCTCACTCCCCGTGGACCGCGGCGCCGCAGTACCAGAAAGAGTTCAATACGGTTAAAGCGCCTCGAGACGGGAGCTTTGACAAACCAGGGAAGGTGTGACTGAAATCATGTTCACGTCATTTAAACTGAGGAACTTTTTCTTAAAAGTCCTTCAGTTATAATCAAACACATGTTTTTTTTTTGTTTGTTTTAGGATAAACACTGGCTGCTGCGTCAGCCTGTCAACCCCATGCCGAACAGCTCCCTCAACTTCCTGGATGATGCCTTCAGGAAAAGGTTTGACCGCCAAGCCGTTTCCTCTGAGGTTTTGTAACCTGATATCAGATCTGGAGTGGTGAGGGGGTTCTTGCTCTACATTTAGAGTTTTCTAATTCATCTCAGAGTGTTTTGATCAGAGAGAGAGGTCTGCTACAATGGACAAAGTGTAAAAAAACTAAATTTAAAAGAAGATTCCTGCATCAAAAAAACTTTCTCTGGTTTCTGTTTGAGTGTCCGAGGCTTTGGAAACAGAAATGACGTACACTACAGGCTAAAAGTTTGGACGCAAGACCAAAACAGGCTAAACATTTGGAAACTACTTCAAGTTTCTGTTCACAATGCCTTTCATAAAAAAAGGATAAGTTAAATGTATTTTGGGGTGTATTTATTGCATGACTAGACTTTGCTTTCATTGATATGCACCATTTTCCCTCAATTTACCTTTAGGTATACATTGATGTTACCAGACCATTGCTGAATAAATGTCAACAAAAGAAAGGGAGGGCTTAGTTTTAGGTACAAGAAGATTAGCAAGAGTCACAAATTCAGTGTAAAAGTAAAAAAACAAAAAACAAATCACTTTGCATTATTCGCTTTTACTTACTGGCTTTTGAGTGTCTGCATACAAAAATCCCAATAAATCTCACCCGTGTTCAAAACTCTGACAAACTGTCACAGAAATGGCTAGAAAGAAGCAACTGAGTAAAGAAACAAAAGTACAGATTTGTACATTGAGGAAAGAAGGATACACAGAAAGAGAAACTACAAAACACCTAAAGGTGTTTAACAAAGGAGTCCACTACACTCTGAAGAGACTAGAGGAACCTGGAAGTTATGATAGGAAAAGGCCTGGTAGAAAGAGGGTCACTACAAAAGCAGAGGATAAACATATCATTGTCACCAGTAAGAGAGATCGGCGAAAAACAAATAAGGGAGGAAATCAACATGACAAGGTCGAAACCCATATCTCTGACAACCGTGAAAAGACATTTGAGAAAGGCTGGTCTGAAGGGTTGTGAATCTGCAAAAAAAACCACTTCTTCGTCCACAGAACAAGAAAAAAAGATACGAGTGGGCAAAAGCTCACAAAAATTTGACCTATGATGACTGGAAACAAGTCCTCTGGATGGACGAAAGCAAGTTTGAACTATTTGGTTCCAAATGCAGAGTCTATGTCAGCAGACAAACTGATGAACATCTGAAAGCACCATGTGTTACACCCACAATAAAGCAAGGAGGTGGTAGTTCCATGGTATGGGGATGTTTTGCAGGTGATTGAGTAGAGGATTTGTTTGAAGTAAAGGGTATCATGAAGAAGGAACAGTACCACTCCATCCTCCAGCACCATGCTGCTCCGTCTGGACTAAGACTTATAGGTCCAAAGTTTGTTTTTTTTCAACAAGACAATGACCCTAAGCACTCTGCCAAGCTCTCTCAGGGTTACCTAGACAAAAAAAGAAGAGGAAGGTGTTCTTCAAAAGATGGTTTGGCCCCCTCAGTCTCCAGACCTTTCTCCAACTGAGCTTGTGTTGGATGAATTGGATCGATCAATCAGAAAAGGGCGTCCCACGAATCAGCAGTCTCTTTTTAATGAACTTAAGAAAGCTTGGAATGCAATCCCTGGAACATACCTTAAAAAACTTGTGGAACGAATGCCTTGTATATGCCAAGCTGTTGTTAAAGCCAGAGGAGGTAACTTTAAAGAAAGCAAAGTCTAAGCAACAATAACTCAAATACCTGATAATTTTAGTAAAAATGTCCTCTGATAAGTTTTTCTTTAGATAATTACCTTTTTTTTTTTTTTGATGCAAAGTATTATGATTTTTTTTTTGTACAAATTTGATCTTGCGTCCAAACTTTTGGCCTGTAGTGTAGCTTTCTTCATGATCACCAAACATGGGAGCTGCTGGTCTTTTTATTTTTTTTTGCCTCGTTAGGATTCAATACAAAACTTGGGTGGCTTCAATAATTTAGAAATAAAAGAAAACTGGGCAGGAGTAGATCAGCAACTCCCATATTTAGATAGCTGTAAATAACTGGCTTTGTTAACTGGTTGGGTTTTTGTCCTGCACTGTGCACCACTAAATGGCAAATCTAATCTGGAATAATCATTAAAAGTATCACAGAAGAAAACAAACTGACCAGCTGTTGTAGACCAGCAACTCCTGTACTCTGCAAGGTGTTTGATCCATGGTGTCTGTTTAGTTTTTTCTTGTTAGTGTGAGCTACAAAATCAGTAAATTCAATTCCGAAATTTTAAAACATTAAAAAGACACAAAAAAATACTAACTGTGGCAGACCAGCAACTCCTGTACTCTGCAAGGTGAAGGAACTTTTTTATTTGGTTGAGTTTAGACAAAAAAAATTCTTTGGCGTGTGCCACAAAAAATAAAACTTGGTTTGAAATAACTAATTAAAAAGTCAAATCAAAATAACTTACAATTGTGGCAGACTAGCAACTCCTGTGCTCTGCAAGGTTAAGCCTTGGTATTTGATTTATGGTGTCTGTTTGTTTGTTTTTTTTCTGTTAGTGTGAGCTACAAAATTAGTAAATTCAATCTGAAATTAAAAAACAATGAAAAAGCCACAGAAAAAATCAAAACACAAAAAACAAACAAGATGAAACACATCACACCACAAAAAGCACAAACTGTGGCAGACCAGCAACTCCTATATCCTACTAGGAGTAGGAGCTTTTTTTCAAGTTGAGTTGAGACAAAAAAATTCTGTAGTGAGTGATACAAAAAATAAAACTTGGTCTGAAGAAAATATTAAAAACTCATAAAAATAAATAAAAACTGTGTAATTGTGGCAGACTAGCAACTCTTGTGCTCTGTAAGGGGAAGCTTTTGAATTTGCAGTCAGGTCTGGTTAACTTTCGGAAGTATTTAGTCAGTAAAAATAAATTTAATTTAAAAATTTTTTTTAAAAAGTCACTTAAAAACTTGTGAACTTTCTGTTTTTGGCACACCAGCAACTCCTGTGTTCTGTGGGGTCAAATTTCAGTCTCTGTTGATGGTTTCTGGTTTATGTTTGTTGGTTGTGTGTGCCACAAATACACAAATATGACCTTTGATTACGGGTAACAAAAACTCACATTAGCTAATAATCATGGTAGACCAGCAACTCCTGAGTTTTTAAAGACATATCGCAGCTCTTATGAGTGGAGTTTTTTTGCTTTGAAGAAAGTGATTAAAGGACATAACCCCTGACTTGAATCTTTATTTCAAGGATAATGTCTCCAACAGGTGGCAGACCCTGCTCTCTGTGGACGACATGGTGGAGACGCTGTTGAAGAAACTCGAGAGTATAAAGGAGCTGAACAACACCTACATCTTCTACACCTCAGATAACGGATACCACACAGGTCTGAGCGCGCTCCGTAAACACACCTGAACATCACTCCTTCTGTCACCTGATCATGACCCTCTTCTCTGTTCTGGTCCAGGTCAGTTTTCTCTGCCCATCGATAAAAGGCAGCTGTACGAGTTTGATATCAGGGTCCCGCTCATGGTCCGAGGTCCAGGCATCAAACCAAACCAGACACTGAAGGTCCCGAGCGTCCTCCAACTTTTTTACATTCACCTTGATGTTTTTAAAACAGGAGCTTCAAATTAAGAGCTTCACTTTGTCTGTCTTTGTGTTTCCTTCAGGCTCCAGTCTTAAACATCGACCTTGCTCCCACCATTCTGGACATCTCAGGGGTCAACCTGTCTGTCGTGAACATGGACGGCCAGTCCTTCCTCCCCCAGATGGTCAGCTGTAACTTTAATGGGTTTTCCTTAACTTTTTTCTCCTTCAGTTTTTGAATCTGACTTTGTTTTTTTTCTAGGCTCCCTCTCTGCGTAACGGCACTGCTCGTCCTTTTTTCCTGGTTGAATACACCGGAGAGGGACATCCAGAACCAGATCCCTCCTGTCCCAAACTTGGTCCTGGTCTGTCTGTGAGTATCTGTAACCAGCAGCATAACTCTACAATACTTCTATGAAATATGAACTCTTTGCTCAGTGTTTGACTCATTTAACAAATACAAAAATTTAAAATAATCTGAACAAACTCGAGTTTCTCTGCAGAAAAGTGCATCTTCATATTTTTCACAAACCTTCACTCACAGTCCTCAATGATCTGCTCAGTTTTTGCAGGTCTGAGGTCAAGAGTATATATCATATTCTTGTGGGGATAGAAATGAAGGTTTGATCTAAATATGACGAGACCCTAAAAAACTCATTTAAAAAAATTTTTATGAGCGGAGAAATGCATTCCTTAATCTTTTACAGCGTGCACACACTTGCATGCACTCATATTATCCTCTGAAGTCAGCAGGGTGTGTCACCTGCAACCTTGTAAAAGTTACAACATACAAACAAAATGTTAAAAGGGTTACCAGAGGTCGAAAGCTGACGAAATTTACAGGAGAGCTGCAGGCAAATAAACATGTCATAATAAAAGTCACAATTTGGATCATGTCAAATAAGAAAATATGTGTATTACCTGATTATATCACCTGACAAAAATCAAACAGCTCAAAGTAAAAGGATAAAAGTATGACAACTCCAATATCAAACTTAACTTTTTACTGTCCAAATAAATAGATTGGCCTCACTTTTAACTTGGCGATAACTCAACATTAATTTTCTCGCAGCAATGTTTCCCAGACTGTGTGTGTGAAGACGCCTACAACAACACCTACGCCTGCGTCAGGACCCTGGACACCAACTACAACCTGCAGTACTGCGAGTTTGCAGACAGTGAGGTACAAACTGAGTTTTCTGGTCTTCCCCAGAGTCATTAATTTAAAATGTAATACCTAAACATATACAAGTTTTAAAGGTAGAACTCTTTTTTTTTTTTTTAGAGAAAGTTTTCTGTTCATCTACTTACTGCAAACTTCTGTAAGGGCCTGTGTCCACTAACAGCATTTTGATGCTTGCAGCTGCCATCCTCTGCATTTCAGTGTTTTCAGCCCTAATGCCCTCAGTGTCCGTACTGTCAGTTAGAAGTAACTCCACCATGCTCATCATCAGTTGCGTTTACATGGGCACAAATAATCGGAATAAACGTCCGATTGGAATAAAACTGCGTCATGTAAACATGTTGATCGGAAGATTCTGACCCAATTCAGCTCAATCCGAAAGAAATTGTATTCCGATCGAGAAGGGTGGTTTATGCCGATCATTATTCCAAACTTTGTCCATGCAAACATTCCGATCGTGACTCTGTTACCTGACTCGGTCTTCACTCTTTACCCTTTGGTTTATTTATCAGGGCCAGTACAGGAGGTTTCATTATCAACATTTTGGCAGGTCCCGTGTCTGCTCCTCCGATAACATAACAAGGCGTACATACAGCGTAATGATGTCACATCTGCACTCACAGTGCAACCTTTGACAGACCGGTAAAATAAGCACACAAGGGCGCCATCTAGTGACAACATTTAACAAAGAGGAAAAAATCCTGAATAGAATGAAGTGAGCTACTACCGCGTTTGTTGGTTCCTTGACAGCACAGGCGGAAATACAACTCCTTCTCTGCGGTTGTTTTAGTAAAGTCAGACAACTCTGCACATGTCCAAAGGCTTCTAATCTGAATTAAACTTGGTGCATGTATATACACGTCATGATCAGATTATTTGATTTTGCGCCCATATAAACAATTGTTAGGTCTAAAACCTGCCCAAATACCTGAAAACATATAATGAAGAGAAAGACAATGGTATATACTCGAGGAGAATGGACAGAGATCTTTTTTAGTTATCTCAATACCACTCTGGAAGTTCTTTTTTCTGTCCAGCCTCTTTTATTTAGGGTTGTCCCTGGTTACACAATGTTTCTAAAGGGTGGGGGAAAATATGTGCAGCAAAGTAAGCATTTCAAAGAACATAATAATGAACAATTTGTGAATATGTGAAGGTCAAGGTGGCATCTAACGAGCTCCTTCTGATAAGCGTGTATCCTCTCCAAAAACTTCCCACGATTCATCAGCGGAGGATACGTCACCCCCACACCCACACCTGCTGATAGGAAAAACACGGTCACAGAAAACTGAAAGAAACATTGTTGTGCTGTGTAGAAAAGCTAATGGAGAGAGAAGTTAGAAAACACTCTTATGTGATAAAAATACTCTTATATAATGTATAAAAAGAGGTCAAAGCGGTTTATACTTGTAGTATAAACTCTTACATAAGAATATGAGGAATAATGATAACTTCTATATACATTTATGCACATTATTCTAACAACAATGGATTCCAATTATCCGTATCCCTCAAATTTTTAATCAGATCAAGAAATTTTGCTAATATAAAACATGGCTAATGTCACTCTTCCCGAACTGACCAATCAGAATCAAGAGGGCACAAAACTAAGACTTCCAGTTCAAAAGCGAGGACACGATTTCTTTCCATTGTTTTATATTTTAAATTTATTTCAGATGCATATGAAGCAAAAATAGTGCTGGCAAAAAGTGATCGCCCAACAGTTCAAGCATCCTCATGTGTTGTGGTTCCTGACTGGAGTCCAGGCTTTTCGCTGCATGTCTTCTGTAACTCTCTCCACCCCATAATTTCTCTCTCTCTCTTAAGCTGTCCTGTCCATTAAAAGTAAAAATGACCACAAGTTCACCAGGCTATGGAGGAAATGGGTAACCCATCTTGAATAAGTGTCATTTTATCACACCAGGAGGCAGTTAATGACAACTAATAATGTGCTCTATTTCTTTTTTTTTTCTTAATTTTCTTTTATGCTTGAGTACAGTGCCCCCTACTGTCCTATTTGATATGCTCTCTAGGTGTTGTTGGGCACTAGGGCGAGGATGTTTCTGTCCTGTTATGATATGATGGACAAACTATGGACAAATGGAATAAAAATGAATGAAATATCTCTAAACCCTGGACCTACCTCTTAAAATGTACGCACTGTTACTATGATTCTTCTCTCCCTATGTAAAAATATATATTTGTATGTATATTTTTCTATCTGTGCCTTTCCTTTCCTGTTCTTTCCTTTATTTCATTTTTTACAAGTATTTTGAAAAACTGAATGTATTCATAAAAATAAAGTTAAAAAAAAGAAAAAATGACCAAAAATATAACTTAAAGGAAAAAAACTCAGAAATGCGGATGTGAAAATAGCCTAAGCAAAAATGGTTAAAATGGATACAGGCCCTTAATCTCACTTTTCATCTTCATCCAAAACTATACAAACATTTTACAAACCATAAAGATATTAAATATTTAACAGTAACTGAGGCTTATTGAGTGTTTTTGTGTCCTTAGTCTTTTGTGGAGGTGTATAACCTGACGTCAGACCCCCACCAGCTGGAGAACATTGTGAAGAAGGTGGACCCCACCGTCTTGCAGGCCATGAACCAGCGGCTCATCAAACTGCAGTCCTGTGAGGGCGACAGCTGCCGAAACATCAAGTAAAACAAAAGCAGACGAGTTTATCCTCTCAGTGACAGGAAGGGTTTGATGATCTGTTTTCTTTAATTAACTGTCTCGTTCAGACCGCTCTCACGGGGAAAGGTACAGGCTAGGTTAAAACGGCTGACCTCTGTTAAGCTGCTTCAGTTTCAGGGTCCTGGCTTTGTGCATGCTGGCTCACTGTCACAACATCATGACTGACTGGGACACTTGAACAGAAAACAGCCGTCAGTCAAAGAAGAGGTTGGAATAAGTTTGGATGAGAGGATTGATACCACTGTCGTATCTGTTTACTTCTTTATCTACAGTTTCCTCTGTTTAATATCCAGAAAAAAGCTGCTAACATCACAGCAAGTTCACATGTGTTAAAAAACTTCATGAAGGAACTTTTTTACTTTTTTATTTTGGGCCTAAAATAAGGAGATTGTCACTGTTAAATTAGCTTAAATGAGCACTAGTACTCTATCTGCTGTGTGAACTTCTGCTGCTGTTTCCCCTGTTTGGTCTTTCTTTAGTTTTACAATTTGGGTAGTGTAAATATTTACCATCATGAAGGTACAGAGAAGAGTCATTTCACTTCAATTAGCATAATGACTGTTTATTTAATCTGCACAAGAGCTTCATATGACAGACATGAGAGTGGTATCAATGTCATCTCAGCTAACATCCATTAGAAAGTTTACAGTTTTGTTTTACAGGGTATTTCCAAAGAGCTTCATCCTCCTCTTCTCTCCTCTCCGGGAGCACCTGTACTTCTCCTACTGAGACGAGTCGAAATGTCTACTGTGAAGAAATGTTTTCTCTGAGCTGTGCTCAAAAATCTCCCTCAAGAAGAAGTTTTCTGCTAAACAACTTTCTGTTTTTACTGCAAACGCCTGTAAGGGCCTGTGTCCACTAACAGCCATCCTCTGCTTTTCAGTGCTAATGCCCTTCCTGTCAGATATGTTTGTTGCTGCACCTTCAGCTGACACTAGGTATAGTTTGAAAAGTTTTTGTTAATGTCACTTTTCCCCAACTGACCAATCAAAAGAGAGAAGGGACAGGGCTGTCATTTTCATTTAAAAGGGACAGGACTTTTTTTCCTTTTTTAATTTTTTACATTTTCACTGCATGATGACTTTGAATGAATATGAAAAAAAAAACAGTGCAGGTGAAAAGTGCCTTAGGGTGTGAACGCAGCCTAAGCAAAACATGTCTTGAATGGACACAGGCCCTTAACGTCACTTTTCATCTTTTCATTATTCTGAGTTCCAAACATTCAAACATTTTACGGGCCATTGAAAGACTAAATGTTATTTTGTTTTATGAACCCAAAGGATTTCTGGTACCCTGTAGCTGTACTTCATGCAGTCATCTGTAAAGAAAGAGTCTAAAATGCACTTTGTGGTGAGAGTATTGCTGTAGCCGAGCTTAGCATGCGGACTGAAGACAGAGGGAAACAGCTAAGCTAGTGCTGGCAGCGAAATCCACCAATCAGAAGCTCACTAAATAATAAATGATGTCTTGTTTTGGGTTAGTGTTGCTGTAATGATAAGAAGTTTGGGACCATTTCTTTACTTTCCTCAGCTGCTTGGCATAAAATCAGATTTTTTTTGTTAATGTGTAAATGAATCAGTTTCTTTTGATAAATCCAGACTGATTTCACACCGATTACAGTCTTTACTCTGAGCCAGAATAAGTGACTCGTCTTCTGTCCTCTCACCCGACGCTCAACAAGGTGAGACTGTTTCTTTGAGATGACCCTGCAGACTAAAACTGTTCGTACTCTCCGCAGCACTTCCCTAATCAGCTGAGATGAAAAATCGTTTGAATGTTTTCTCTCCGACTTTGTGCCACGGTTTTAATCCTGATGGGGTTTGTTTGAATATTTGACAGAGTATTAATGATATTTGTTTGAAGGCTTTTTTCAGTGGAAGCTGGAAAAAAAATGTGCTAAAACTGCTGAGACATATGTTTTTACTCGACTGTCGGGGATCCAGTAAGGGAAACTTCACCTGAAAATGAACGCTTTAATCCTGTGTGCCTTGTTTTTGCACTGACCAGGCTCATGGGCCTTTTTTTTAAATGTGAATGTATTTTGCACTGTGATGAAAGTGATAAAAATAAATCAAAAGAAGCATTTTAATCTCCTTGTTTAGTTTGAATTTATCACACAAACTTACGTTGACTCAAACTCATAATATCACAATTGTGGAATGAAAAACATGATTTCATTCCTCATAACTTTGAAGACTGAAAAGACTGAAAGAAAGTCACATTTTTACACAGAATCATTTCTATATCATCAGAATAAACATGTCGGCAGCTTACACTTCCATCACAGATATTTGTACACAACTTTATCCACCAAGGTCTGGATCTCTAACTTTACGGGACATTTGTAGAAGTGTGACAGCAACGACTCTGAATATCCGATTAGGAAATAAAACTTCTGTGGTGGGAGTTTCTGTAACATGAAAGCACACACTATGAGGACGTTCCCGCGTCTTTTGATGACAATCTCATTGGCCAGGCAGCCGTGGAAGGTCCCAAACATGAAACGCCTCAAGAAGGTGTCCTCGACAGCGCGATCAGCTGCCCCGTCTTCTCCTCTAAGATGACCTGAAACAGACAGGCAGGTAAAATATAAAATCTATGTGACCAGATCCATCCAATTATCCTAGAGTTAATACAGAAAAACACATGTTCATCATCTAAATGTCATTTTTTACAGATGGAGTTTGATGGATTTGCTGAGTGACACAGCAGCTGCTTCTGGTTAAAAAAAAAATCTCACTATGTCAAGATTTGAAACCAGCAGAGACCTCGTACCTGTGGAAATCCTGGGTTATACAGGTGAAAAGTGCACACAAAAGCTGTGGAGTCCTTTATGCTGATACTTACTGGTATGTTGTGACAGCCATCCTTTGCGGTGGCCGATGTGATGAGGTGGGAGAGCTTGCTCATACGTGTAAGGTTTGTCCCCTTTTCCTACTCGAGCACGAGCCGCATGATTCTGGAAAACAAAGATAGACGTGGAGAAAACAAAGTATGGGTAAAAACCAGTGAAATCTCTGTTGGTGTTCAAAGAGGACCTCGAATGAAGCTTGCTAATCACTGAAGGTAGAAGGCAAAGTTTACCTTGCAGCACACTGCAGTCACATGGAGCGATCTGATTCCTGAGGAGCTGCACAAAGATCCAGACCTGGTTAATTTACTCTGCAGGGAAACAAAAACAAACGTGTAAAATGACAGACATCAGATTTCTGCATCTGAGCGAAGAGGCCTAGAATCCACAATGCTTTAAAGGGATATTCCGGCGTAAAATTAGTTTAGGGTCAAACACACCGTAACGCTGAGTTAGACACCCCCTCCAGAGATGAATGCTGCTGACCGCTTGCTTCTCTAGTTATACCAACTTTAGTAACGACCGCAGGATAGTAATACACAGCGGTCTGAGGAGCCATAAACAAACCTCAACCAAAACGCCACTCTATAGCCACAAATTATGCTCAGAACAGCACCTAACTTCATCCACAGTTCATATAGGGTCCCAGCCAGAGTACTAGCCACCATACATCTTTCTAACTTTGCCTAATTTCTTAAGCTAAGAGACTAAACACAACTCACCCACTCTCTTGCAGCAGCCACTTGTTTGTAGCGAGACCTCAGGCCAGTCCATTACGGACTGCAGTGGGGTGACGCAGCTCAAGGAATAACATTAATGATCATTTCTTTATCATTTTCTTGAAGTTATAATCATCATATTAATCATTTTGCACTGCAGACACGGTAGTTCTTCTTCCTCAGCGTCTCGGTCTGATTGCATTGTTGATTATGGCTCCTCAGACCACTGTAGTTGTTACTAAAGTTGGTATAACTAGAGAAGCAAGCGGTCGGCAACCTTAATTCCGAGGCGACGTGTTTGACCCTAACTCAATTTTACGCTGGAATATCCCTTTAACTCCAGAGTTTGGTCTTTGCAGTTTGGGGTGTCATGTCCTCTGCTGATGTTGGTCTACTGTGTTCGATCAAGTCCAGACTCAACACAGCCTCAGGTCTACGGGGGGTGTTTTAGAGACCTTCCTGCTTCTATCTGATGGCAAGCTTCACAAAAACACAGATTTACTTTTCCAGCAGGTCGGAGCACCTACCCACAGCGCCAAAACTACCAATGAATGTTTTTCTTTATTACAAGTTTTTTAGTTGCTAGTGTACCTTCATACCTGACTTTGGCCCTAATACAGAAAGAAACCGTTTCTATGTGAACTCTAGAATAACAAGCACTGACAGAAGACTTTCGAAGAGTTAACTGTAAATAACTGTTCAGTAAATTAAACGAAACAAATAAAGAGAATAAAAAAATGACCAGAGAGGATTATCTAATTATAAAGGTATAAAGACAAGACTGGCGCAGAACTAACATGACCAAAAATGCATAAACCAGTATTTATGAGGTTAAAACATTGGATTTTCCGAGTAAAGAGGGTAAATTCTTATTTTACTTACTAACAGCTTCACGCTTCCTGCGATGCTCAAGGACGCCGCCATGTTTTTTTCTCGAGTCACAAACGGGAGCACACCCGTCTAAAAATAAAATTGTTTTCCTTTTTTTTATCTTCGTAAATTTTCCGCAGTGTTTATAGGATAATTGTGACAGCAAACCGAAATTATAAAAGCGTATTTTCTTCAAAGATAAATGTCGTTCATTAGCAAAACTGCGTATTTATACCGGAACTGTTTATCTTTAGATCGGTAACCGTTTTTGGCGGAGGGCTACTGAATGGGATCAACCGGATGCGGAAAGAATAAAATGACTTAAAGATAACAGAGCTTCGTAAATTCATACATATTATTAATTAAAGTTATAAAACTTAATATAAAAAAAATAGATTTTATATAAGTATTTTTATTGGACTTGTGTCGTTTACTTAGTCAAACAGAGCGCATTCATTGCGAGTTCTGATTTATTTTGAAACAGAAAACCGGAACAGTGAGTATTGTTCTGGAAGGAGGAGCACAGGCGTTAAGAAACCGTTCCTACGGAGTCCCTCTTGTTTATTAACTTGTTTTTTACTGTCAGATCCTCCGTGGTTGTGGTTTCTAAAGTCTCAACTGTTGACATTAAAGGTTCCTGAACACGATTTAAGGTTAAAGTTGAGCATGTCGTCGCCGGTGGAGATGACAGAGATGTATGATACCGCTCTGCTCGGGATCCTGCAGCACGTCGGAAACATTCAGGACTTCTTACAGATCTACTTTGGGTTTTTGTACCGAAAAACTGACTTTTACCGTCTCCTGTCCGGTCCAAACGACCAGATGGGCTTCCCCCCGGGTGTGGCTGAGAAGATGGTGTTAAAGGTGAGGTTTGTGAAGGTGCTGAATGGTTTTAACTGTCATATAAACTCTGTGAACAGGTCAATACTGAAGGAGCTGTTTACAGTCTGTTTCTGTTTATTTCATTTATCATGACAGATTATTAACCCTAGAACACTATCGCTAAAATTAGCGAAATACTTCACCCAAGAAAAAGTACTTGTCATGAAAATAGGACAATACATGACAAATTAAAGTTTTCTTTTCTTTTTAGCTGTGCAATGTCCAAAGGGAAGGGTAAAAGTGTCACGAGGGGAACATAAAAAAATGCAACAAAATAACTGAAATAGAGATATGCCGATCCATTTTTTTCTGATCCGATACCTGGGCCGAGCGTATCGGCCGATATCTGATACCGATCCAATACTACTGTTCAATACATGAACTGTATACTTAGTCCTGTGAGTGAAGGCATCAAGCTTGACATTAGCCTTGCTAAAAAAAAGTAACAAATTAACACAGATTGATATTTACTTAATATTATTTTTTAACAAATAACAAATAGCACATTAGCACACAGCAAAAAGAAGTAAGACTTCCATGTATTAAAAGGAAAAACTAAAGAAAAGAAAAAAAAGACTGGATCGGAATGCTTGATTGGCATCATTTATCAGATATTCGATCCACTTAATTAGTCAATATTGGAGCAGATATCAAATCCAAATATTGGATCTGTGCCTCCCTAAACTGAAAGTAGACATTCATGAACAAAAAATTCTCCAAAAAATACATAGAAACTGTAAAGTTATTTTCTTTTTCACTCATTCCTTGGGCATGCTAGTCTTCCCTGGTGAAGACTCAGGGTCCTTAGCACAATAACAGCTGCAGGGGAGAACCAAAATATGGCAGATTTAGAGTGAGTAAAAATGACCAGCTGACTCAAATATTTCTTATCACCATATGAATCCCCTTTAAAATCACTACTTTATGATAGTTATTCATAACCACTGTGCTAAATAAAGATAGTATGTAAATTCCAGGACGACTCTTACTGACCTGATTGGCCAACATGCAGCTATCAAATCCACCCAAACCTACTTTACCCTCTATCACTATCGCTAGGTGAAAATCACCCTGTGAACACGTGCCCAAGGAAAAAGCAGGTTTTGGATCAGGGAAACAAAGATGTCAAAGGAAATGCTGAAGCTACCCAGGGACCCATGATACTCAGACAACCGCAACATCATGAAAATCATGTAAATATGTTTGGTCGGGTGAAAATCACCCGGCGATAGTGTTCTAGGGTTAAAACCATAGACTGTATATAACTTGGTTCCGCCTTCCACCTGTATATGGATTTGAAGCCAAATAGCTCTCAGTATTTCCGGGATTTTTCTTCATTTCCTGAAACCAGCGCTGCGCAGTGGTGTTGTGCACATTCGGCGAGAGAGTCACTGTGATGACGCCTGGCTCAAACAGCGTATCCCCTGGATGGGCTACGCAATCCCTGAACGCCCATAGGCTGTATCAGGTGTCAGTCAAAGAAAACATGAACCCCACAATAACTTTTAAGAATGGAGCTTCACAGAAAAAAGTGAACTTGAGCACAAACCAGTCTTACTGTAACTACATGTCAACATCACAAGCAGGGGGGAGAAAAATTTATGTTCTGTGTAATAAATTTCTAAAGTTTGTCCACAGTTCCATAAGCTTTGCTGGCGGAGGCGGGTTTTATGACCTATACTGCAGCCCATCAACAGAGGGTGCTGTTCACTTTAATTCAAATTCAACTTTATTTTTTCTGCACTTTTCAGACAAAAAATGCTGTTCATAGTGCCTCACAAAGGCTAAAAACAACAATTAAGCAACAATAAAACCCGACCTTCCCACCCACACATGGACCCACACACACACACACACACACAAAGACACACACCCAGCCTCACTCACCCACACATACACACACAAGTGCAAACAGTGTGAGAATTTAAGATATATTATTAGAGAGACATGGCTTGACACTGAGACATTGCGTGAGGAAAGAGCTACCTTTGGGAAACACTGAAGATAAAGATAAAAAATAAAATTAAAAAAGAAATAAGCAGATAAACAAACAAATAAATAAATAAAATGGTTAAAAGAAAGACTAAAACCTAATGGACTTAAACAAGAAAATAAAATAAAATGAACGAATAAGTAAGATCTCTTTACCAAATAAAAGGGGTAAAAGAAGTTAAGTAAAGAAGAAAAAGACCAAGAGCAGAGATAATTAATAAGATTACATACTACTTAAAAACATCAACAGTCTCTGCGGCCCTGAGGCTCTCCAGCAGGCTGTTCCACAACCGGGGACTATAGAAACTGAAAGCCGCCTCCCTCCCCGTGTGTTTTTGTTTTGACCTTGGGTTAAAAGGCCTGTGCCGGAGGACCTGAGGGTCGGCGAGGATTGATATGATAAAAGTAAGTCAGATAAATAAGAGGGGCCAAGACCATTAATATATCTAAAAACTAATAAAAGAACCTTAAAATCAATCCTGAAATGGACGGGGTGCCAATGCAGCGATGCTAAAACTGGCGTTATATGCTCTCGCCCTCTGGCCCTTGTCAGCACTCTTGCAGCAGATATACTTAAATAATTGTAATGAGTCCAACAAGACATTCCAGTTTATTGAGATGACTGATCTCTTTACCTGTATAAAAGTTAGCAAACTTTATTAAGTTATATTTATGCTGTAATGTTTCTCTCTGCAGACATTTAAGCTCTTTGAGAAGATGGCAGAGCACAACAGAGAGAGACAGCTGAGCGAGCTGCGGAGGAGACAGGAGGAGAGTCAGTGCGTTCCTCCTCCTGCAGTCCAGGAGCTGGAGATTGCAGCAGAGGAGACCGAGGAGCAGAGCTCAGAGGCAGCACAGCAGGCTGAAAGCTCCTCCTCCTCATCAGATCCTGTGAAGGCTTCAGCTCCAACCTCCTCAGAGGCTACAGGCAGCTCTCAGCCAGACAGCAGCAGCAGCAGCAGCGGTGCTTTAGGACCGCCATCTCAGGGAGCGGTGGGCGGCACAAACCCACCAGTGGAGTGAGTCCATATCTAAAACCATAAAACCTAAAAATAACCTTAGCGCTTGAAAGGGATATTCCGGCGTAAAATTAGTTTAGGGTCAAACACACCATAGCACCGAGTTAGACACCCCCTCCAGAGATGAATGTTGCTGACCGCTTGCTTCTCTAGTTATAACAACTTTAGTAACAACCGCAGGATAGCAATACACAGCGGTCTGAGGAGCCATAAACAAACCTCAACCAAAACGCCACTCTATAGCCACAAATAATGCTCAGAACAGCACCTAACTTCATCAACAGTACATATAGGGTCCCAGCCATAGTACTAGCCATCAAACATCTTTTTATCTTTGCCTAATTTCTTTAGCTAAGAGACTAAACACAACTCACCTACTCTCTTCCAGCAGCCGCTTGTTTGTAGCAAGACCTCAGGCCAGTCCATGACGGACTGCAGTGGGGTGACGCAGCTCAAGGAAGAACATTTATGATCATTTCTTCATGGAAATACAATCAGACCGAGACGCTAAGGCAGAAGAACTACTGCGTCTGCAGTGCAAAATGATAAATATGGTGATTTTTACTTCAAGGAAATGATAAGGAAATGATTATAAATGTTCTTCCTTGAGCTGCGTCACCTCTGTAGTCCATAATGGACTGGCCCGTGGTCTCACTACAAACAAGCGACTGCTGGAAGTGAGTAGGTGTGTTGTGTTTAGTGTCTTTGCTAAGGAAATTAGGCAAAGTTAAGAAAATGTTTGGTGGCTAGAACTATGGCTGGGACCCTATATGTACTGTTGATGAAGTTCGGTGCTGTTCTGAGCATTATTTGTGGCTATAGAGTGGCGTTTTGGTTGAGGTTTGTTTATGGCTCCTCAGACAGCTGTGTATTGCTATCCTGCGGTCGTTACTTAAGTTAATATAACTAGAGAAGCAAGCGGTCGGCAACATTCATCTCTGGAGGGGGTGTCTAACTCAGTGTTACGGTGTGTTTGACCCTAAACTAATTTTATGCCAGAATATCCCTTTTAGTTTGTGTCCTGATATGTTCTGTCAATTTAGTTTTTACCTGGTTTTGTTATTTGAGTGTATTTTCAGTGTTTTCCTCGTGTTTCTGTTCCCTATTGTTCCTCTGATCTTGTCTTGTGAGTTTTCAGTTTGTGTTTGACCCCATTTCCCTCATTTTCTCACTGTTTTATTCTTTAGATCAGTTTTCAGTGTTTCCTGTTTTATTTTGTACTAGTCCATCCTTGTGCGTATAGGCTTATTTTACTTCTCTCCTCAGTAATTGGCTGCACCTGTGTCTCAGTGTCTCAGATTTTGTATGTCGTCCCTGTTTTCCCCTGTTTCTTTGTTAGTTCATGGTGTGTGTTTGTCGGTCAGTGTCAGTTGATGTCTTGTTCTCCTCCTAAATTTTTCCCCCAGTGTTTTTTTATTCCAGTGTTTTTGTTTTTTTCCCAGTGCCCTTTTTGTTTCTTTGTTTTTTTTTTTTTCTCTTGGACATTTTGAAGTAAGTTTTTGTTATTTTAAGTTTAGTCTTTTATTTAATAAATCCTTTGTTCTGCATTTGGGTCCTTTTCCTTTGTTTAACTCTGGCCTATGACAGTTTGGGTCTTTTGGGATAACAAATGAAGCATTTTGGAAATTTAAAGACTTTATTTGAAGGTTTACCTCCAGAGTTGTCCAGTACTTTCATGTTAGGATAAGTTTTAGTTCAGTCAAACAGCTGTAAAAAAGTCTGATTTAGCAAAACAAAGTTTCTCTTAGTTACTGTATTTTAGTTTACGACACAGATGGATGTTTCTGGTTACAAACTGATTCTGTGTGTGTTTGGTTGTGTTTTCAGAGGTGAGGGGAGTTTTCAGTCCAACCCTGAAAGTTACAATGGAGCGGTGAGAGACAACTACAGCTGGTCTCAGGACTACACCGACGTGGAGGTCCGAGTGGTCGTGCCAAAATCTGTCATCAAAGGACGACAGGTGAGCGCCGTCTGCACGCCACGAACACTGTTCTTATGTCAGACCCAGCTGACGGGACTCGTGTGTTTCTGCCCTCAGGTCAGCGTCAGTCTGCAGCCCAGCAGTGTCCGAGTGTGTGTGAGAGACGGCGCTGAGGAGAAAACACTGATGGAGGGAAAATTCACTCATAAGATCAACACTGAAAACTCTCTGTGGAGTCTGGAGCCTGGAAAATGTGTGGTCGTGAGTACACGCACGCACGCCAAACACACACACTCGCAGGTCTGATTCTCAATTCAAACACTCTTCACTCTCCATCTCTGACCTCCAGCTGTCGCTCAGTAAGACGTCGGAGGTTTGGTGGAACGCCGTGCTGAAAGGAGAGAAGGAGATTGACGTAAACCAAATCAACCGTGAGCGCTCCATGGCATCGGTGGACGACGAAGAGCATGCCGTCCTGGACAGACTCACCTTCGACTACCATCAGAAGCTGCAGGGGAAACCGCAGAGCCACGAAATAGTGAGGACAAGACTCGACTCAAACACAAAACACACTATTGGGTGAATTAGGCTGAAGAAGCTGCATGACACTGCAGCGGTCAGAGTCGTCTCTCTCTCTCTCTTTCTCTCTCTCTTTGTGTGGAGATTATGCTCTCCCTCTGTGAATGTGTGGGTTTCCTCCAGGCACTCCAGCATCCTCCACAGTCCAAAGACATGCTGGTAAATTCCCGGCAGGTGCGATTGTCTCTATGGCTACGTTCACACCTCAGGCCGTCGTGCTCAGTTTGGATTCATCACTCAGATCTGATATTACATCACTTTTCAGATGTGGCCTCTATCAGATTCTTGTGTGAGCTGGTTACAAGTCAGAACCGGTCCACATCAGAATCAGATATACTTTAATAATCTCCAGGGGGAAATTGCTTTTTGTCACAGTAACTCAAGTGCAAATAAGTAGAAAGAGGAGATAAATAATAGACAAAATAAGTAAAAATAGAGATAATATACAAGTATGTACACTATATACAACACAAAATAGTAAAGTAGCATGCATGTAAAATAGTGAGCAGAGTCCAGGTAAAGACGACTGACTGAGGGTGTCAGAGTCTCTGAGGGAGGAGTTAAAAAGTCTGATGACCACATGCAGGAAAGATTCCCTGTGGCGCTCCGTGGTTCATCATGGAGAGAGGAGCCTTCTGCTGAAGGTGCTCCTCCTCTGCGGGACCAGTTCACTGTGGAGAGTGTGAGAGACATTGTCCAGTATGGAGTGGAGCTTGGACAGCATCCTCCTCTCTGACACAGCCAGCTGGGAGTCCAGCTCCACTTCCACAACATCACCGGCCTTTTTTATCAGTTTATTGAGTCTGTTGGAGTCAGCGACCCTCAGCCCGTTGCCCCAGCACGCAACAGCAAAGAAGATCGCACTGGCCACATCAGACTCGTAAAAAATCCTCAGCATTGTCCTGCAGATGTTGAAGGACCTCCGCCTCCTCAGGAAATAGAGACGGCTTTGACCCTTCCTGTAGACGGCCTCAGTATTCCTGGTCCAGTCCAGTTTATTGTTTAAGTACACCCAGAGGTACTTGTACTCCTCCACAGTGTCCACTGGGACCCCCCGGATGGAAACAGGGGTCACAGGTGTTTTGTTCTTCCTAGATCCACTATCAGCTTCTTATTTTGGTCACATTGAGCTGCAGATGGTTCAGCTCACACCACGTGACACGTGCAAGAAAATGACCACAAGGACCTCATGGGCAGCAGAAGAAACTTGAATCGGATTCATCTGACCTCATATGACCAAAATCTGGTTTGAAGCTCAGAGCTGACAGGTGTGACAGTTTGATGAGAGCAGATCCATCAGGTTAAAAACAAACTCACTCTTGTATCTGCACCTGCAGAAAACCATGGATTTAACTCTTTAAAATAACACGAATGTTGTCGTTAGACCTGTTTATTTTTCTCTTCATACAGAGATGGAAATATTGTCATAATTGAAGGTTAAAAACTTGTCTTTATGAAGCTGAAAACACACTGTGAATGAGTTTATTTCTCTTTGCAAATATTCAGTTTTTTTGTTTTATCCTCTGCAGTTCTCAGTCTGTCCTCCAGATGGCACTGTGGTCTTGTGGTCTTCATTAGTGTCACTTATTCACTCTCCTTCCTCTCCATCAACAGAAAGTGCACGAGATGCTGAAGAAAGGCTGGGACGCAGAGGGCTCGCCGTTCAAAGGGCAGCAGTTCGACCCGTCCATGTTTGACATCCCGCCCAGCGCCGTGCAGTTCTGAGATGCTGCCAAAATAAAGTAAAAAAACAAAAAAAAACTCCACCGGCTGGTTATGAGCCAAATATGAACTCAGCTCTGCTTCATTGAAAGAAAATGGAGAGAGGAGTCGATGTTTATCGTAACAGTCAGAGCAGAGCTGCTTCTGTGTGGAAATGAAACAAGTCATTATGCCGACATTTATTTGATGTTTTGGCATCATGAAAATGATAAAATATGTGTGCTTTGTAAACTGATCTTCTCATTATTTAAAGACTCTACACTGCCTTACATTCGCCTGCTCTGCTGAGTGATTTTGTGTTACATGTAAGATCTTTTTACATCTTCAAATCCTCCAAACATTCTAGCATCAAAAGCTGAATTTTCCCCCAAAATTCACTCTCTCATTGGCTGTTAATGTTATTATTGTTTTTTTTTAACTGAGGTCAAGTTCCAGAAAAGTTTCTCAGCTTATCTAGCCACTGATGAGTCTGAAAGGTTCAATTTTATCTTTGCCAAACAAGATCTTTTGGACTTGAAATCGTGCAGAGGGATGACATGGATTTGCTGTGTGAATAAAATTCATATCTTGTTTCGCCAAGATAATAAGGATCATCTTTCAAAACCTCGGGATTTCAGTGGATTCAATTAAAAAATATTAGTGTCCTGAAAAAGTTTGTTTCTCATAATTTAATTCAAAAGGTGAAACTTCAGTATATTCCAGATTTATCTCACACAAGGTGAAAGATTTCAAGACTCAAGCAAAGATATCTGATATTAGCCACAAATTTTCAAAAGACAGAAATGAAAAATTACAAAATGATTTAAATAATTTAGCTTCCTTTGACTTTGGAGCCTCCTCTGAACAAAGATGATCCTGTTCTCTTCATGTAAAAATGTCATCCTGCTTCCCGTTAACATGCGATTATTCCACTCCCTGCGAATCTCAACAAAATCTGTTTCTGCAGCTCGCCGTCAGTCACTTCATCATCTGAAAGCAGGAAAAATGAACTCTGAATGTAATCAGCCCCATTCCTGACAATCCTGTTTGCTCATTTAGGTCATAAATAATCATCAGTATGAATTTATCTGCTTTAACGCAGACAAAAACACTCCTTACATGACAGGAAAGTTCAGTTTTCAAACACAAGGACACTGATTAGACCCACTGGGATGAACAGAAATGACGACTTTCTGAAAGGACTTTTTCCTGAGAGGAGGAAGTTTCATACAATTAGTTGTAAATAAAAGTGAAAGTTTCTTATTGACGGTGAAGAATTGATCTCTGGGTTAATCTGAGTATAAAAAGAAGATTAAATTAGTTCAAATTTAAACCTTTACAGCAGGGAAAGACTAGGTGGGTGTATTTATGAAAAAAAAAAAAACACTACCTAACCCTAAAAAAAATTCTGTGAAGAGGTTTCTCAGCTGTTTTTTAATGTATTAGATTTCCTTAATAACAAACTAAAATTTTACCAAAGTTTGATCACTAGAAAGGCGTCATTTTCAAGATGGCGTCCATGATGGGTAGGAAGCCAGGGGAGACACCCCAGGTAAACAGGGTAAAATTTTTAACAAACCGATATCACCATGAAACTTCACAAGTTTATAACTTACATTAAGACAAATATCTTTTGTATTACAAGTTTTGTCAAATGTTATGTTTGAATATGCAAATGAGGTAATATCTAATTAAATATGCACTTATTTACATACATTTCTCAAACCCAAAAACTGAACAATGGATAAAGCCCCTTTGAAATTCTTGTTTTATTTTGTTGACATACTAGAGTCAGAAGCGGGGAGGAGGGGACTTTAGATATCTCTTTTCATCACTCTGTAAATAAGGAAATACTCTCACCACCCCTAAAAATTCAAATATCGCCATGCGACACTGCGGGTGGGGCACGAGTTGTGCTTGTAATCACTTATCTATCATACAAATATGCTAATTAGAATATTACATGGTAAAAAACATGTATCAGGCACCAGTATTCCTGGTCTAGAATAAATACAAAGGACTAATGGTCATTTTAAGGACATGGGAAAAAAACACATAGACATATTTTAATTTTTAGGGGTGGTGAGAGTTTTTTTTCTCATTAACAGAGTGATAAAAAAGAGAAATAACCCCCCCCCCTTCTGACTCTAGGAGGTCAACAAAATCAAACAAGAATACATATAAAAACATAATATTTGACAAAACTTGTAATACGAAAAACATTCATCTTCATGCAAGTTATAGACTTGGGAAGTTTCATGGTGATGGTGATATCTGATAGTTAAAAATTTTACCCTATTCACCTGGGGTGTCTCCCCGGGCTTCCAACCTACCATGGACGCCATCGTGAAAATGACACCCTTCTAGTGATCAAACTTTGGTAAACTTTTAGTTTGTTATTAAGGACACCTAATACTATAAAAAACAGTTGAGAAACCTTTTGTCAGAATATTTTCGGGGTCAAGTCACATTTGCACCTGACTGTATACCCTGACTCCATTAGAGATGGGACAGTGTGTAGATGGTGATAAAACAGATCTTGATGGGTTGAAAATCATTTAAATCATTTTTAATTCATAATAAGAACTATTGTTATCCTGCGGTCGTCACTAAAGTTGGTATAACTAGAGAAGCAAGCGGTCGGCAACATTCATTTCTCAAGGGGGTGTCTAACTCAGTGTTACGGTGTGTTTGACCCTTAAATTTACGCAGGAATATCCCTTTTAGTGAGGTTTTAAATGCTGAGTTTGTATCGGACATATACATACCACAGATTTGCTTTCGAAAAGTGACTTGAAAGCAATAAAACACTGAAGATTATCCATGAATTAATAATAAGGATGTTAATTAAACTCCTGAGGAGTGCAAATTTGAACAAGTGGAGCATTGTCACATTAACTCCAACACTCTACAGCTTTTTTATTATTATAAGTGACTCCATCTTTCTTTGTCTCTGTCTTATCTTTTATTCCTCTGTCACGGACTCTGATCACTAACTTCATTTATACATAAATTAGCTCTAATAAGCACATTAGTCTCAGCCAGACAAAAGGGGAAAATGTGTCTTCCTGTCATCAGAGAAAACAAAGTCTTTGTTCCGTCTCGACGCCACTTATCTTCTTCTGCACCGCTCATGAAATCCATTTCTTCAGCCGAGGATGAGCGGTTTGTTCCACAGCCATTATTTAAGTCATCAGTCTTTCCACACAGCAGATGGAAAGAATGAGAAGAGGAGAAGAAGAGAAGGTAGTTAGATCAAATGTAAACATACCCAAACCTCAATTTTTATCGAGAGGTAGATAAAAAGGTGGTAAGGTTAACCCCCAATTTCCACCGCTGTGTTTTGTTATGTCTGTGTAGTCAACATTTTACATTTTTTGAGTGGCCCGCTCTTTCTGACAGTAAACAAAGCCGTTCTCCACCTCCCTGACCTGATTGGTTGTGAGGTGGACGCTGCTTCCTCGTGTTTTGAGGCATGCTCCACGTCCTTGAAAAACTTTCAGGAGCCCAAACAAAGTTAGCGTGCTACAGTATCAGACAGTAGAAACCAACCAGAAAGTACGGAAAATTGTCTGAATCCTCCTTTGGCAACGATGGCCAACACAAGCAAGAAAACCAAATAAATACCGGAGACTCTGGTGGAATAACAGGCGCTTAAAAAGGAGGTAGACCGGACAAGAGCTAAAAAGCTGGATCTACATAAACGATGGGGGATGCTTTGTGATCTTCGTGACCCTGTAACCTTTCTGCTGGACAGGTAAACCGCTTTAACAAAGTAAGCCAAGTGTCTGTAACAGAAGTGTTTCTTGTCAAACGGGACCTGCTGCGTGTTGTAGCGCCACTAAACTGTTGACCTCCGGTCCTGGACTATGTCACTTTATCCTAGTTGTAGAAGTCCTGCAAACATTGTGTTTGCTGGTAGTCTGTTGGCATCTACAGTAGCACCAATGCTTTTTACTTTCATGTTGACTGGGCCCCATTTGTAATTATCTGAAGTATTTATCTGCATTATATCTGAGTTTAATTGGAACGATACGAGCGAGCAGGAGCGTCTGTTTGTAGGCGGGGCTTGCTGGAGCAGAGAGGGAGGGAAGAGGAGGAGCTGAGGGGAAAACTGGTTGGAGGGGTAGAGTTTACATTCAAGATTTCTCCCAAAAACTGGAACTTCCTCAGATCCTGACTACCCCACCTTTAACCTGGGATGCCAGTTTAGGAGTTTAAAAATAATTTCACCCTTTTTTAATGATGGGGGGGCCGTGGGGGCCCATTCTAAGGTTCTGCCCCGGTCCCCCTGAAATCCAGATCCGGCCGTTCTCGTATCAAACTGTTGCATTTTTTTGTTCATTTGTTGATTGGTTGAAATTCACAGGGGGGCGCCACTGACCTAATGATTTAGGCACAACCCTGCACAGGTCTGGACAGAGGCCACAGTCCTTGTCACTGGTTATGGGATCGATTCCCGATCCCGGCATGAGTTGGCACATGTCACCCCCCCATGATTCCCCTCTCTCTCCATCTGTCCTGTCAATAAAGGCACAGGGCCCAAAAATAATCCAAAAGAAAAAATAATAAAGGGATGGTGTGGAAGTTGAGAAAAAAAAGTCCAGAGCTATGATGGCACTGCTGCAAATAAAAAAGAATGCAAAAAAAAAGATGTCACAACAGACGTAGAGAAACCCTAGCCTGCTGCAACTAAAAAAAAAGAAATGGCGCAGATTTTTTAATAAAAGCCACAACAGAAGTTATCCACGCATAAAAGTGGGGATGCAAAAAAAAAAAAAAAAAAAAGCTAATTACTGTGAAAATGAAAGGATGCGAATAAAAAAAAGCCTCTACAGCAGTGAGCTGCCAATAGTGATGATGCACTGGTATTTTATGATCTAGGCACAGAAGATGATGGTGAGAAGACGAGCAAAGAATTAAGTGAAAAGGTTATTATTGAATTTCGCTTTGTGCACTTTTCACCGTGACATTTGGTTAGGCCATGTAGCACCTGAGTCAATATGAAGTTAAACTGCAGGATGTCAATGTAGTGTTAGCTAGAGTTCAAAGTGCACAAAGCGAAATTCAACAATTACCTTTCCACTTACTTCTTTGCTCATCTTCTCACCGTCGTCCTCTGTGCCTAGATTGTGCATCATCATAGACTGTACATGGACACCGTCTGCTTCCTTTCTGGGTGAAACCACTCCGAGAACAGCACCCTCTGTTGACGGGCTGCAGTATAGGTCACAAATCCCGCCTCCTCCAGTAATCCCTATGGAGCTGTGGACAAACTTTAGAAAATTATGACACAGAACATAAATTTTTCTCTCCCCTGGCTGTGATGTTGACATGTAGTTACTGTCAGACTGGTTTGTGTTCAAGTCCTCTTTTTTCTGTACAGCTCTGTTTTTAAAAGTTATTAGGGGGTTCATGTTTTCTATGACTGACACTTGATACAGCCTATTGGCATACGAAGATTGCGTAGCTCGACCGGGGGATATGCTTTTTCAGCCGAGCGTCATCACAGCGACTCTTGGCAACCCTCCTGCCGGATGCATACAACACTACTGCGCAATGTTGGTTACAGGAAACTGAGAAAAAACGTAGAATAACCAAGAGCTTTTCGGCTTCAAATCCAAATACTAGCAGAAGGCAGAACCAAGTTGTCCATAGTATAGACAGTCTATGATCATCATTATTGGTCCCCGGTAGCTCACTTCCATTGTGCCTTTTTTTATTATTATTTGCATTCTTTTATTTTTGCAGTGAGTAACTTTTTTCTTTTTCCATTGCCACTTATTTTTGCATCATTAACTTCCGTTGTGTTTTTTTTTTTTTTTTTTTTTGCCCTGCACCGTTTCTTTTTTTATTTGCAGTGGGCTTTGCTTTCTTTTTTTTTTTTGCATCAGTAACTTCCCTTGTGGCTTCTTTTTTTTGTACTCTTATTTTTGCAGTAAGTAACCTTTTTTCCATCACCACTTTTTTTGCGTCATTAACTTTCGTCGTAGCTTTTTTTTAAAAAATCTGCATCATTTATTTTTTTACTTGCAGCAGTTTCTTTTTTTGTTTGCAACTGGTTTCGTTTTTTTTTTCATTGGTAACTTCTGTTGTGACTTGTATTTTATTTGCAGTAGTAGTGTTCTTTTTTGCATTCTTTTATTTTCGCAGTAACTTTTTTTCTTGCATCCCAATTTTTTTGCGTCATTAACTTCAGTTGTGTTTTTTTATTTGCATTCAATGAGTAACTTTTTTTTGCATCGGCACTTTTTTTGCGTCATAAACTTCCATTGTAGCTTTTCTTTTTCTTTATCTGCATCGTTTCTTTTTTTACTTGCAGCAAGCTTCAGCTTCTTTTTTCTGCATCAGTAATTTCCACTGAGGGTTCTTTTTTTTGCATTCTTTTTTTATTTGCAGCAGTGGCATTCTTTTCTGCATTTTTTTACTTTGCATTAAGTAACTTTTTTGCATCGCCACTTTTTTTGCGTCATTAACTTCTCTTGTGACTTCCTTTTTTGTTTTTTTTTTTGTCTGTACTGTTTCTTTTTTTAATTGCAGCTGGCTTTGGTTTCTTTTTTGTTTTTTCATTTTTTGCATCTTTAACATCCATTGTGATTTCTTTTTTTTTTTTTTTTTTTGCTTTATTTTTTTTATTTGCAGCAGTTATCGGCCGCCGTACAGAGCAATCAGTGAAGTGCTCAGAAAAGTGATGCATTAAGTTTTCACCATCCTGTAAGTGGGTTGAGAGGACTAGGGTGCAGTAATTTCATTCTGGCTGCCTTCTCCTCCTCCTCCTCCTCCTCCTCTTTGCTGGTTTATGATTTATAATAAAGGGGAATCAAACGCTGCTCTCCTCAATCAGCGCTCTCTGTGTTGGGGGGGGGGATAACGTCATGTGGAGAGCTCACATTTCCATTTAGTCTGTGGTACTTATAGAGTCCGTCCTCCTCGCCTGGCACAAACCAAACTAACGAGGATCGCGTGTGCGTGCCAATCAAAGCGTGTGTGTGCGTAAAGGGTTTCTCTCTCTCTCTCTCTCTCTCTCTCTCTCTCTCTCTCTCTCTCTCTCTCTCTCTCTGTGTGTGTGTGTGTGTGTGTGTGTGTGTGTGTGTGTGTGTGTGTCGGTCTGCAGCTGAAACCGTCCGGAGGTCTGATCGAGGTGGGCGGAGCCTGAAGCCGGAGAGGTCCTGCAGCGACGCGCCGAAGCATTCCGGACTCCCGCACCCGTCCGAGGAGGAGGAACCATCATGGCTACGACTACTTGTACGCGTTTTACCGATGAATACCAGCTGTACGAGGAGCTTGGAAAGTAAGCTGCTGATTTATGTGAATTTTCTAACCATGCACACAGATGGAGGGAAGGGGGGGTGTCTGCACAGATGCGGTGATGGATACAGCTCCATCCTTTCAAAACAAAAACGCACGCTGCTTCTGCTTCCTAAATTAGCTCCTTTAAAAATCTCAATCAGGCTGATTTTCTTGGGTTTCCTTCGCTTTTCTTTTAAATCAGACTTGTTTGAGAGCAGGAGGCGTGTTACAGCTGCTGGATCTTGCATTAGGATGGAGCTGCATGAGCCCAGGAGCACTTCTGGGCACCCCCCCCCACCCCCCCCACCCTTTGCTTTGCCCAAGGGCTAATTAGGGACAAACAGGGCCTAATATGAGGGGAAAGCTGATGTGTCGGCATTAAGCTCTACTCATCATCAGCTGTCTTTAATCACAGTGGCACTCAGCTTAGCAGAGAAGTCAGAATAATAATACTGCTGCTGCTGCTCTTGATCTCCAGCTAATCTAATGAGGTGTGTCTTTTTGTGGAAAAAAAAGGAAAAGAAGTGGAGAGATTTGGGGTGTGTGGCTCCTCATAAGAGGCAGACAAATTGAGACTGAAGAGGCTTCGGGTGCCACAGTGGGTAGATGCAAAGTGGACTCCATGTCTCTGTCAGGTTGTGCGTGGGTAGAGAGGATCTCTCTCTGCCTCACAGGAACATTTATTCCACAGCACCAGCGCCGAAATAAAAAAAAGGAAAAGCAAGTTGAGTGCTGAGGATGGTTTCAGTTCAAGTGTTGATATTTTCATTTACAGGCAGATTTGAGCTCCTTTGTGCTGCCTGGGATCTCCAGTGTGTGTTTTTGTGTGTGTGTGGGATGTGATAAGTTAAAGACAATAGAGAAGCAGCTGCCCTGACTGATAACAGACACAGCCTTATTGCTGTTTTTGCTGCTGTTGTCACTTTCTGATGCGCGCTGGGTTTATTCTGTGAAGCAGATGTTGCTGCATATTGTGACAGGAAGGTGGAGTTTCGCTCACTCTTGGTGTTCAGCACTTTCTGGTTTTTGACAGAGGCGTGTCTGAACTTCTTCGTCAGGGGTGACCCGACGTGTCCCGCTCCGAACACGTAAAATTCGCGGCCTTTGTCTGTTACCTGATGCTTGAAATGATGGCTGTAACTTTGGTCGCCCTTGAATGTCAGTTTGCAGGTGCAGGGCTGCTGCACAGAAACACAGATGCAGTGTCGAAGATGACCTCTAAGAGAAAACTGAAAGAGCAGAAATGTCGGATTTGCACGGGAATGAATTTTGCTGTTACACGCTTTTCATTTGAAGCCTGAGAAAACATTGCTAACAAACATCTTCTTGTCATGGAGAGTAAATTACACGGACAAAATCTGGTCTGAGTGACGCCACCTGATGGTTTCTGAAACAGCGTCATGATATTCAAAGATGGCGGTCACTATTTAGAAGTCCAACTTACTTGCTGCCAACTTAGAGAGCTGCAAAGAGGTGGAGTTGAGTTCATGGTGTTGCAACAACCCGCCTACCTGTCAGTCACATCAGCCTCGCACCTTTAAAACTGCTGTTATCTGCATTACCCCCAATTTCCACCGCATGTGGAACGGCTACGAAAAGGCCGCATCCGCCTATCGCAGCTGATCGTAATCATCCAAGTTAATGTGTCAATTTCCACCGGCTTCTTTCCATCCGTGCAGATTGCCAGACTTTACAGCTGATTGCAGGAGTTCTATTTTTATGGATGAATGTCGGATAACTTCAGCACAGATTAACCCGTGCTGGAAAGGAAGTCAGGCACAGGCACAAAAGAAAATATCCGGCTTCTTTTCAAAACCAAATAGATGGATCGTATGTCACAACATGCAAATGGGCGGAGATGAACAAGTGAAAGGTTTTCAGATGTCATTTCACCCCGTTGACACCATGGATGAGGAGATGCGGATTCTTAAAGTCTAGAAGTAGATTTCCCCCTGTGGAAGGAAACAATCTACCGCTTATATTTCTATGTGGCTGTCTTAACAGAAACAACTCGTTACCGCGGGATTGCACGTAAATCCGTGGGTTCTTGTGAGTTGTCGCAATTACCGCTGTCTGTAATCCACCACGAAATTCACCTCAACAACGGTAGGAATTGGCGGACGGCGAAAATCGCTGCCATTCCAGATTTGGGGTTATAGTCTTTGCCTAAGATGACACCGATAAGGCTGCCTGCAGTGTCTGCAGACAATTCGTTCATTTGTAATCCGCCTCATGAAATTTCATTAAATAGTCCGATCTCTATCTCTAATAAACAGGTGTTAACAGTTACCCAATTACACTCACAGTACAGCTGACCTCCAGCCATTCAGGAAGTGTTGTGGGCGGGACATGAGGTGGGACGAAGTGGTGCAAAGTAGCGGACTCTTTATTAGGACTGGGCAATTTGGCAAAAAAAAACATCATGATATATTTTGTCATATCGTCTGATCTTGATTATTATCACGATTTTTTTGTAGAAAGTAGAGATTAGATCAACATTTTATTAACATATTTTTAACCCAAAATAAACAAATCGCCCCCTCAGGGATGATGAAGACATTAGATGATGTGAGCGTAGATGATACAATTGGTTGCTGCTTTGGTCTGGTGGCTGCAACGCTATTTTTAGCTAAACTGCTAATGCTAGGTGTGCAGTGTCAGGCTGTGCAGACTCCACCCACATATTTATACTTTCCGCATAATCACTTGGGAAGTACTTCTTAAAATAATGAAACAGATTTGTCCACCGAGATACCTTACACATCAGCTTAATTACTTCACGTCACTTTGGAAATACCTGAACCACCGCCACACAACCGAGGTTGAATAACTTCTCTCTCAACAATAACATCTTTGGAGGGTGACTCAAAGTCATGGCTGACATCTATTTCGCTGCCTGAGCTCCGCGTTTAGCTCCACGTTCGGTCACTCTGTTTACTTTTCCGGCAACTTACAGAAGTGAGCAGGAAAAACTTGACTCTGATTGGCTGTTGTCAAGCACATTCTCACTATGTTTGATCAAGTAAATATGCTCACATCTGATCACCGTGATTGAATTGAAGTTAACCAGTCCTACTCTTTATTATTCGGTGTTATAAGACGTCTGTATGATAAAGAGAGGCTGACACTGATGGGTTCACCTTTACAGCAAAGACAGTAATCCAACTCCTCCAACAGATGACTTTGTAATGTGTCTTTCCTGATGCTGATTAGGTTCTAGAGCCCGGGGGGTTAATCTGATTTCAATCTCGATTATGATGATGCCCCCCCATTATAATAGAGATATGATAATCTAGACTGAAAGATTATTGCACCGCCTGCTGTGTTGCCCTATATATTGAATAAAGCGCACCCTCCTTCTCCCTCTTAACAGCAGAGCGTGGACGTGGCTCCTCCCCTCAAACAGCTCTCACTTTACCTTAATCAGCAGCAGCTCAGATCAACACCAGGAAGTTGGTGCTCCTGCTGAGATTAATGGAGGACCACTGTATCTACAACATGCCGTAAAACTTTTTAGACAGCTACTGGAGGAGAGAGGAGAGCAGGGAGAGGAGAAGATAGATAAACCTTTGTTGTAATTATCCTGATATCAGTATTAACTGAAAAGATTGTTAGATGACATATTTAAGCGAATGTAACTGCAAGACGGAGCCTTGCTGAGTCTTCGTTTCAACTTGTCTCCAAAGTGAGGACCTCAAACTATTTATTATTATTTTTTAATTGTCCAAATAAATTTAAAAGACCAAATAAAACCAGAGTTATGATAAATTATGTACACCTTACTTTTTCCTGATTATTTCGTCATGTTCGGTGCATTTTAATGTAAATAGTGGTCTAAGAGGTTACCCTGCTTGATACCTGGCTATGTGTTTGAGGAGATATGACTAGCATCAACAGTAGAACGCTGACCGTTAAACCAACTTGGGCATGGAGATCCCCTCACTCAGTACATTTACATGACACTCGAGAAAAACAAATTATTGCCTTATTCCCCCAGAACAAAAACACCAGAGAAGAGGAGTATCATGCATCTCATCTCATACATCATTTAAGACAAAAACAATGCTGTACGATGCTCCATCTTCTTGCTCGAAAATGCCCAGCAGCAGTTGTAGACACTTCTGACGTCTGACACGGACCTGCTTTTGTTGTTGACAGTTGTATGGGGTCGGAAACAGCGCCAGTGAAAAGACCCATATCGCCCCGTAGTTTTGGGGAGTAGGGCAGGGTTACGTCAATAATAATTTTCTCAGCTGCATGCGTATGCGGACAAGTGGAGAAGTCCGATTGGGCAAAACAACGAATTATGAGCTTAGTCCAATTAAGCTGTGCATGTAAACGCACTGACTGATGTATGTCAAAAGTGGACAGGTGAGGGTTTGTTCACCCTGAAATTAGAGGACAAACTGATTGTGGCGGTGTGCAGCGACCCTTAACTCGATGATACAGCTTATTTTTTTTTATTATTTGGTACGTTGTGGAAACACAAAAAATCTTTGCAACGTAGTCAACTCAGCGATATTTGATAAAAACAGACTGAAACATAGTAAAGGAAAACTCTAGAAGTGCTCTGAATAAAGTGTTCTGCATTCAGGCCCTTATGTCTTTTGCTGTGTTTACACTTGGTTCCAACAAAACTGAGGCATGTCTTTTTGAACAGCTATGCTGAACTTCTTTGTTGCTTTTGACTAGGTAAACGCAGATCCACATAAACAGATTCCTCTAAACTCGTCATTAATGTCATTTTCTGCAGATAGTCTTCTAATAATCTGTTCGCCAACAGAAGTTGTTTGAAACCGTTGCCTGTAGCATAGTAGTCTGATTCCTTTTTTGATGATGTTTTGAATCTTATTCGGTTTTGCTTTGAAAAACTTTCAGCAACAAGAGCAAAAAGTAAATTAAATATTTATGTTCAATACATATTTAATACCCTAGAGATTTAAAGATTTAAAACACTCAAATTCAGGTTTGACTTTTTAAACTGGAATCGCAGGACACCCATATGCTTTCTGTTGATCTGAAGTTGGCAGCTAAACAAATTTAAGTGAGAACAGTTGATTATTTTTAAACTGAGTTGCTGTTTGAGTTCGTTGGAGTAGACCAGTAGGATTTCAGGGGTTAGTTTAGAGGTTAGCCCCTCTCTGTGTTTGACAAATGCAAATTCTGGACCTCCTGACTCCCACCTGCCCCGCAGATACCCTGCCATGTCGAGCCTCTGCCTCTTTCCCACCACGCACCAGGAGTGTCAGCGAGTGTCATGCTTACTCACCGAGTCTCCCCATAATGTATGCATGTTGGAGAGCTCATAAGAGAGGCAGGGGCTCGGAGGGGAGTGTGAGTGTTTCATTGCGTAACAATGCTGAGGTGAGATAAAATTAGCTCGCAGAAATGACAGAGGTGGTTATTTCTGTTTGTCTCTGTTGGGTTTCATGAGCAAATGTGGCCCTAAAAACTCCTGCGCTTACATTTAAAGGGTGCTCATCTTTCAAACGCTGCTTTTCTTTTCTTTTAATTGATGGCACTAACATTGTTTGGATAATTTCAATCATGGAGGGAAAAGAAATATGAGAAGATACACATATTTCAGGGGTTAAATGGTTGCATCCATTGATATTTTTCCTTCTTCTAAACAGGTTAAATGAAACACCTAACTGTTGTAAAATCGCTGCATGTCTTATCACCTGTGTCAGAATCTGTTTCCTTCATTCAGATTTTCATGTTATTCAGTCTCTCCAGAAGGTCAGAGAAATGCCAAGTACCTGATAATTACCAGATGCAGCAATTTTCTCTCTAATTCCCCAGTTCAGGTCAAGAGAAGCTCATTTGAATAAAAGTAACAATCTACCGCTCAGAGACGGTGACCTTACCAAGTCCAGAAAACTGTAGAAAAAGATGTAATTATCGGCCTTTTACCTAATTTAAAGACTTAGAAGATTATTGAAACAGCTCTTACAAAACAGCAGAAACGTTTGGGTGTCTAAGAGGTACAAAAGAACCAAATAATAACCAATGTGATGAAGGACTGCAGGCTCACAGGGGTTCAAGCTAATTTCTTATATCGTGAGATGAACTTCGAGTCAACTCTGTCAAAAATCCAGTCCAGTCCCTAATCCAGTTAAATAAAGTCTTGATTCTGAAAGTGGAAGACTAATGGGGCATTCAAGTCACCTCGGAAGTCAGAAGTCCGAGCTGAAAATGACGTCACACCCAAGTTATGAGCGTTTTAGTTACCGAGTTGGAAAAAAGCAAAATCGGAGGCGGAAACAAGATGGCTACATTCACAAAAGTTATTTTGGCTCTTGCCTTATATTCGGACTAGGCAAGCGCTAGAATAACTTTTGTAGATGTAGCCATCTTGTTTCACGAGAAATATTTTTTAACTTAATAAAAAATTTGAAAAATCGGCTGATTAGTCGGTAACCGGATTCCCCCGCCCCAATAATCGGTATCGGCATTGGCTCCAAAAAATCCATATCGGTTGGGCCCTAATGTATACAGTATTTTAGATTTTAGCTGAAACCATAACAGAAGCTAACAGTGCTAACTTAAGCTCACAGTAACTCAGGCTAGTAAAGCAATTTGAACTGTGGCTCAAAAGAGTAACTTTAACTAAGAACAGTAACTTAAGCTAACAATGCTAACTGTGGCTAAATATCAGTAAAATCAGCTAACAAAGCTAAGTGTTGCTAACGATCCTGTCACCAAAAAACAGGAACTTTAGCTAGTCAAAGTAAAATAAGTTAACAAAACTTATCACAATTACAATGCCAACTGTAGCTAATATTAAATGCAGCCTTCACCACTACCTTTAGCATACAGCAGTAAATTTAGCTAATGCCTCTAACTGTAACAACAATAACATTTTTTTAAACAGTTATTTTACAATTAACTGAGTAGATTTGTTTTTGTATTTTTAGATTCTAACTAACCAATTTTAGCGTTTTATTGCAGTTAACTTAAATCATCTGTAAGTATGAGAATCACGTCATGTTTGAGGTTAAAACCTTAGACTGTATATAGAATGGACAGAGTCTGCCTCCTCGCTGGGTGAAGCCACTCCGAGAACAGTACCCTCTGTTGATGGGCTGCAGTATAGGTCATAAATCCCACCTCCGCCAGCAAAGCTTATAGGGCTGTGGACAAACTTTAGAAATTTATAACACAGAAGATAAATTTTTCTCCCCCCTGCTTGTGATGTTGACATGTAGTTATTGTAAGACTGGTTTGTGCTCAAGTCCTCTTTTTTCTGTGAAGCTCTGTTTTTAAAAGTTATTAGGGGGTTCATGTTTTCTATGATTGACACCTGATACAGCCTATGGGCGTTCAGGGATTGAGTAGCTCACCTGGAGGGTTATGCTGTTTGAGCTGAGCATCATCACAGCGACTCTCTGCGACTGCACGGCCGAATGTGCGCATCACTACTGCGCAGCGCTGGATTCAGGAAATGAAGAAAATTCCCGGAAATATCAAGAGCTTTTTGGCTTCAAATCCATATACAGGCGGTAGGCGGAACCAAGTTTTCCGTAGTATATACAGTCTATGGTTAAAACTGGATCAAAATGGTAAATTGAAACCAATTTTGTGTCGTACCATGTCCTCCACCATCTGGTCGACAGATTTCTCAGCCAAAGAGCGTTAAAATGTAAATGGAAGTGTTATGTATTACATTTACGGTGTGACTGCAGCTTGTCTTCTTGCCCCTGTGACCCGGATTCATCAGGTATTCAGATCAGGACGGTCTGAAAGCAGAGAGGAGTCTGGGACAGCTGCGAGGTCAGTCTGATGCCCCTCTGATGCTGACGAAGCTTAAATGGCAGCTGACCCGTCTCCTCCTCTTGTCTCTTGTCTTTGTTTTCCAGGGGGGCCTTTTCGGTGGTGCGCCGCTGTGTCAAACTCTGCACAGGCCAAGAGTACGCCGCCAAAATCATCAACACCAAAAAGCTGTCGGCCAGAGGTGAGAAAAACAAGTGACAGAAGACTTTGATAACATGGATGTATGTGTTGTTTTTTTTCCAGTGGCGAATACAAAGCAGTGAGGCATCATGGGGGTTTTCATCATTATGTGCATGAGTGTATATCCCAGCTCTGAAAGCCCACATTAGCATATTTTAGCAAGTGTTTGATTCCAGTGTGTGTGAAGCCCTCACGTCTGTTCCTGTGAGAGAGGCAGATGATGGTTACTGTCGGATCCACAGCTTCTAAAGGGACAAAAAAAATCAACAATTTCCCCAGAATACACCGTAAGCAAGAGGATAAACACCGATTCATGCTCTTAAATTCAGCAAACTGAAGAACTTTGTGCCATTTTGGAAGTAATTAGTCCTGTTTTAACAATCTGTAATGGTATAGTTAGTTTGTGTAAACTTGTTGCAATGGTGCATCTAAATTTTTGAAAGATGCAGTCTGTTTTTCTGCATGGCAACGATGCAGGAGGACGCTTCAACGCTGTTGTTAGACCTTTTTTTTCTGGCTAATGTTGCAAGTGTTTGATCTGCCTCAACAAAACAATGTACCACCGATGCACCATTAATGCACCTTGCAGCACAGCTTTTTTTCAGGACCAACACTACCATATTGTATTGAAAGATACAAGTACATTTTTGCTTATAGAGTACAAGGAAAAGTGATGACAATAAAACCTGCATCAATCTAAATCTAGCTATGGTGGTTGTAATGCGCATTGCTGTGTTCAAGATGTAAGATATTGCACCGTGTCTTGGTCTGTGTCAACCTCTTTCTTCAAATTATAATAATTAGCTCATTTAATACGGGAGAGATATTGCTCTGCGTGTTTTATGTCATATACTAGACGCCAGGTTTTGTTGGCAAATGCTGCGATTCTTTATTCTGCTTGAAGGTAGCAATGTGCCACCGACGCGCCTGGCAACGCGTCAAATTTAAGACCAAATTTAAGACCAAATTTAAGATATTGCACCGTGTCTTGTTCTGTGTTAGCCTATTTTTTCAAATCGCAAGAATTAGCTCATTCAATAGCAGAGAGATATTGCTCTACGTGTTTTATGTCATATACCAGACACCAGGTTTTGTCGGCTAATGCTGCGATTCCTTTTTCTGCTTGAAGGTAGCAATGCGCCTCCGACATGCATGGCAACACATCTTAATTAAGACCAACATTGCTGCACCTGGTTCAATGCGCCACCACAGCTACAGACAATGTTTTTTTTAAGATATAACCATCGATGGGTGCAGTTACAGGTGCAGATATGTAAACTTGCAATGAAACTTGCAATGCACTTTGTTGTGTTGCTGCTCTTGTTTGACATCTCTATCTTTTTCTCCTGGTGTACTGAAACTTTTCAAATCTTGACAATGCGCTCTACAGAAGGCAAGAAAAAGCAGGACAGTCTTGTTTTTTTTTGGCTTATGAGCCAAGTGATGTGCCACCAATCTGCTGCAACACGCCTGTGGATGCACTTTCCTTTTTTCTACTTTGACAACACATAAAAACTGAATTGATCAGAAACCTTTCATTTCCATCTGTGATATTTCATGTCTCTTTTATATCTTTCCCCTGATATGCTAACACTTTTATTTGTTAATATCGCACCCATATCTAAGCAGGAAAATATTGCACCGCTAATCTTGAACCAGGTTTTTGTTGTGTGATGTGCGCTAGACTTGCATATATAAATACATGTATGTTTGCACATGTTGATCAAATGGTCAGACTTTGTCAAAAATCTGTTTCGCTCTGAGCCTTCCCTTTAATAATAAGCCTGTCATATAACAGGAAATATTGCACCATTTAATCTCGACCAGGTTATTGTTGGCTAATGTCCCAATAGCAATGCGCCGCCAACGCCCCTGACAAAGACAAAGCCTGACAACACCTTATGAAAGATCCGCCCACACCTGTTTATCTTTCGGTGCCAATATGAGGCAGCAAAGTAGAGCAACACTGACTCTAGATCTGTTATTTTGTTGCCTTTAATTGCTGCTTTTTCTACAGTAATGCACCAACACTATGATTTATAAAACAGCAACGCATCTATGAGCAAACTGACTGCTTGGAGCTCATTCCTAATTCATGAAACATGAAATCAACAACTACCTCCATCTGAAACCCGCCCCTCCTCCGACTGTTAGTTATTTTACGTTTTGCCTTTTCTCTCCTGATATAAAAATACTCGTCAGACAGTGAAAAAAAAAAAACGCTTCAAAAACCATCTTGAAATAGCAACAATGGTGTAATCAGAAATTAGTTCATGGTTGTGACTTTGCTTACATCAGTCTCGCACATTCTTCATAATGAGCTCATCTCTGATATTTGAGCCTCTGAGTTTACCTCTGTCACATCAGACGGCAATCTTTGTTTTGACATGACTGAGACAGATGTGTGTTTGTGACCTGGAGGGTGGGAGTAAGTGCAGATCTGTCAGTCGAATAAAGACCAGAAGGCGACTTTTCTTCTCTCCTTTGTTTCTTTTCCTTTCTCCTCTCTCCTAACTCCCCTCTTCTTCTCTCCTTCCCTTGTATTTCCTCTTGTAACAAGCCTCCTCATTTCCTCTTCTCTTCCTCCTCCTCTGATCCCTCCTTCCCTCGTTTCCTCTGCTGGATGTGGATTGAGGGGTTAAACGGGCATCTGGGACAAATGTTTCCCTCGGGCTGTCCTCACAGATGTGTGTGCGGTAGCGTCGTGTTTGTGTGTCTCGTATCTTCTTGGCGGTCACCTTGAAAACATTCACTATTTCAAACTTTGTGAACTGAACCGATTTCTTTTGATGCTTACAGAAAAAAAAAACAGTTTTCCTCTGTTATTTGAGTCTGAGATGTTGTTGTAAAGCTTCGGTTTGATTATGTTTTAGATCATCAGAAGCTGGAGAGAGAAGCCAGGATCTGCAGATTGCTCAAACATCCAAACATCGGTGAGACTCTCCTCTTGAGTTTTTATATTTCATTGAATAAATTAACAAGTTTAGACTAAAATATGACCATTTTGGAAACTAAAAATGTAAGATTCTTGATTGTTATTAGTCACATGCCCTTATAAACATGGTAACTCTAAGACAAGGCCATGCAATGAACAAAAACACTCCAGTATTAACTTTAAAGACATAAATAATGCTGAATACGTGCAAAAATATGAAATGCATGTGTGGAAATAGTCTAACATCTCCTTGTTTTACAGTGAAACATTTTTAGTAACAGTTTGCAATCATAAACTCAAACATCATTTTCTGTCATCTCTGTAGATTTAATCTTTTTTCTTGTTGGTCATATCCTTGTTAAAACCCTGTGGCTCCAAATGACTCAATGCTGAAAATAGATAAGATAGCAATTTGCCCAGAAAGCACAAAAAAGATTTAAAAAATGTGTTGCTTTTAAAATCTAACTAACAAATATTTTTGTTGACAGATGTCTGATTTGGCTAATTTAAAAGTATTAAGAGATTTATGATTTAGATACCATACTAGATCATCTGATAGAATAAGGATGATACAATAGGCTATGATGATACAATAGGCTATGATGGTACTTCCTGGTACTTGTACTATACCATAATGTATATTGTATATAGTTTTATTTTTCTTCTCCCTTTCTCTGTTTTCTAAAATTTTCTTAATTATAACATTTATTTAAGTTCTTAATATTACGATCTTTATTTTTATAACAGCATTTTTGCACTATCTTTGTCTGTGATGCTGCTGTGGCAAAAAAAATTTCCCCTATGAGAAATTAATAAAGGAATATTCTATTCTATTCTATTCTATGATACAGGACAATATGGTTACATGCGACATACTATTATAATATGATACAATAGGTCATAAACTACATGATGTGAAACTATAAAATATGATACAATAGGATACAATTTGATATGATATGATATGTTGGTTATGGCACAATATGATAGGAAGGATTTAAAATGATATGATTTGATAGATGAGAGGGATATGTCATGATACAATACTATAAACTTCATTATGATAGTATATTTTGGATGCTTTATGATAAAAGGATTCATTTTGGCATAATACAACAGGACAGGAGAGGAAAGGAAACTATATGATACAATAAAAGATTTGATGTAATTAGCCGCAATACAATAGAAAATAAAACCACATTACAACATGATATAGTATGATATGATATGATACAATACAATAAGATACAATAGGATCAAATAAAATACATATGACAATTTGTCATAAAACTCCAAGATGTAATACGATATAAAATGATATAATATGATGTGATATGAGTGAAATGAGATGAGATGAAATAAATGATATGATATGAGATGATATGATATAATTTGATATAAGATGATATGATATGATATTATACAGTAGGATCAAATATGATACAATACAATATGGTTCCATGCAACATACTATTACAACATGATACAATTTGTCATAAAACTTCAAGATGTAATACAATATGATATGACATGATATGATATGATATGATATGATATGATGATATGGTTCTGAAATACACTTATGGTGCAACTTAAGACACATCATCAGTGTTGGCACCTGGGTTCACTGGGTGTTTCGGGTCTTGCAACAGACACCCTCGCCCAGGGGACCCAGCCGGGGTGATCAAGTCCCGGCTTGTGTCTTAAGAGCATGTGTCCACGGATCACCCCGCTTGATCCACAGCCATCTGGACGCCTTCTCTGCTGCGTCACAGATGTTCTTAATGGCTCGCCTGTTGTGCAGTCCCCCCATTCCCAGCATCTTGAGAGCCCTGATGAGGGACTGGCCAGCGAATCCTCTGCATCCGACCTCGATGGGGTTGCACCGGGTCCTCCATCCCCTGCTTCGGCATTCACTTGCCAGCTCCTCATACTTGGCTTTCTTTCTCTCAAAGGCCTCCTCCATCCTGTCTTCCCAGGGAACAGTCAACTCCAGCAGGACCACTTGCCTTGTTGTTTCAGACACCAGGACCATGTCTGGCCTGAGCGTGGTCACTGCGATGTTCTCCGGGAATTTGAGCTGTCTCCCTAGGTCGACTTTCAGCTGCCAGTCATGGGCTGTTGCCAGCAGCCCCCCTGCTTGCCTCCTGAGCTGCTGCGGCTTCTCCCCAGCCTTAACGAAGGCGATGGTCTGCCTTGATGGTTGTGTGTGTTTGCTGGTGGAGATGCCTGTGTTGATGGCCTCCGCAATGACCCGTAGCACTTGGTCATGGCGCCAGCGGTAGCGCCCCTCTCCCAGTGCTCTTGGGCAGCAGCTCAAGATGTGTTCCAGTGATCCTGCTCTTTGGCAGAGAGGGCACAGTGGGTTCTCAGCCAAGCCCCAGCGGTGGAGGTTGGATGGGCTTGGGAGGACGTCGTAGACCGACTGAATGAGGAACTTGATCCGGTGAGGCTCAGAGCGCCATAGCTCTGACCACGAGACCTTCCGGGCAGCTGCCTCCTCCCAACGGGTCCACGCCCCCTGCTGCCGCATCCCCACTGTCTTGCTGCAGCGGGCTTCCTCCACCCCTGCTCGGACCTCCTCCTGGATCAGCTGACGCCTTTCCTTCCCCTTGGCCTTGTTATATGAAGGTCTCGGGTTGCTCCCAAGTCCTGCCCGTCCGGATGCCACCGTTCCCACCAGCTCACTGTGCCGCAAGCGGGACTCAGCCTGATCGACTGCCTCTTGAGCACACCACTTCCTGCCGGTCCTCACTTCTACACCTGCCGAGGAGACTTTGATGTCACTTGAGTCCCTATACAGCAGCACCTCTCTTGCACGGGTAACCATAAACTCCTCCGTCAGACTGCTGAAGGGTAGGTTAAGTTTGTTGCTCTTCCCGTACAATGCGATGCTGCTGAGGCTTCGTGGTAGCCCCAGCCACTTCCGCAAGAAAGAGCTGACCTTCCTCTCGAAGCACTCGACGGTGGTCACAGGCACATTATAAACCAGCAGTGGCCAGAGAAGTCGAGGTAGGATGCCATGTTGGTAAATCCAGGCTTTGAACTTGCCTGGTAGCCCCGACTTATCCACTGCCGTCAGCCAGGTTCCCAACTCCTCTGATGTTGCTTGGAGTGCTGTGGTGTCCTTCAAGGTGCAGTCGTAGATCTTGCCCAGGCTCTTAACTGGCTTTTCACCCACAGATGGAATCAGGGTATCTCCTATTGAGAAGCGAAACTTCTCTGTGACCTTCCCCTTTCTCACCACCAGGGACCTGGATTTGGCTGGCTTGAAGTTCATCCGGGCCCAGCTGACGAGATGTTCCAGGCCTTGGAGGATCCATCTACAGCCCGGGACAGATGTTGTAGTCACCGTCAGATCATCCATAAATGCTCTGATGGGGGGCTGTCGCGTACCTGAGTTGGTGAGTGGTCCTCTGCACTCCACCTCTGCTGACTTCACCAGCATATTCATGGCCAAGGAAAACAGTACCACAGAAATGGTGCATCCTGTGATAATGCCCTTCTCAAGCCGATGGAATGCAGATGTTACTGTTCCGGAAGTGACTCTCAAACTGAAGCAGCTGTAGTAGTCCAGTATGAGGTCCTTGATCTTGCCTGGAACATGGTGTCGGTCGAGCGAGATTTCCACCAGCTTGTGTGGCATGGACCCGTAGGCGTTGGCAAGGTCGAGCCAAAGGACTGCCAGATCTCCTCTGCCTTCTCTTGCTTCCCGGATCAGCTGGGTGACAACTCCTGTATGCTCGATGCATCCTGGGACCTTTGGGACTCCTCCCTTCTGCACAGAGGTGTCGATGTAAGTGTTCCTCAGGAGGAACTCCATCAAGCGCCGGGCAACGATGCTTAAGAAAATCTTGCCCTCGACGCTGAGGAGTGAGATGATCCTGAATTGCTCGATGGTGGTTGAGCTCTCCTCCTTTGGAATCCAGACCCCCTCTGCATGTCTCCACTGCTGGGCCACCTTCCCCCTTCTCCAGATGACCCGGAGGATTGACCATAGTCGCTTCAAGAGTCTGGGGCATCTCTTGTAGACCACATATGGCACTCCACTGGGGCCTGGTGCTGACTTGGACCTAGCTGCCTTGACAACCTCCTCAACTTCTCTCAAAGTTGGTTCCTTGGTGTTAAATGCCGAGGTGGGTTCTGGCGGAGTTATCAGGGTTCTGCATGGCCCAAGATCTTCTTCTCTTGCACTATCGCTGTAGGTGGTATTAAGGTACTTGTTAACCTCGTCTTCAGTGCAGGCAAGGTGGCCACTTCTTTTCTGCCCGAGGATTTTCTTGGTGAAGCCAAAGGGATTTGAGATGAAGGCTGCACGTCTCCTGGCCCTCTCTCTACCCCTTCTCCTATGCCACTCTGCTCGACGGAGGATGATGAGCCTTTTCCTTATTGTGCTGCGGAGCTCTGCCAGCCCGGCCTTCTCTTCCTCCCTTGCCACCTTAAACTGTCGTCCAAGCAGTTTAAGTTCCTGCCGCAGCTGGCTGATCTTTACCTCCCGTCTGTTTGGCTCCCCTGGGCATCTGGTTGGCTCCCCTGGGTGTCTGGTTGGCTGTTGTTCCTTTATGCCGAACCTTTCAGCAACGATGTTGATGATCATCGCCGACATTGACAGCAATCTCTGGTCTGCATCTCCCCTTGCAGTAGCGTCAAGGACTCGGTCCACGTCTTCATCAAATTGGAGCCACTCTCTTTCTTTGTTGGCTGCAGGCCACACGACCCGTCGATGTTCTGAATGCTTGAAACGAGGTAGGACTTGTGGGGCGTGGAGGGTCTGGGCACTGTGGGTTGACTCCTGGCCGGGCACCTCCTGCGTCTCACCAGGTTCTGGACCTGTGCGTTGCACCACCTGCTTCCCCGTCAAGCATCTCATTTTGGTCTGGTGGATCTTCAGACCACGCGGGTTCTTGCAGACCTTGCCGCATGGACAGACTGCGCTCGTAGTCATTTTTCCGTTCCGCTTCGTTGCCTGTTTGTCAGTCCTGTTGGGGTGCTCATCCTCCCCCCCTCTCGGGCACCCCTGGGGGTATATTTCGTCAGGGCTTTTCGTAGCGTGCTTGTGGGTGCTCCCTCACAGGAGCTGCAGTTTGGGTTGCTGGCCCTCCCTGCCCCGGTTACTGTCTTTCCAGTTGTCAGCTGACTCTCCAGCAGTCACCATACTGTTCATGGTCGTCATCCGGCCTATTCCCGGAGGTCACTGGCATGGCCAGATCAACTAGTTCTGAAATACACTTATGGTGCAACTTAAGACACATCATCAGTGTTGGCACCTGGGTTCACTGGGTGTTTCGGGTCTTGCAACAGACACCCTCGCCCAGGGGACCCAGCCGGGGTGATCAAGTCCCGGCTTGTGTCTTAAGAGCATGTGTCCACGGATCACCCCGCTTGATCCACAGCCATCTGGACGCCTTCTCTGCTGCGTCACAGATGTTCTTAATGGCTCGCCTGTTGTGCAGTCCCCCCATTCCCAGCATCTTGAGAGCCCTGATGAGGGACTGGCCAGCGAATCCTCTGCATCCGACCTCGATGGGGTTGCACCGGGTCCTCCATCCCCTGCTTCGGCATTCACTTGCCAGCTCCTCATACTTGGCTTTCTTTCTCTCAAAGGCCTCCTCCATCCTGTCTTCCCATGATATGTGATATGAATGAAATGAAATGATATGAATTGAATGATATGATATGTTATAGTATGATATGAGATGATATGATATGATAACATATGATATGATATGATATTATATGACATAATATGATATGACATGATATGATATGATACAATAGGATCAAGTATGATACAGTTCAATATGGTCCGATGCAGCATACTATTTTATGATAAAATTTGTCACAAAACTACAAGATGTAATACAATATGATATGAAATGATATGAATGAAATGAGATGAGATGAAATAATTGATATGATTTGATACAGTTTATTATGGTTTCATGCAACATACTCTTATGATAAAACTTGTCATAAAACTACATGATGTAAAACAACATGATATGGTAAATTATATATAATGATATGATATGATACAATACAACTTGATACACTAGGATCAGATATGATTAAGTACAATATAAAACAAAAAAAACATCTAAACTTTACGTTTAGATATGAAACAGTGCACTGATGGTCCCCTTTAAACAATTTGTTCTGGACTTAAAAACACAAAGAGTCAACAGGAAGACTTAATATGTTTGAGTTTAAATATATTTATCTGACTAATTAGGCACAGTGTGTGTGTGTTTAAAGCTGTAGTTCAGTGAATAGTCTCATACAGCCCTTTTCCAGCCCTACATTTGGATTCACAGAGTTTGATTGTTGTTTTCAAATAACCAGCCAAATCTGATCTGAAGTGCAGTATGTGTTAGTGCAGTTTCCAAATGACAGTAGTGAAAACATGTGACAAACAGCAGCATAATCAGACACTGCAGTGCTGCAGAGATGTCCCATCATCCTGATTTCTCTGGGTTTTTCTTTCAATGTTGGATCAGCTGATTTGATATTTCTGAGGTTTGTTTATTGGAAAAAAACAGACTGCACCAGATTTATCCTCTGGAATGAATTCAGATTTGAATCCGTATCATATCACGGTTTTATTCCTCTTTATTTCTGTGTCTTTCTTTCTCCTCTTCTTCTTCAGTCCGTCTCCATGACAGTATCTCAGAGGAGGGCTTCCACTATCTCCTCTTTGACCTGTGAGTTTCCGTCTTTCCTCCTCCCCTTCTCCTCCTTTCTCTTTCTCCGCCTTACTGTGCTGCTATCCTTCCCTGATGCTTCATTTTCCACCACTCCCTTTCCTTCCTTCCTTCCTCCCTACTTCCATCATCCTTCTTTCCTATCCTCGCTGCATCTGTCTCCTCACTCTCTTTCCTCGTATCTGCATTCCTTTCATCATTCCTCCACTTCTCCTTCTTCTTCTCCTCCTCCTCTCCTCACCCCCTCCTCTCTCTTTCAAGGCAGTTCCCCCGTTACATAACAGTCCCCCCCTCCTCCCCACCTCCACCCTTGCGGCTTCCACTTTGGCGCGCACACACACACACACACACACACACACACACACACACACACACACACACACACACACACACACACATACACAGATACATCCACACTCCCCCGCACCGGAGCCAGTCTCCATGGCAACCCAGTCGGAGTGAATCCTGCAGCCGGGGTTTCCCCCTAATGAGGACATCCCCCTCCTGTCTTTGTGTGTGTGTGTGTGTGTGTGTGTGTGTGTGTGTGTGTGTGCTGCCTGTGCAAATAAAGCTTTATACTTTTGCGTTTCTCAGGGTGACAGGAGGGGAGCTGTTTGAGGACATTGTGGCCAGAGAGTACTACAGCGAAGCAGATGCCAGGTAAACATGCGATCAACCGTCTCTTCTTCTTCTTCTTCTTCTTCTTCTCCACCCCCTTTATGTGTCCATCCTCCAGCCTCTGCAGTCCTCCAGCAGCCCCGCACTCGTCCACCCCTCTCATTAGCACACATGGGCAGTTCTGACACATTGATGCTGTTTTTTTTGGGGGGGTGGGCTCCAGCTTTGATGGATAATACCTCGATGCAGTTTTCTGGTCAAGGTCAAGGATGTTTTTTTTTTTCCCCAGAGTCAGAATTCACAGACAGATGGAAACACACACAAGCATCACAAAACGCACACATGCCCACGCTGTAACCCCCTCAGGAGGTAGACTTAAATCAATTTGACTGTGGAGGCGGTTTGTGGAGGCGAGAGAGAAGAGAGAGAGAGAGAGAAGAAAAGAAGGGGACTGAAAAAAGTAAGAGGGAAGGGAAAGAGGGAGAATGAGTGAAAGCGAATTTCATCTCCAGCTGTTTTTTAAGCATTCTTAAATATCTCTGCTGCTGCTGCTCCAACCTGTAGCCTTTCATAACCGCACTTTTTCTTCATATCCAAGACTCTGAATGATCGTTTTTTATAAAGTCTAGAGACTCTTTTGAGAATAGAATAGAATATTCCTTTATTGATCCCCCATGGGGGAATTTTTTTTGTCACAGCAGCATCACAGACAAAGATAAAGATTGTTATATTAAGAACTTAAATAAATGTAATAATCGAGAAAAAATTTAGGAAAAGGAAAAAGGGAGAAGAAAAATAAAAGTATATACAATATACACGATTTAAGTACCAGAAAAAAAAAGTGGTGGTGTGAGTCCAGTTTTATTACAGTTCATTGTAAAGTCTTATTGCAGAAGGGAGGAATGACCTGTGGTATGACCCATTTGTTATTGAGAAGTCAGAGCAGTGGCTGTTTGACTTTATATAAAAGCACATGGAGGTGATAATCTTATTTAAGGAGGAACCAGACTTCTTGTTAGAGTCATCAAAGTCAAATTTGAGGGGATGTAGGAGAGGTTAGATACAGAGGGATTTTAGGAGAAATTGGCTTCAAACAGCCAACTAAGAATGGAGGAATAATTGGAGTAACAAATGAGAAATATCTCCAAACTCCTGGACCGCAATAGTTAGTTCCCTCATTTTACATATTGATGCATACACACTTGCTGCAAACGCAGAATAACATCGAACTGAGTGTGATCAAGCTGTTTTACTTAGTATCTGACGGGTACCTGACGCAAAGATCGATCATTTCATTCCTAAGCAGAACCTGATGTTGTGCAGGTATTCTAACCCCATCACTGTACAGTTTATCTTTAATATTAAGCTGAATATAGAGATGTAGTCTGCATAACCAAAATATAAAAGTCAGACAGTTCATAACCATACTACTGTCTGTCCACTTCAAACTGAACACAACAGATCTGTTAATCATAAAGACACACAGTTTTTACGACAAAAGACGTCATATAACCTCCTCTGATAGGGTCTGCACCTGTTTTTGTTTTTCAATCTTAAAAGAACCACTTAGATGAGCTTTTTTGACTTTGTCAGGAACCTCTATTTCAACAAAATAAAAATAAAAAAATTAAATTGACTAAATTATGAAATGCTCTTATTAAAATTATGGCACTTGTCGTGTTAGGGTCACTGTTAACCCAGTTAGATCAATATCTAATAATTAGTAGTGTTGTGTCGTTCATGAATGATTTGTTCAAAAGAACTGAATCTTTTAAGTGAACGTACTGAACTGGATCTCTTCCTCGAATGATTAGTTCGTTTCTCACTTCAGTTAAGCTGTCAGCAGCGCAACTACCACAGCACATAGCATTGCCAGGCGAGTTAGGGACCACACGTGCTGAAGCCTGAACCACAAAGTGAACGAATCACACAGTGAACTACACTCTCTGGAATCATTTTTGTCTGTGGGATACACTTTCATGGCGACTGTTGTTCCCCACTGTTTTAACAACAACAACTTGCGTACAGTAGGACACAGCATGTAACAAGTACAGTATAAAACCCGCAGTTTGATAATGCGTGACTCTCTGATCCTATTATTGTGGCGATTTGCGAGGGAACAGTGCATGTTTAGTGTTATTTCTTCAGTAAATGTACTGTAGGGTAAATGTTCAGTGAACGAATCACTTAGTGAGGCCAATTTACCGAGAAGATAAATCATTGGACAGTACACTTAAAACATCATGGTTTATAAACAAGTTTATTTTTACAAACCTGGTAGTCAAAGCAACACAGCCAAACACTAATGTCTTCCAGGCCCAGAAGCTGTGAACAGAACTGAAACCTCAAACGTTCAGTTGTGTATTAGTGCTGAATGATTTGGTGATTTAGTGAACAAATCTTTTGAACAAATCTTGTCTGTGAATGGAGTCTAGTGATTCAGTACATCTAAAAAAACTGCTGTGCCCATCACCAATAATTAGAGCATAAACTAAAATCATCACACTGACAGTCAGATCCTCTTCCAATCATGAGATTAAGGAAATTCTAATTTTTCCCTGCACATGAAACAACGTCAGCCATGTCCAGACATGTGAGATCAATTCAGTATAGATGTCTGTGTGAGGGGTATACTGACAAAGAAAGGCCCAGAAGACCACGGCAAAAAATATTCCAAACAATAGTTTTATGGATAATGTAGTCGAACAAGGTAACCTAGAGATTAGAACCAAATTGGATGATAGAGAATTGTTTTTAGTGTAATTTACAGCTTTACATGGTGGGTGCGTAGTAAAAGCTAACACAAGAGGAAGGTTAAATGTGTTTTTGGATAAAACAGTATCTGGACATGAATCAGCTTGACCAAAACGGACTTTATTGACAGAAACCATCTTTAGGAAACATTTTTATAAGCTGTGTTTTGATTTTTAAATTCGACCCATGTCCCATCTGTTATCATGGAGGGAGCCGGCTTTAAGACCTGTATTTAATGCTGCGTTCGAATTACCTCAGAAGTCAGATGTCGGAGCTGAAAATGACGTCACTCGAGTTCCCAGCGTTTCAGTTACCAAGTCGGGAAGAAGCAAAAGTGGAGGCCTGAAACAAAATGGCTACATTGACGGAAGTTATTTTAGCGCTTTCGTCAAGCACTAAAATAACTTTCTTGATGTAGCCATCTTATTTCAGGTCTCTTAACTTTGTTTCTTTCCGACTTGGTAAGTGAGACACTGGGAACTTGGGTGTGATGTCATTTTCAGCTCCGACATCTGACTTCCACGGTAACTCGAATGCAGCATTAGTCAGACAACAGGGGGAGCTCTACATCTTTAAGAGAGCTTTTTTGCACTGTCTAGGATTTAAATAGAGCACAAAAGAAACCAGATGTGTCGTGAATTTTAACCAGGACTGCTGTTTGCATTCACTCCGGTGCTTCCAGTGTGAATTCCCCGTCTGTATTTGGGTCACATATACAGTCATAATGGCCACACATAAGAGCCTTGGTAATTATCCCACTGTGCTGAGTAGGCCTGTGTTTTTTCCTCTGTATTCTGCTGCTTTACTTCCATGTTATTTTCTTTTCTAGCCTCTCATCTGCCTCCATTCTCTCTTGTTCTCTTTGCATAAATTATTGGTGTGTGCGAGTGTGAGTGTGTGTGCGTGTCACTCGGTGTGTTTGCGTGTGGGTGTGTGATTAGCATGGCTTGATTACTGTCCAACAGTATCTCACTGACAGTTTCCTCTCTGTTCTCCATCTGCACACAGATTCACTCGCTCCCTTCCTCCCTCCTCTATCGCTGCCACTTTAAAGGGCAGGTTCACCCAAATACTGCAGAAACATATTTTCCTGTCAAACCAGTCGTGGTTTCCAGCCATGGGAGGGGTTTTTTTTTTTTTTACATCTAGGTTTTTAAATCTGTATCTCTCAGATTTCTGCTTCTGCCCAAATAGAATGGAAATAAATGGTATTTGGTGCTTACAACCTTAAATAATTACCTGACACTTGTGCAAATGTGGGATTTTTTTGTTTAGTAACAACAAGCCGATCTATTAATCAATACGTGAAATGTTTGTCTACATTTTCAGCAACATACATGCCTGTGTGTATAGACTTAAAGGTGGGGTAGTCAGGATGTAAGGAAGTTCCAGTTTTTAGGAGAAATCTTAAAAGTAAACTCTATCCCTCCCAACCAGTTTTCCCCTCAGCTCCTCCTCTCCCCTCCAGCAAGGCCCGCCTACAAACAGACGCTCCTGCTCGCTCGTATTGTTCCAATTAAATTCAGATATAATGTAGATAAATACTTCAGATAGTTACAAATGGGGCCCAGTCAACGTGAAAATAAAAAGCATTGGTGCTACTGTAGATGCCAACAGACTACCAGCAAACACAATGTTTGCAGAACTTCTACAACCAGGATAAAGTGACATAGTCCAGGACCTGAGGTCAACAGTTTAGTGGCGCTACAACATGCAGCAGGTCCTATTTGACAAGAAACACTTCTGTTACAGACACTTGGCTTACTTTGTTAAAGCGGTTTACCTGTCCAGCAGAAAGGTTACAGGGTCACGAAGATCCCGAAGCGTCCCCCATCATTGTTGACCCGGCTTCTTAGCTCTTGTCCGGTCTACCTCCTTTTTAAGCGCCCGTTATTCCACCAGAGTCTCCGGTATTTACTTTGTTTTCTTGCTTGTGTTGGCAGTCATGGCCAAAGAAGGATTCAGACAATTTTCCGTACTTCCTGGTTGGTTTCTACTGTCCGATGTTGTAGCACGCTAACTTAGTGTGGGCTTGCGCACGTTATTGAAGGACGTGGAGCGTGACTCACAACATGAGGGAGCAGCGTCTGCCTCACAACCAATCAGATTAGGGGAGGCAGAGAATGGTTTACAGTCAGAAAGAGCGGGCCGCTCAAAAAATGTAAAATGTTGATTACACAGACAAAAGAGAACACAGCAATATCATTATATTACCAAATGTCATCAATAACTAATAACTATTGGCTGATATTAAAAGTTTTTTGGTATATTCACCACAAAAAAGATGCTTCTTTAACGGAATCCTGCCTACCCCACCTTTAATATTTGCAAAATTTGAATTATTTTCTGTTTTCATATGGGGTTTTGGTCGTGTGTTGTTTGTTTTGGGGGCTGAGGTCCATGATGAAGTTGGGTATCAATGGGTGCGTGGCCATAGACCGAGTAAATTATATCACAAATCTAGACATGGGGTCACTTTTAGCTCCAAAAACCAAAATGACAACCCCCAATATGCGTAAAATGTTAGTTAAGAACAAGCCATCAGAGCTTGTCTTGGTGGTCTCATTTAGAAACACAGCAAATGCAAATAGAGCTAACTAGCTAGCACAGCAAAGTGAGATGGTTAGCATAAGCCTGCTAAATTTAAAGCTAGCGTTGTCACTGTAAGTGTGTTGATATCAAGCTGCCACCTTAAAAACTAAAAATGAGGCTGATGCGAAAGAAAAAAAAAAATTAGAAGACAACCTGCAGTTCCTTGAGTGTCCACTAGAGGCTGTCTCTCAAAACCAACCCTTCCATTAAATTCCATGTTAAAATTTCTGCATTTTCAGAGGATAAATACATGTTTTTCATTTGATGGACAGCACTCCACACAGAAACAGGAAAAGTTAGGGAATTGTGCCGCCTTCGTTAAAAAAGTCTGGACTGGGAACGATGAGTCAGTGTCACTCACCAACTTGCAAAGATAATAAAAGGGCAGATATTTGGGAACGTCACACTCTGCAGCTGTGTGTCGTTTAATAACACAAAGAACCATGGCAGCAGGATCGATATAAAAAAGTCACAGTTATAAATCTGGTCGGGTTTCAGCGCCACAGACAGTGCCCAGGGTTTCTAAATGCAGAGCAGAGTGCAGCTGCAGATATTTCAGAGCCACATTTAGGGCCACAGACCTCGGCCAGATAACGGATCAATGAGCGGGCTGCATTAACGAATCCAACTCTACAACCTCCCTGCCCCTGCACGCTCCCCTCGCCCTGCGCTCTGGGCTGAAAACAGCAGGGGGGATTTCAGGTTAACAAACAGATGCATTTCAGTCGATTCTTTTAAAAAATAGCTCTCAGAAATCTAAAACAGGGCGGAGGATGAAAACAGAGTATAAATATGTTTTTTGATATTTTGGTGAACTGACCATATGACCTTTCCTCTTTCTCTTGTCCTGAAGCGACCGACCTCTTCCTCTCACATGTCCCTTTTACTCCTCTGTATTACTGTTTTACACCCTGTTGTTTTGTCTCCACAGTCACTGTATCCATCAGATTCTAGACAGTGTGTCTTACACCCACCAACATGACATAGTGCACAGGGACCTGAAGGTGTGTGTGTGTGTGTCTCATTGTGTTGCATTTTCCCTGCACCCCTCTGTAACAAGGGTTGCTTGTTCTTTTCCTGCCTGTGATTTTAAACGACTTGCCTGTGCCTGCTGTCTGTTTGTCCGTCCGTCCGTCCGTCCGTCCGTCCGTCTGTCTGTCTGTCTGTCTGTCTGTCTCTTATTTGTCTGCTAGTCCTCAGGTTTTTGCTTTTTGGGACTCTTGTTGCACTATTTTGGACAGCCTGAACTAGATTTCTCCTTGCAGAATAAGCACCGTACTCTTGAGAGAGAGAGCGAGGAGGAGTGTGTATGTGAGAATGAAAGCGAAGAAGAGTGTAGTTCAGTGGAGTAACAGCAGAGCGTCGTGCTTGGAAACTGCTAAAATGTTTGGTTGGATGAATAAATTAGAGTGGAGACTGTGCAGGTTAGACACAGTGCCGCCCACATGGAGCTGCAGCTCACTCCCACACTGCCTGACTAACGTTTGGCTCCTTCCTGCCAGCAGAAAATAGCTCAGTGCACACCTTCTCCCTGCGTAGTTCACAGACAGGTTCACTCTCACACTCGACAAATCATCCCTCTATTGAAAACGTGTGTGTGTGTGTGTGTGTGTGTGTGTGTGTGTGTGTGTGTGTGTGTGTGTGTGTGTGTGTGTGTGTGTGTGAGTGAGTGAGTGAGTGAGTGAGTGAGTGAGTGTGCAGCCTGTATTGAGATGTTGCTGCCTCTGCATGGATGTGACAGTTGGGGGGCTGAATGTGCTCAGACTAACCTGCTCCCCCTGCTGTTTGCGTGCAGTCATTGCATCCAGCAGATCCTGGAGGCCGTGCTCCACTGCCATCAGATGGGGGTGGTACACAGAGACCTCAAGGTGAGTCACCTGCAGGGGTGTGTGTGTCTGTGTGTGCGTGTGTGTGTGTGTCGGGTGAAATTTGAAGTTGTGTGTGTTGTCTGCGTCTACCTGTTGCGATTGATCCTGGTAAGTAGGAGCAGAGCATTTTCACAGCCAGCATGTCGGTGCATGCCTGCAGGCCTGATCTTCAAACGTGCATGGGTGTGTGCCTTCTTGAGCTTTACATTCTGCACTTTTTTGCATTAAATTCTGCATTTGAGTTTAGCTGCTGCATTTGTTTTATCACCAGTGATGTTTTAAGATTAACTTAAAGTGAAAGAGAAAGTCGAGAACAGCTGAAAAATGTTGTATCAGCTGATCGAAAGAGGTTTAAACTCTTAGTTTGCTGCAGTTTTAAGTCAAAGTGTGCTCCTGGATATGTCACATGAGGTTTGATCAAGGATACCTGCACACATAAAAACCTAAATGACTGGGCCCTCAAACTTTAAAAAATCAAAAATCAAACAAAGGCCATGTACACACGTAGCTGGGTATTTGCTAAAACGAATATATTTTTGTACAATTCGGCCTGTCAACCACACAAAACTGCAGGATTATGTCATTACAAATTGTGCTTTTGGAAAACTCAAACTTTTGCATTTGCGTGTGGACTTATGCTGGGTTTGAGTAACCTCGGAAGTCAGATGTTCCCTGCGTTTCAGTCACCAAGTCGGAAAAAAGCAAAATGGGGGGCAGAAACAAGATGGCTACATCTGTGAAAGTTATTTGCGCCCTTGTTCAGGCAGTGTACGGCACAGATACATACAAAATATATATTTTTGTGAGTAGCAAAGGAGAAGAGGTGTTTTGCAGTTGGTTATTCTTCATCAAATAACCCTTCCTCTACCTTTCTTGTGTCTTGTTGACTTTATACTCCTAAATGATGCTTAAAAGCTATTCTTCCTCTTTTTTGGTCCACACAAACAAACTACACAGTGCTGTAGTTCATGTTTGGAGAAGTGACGACGAGAAAGGGAAGTAAAATAAATACCCGGCCACGTATGTACATGTTTGAAACCTGCCTATGACTCAATTAGGTTGTAAAGATTACAAAATTTGGACACTTTAGTTGATCTAAAGTAAAACACAGTAAAGCTGGATTTTAGGGAGACTTTCAAAGACATTTTGAACTGTCAAAAAATGTAATAAAAAACTAAGCCCAGTAGCTTCCAGTTAACAAAACAAAGAAGAACCAGTTTTTGATGTTATCCCAAAGATCACGCATTGAAGGATATTTCACAGCAACTAACTTTCTTGTTGTTTAAAAGAAAATATAAAAACCGGTTTAAGGTTGGGAACAGTTTATTTCACACCAGGTCAGAGTCTGCAGGTTAATGAAGCCAAATGATTTTGCAGAGTGTGGCTAACAGTAGCAGACGAGGACCACCAGTCCTTTTAGTTTTATCTGGATCCAGTTTAGATCCAGATAAAGCAGGTTACACATAACTTCTGCTGAGTGGATGTAAGAGAGTCTCTTTAGATGCTGATTTGTGCGTACTACATTTGAGATGGACTGAGGCAAAGTGAATCTGTCCTGTGGTCTGACAAAATCAATATTTGACTTTCAAATCATGGGCGAGGACAGAGACCACCCGGCTTGTTCTCAGCTCTTAGTCCAAATCCAGCATCTCTGAAGGGGATGGGGACATGTCCTCCTTTTGGGGACTGTCTGGCCTATCTGGGGGAGTTTATAAAATCCTTCAAATGTCCGGGGTTTTGTTTGGAAGTTTTGAGTTTGTGTAGCATGGACTATCTGAGTTACCACCAGTTTTGACCGCATCTGGATCCGTCGGTGAGGCGAATTTTGTAGCGGACAGCGGTAATCGCGAGAACTCACAAGAACCCACGGATTCACATGCAATCGCGTGATAACGAGTTGTCTTTAGCCACTGAGGCTAACCATATAAGCAGTAGATTGTGTCCTTCCAGAGGAGGAAATCTACTTCTAGACTTCTAGAATCAGAATCTCCTCATCAATGGTGTCATTGGGGTGAAATGACATCTAAAAACTTTTCACTTGTTCGTCTCCGCCCATTTGCATGGTGTGAAATACGATCCACCTGAAACATGGAGCGTGTTATTTTGAAAAGAAGCTGGATGTTTTATTTTGTGTCTGTGCCCAACTTCCTTTCCAGGGTTAATCTGTGCTGAATTTATCTGGCATGCTCCAGCGTCCGTAAAAAATAGAACTTTTGCGATCAGCTGCGGAGTCTGGCGATCCATAGCGGAACGTAAAGAAGCCGGTGGAAATTGACACATTAACTTGAATGGTTATGATCAGCTACTACCGGGGATACGGCCTTTTCATAGCCGTTCCGGATGCGGTGGAAATTGGGGGTTAGAAGTGCATAAAAAACACTCGACCCAAAAAAACCCTCAAAATTTTGACTCCGACCTGTGTAGTGGTGTCCTCTTTTTTTGGATTTAGAAAATGGTCGCCCTAGACAAGGACCAAAACAAAGACTGGATGGTCCAGATCTTCAAGGCATTCAAAACAGAGAGGACTAGAGTGGAAATCACTGCATGGAAAGGACAACTGGACTTACATACGTCGTTTCGACTTATATGAGACGTTTCGCCTAAGTCCAGTTGTCCTTGCAACGAAGATCTGGAAATTATAGATGCTGCCTCCTCAGTTTTAAACAGCATCTTCAGGTTTAGGAGCAACATCTCCTGACATCCAGACAATGAGTTTTTCAAGCAAGACCTTCATATGATCCCTAACCACATTCTGACAACAGCATGGCTCTGTAGGAGAAGAGTCCTGATGCTTTCCTGACTTTGAAAACATTCGGAGCCTCGTTTTCAAAACCTCCAAATGTTTACCGAGTTTTGTTGGAAGAAGAGGTGACAGCACCGAAACAATAATGTGAGTCCTATTTCCTCAGTTTAATATTCATAGCATGTGTATATTTTAATGAAGCGCGCTCCTTCTCCGTGTCGGTGTCTTTTCCGCTGGTGTTATTGGTATTATTGCAGAAGGACTCTTCAGGGAGCTCTAAAATTGCTTTACCTTACAGAAGTATATTAAAGAGTTTCACAATCGGAGGAGGGAGTAGAAAAGGGTTTTGATGATTTCCCCTGTGGAGGTTAATAAAGTTACTACAAAAGAAGAAGATGCTCAGCAGTAGATGTTGTTTTCTCATTAGTATATGAGCAAAAACATATAGGACCAAATCTGTCCAACCAGCTCCAATTAAAGCTTCGATATATGATTTGGAAGTTGCTAATTTTTTAGTTTTTTTTAAGAGCAAAATAAGTTAAAAATCTTATGTTCCTGTCACTCCCTCTGACTGCAGATTCAGCGTTAAAAAAACAACCTGACCTTTGTTTCAAGGAGGCAAAATGTCAACAAGCTAGCTCCTCTCAAAAATCGGCTAATTTGTGACTTGCTTTTTTAAAAAACCTCTTAAAAATTAAATTGATGATGCTCCAGGTAGAGATTTCTCAATAACATTAGAGAGGACTGGATTGGTTAAAAGTTCAGGAGCAATTCTTAAATTTTTATCTATTTTTTCCATTTTTTTTCACAAAACTGATTTTTTTTTATCTAATAGAAACAACTTATTTCCTCAAATTATGACTTTTATTCCAAATTTTCAACTTTTTATTAATTAACTTATTTTTTTAAGTCATTAAAACAGCTAATTTTTCTCAACATTTTGACTTTCGTATAATTTTTCCAACTTTTTGTCCTATCACTTGATTATTTATCTAATAGAAACAACTGATTTCCTCAAAATTTTGAACTTAATTTCAATTTTTCATTATTTATTACTTCACTTATTTTTTTAAGTCATAAAACCAGCTAATTTTTCTCAATTTTTTTACTTTTGTCAGATTTTTACATCTTTTTGTCCCATCACTTAAAATTTTTGTTTTAGGAACAGTTGATTTTCAGAAAATTGAACTCCTTATCTAGTTTTTCCACCTTTTTATCACATAACTTAGATTTTCTTTATCTCCTGGAAACAACTTATCCTCTCAAAACTTTGACTTTTATTCCAAATTTTCAACTTTTTATTACAAAACTCTGTTTTTTATATCATAAAAATAGCTCCTTTTATCAACATTTTGACTTTTGGCAGGTTTTTACAACCTTTTGTCCCATCACTTTGATTCTTTTGTCATAGAAACAGCTGATTTTGACAAAAGAATAACTTACCGTTTTTTTTCCACCATTTTATATAACATAACTATGACTTTATTTAATCTCATAGAAACAACTTACTTCCTTTTTTGCTATAAAAAACAGCTCCTTTTTTCAACACATTGACTTTTGTCTGATTTTGACAACTTTTTGTCCCATCACTTTGAATTTTTTGTGTCTTATTTTGAAGACATAACTTTCTAACTTTCACAAAAAATGACTTAAACTCATTTACCACCTATAATTGTGGTGTAATTATCTCATAATCAAGACTTTTAATTATTCTTGTATTTCTATCTCATAGTTTGGACCCATTTCACTCTTGCATAGTTGAATATTTTTTAATAACAGTCACATTATTGTTACAGTTTTCAGGGGAGAAAATATTGATTGGGGCTTCATTAAATTTCCCAGTTACCCACTTAAATCACAGTCTGTGGGTTTTAAAAAAGTTGTCCACATCACTGATCTGGAGCCTGTTTTTCCTTCCAGTCGTTTGAACGGTCGTGAAAAAGTGTCCTAAAGTTTGACAGATGTGAGGCAGGGTCCTGATTAAAGCCTGAAATAATGTCCGTAAGGTGTGTGTCATTACCCTACAGCTGATCGTCTCCCTGTGTGACATGGTTTTAATTGGTTTTGTCCCTCTGATCATCAGTCAGCTGTCCTATAATTAAGTTTTTGGAGCAGCCAGCAGAGGGTGACATGACGACTGTCCTGCAGCTGCACCACAGCAGCTGTTTCTGTGCTGGAATGACTTTTGGTTATTAGCACAAATCAATCACCATCAGGGTTAGCTGCTTATACAACGGGGAGCTGATGTCAGTGTGTGTGTGTGTGTGTGTGTGTGTGTGTGTGTGTGTGTGTGTGTGTGTGTGTTATGTGTGTGTGTGTGTGGGTTTGTCAGATTGCTGTTACATCAGCGTCTGAGCAGGAGAGACACGACTGATACAAAAAGACAAGCTGTGTTTGGGCTTCCTCAAGCAAACAAATGGCCAAAAAGGCCCGTGCACATTTTAAAAATCCCATCCGTCTGTCTCTGCCTGCGAGTGTGCGTGTGTGTGCAACAGAATATGTATGAGTGTTTGTGCATCCAGGGCTATTCTTAGTGCTCTGATCTGGGTTTAACTGGTTTTATCCCAGCGCTCTGTCACACTTTCTTCCCTTTTTTCTTTCTTAAAAAGAAGTAATCTGTTTCCCCCAATGTGAGGACAGGCCAAAAGCGCAGCTGAGGATAACCCAGGTCCTGACTAAAAACCTGGTGGACTTTTCTCATGAGACTTAAAGTAACAGCAAAGACACACAGTTACTGCAAACACACATATAAAGATACTGACTCCAGAGAGACACATCAAGACTTCACAGAGCGAGATATGGTGATGAAAATATGCAATATAACCACAAAGAGGCACAAAAATAACTAATTAATGCTAAATTACATTTAACGGTTAAAAAGATTTTTAAAATATGATGAAAAAGAGATGCAGCATCATTAAAAAGAGACAAAAAAATAAGGACTTAATGGACTTAATGTACAGCGGCCCCGAAGGTCAACTGCACAAGCATTTCATGACTGCAAAAAGATTTTTAAAAGAGGCTAAAACATTTTTATTAAAAGCAGAAATATTTCACATACTGTGATCAGATCTTATGAAGCACAAAATTAGTCTTATAACTGCAAAATATTTCAGAAAGAAAACGAAAGCAAATAAAATCAAAACACATCCTGAGTACAAGAAAATACGAGTGTGAAAAGAATCAGAAATAGACATAAAACAACTTAAGAGAGCATAAAATTAGCCCAAAAGATAATTTTTTATTTCATTTTAGTCAAATTTTGAAAAATAATTTTACAAAAAAAGATAAAATATGGTCCTAGATAGACACGAAGACGGAAAAGATGTAAAAAAACAATCACAAAAATGAACAAAAGGGGCAAAATGACGTATTAGAGAATACTCTAATAATCTACTAAGATGTGCTGAAAACTCTTACACAGATGCAAAATGACTCAAAAAGTGCACAGCTGTTGGCCGCCTTTATTTACAGATGACGACATTTAGTCAAACTTTTAAAAGCCGAACTTCAGTAAAAAAAAAAAATATATATATCAAGTTTTTAAGTAAAATCGAAGAATGTTCAGTCTTTTTTGAGGTTATCATTACTCAAGTGTCAGGTGACTTTTACTGACGCTCCTCTGTTTCGGTGTTCCTCTCAAACTTGCAGCCGGAGAATCTGCTGCTGGCCAGCAAGTGTAAGAACGCCGCCGTCAAACTGGCCGACTTCGGACTGGCGATCGAGGTCCAGGGAGACCAGCAGGCCTGGTTTGGTATGATCACACACACTTTGTACTTTTCCACATGAGGACAGGTGGACTTTGGTGAAGGATTTATGATGACAGTATCAGATCTAAAAATAGGACAACTTCCTGTAAAATTCACTTCACATTGTCAGATCGACAGTTTTACGATAAAATTTTAAACTCGCAATTTTTTTATCCCTGAGAGATCAGAGTAAAGATTGAATCTCTCAAAAACAAACGAAAATAAAAACAAAGTTAGTCTGCGATGATTTATGTATTAGTTATGAAGATGTAGTTTTAAATCTGTTAGCTGACTCTGCCAATAGAAGGCAGCCATCTTTGTTATGGTCTGTCAACCAATCAGAGGACAGGATTCCCTCAGCTGAGCAGTGACTGTGATACAACATGGAATAAGTTCGTCTCTGATTCAACTTAGAATATCCGGAATTTCTATTTAAGTCCAAAATTATTTAAGTAAAGACATCGTCCAGTCGTCACCACCCTCCTCCTACTCCTCTACCTCATCTTTCTCCTGCACCTCTTCTTCCTCCTCTCTTCTTCTTCCTTCTTCTCGTTTTCTTTGTCTTCCTCTACCTCATCTTCTTGCTCTCCATCCTTCTCCACCTCTTCCTCCTCCTTTTTCTCTCCCTCCTCTTCCTCCTCCTGCTCGTCTTTCTCCTCCTTCTCTTCCTCTTTGTCTTCCTCTTCCTCCTTCTTTTCCTCTCCCTCCCCCTCCTTCCTCCTCTCCCTCCTCTTCCTCCTCCTCCTCTGTCTCCTCCTCTTCCTCCTTCTGCTCATCTTTCCTTTACCCCTCTTCTTCCTCCTCTATTCCTCTTCCTCCTTCTCTTCCTCTTTGTCTTCCCCCTTCTCCTTCCTCACCCTTTTCCTCCTCCTCCTCTTCCTCCAGCTCTTCTTCCTCGTCCTCCTCCTTTTACTCTTCCTCCTTTTCCTCTTCCTCCTCTTCCTTCTCTTCCCCACCCCTCACCCGACCCCTTCTCCTCTTCCTCCTTCTCTTCCTCTTTGTCTTCCTCTTTCTCTCCCTCCTCTTCTTCCTCCTCTTCCTCCTTTTCTTCTCTTCCTCTGCCTTTGTCTCCCCCTCTTACTTCTCCTCCTTTTCATTGTCTCCTTCTCCTCCTCTTTCTCCCCCTGTCCCTCTGTCTCCTCTTCCTCCTCCTCCTCTTCCTCCTTTTCTTCCTCCTGACAGCTGTTATGTGCAGCAAAGTTGTCGGTCTGGTCTCTCAAACGTTGAAGGATCAGACTCTGATCAGACTTATTTCAGATTCTTCGTCCATGCTGTTGTTTCCTGTCTCTCATCAGTGAGTCTGTAGCTCTGGAGACACTAGAACTCATCTCTGTGTTATCTTGCTAAGTTTCAGACTTTTGTCACCACATTCCTGTTTTTCAGACCTTCTCTTTTTCAAGTTATCATATCTGAAACATTATTATTTTTAATCTGACAGACTACATAAAACTTCACAAAAACACAAATGCACTTTTTTCTGGTTAATTTGACGTGTAGCCAAACTGCAGAGCTGAAATCTAAGATGCTGCAGCAGCAGGTAAAAGCTCCACTTCACATCATTAAAGTACATTTTCATAATGGACTCCATGAGCTGACTGTGACTCTGAGTCTTAAATCACTCTAGAATCACTACCTCCAAATCCAACAACGTTAACCCTTTACTTACCACACGAGTAAGAGAGATAGCCCAATCCACAGCAAAAATGTTTCAAGAAAATCATAAAAACACATTTTAAAAAAAGACTGAAACAGCCTCATTTCAGTAAAACACCAGTTTCTCTTCAGGATTTTTGGGGACTGATGTTTTCTGGATGTAAACCAACATGTTTTTTTTTAATTCTAGAAATGAAGAGAGTAGATGTGATATGGTTCATGAGTGTGTCTTTCTCTATGTGTGTCTCCTCTGTGTGTGTGTGTTTGTGCGCTCAGGCTTCGCAGGGACTCCTGGTTACTTGTCCCCGGAGGTGCTGAGGAAGGAGGCGTACGGTAAACCTGTGGACATCTGGGCCTGCGGTGAGCTCTTTGTCTGGTCTTTGTGTCTTCGTCATCACCGCCTATTTGCCATCTCTGTTGTCACTCAGACAAAGGTTGTGTGTTTTTTCTGTAGGTGTGATCCTTTACATCCTTTTGGTTGGATATCCTCCCTTCTGGGATGAGGATCAGCACAAACTCTATCAGCAGATCAAGGCTGGAGCATACGATGTGAGCCCTCCTCTGTGACCCTCGTCCTGTGTCTACCCTCATCTTCCTCATCCACACTGTATGTTAATTATCTGTGTTTGTGTGGGATCAGTTTCCCTCCCCAGAGTGGGACACGGTGACTCCAGAGGCTAAAAACCTGATCAACCAGATGCTGACGATCAACCCGGCCAAGAGGATCACGGCCCAGGAGGCTCTGAAGCACCCGTGGGTCTGCGTAAGTCCAAATGCTCCCTGAGGACAGGAATCAATATTCGGCATGTTCCAATATTTGTGATTTGTAAATCTGCGACACAGCAAGTTTGTGAACATCTGTCCCTTGCTGTGCCATCTGTTTCCAAACATGCGATCCCTGATACTTGCTCGGCTTATCTTCAAAGATTTGTCAAAGAGGAGGGCAAAAGAGCAACTTATCTGTGAGGATAAGATGAAACCTTCAGCTCAGAGCGCTCAGAGGAAGTGTGTGCAGGGAAATGCACTTTTTCAAGGCTTGTTTTCCAGACATGCCGATTTTCGCCTCTTAAAAATTATGCTTAACTTTATTCAACACGGATTGAAACTATGCCAGCTTTAACTGAGGTAACGACCTCGACGAGATCTGATAACACACGCCATCCATTCTTCTGCCATCGACAAAGTGAAAATGCTTTTTATATGTTTAGATGAGGCTCATTCATGCTCTGAAGGAGAAACATCGAGTTAGAACCGAAGAGCAACAAAATAGTTACAATTTTGGAGTTTACGACCAGAGTCAAGGCCGAGCACGGAGAGCGGGACAGTATAGAATAAAGACGGACCTTTGTGCAACCTCTGGTTCTGAAAAAGTTTAGATGTAAATTATAAAAAAAAAAAAAAAAAAAGATGTTGATGGTTTGCAAACTATCCAAAGACAACAACGCCCAAGGCTAAACGTCTCAAGTGAGTCCAGTTGTCCTTTCCAAAAAAGGTCAGATTTTGATCCATCAGACCACAGACCTAAGTCCACCTTAAATGGACTCAGATCCAGAGAGGTCTCTGGTGTCTCTGGATCCTGTTTCTATCTGATCTCCTCTTTCCTGGTTCAGGTTAAACTAAACATGCACCAATAAATTGGCCGGCCGATAGATTGCGCTGATTTCCTCAATTTTGGGGGATCGGTGATCAACTGATCCTTACTTATGAAACCCATTTTATCCACCAATCTTATCTACCTCAGCAAAGGTCTTAAAGTCAGCTGTTGTAGCTTTTTGCTTTGAATAAATGACAGGCCCGCCCACCAGGTCACATGTGCACACACGCGTGCGTCAGCGCCAGCGGCACACACAACAGTTATCTGGAGCATGATCAACTAAGCACGTTGAACTCACTACAAGGAAACCTAAAACTCAGGACAGTTTATTGGTTGTTTAAGTTGTGTTGTTAGTTGGTCCTGTAGATTATTATTTTACTAACTTCCTCAAACCTTGTGATTACCTTTGTTTGCAAAAGTTAAATACTGCTGTGCATTTTATTTTGGTAAGAGGCTCAAAACAGGCCTGCAGTCTGACCTGTATGTGACCAAGTATTGTTAATTTTTAAAATGTGGAAAATAAAAGACTTGATGAACTGATATAATTTAGTAGTTTGGACAGAAATATTCGAAACTTTTTATTTCTATTTGAGAGAAAGTCAGTTAAAAAAAATAAAAATCGACTTAGGCAGGTCAAGCTTTTTCAAAGATAGGTGATCGGACAGAAAATTGTGATTGTTGCAACCCTAGTTTGAACCTCATTAGTAGATGCAGTGATGAACTGTGTTCACAGTCAGTGGTTTTTGAAGTGATTCTGAGTCCGTGCAGTGACTTCCACTCCAGAGTCCTGTCTGTTTTTAATGTCCTGAAGATCAGGACCATCCAGTCTTGGTTCTGGTCCTTGTCCCTTTAGTACAGAGATTTCTCCAGAACTTTTTTCTAAAACTGTCAAACCGTTAGCTCACACAGTCTCTCACAGAGTCCTGAACTCTTCCATCTTTCCCTCTGAGAGACTCCGCCTCTCTGAACTTTCTTTTTAGACCCAGTCATGTGACTACCTTGTTTCTCCAGATGTTTTTTATTTTTTTACCGTTTTTTTTCTATTAAATAAAAAGTTGAACTGATTTGCAAACCATCAAACTCTCATCACGGTGTCCTCGTTTTTTTTCTCAAATGGAGGTCATGTTAAAAGATCTCTATATCATTCATTTGCTTCCACTTCCACTACAAATCCACGCTTTGGCAGGAGTCACATCTTTTCCACAGTGGGCGGTGGCGCTCATGGGAAATGCAGTCCCCCAAAAAAACGACTGATTTCATCCAAATGGGTCAGAACGATAAACGCGGCATGAAAGGGTCATTTAAAGTCCAATCTGTTGGACACGTGAAGAGAAGATATTTGATAATTAATGTTGTAATTAAGATGTCGTCACCCTAAAGAGTTTGAAAAGCAACACATTTCCAAGGAAACAAGTCTCTCCGACAGCTCCTGCCCACAGAAAGCTGTCACTGTCAGAGCTCTCTTCTTCTGTTTTATTTTCAGCGCCTCTCTTCTCTGTCTCTCCCCACAGCAACGCTCCACAGTGGCCTCCATGATGCACCGACAGGAGACGGTGGAGTGCCTGAAGAAGTTTAACGCCAGGAGGAAACTCAAGGTGTGAAAACGCTTCCATGTTTGCTTCTCCATTTTCTCCTCAGACACTTTTCTTTTACTCTTCTCAAATGAAACCCTGAAAGATTTTTCATTTAGCTCCGCTCGTAATCTTCACTTCCTGCTAAAGGGTCTGTCTTAAATTTGGCCCTGAGAGCATATTTACACAAAGAGATATTTGGCGAGAGTCAAACTAAACACAGAGAGAGATAATGACTGCCCTCCTCTGAGTAACATAATTCAGCTTTTTTTTAATCATCCAAGACAAACAATAAAACCTCTAAAACCTCTTTTATTTCACAGACAGATAGGGGGGCTGCTTCACTGACTGATTTTTTAAACTTGTTTTGATTATTTGCTCTGAATCAATGATTTCTGTCAGTGTTTGTTTCATAAATTAACGTCCTCAGAGGGAAAAGTTCTCTGTTTTTTCTCTGCTCACCGCAGGCCCAGATGTTTTTTGGGCTTTTATTTTGGAGGATAGGACGGTATAGAAAGCAGGAATTAAGGAGTCTGAGCAGGAGCGACAAATCCCAGCTGCTGGCTTAAGGCATAACCTCCACACATGCGGTGCACACTTGGACCGCTTGGCCCCTTTAAGGTTGCTTTTTTTAGGTGTTTTTGATTTTATTAGAAACAAGAAAGCAGCTCATTTGTTGAATGGATAGTAAGAAGTAAGAACGATGTAGAGCATCCCCTTTAAAACTGCATCATTCTGCGTTTTAAAACAGGTTTTAAGTCCGTATTTACAATACTGAGGAAGTGCTTCCAGAGTGCTGCGAGAGGAGCTATAATTTCCCTGAGCGATCAATGAAGTTCTGCTATTTCTGCAATGTGACTCATGAGTGTTCACCTCGGATGACTGAGCTGTTTGTGTGCACATTACATGAGTTCATATGTGCAGACATACAGTAGAGCTCGCAGGAGAGACACAGAGAGAGGGCTCTATTTTCGTGCCTTGCCGGAGATGTGGTGCAGGCACGGCGTAAGTCAAGTCCGTCGCGCTGACAAGGCGTGCCCAAGCACAATTTGGTATTTTGGTGAGCAGCGCAGTCCGGCGTAAGTATCCCCCCTCTCTAACTCAGCTCCTCCCAGCGGCATAAGTCGTAGGGAGGGAGGAGAGAGGGCGTGGAGTGGATTTAACACAGCCAAGACCTGTATTGACCAATAACATCAGCTCCTCTCCTCACCTTTAAATCCGCCACTGGTGAGGCGTATTACAATTTTTGTGAAGTAGTCAAAGAGATCAAGATATGGCTGAAGACAGCAATGCCACAGAGATTGAGATTTCATTTTCAAAATATGCCCCAGCAAATATGTACCAAAATTCAATTTGAAATGTCAAATCTGAAAATTCAAATGCATTTGCAGTTTGGCTTTTTTGTTCCAAAGTCAAAAGTGCGTAATTTGACTCAGAAAAAAAAGAAGAAGAAACTCTTTGTTTGAAAAATGCTTGTAACATATATATCCCACAACTCCTCTGTTCCGACGTGAGATATCTCTAATTTTTCAGAGGAGTCTGGTCAACTTTAGATGGCAGCAGTATAGCACTTACCACTAAACCTTATGAGGTTAACACCGGCTTAAAAGCAGCAAACCATCTACCTAAATGAGTCAGAGGTAGACCAGCAACTCCTTTGTTCCGACGTGAGCTATCTCTAATTTTTTAGAGGAGTCTGGTCAACTTTAGATGGCAGAGGTGTAGCACTTACCACTAAACCTTATGAGGTTAACATCGGCTTAAAAGCAGCAAACCATCTACCTAAATGAGTCAGAGGTAGACCAGCAACACCTTTGTTATGTGGGAAAATTGCTGCATTATCGGCACAGTCTGGTCCAACTTAAAAAGCAGTTAAACAACAAACTCATTCATTTTGTGCAGTTAATTATGAGTTCAAATCAGCACAAACTGACTAAGAGGACAAGGTTGTGGTAGACCAGCAATTCCCTATTTACCTAAGGTTAAATAACCTTTTTTATCAGTGTATCTATGTTTAACTGTTAGTAATAAGGGACCTTTCCCATTGGACTCAGAAGTTAAAACAGGCATGGAAACCAAAAAGTGGAGCACTGACTCACTAAATGAGTCCAGGGTAGACCAGCATCTCCCATGGTCTTTTAAGTAAAATATCAGGTTTTATCAGTTTGTTCTGGTTTGACTTCAGAGAGAGAAAGGTAAGAAAAAATTCAGGTAAAATTCAGGGCTCATAATGATCCATAAATTTTAGAGCCAACCAGCATAACAAAGTAGAGGTAGACCATCAACCCTCTGGTCCTCTGAGAAAAGTTGCTGTTTTTTATCAGTAAAAACTGGTAAAGCTCAAAATAAAGCAACCCCAAATAAACTCCGAGCTCAAAAGGTGCATTTTATAAAGAGTTTAAAGTAGCAAACAAATGATCAAGATAATGAAGAATAAATAATACAAACTACATTTTCATTTTCTGATTTGAGCTGCACATTTTGTAACACAATTCGAATTGTTTTATTTATTTAAAACACAATTGTTTTATTTATTCTTCATTTTATTTCTGAGTAAAATCATGCAGTTTAAATCTCAAATGGATTTTTCTTTTACCTTTGAATGAAGTTACAGAATGATCAGTTTTGAAAAGGAAAAAACAATAGCAGTTCGAATTATTTATTTCTAATTTAATTTATGAGTCTAGAGTTGCAGGTACACTTCTGTTAATCTATTTTCATTTGAATTATGATACAAATTTGCTTCCATACTGCAGAGCAAACAGAGAGAGCCATCATACACTCCATCATAACTGTGGGTAAAACTTTGTGTTGTCAGGATTAGAGTGCACAGTGCAGCTCTGTGCAGCAGAGAGTGCAGATATACAGCTAAATTTAGTCACAATCAAACACAAGACTGGAGAAAATTTGGTAAATTTTGAAAATTAAACCTCAAATGGATTTTTATTTTACATTTGAATTAAGTTACAGAATGATTAGTTTCGAAAAAAGCAAAAGCAATTGCAGCAATTTAATTGGAATTACTAACAAATTTGCTTGCATACTGCAGTGCACTTTGTAGAGCGTTTAACTCTTTGCACACGCTCATTGATTTTGACGATTGCACAGGTTTGGACGGCGCCAAAGTTGTGCTGTCCTTCAGGTTTCATCTGAGCTTCGTTTTTCCACTCGTTGTGCCGTTCAGATTAGATGCTAAATAAATATCAAAGATGGACACTCATCGCAGCACAAAGTCTGTTACTCCTCTCGCCCTCATCTTTTCTCCTTTCACCTCCGCAGGGGGCCATTTTGACCACCATGCTCGTCTCCAGGAACTTCTCTGGTGAGTGTCGCTCATTGAAAAGACTCAAGCTGAGGGAACATGTCAGGTCTGAGAGCGGGAGAGGAGGACAGGATGATATGCCATCTGTCTTCTTCCATCTCTTCACACATACACAATCGCACACATCCACACAGCAGGTTGATGGGCGTCAGTGTGAGGTGGAAGCAGGAAACACAGCGGAGAGATTTGCTCGTTTTTTGAACCATAATCTCACATCAAGTCTTGATTTAAGCCGGGATTTGGCTCCTGGTTCTGGTTTTGACTATTGCAGACTTTGCACTTCCATCATTATCCTCCTCCTTTTCATCCTCTTCCTCATCTTGCTCTCTCTTTATTTCAGTGGGTCGACAGACTACAGCCCCCGCTTCAGTCAGCGCTGTGGCAGGAACCACCGCCGGCATCGTAGAGCAAGGTAAACTCATCGTAAACTTGACATCCGCCCCTCTCACTGAAGTTGTGGTGGACATGATTAAATGGAAATCCCCTGGAGTCACAGAATCACACAGTCCCTGACGATCCCTCAGCTTGTTTTAATCTCTCCCTCTAAATCTTTTCCTCCTCTCTAATGCTTCTCAAATGTTTGCCAAGGTAAGCAGCCTCTCCTCTCATCTGGAAGCAGAGAGAATTACTGAATTACTGGCATTTCTTATCATGGGTTAAGGATTCGCTGCAGAGAATCAGAGGACAAATTGCATGCTGTTTGGTGTGCTCCCTGCGGCTTAGATGCCAGATGTAATTGCAGAAAGGGAAGCCTTTAAAGGGAAAGTCCAGTGCATCCAGAAATGGGCATATTTGTTGTTGTTTGTATTTATGAGTATTAACAAATCAGAAGTACACAGTTTTTCTGATTTGCTAAAGTAGATTGCCCCAGCCTGCAGCCCTAAAACAACCTGTAGTGACTTCAACATGATCTGCACCTAAAAATGAAAGTTTGTGTTTTGTTAAAGACCCAAACAAAAAAAAAGCTTTTTATGACTGGGAATAAGATTTTTATTTGCTCTCTTTGTTCTCTACAAAAGAGGATTAGGGACGCAAGAAGAAAAAAACTTAATAACAGGAAGGAGATTTTTTTTATTTCCATTTCAAGATTAAAGTCAAAATCGAAATGATGTGAATAACGTCGTATTTTATATTAAATTTTAAAATTATAATTTTTTTAATCTCAAAATTTTGAAATTTATTAATCTCAACATTTTGACTTTAATCGTGAAATTTCAACTTTGTTGGCAAAATTTTGGTTACTTTAATCTAAAAAGTTCGACCTAAATTTGAAAATTTCAACTTTATTGACATAATTTTAATTTCTTTAATCTGACTTTAATTTGACTTTGATCTCAAAATTCCGACTTTATTGAAATAATTTAGACTTCATTGACATGATTTTGATTTCTTTAATCTTGAAATTTTCAACTTTAATCCGAAAAATTTGACTTTAATCTCAAAAATTCAACTTTAATCCAGAAATTTCAACTTTAATCTTGAGATTTTGACTTAAATCTTGAAATTTTGACTTCATTGACATAATTTCGACTTCCTTGACATAATTCTGATTTCTTTAATCATTTTAATTATTTAAAGTTTTAGACTTTAATCTTCAATCAACAAAAACAGCAGTTTTACCTTGCAGGACATGTTGGTAGTTTATGGTCAACCCCAGAAGAGTCAACCTGCTTTTGAATTAAAGTGTGTTTTACATATATTGTACAAAATCAAGCGTTTACAAACGTTTAAGTCACACAATAACAAAAGCTACTTTTTGTTTGTTTGAAAAATGTTTGTAATGGATAAATCCCACAAACATTTAAAGTAGCACAAATTCCCCCTAACAGAGTCAAGAGAAGGAAGACCAGCAACTCCTTTGTTCCGACGTGAGATATCTGGTCAACTTTAGATGGCAGCGGTGTGGGACTTACCACTAAACCTTATGAGGTTAACATCGGCTTAAAAGCAGCAAACCATCTACCTAAATGAGTCAGAGGTAGACCAGCAACACCTTTGTTATGTGGGAAAATTGCTGCATTATAGGCACAGTCTGGTCCAACTTAAAAAGCAGTTAAACAACAAACTCATTCATTTTGTGCAGTTAATTATGAGTTCAAATCAGTACAAACTGACTAAGAGGACAATGTTGTGGTAGACCAGCAATTCCCTGTTTACCTAAGGTTAAACATCCTTTTTTATCAGTGTATCTTGGTTTAACTGTTAGTAATAAGGGACCTTTCCCATTGGACTCAGAAGTTAAAACAGGCATGGAAACCAAAAAGTGGAGCACTGACTCACTAAATGAGTCCAGGGTAGACCAGCATCTCCCATGTTCTTTTGAGTGAAATATCAGGTTTTATCAGTTTGTTCTGGTTTGACTTCAGACAGAGAAAGGTAAGAAAAAATTCTGTAAAATCCGGGGCTTATAATGATCCATAAATTTTAAAGCCAATCAGCATAATAAAGTAGAGGTAGACCATCAACCCTCTAGTCCTCTGAGGAAAGTTGCTGTTTATTTTATCATTAAAAATGGGTAAAGCTAAAACAAAGAAACCTCAGATAAACTCTGAGCTTAAAGGTGCATTTTATAGAGTTTAAAGTATCATACAGTTAACAATCAAGATAAGATAAGGATACACCAGCAACTCCTTTCTTCAGTTAGGTATTTGTGCGTTTTTTTTTTTTGTTTGTTTGTTTTTTTTGGGTGTTTTTTGTAGTAATAAAAGTCAACTGAAACTCTAAATAAAAACAAACCAAATAACAATGATCAGGGGTAGATAAGTAACTTATTTATCCTGTTATGTAAAATTGCTCTGGATTGGATTATAAGGGAATTTTGTGCAATAACCAATAATAGGTATGAGCAAAAACAGACTGACCGCCGAAAAGAGGAAGAGGTAGACCAGCAACTCCTCTGTGCTCTGAACTTAGATAACTGTCTTTATCAATGGAGTCTGGTCTGCTTATACTGAGTAGGTCATTAAGAATAAAAGACAGGGGTAGACCAGAGACTCCCTAAACCTGTCAGGTCTGTATCTGCTGGTTTTCAGTGTTATTTAGAGTCTTTCTCAGATGTACTTTGTCGTATTTTCCTAAATGTCAACAGTTAGCTTCTCGGCTGCTGTCTAAACCTAAAGGACTAATTCCCGGTTAATTTGAACCTGTTGGTCACTGGAGCTGAAAATATGAGGAAACAGTCCCCAGCTCTGAGATTATAACGGTTCCTCTTTAAGAATGACCTTCAGATGTTTATGTCCTCTTATATGAAAGCATTATTGACATTTCCTGCCCACTGACGAACTCTGTAATGATTTTCGCCACTGATCCGTCCCACTCTTGAGATTAACAAACCCATTATCACATACCTGCATCTATATTCCTCTCCCCTCATGCTCCAGCTCTTAATCCCCGCTCTATCTGGGCCTGCATGTGCGTGCGTCTGTGTGTGTGAGTGTATTTGGATTATATAGAGAATTAGTTCCTTTTTTCCCCCTCATGGCTGATGTCCTCTGCTTATCTAATGCTTTGGCCAGTGGATCAGGGTTTGTAGGTTCCAGTTGGATGGAGATTTTTAAATGTGGGTTGTGTCAGTGTGTTTATTCGTTGGGGTTTTTAATGTCTTTTTACAGGACAGAGGGAGGGTTTCCTTTTTTTTTTTTTTTTTTTTTTTTTTAGAGAGGGAGGGATGAATTCTGGACAGTGTTTTTTTCTTCCCCTGAAGGGTGGAGATGGACAGGACATGTAGAAAAGCGAGCTCTGTCACTCTTTTTGTCGTCTGCATGCTCAGTTGTTCCAGATTTGGACCTTTTGATGATCAGGTGACTGTTTTAGCGAATGCATGCATGCTTCACGGTGCAGATTTAGAGAGCCGTGGTCATCTGAAGGTGTATGATGTGTACTCTTCCATCTGAGGGTGTGTCCTTCTGCCTCTCTGCAGCAGCCAAGAGTCTCCTCAACAAGAAGGCTGATGTCAAGGTAAGCTCTCCTCTGTTGTTTCCCCTTTTTTATATCCTTGGATGTCCTTTGGTTCCTTTGGACGCGCTCTTGCAACAGTACTTCTTTTATTTTTACTCAAATACGGTGAAATAATTCAGACGCAGATCTGATTTGACTTTGTCAAGTGCTGCAGCGTTGGCGTTAATATTTTGAAGACATTGTTTTTGGCCTTAAAGAGACAGAGCAAGCTGAACATATGTGTCATTTACTGCCCCGCACTTTTTTCATGATTCATTCACCTGAATATTTTCAGCCACTGTTTTACTTTTTAGTATTTTTCGATTCTGACAAATTTGTAGCTGTTTCCCAGTTTTCAAACTATTGTAAAGTTATCTGTATAAAAGCAAAGTGAACATCCAGAATGAAAGAAAAAGTATAAACTAAAAAGTATAAAACTTGGCAACTTTTACAGTGCAGTCCACTGTCTGAATATGCATTTAGTACAATTAATAAACAAAAAAACAGATGTTTATACCTGTTTGCACAGTTACAGGATAGTATGGGTGCAGCAGAATTTTTGTGCATTACTCTAAGAGTTAGCTTTATAAATTATAAAAGGTAGAGAAAAGGAAAGTTATTAAAACTTTTAGTGCAAACTTATAAGACAGTTTTAAAATGTGTGAATGCTTGATTTGCAAGTCTATTTCTGCACATTATAACTTGGTGTATCTAAATATTTCTGAATATAAGACTTCATAGACCAAAAAAATACAGATAGTTCAATATTAGAGACTAAAAATCAAAACAAACTCAGTCAAAAAAAAACAAAAAACATATTTTCAAAAAGTAGGTCATTCTGTAAAACTTTAATTAAACAGAGTGAAATATTTGCTAAATCTTTTGGTTCATATACGGCTGAGAGCAGCAAAAATTCCCAATCTTTTATGTTTTCATTTAATCTTTGGTAAAAAGTGAAAATAAAATAATGAGGGGTAGATGTTTTTTTTCATGATGCACTTTGAGGAAAAAGGTCGAAATGTTGCGAATAAAATTAGAAATACAAGAAAAAGTTTGATCTCTGTTACAAGATATTTACATTCAATTTGGAGAAAAAAGTAGAGGGTTGTTACAGAATTCCTGCCATCGTATATAAACTTGATGTATTTCTATTTGATGAAATCCAAACACCGTCATTCACCAGCATAAAAAACCCATAAAGTAAAAGTGCTGGGACATCATTTTTCTGTCAGGCTCAGTCGATGTTATGTGGAGAAACGGTGAAGCTCATCATCCTGTTTAGACTTTTTCACATGTATTTAAAGAGAAAATAAAAGTCCTATAATCTGAACCACATGTTTGTCATTTATGAGATCTTGTTCTGCCAAAAGGCTGTAAATGCCAGCTAATGTTAACTTTAGTTAAGATTGAGTTACGTTCATTTAATAAACAAAGAGAGACAGAGATTAGTTAAGTCAAACTTTGTCACCCTTAAATTTTTGAAAAATAAAACTTTTGTTTGAGACGTTTGTGAATTTTTGGTGTTTTGCTAGTTTGAACATGAACTGTGTTGGATGAACCACTGAGCAGATGAGAAGTTAAAGGTGGGGTAGGCAGGATCTGAGGAAGTTCCAGTTTTAGGAAGAAATCTTGAATGTAAACTGTACCCCTCCCAACCAGTTTTCCTCTCAGCTTCTCGTCTCCCCTCCCTCTCTGCTCCAGCAAGCCCCGCCCACAAACAGACGCTCCTGCTTCCGAGGTCAACAGTTTAGCGGCGCTACAACATGCAGCAGGTCCTGTTTGACAAGAATCACTTCTGTTACACTTGGCTTACTTTGTTAAAGCAGTTTACCTGTCCAGCAGAAAGGTTACAGGGTCCGTAAGATCCCGAAGCGTCCCCCATTGTTTATGTTGACCCGGCTTCTTAGCTCTTGTCCGGTCTACGTCCTTTTTAAGCGCCCGTTATTCCGTCAGAGTCTCCTGTATTTACTTAGTTTTCTTGCTTGTGTCGGCAGTCGTGACTAAAGGAGGATTCAGACAATTTTCTGTACTTTCTGGTTGGTTTATACTGTCCAATATTGTAGCACGCTAACTTTGTTTGGACTTGTGAACGACACAGGGGAGCAGCGTCTGCCTCACAATCAATCAGGTTGGGGGAGGCAGAGAACGGCTTTGTTTACAGTCGGAAAGAACGGGCCGCAAAAAACTTTTAAAATGTTAACTACAAAGACATAACACAGCAATATCATGATATTACCAAATGTCATCAATAACTAATAGCTATTGGCTGATATTAAAAGTTTTTTTGTATTTACACCACAAAAAAGATGCTTCTTTAACAGATTCCTACCTACCCCACCTTTAATACGTTGACTTTCCTCGACATTTCGACTCAACTCAGAAAATTGTATTTCAACTTGGATGTCAAATTTTGAAGTGTATAATGAAATAAAATAAAATCTCCTCCTCTAATTATTACATCTGGATGACATTTAAAAGAAACCAGGTTCACTTTCAAAACTGTGTCTTCCTAATGGAAGATGTCAAAAGACTATTATAGACTCCTATTTTGAAAGGTTTTGTAGTATCCTCGGCTGGTCTGGTCTAGGAACGCTGTGTCACCTCCTCAGTTCTTGGATGTCTCAGTTTGGCACAGCCGAATCTTTGCATCAGTCCACTGCAGACATTTGTCACCACAGATGCCCTCCTGAGCCAAACCAGAGCGCATTAACTGACTGCCTCCATTTCCTGACAGGAATATTAAGTTTGAGTCTGCAGAGACTCTGATACCAGTGCACCTCTGTGAGCTGCATCCTCGTCCTTGTCCTGCACTTTGTAGTGGTGCCGGTGAACCATCATGTGTGTTTGCATAGTTGTGTTGTCATGCATGTGTGTTTGCACGAGTCAGTGTGACTTTTTACTGTAAACTCAAAGTTTTCTGAGATCCTCATATCTGACCTCTTAAAGACTTCAGTTTCTTATCATGTTCATGCAAGATTTAATTTTACCAGCAGAATATGAGAATCCTTTGTATTTGTGATGTTCAAAATTTTTTGTATCTTTCAGTCTAAGATGTTAAGTATTTGTGCGCATTATAACAGGTTTTCTCTCTTGTTCATACAAGATAAGCTTTTATCAAGAGGTTATAAAGATCTGTGGTAATTATAGTTTTGAACTACACGCAAAATGATTGTTTACAAGATAACACGAGTCTATTTTGTTCACACATGATTGAGTTTTACTGGCAGATTCACGAGACCTGAATTATCAAAAAAATGTGCAAAAATGTTTGATTTTATTGCCACAAGAGTAACTATGATATCAGCTTTCTTATCATGCTCTCTAAAGGGTATATTTTAATGATCTGTAGAAATAATCATAATCAATTAGATGCAAACTTTGGCGTAAGATGATAACTATTGGTGTGCAAGATATAAAGTTTCGCATCTAACCCTAACTTTACAATAATCATCTAAGTAGCGTTTATAGGTGGTTTATAAACCAAATATTGACCATTTACAAAGTGCTACTGACACACATTTAAATCTAGATGTTTTACAACCAATATTTAAACCCTATATAAACCTTTAATAAACAGTCTATTAATAATCCTAATTTCATTGCTTGTTAGTGGTAAAGTAACTATTAACTTACAATAATAAACTATCTGTTTGCCATTTATAATTGGTCTATATGCTGTTATTAAATGATGATTTAACATTAATAAATATCTATTTACCTTTTATAAATTATGGTTATAATAAAGTGTTACCAGATATTTTAGTTGATCTTGTTCAAACTAGGCCTCATTATTTTGCTCATGATCCCTTCTGTCAGAATAATCTTTATTTATAGCGTAGATAGTTTTTTTGTTATGTTGACTAAAGCTGCTGTTGTGAAGATATTAATCTGATTGTTATACGATAAAAACTTTTAAACTCCACAGATAAAAGTTAACTTAATTTCAGAGCAGTGATAGTCAAACGCCTGATCCTCTCTCTCTTTTATTCTTTCTTGACCTGCTTCTCTTTTCATTAACTTGAATCTCCTGGCCTCCCCCTTCAGCCTCTCCTCTTCCTCTTTCCCCATGCACCCCTCATCCTCTCTCTCTCCTCGTGTGGCCTGATGCTAATCTCAGATTATTTCCCACCAGATGATTAAACCGCCATTACGTAATCTCAGTTTCTCCTTTGCTGCACCCTGACGTCACACACTGGAGCTGCTTCCCTCTCTGCATCTTCACTGTCTCTCTCTCTCTCTCTCCCTCTCTCTCTCTCTCTCTCTCTCTCTCTCTCTCTCTCTCTCTGTCTGTGTGACACACTCACCTCAGTTTCCAGGGAATTCTTTCTTTTTTACCGCTAAACAGGTGCAGGAGTTTAAAGCAACAAGAGGGAAGTAACGGCAGGATAGAGACTGTTTTATTGAGCTTTCAATGTTAAATTAAGAGCTGTTTCAGAAAGCTGCTTTTTTATTTACTGAAACTGAGGATGTGCATGCCCAACTTCTCCACGGCTGCCTTGTTTAGTTGCAGGTCAGCAGACATTTGGGTTAATCCTGGCTAAATGTGGTCAATATGTACTCCTCTCCAATAACATCAAAGTTGTATTTCTCTGCTTGAAGGGCGGATATTAAACAGTGAAGTACGGTCTTTTCAGAGCTTTCAAACCTCAAACCAAGATGTCTAAAACATATTTTATTCACATGTAATCAAAGTCGAACAAACTCAATCAGTGCCACAAAACATCATGTGATAGCTGGTCAAAATAAACAAGGAAAACAGGATTTAATTCCTTTATTTTTCATTTGGAGACTTCTTAAAAAAAACTACAGTGCATGTTTTTTCCTCATAAAAAAGCCGCTCCTCTGAAGAGTCAAACACACCATAACACAGAGTTAGACACCCCCTCGAGAGATGATTGTTGCCGACCGCTTGCTTCTTTAGTTATACCAACTTTAGTAATGACCACAGGATAGCAATACAGAGAGCCACGATCTCAACCCAAACACCACTCTATTTTAACTTTGACTAATTTCTTTAGCAAAGGGACTAAACATAACTCACCTACTCTCTTCCAGCAGCCGCTTGTTTGTGGTGAGACCTCAGGCCAGTCCATTACGGACTACAGCAGGGTGACGCAGCTCAAGGACGCAGTAGTTCTTCTGCCTTAGTGTCTTGGTATGATTGCCATGAAGAAATTATCATAAATGTTCTCCCTTGAGCTGCGTCACCCCGCTGTAGTCGCTACAAACAAGCAGCTGCTAGAAGAGAGTAGGTGAGTTGTGTTTAGTCTCTTTGCTAAAGAAATTGGTCAAAGTTAAAAAGATGTTTGTGGCTAGTGCTATGGCTGGGACCCTATATGTTCTGTTGATGAAGTTAGGGGCTGTTCTGAGCATTATTTGTGGCCATAGAGTGGCATTTTGGTTGAGGTTTGTTTATGGCTCCTCAGACAGCTCTGTACTGCTATCGTGGGGTCGTTACTAAAGTTGGTATAACTAGAGAAGCAAGTGGTCAGCATTAGACATTTAGTTTTTAGTCTTTGCAATGCCCCAGTTCACGCCACGTCTATTCAGCATCATTTAAATAATGCCCTTAGATCACGTTCCCCCGTACGATGTCTCAGCTGACTTGTCATAAAATGATAACTCTGCAATAATCACAAACCCCACCACAGTGATCAGACAGTGGTGTTCAGAGCTTGCTCACTGATTTCCTGAGTCATTTGCTGATTTCACACAGCTCTTCACACATCAGGTGGCGGTGGCAGTGAATCAGAAAATAAGGGTATCACAGAGGAAGGCAGCACAGATAATGGACTTCAGATTTCTCTGTCAGTGAGATGGTTGTTTATCCTGTTTCTGGACGAGCAGTGGGATAAACTTCACAGTTGGGATTTGGAAAGAGGAAATTCAGGGCTTGAAAATGTCCTGCTGGTGTTAATACTTTGCGACACTAACAGGCGACTCTGGTTTCAAAGCAGAGGCTGTCAGATGGCACCTTTTCACCTGTTTCTAACTTCACTTCAGGGTTTTAAGGAAAGATTTACTGAAAGGGAACTTTTTTTTATCAACGTTGGCCGTTTTAGTACATGATCTTTGTAGACTAAATGACCAGAATGGTTTAATGGTAGAACTTTTGAGTGAGTACATTAAAAGTCTTTGTTACCTTGGATGGTGTGGGAGTTGCTGGTCTACCCCTGTGCTAACTCCATGGGCTCTATTTTCGTGTACACTGGTGAGGCGGCGGAGGGTGGCGGACCCCGTGTAGTTGTATTTTCATCTGGCGGAGCCCGGCGTATTTTCGTGGACTGAGGCGCATGGAGGCGAGCCGAGATCCGCCAAGCTGGGCGTGGTGGCGTGGAAGGGGGAGGTGTCAACAGAATCAGCGGGCACAGTGACATTTTGGTGCTCGCCAGTGGCGTGTAAAGTGCGCTGAAAGCTCACCGATTCAAACCTGGTCAGCTTTCAGCGCAGGCAGAGCGCAGCTGATCTAGTAGTATTTTGGTAGACCGGCGGCGGATCGGCATACATCACCAATGCCTCACCGGCAGGTTTCCACAGTGTCAGGCACATTTCAGTGCAATAAATAATCATCAACAACTATTAATCTGAGTCAGCACATACATTTAGATCTATATCGATATATTCTGATCTATATCTGATCTGATGAGTGCGTTTGGACACACAACCTGACCGAATCAACACAGCTGAAACCACATTAAATTAAATTTAATATCTAGTAAATAAACACACATGATGAAGTAAACAAGATATGTAATTCGTGTCCCTCCTTTTCTTTCTTCCTCTTCCTCTTATTTCTCGCACAGCTCGACCTGGACATGTCTCTGTGTCCTCTCTCCGTCCTGCTGCAGCGGCGGCTAAACAGATGATTTGTTTCAGTGCTCAGATGAGTTACCTACTTTAAGCCTACATACGGGTATTATAATGTTCAGTTTTGTGAGTCAAATTTTTTTATATGCCAACATCTCTGAAAGAAAGAGCCAGGCCACGGAGCGCGATGCGTCATTTATGCACAGATGGTTCCAATTTTAATGCCATTTTTGGAGTTAATGTTGTGATCTGTGCGCACAACCCACCTTTGTCACGTGAGGTTTGAATATATGCAACTTTATGTGAGTGTCTTTATTTGTGGAAAGGGTGTTTGTCTTACCAGTGGGTCCAACATTACACACACCAAATCCATCTGTGCTCATATGAGAGAGTGTGGAGGACGCCCAATGCAGCGCTTACAGTGACACTTGTTGAGGAGTTGCCTTCTGTCGCTATCTTGTGGCATTACTGTCTTCAGACATCTCTTGATCTCTTTGACTACTTCACAAAAATAGTAATACGCCTTGCCTGTGGCGGATTTAAAGGCAAGGAGAGGAGCTTATGTGATTGGTGAAAACAGGTCTCGGCTGTGTTAAACCCACTCCACGCCCTCTCTCCTCCCTCGCTACGACTTACGCCGCTGGGAGGAGCTGAGTTAGGGAGGGGGGATACTTACGCCGGGCTGCGCTGCTCACCAAAATACCAAATTGTGCTTGGGAATGCCTTGTCGGCGGACCTGACTTACGCCGCGGCACGTCTCCGGCGAGGAACGAAAATAGAGCCCCGTGTGTTATTGTGTCTAAACTAGGACTTTAACGCGTTGATTGCGATGAATAAATGTTAATGTTAATATTTTCTCGTTAAAAATATTAATCGCACCTACTATATATTTGCATAGCGGAACGTTTCTCACAAGACAAATTTCAGGTATACGGCTTATACCAGCACACCCATATGTGATTAATGCTGCATTTAAGTTACCTCGGAAGTCAGAAGTCTGAGCTGAAAATGACGTCACACCAGAGTTCCCAGCGTTTCAGTTACCAAGTCAGAAAAAGGCAAAATTGATGGCGGAAACAAGATGGCTACATCTACAAAACTTATTTTAGCACTTGCCTTGTCCAACTACAAGGCCTCCAATTTAGCTCTTTTCCGACTTGGTAACTGACTTTGCATTCAAGTTACCTCGGAAGTCGGATGTCGGAGCTGGGAATGACGTTACACCCATTTTGAGAGTGTTCCAGTTAAAAAGTCGGAAAGTCAAGATGGACGCCTTCTGTTAGCCATTGTTAGCTGTTGTTAACAATTTTCAGCTGTTGTTAGTTGTTGTTAGCGATACCAGTTGTAAACAACATATAACACAGTATTTTACTCTACAAACACCATCGCACCATGTTCACAGTTAGACGTTGGGCAGTACAACATAAACCACTTATTTAATTTCACTAAAACAAAACAGAAGTGCTAATTAATAATACATTACGAAAGCTTTTACTGTTACTCTTTTACAGCATGTCAAGTCTCCGGTATCACCTGAATGCTAAACATGTTGCAGCGAGCGTGGAAGCTAACTTTAGTCCGACTCAGAGTACAGCGACCCACACCCAACCAACACTTGACCAGTTGAGTGGATTCAGAGCCAAGATGAGTAACGCTGCATTCGAGTTACCTCGGAAGTCAGAAGTCCGAGCTGAAAATGACGTCACATCCAAGTTGTCAGAAAAAGGCAAAATCGGAGGCGGAAACAAGATGGCTACATCTACGAAAGTTATTTTAGCACTTGCCTTGTCCAACTATAAGGCAAGAGCTAAAATAACTTTCGTAGATGTAACCATCTTGTTTCAGGCCTCTGATTTTGCTTTTTTTTTTATAACTTGTTAACTCAAATGCTGTTAACTCAGGTGTGACGTCATTCTCAGCTCTGACATTTGACATTGTGACATAAAAAAGCACCGATCTGTTGGTCTTGGTGAAGTTTGACCTTATAAAAATAAACAAGTTTTTGTTTGCTTAAGCTCATGTATTCATTCAGTTCACTGTTCATTGATTCACTGGTATACAATTAAAAAAAATATATATATTAAATGCGATTAAAATGCGATTTATTAATTACAAAGCCTCTTATTAATTAGATTAATTTTTTAAATCAAGTCCCAGTCCTAATAATAACACAAATGACCAAACAGACAGAGGAGAGGTAGAAAAACAACTCCCAGGTTGTGTGAGGATGAGTTTGTGATCTGTGCTCTGATGGGAACATATTTCAGTCTGCACCACTTTAATTAAAACAGGAAACAGACAAAGAAGAAGCAGCAGACCGTTAGTGAGCCAGCTGTAGCATTCCTCTTAAGAGATGATTATTTCAAAATAAAAGCACAACATTTCCCCTTGTCCCAATTTTTAATCTGAACTCTGTAAAGATGAATAACTCTTCAGGATAAAACGATGAGTAGACATTATTCTGAAGCATGCTGAGTCTGTATTTGCTGTTGCTTTTGTGTGTTGCTGTTGTTGTTGTTGTTTTTGGTTATGTCTATGTGAATCCTTGTAAAGCTGAAGTGTGTGTGTATACTTGGCATGTTATCGTGTGTGTGTTTGTGGCCTGTTTAGCCTTCATAAGTGCTGCGTCTCAGCCTTTTGACCTCCTCCTCCTCCTCATCTTCCTCCTCCCCGGCTGAAATAAGGCAGTTGATGCTGTGTACTCGGGAGGGATACATTAAGAGACGCTAATGTCTGGAGCACATGTAGTTTGTGGAAATGGATGGGATGCTTGTTTGGTTGTATGTGACAGATGTTGCAGAGGTTCACAGCTGTCATTGGTTTAATTTGCCATCTGCTGAATAACATCCACAGCCACTGCGAGGGGATGGAAATGAAAAAGCCCGGACAGAAATATCAGAGCTCTGCCTGGGATTGATTTTACCGCAGATAGAAATCAAACCGACGTGATGAATTGTGTAAAACCTTTCTATCTAATTAACAGTGTAGTAATGAATCTGTGTCTGGATCTGAAGAGTGTCTGGCTTTCTGGAAAGTTGGACGGCTATTCTCTCTGCCCACTATTTCTGTCTCAGGAGCATCCTGGTTCTGTCTGATATATTTATTTTATTTCTACAAACTAACCACCCACTTTACAACCAGCAGAAGACACTTCTCACCGTTGTTTCTGAGCACTAATGTAGCACTTTGTGTTTTCCTGCACAGCCCCAGACAAACAGCACGAGAAACAGCATAGTCACCAGTCCCAAAGGCAACATCCCCTCTGCTGCACTGGTATGCAGCTCTCTGTCCGTCTGTCTTTCCGTCTGTTCACTCTTAAAATGCACAGTCTGTAAATGTGTGCATGAAAGAGAGAAACCTGTGTAGTTTGGCACCATGGATGTTACTAATGTGCTGCTATGACTCTGAAAGGGTTTGCATTTCCCAGAAGGATTAACATAGAGGGGGATTTCTAAGCTTGTAGAGTAAGGGTCTGAATTACTGAATCCTTAAGAGTTACCATCCTGGTTTTTGAGTTCATCCTCCAAAGGTGTCAGTTTCAGGTTTTGTTTTTTTTAGGTGGCTGACAAAATCACAGAAAGGATCCTTGCGGAGATGGACGTTATTTTTAGAGAGAAAGGCTGTTTTTGACACCAGAATCCGCCTCTTTTAGGCCACCATACTCCACTGACAGGAACAGTCATTTTACCCTCCAGAACAAAGGAGCTGCTGATCTACCCCTGCCTCAATTTATTATCCTGGTTTTGTGACTTAAATAGTCAAATGGCAAAGCAAGAGTTAAAGTAAAATTTGCACAAGTTCATATTTATTGATTATTTCATATTTAAGTTTACCTCAACTCAAAAGGAGTTGTTTGTCTACCTAATTTTTTTAAATAAGACTCTAGCTTTTTTTTACACAATTGTTTTAATAAACCAGACATAATAAACCAGACAAACCATCTCACAACACCACAAGCCTGAAAATCTAACCAACAGAATTGACTGATTAAGGCAGGGGTAGACCAGCAACTCCTTAAATTACAGTTCCTATCAGAGTAGTCTGATGGACTAGAGGAGACTGATTCTGGATGTCAAAGCAAAACAAAGGAGGTGCTGGTCTACCCTGGCCTTAATCAGTCAATTCTGTTGGTTAGATTTTCAGGCTTTACTGAGGTGAATGGTCTGTTAAAGCAGATAAAGGCTTTGATTATGACTGTAGAAAACAAAGGGCATATGTTTAAATTAAAAAACATGGGATTTGCTCATCTGCTGCTGCCTGATAAGAAAGAATGAGATCCCAGTTTTGAGCAGCCAGATTGTGTTTCCCCTGAAGAGAAAGGGTTGGGGGCTCAAATATTTGGATGTGGTTCATTGTGGAGGTATTACTCCTTCACATCCTAAGGAGCTACTTTTTTTTTTCAGGCGAGGATGCCTCCAGGCTTTTCCTACTGAGAGAAGACCCGGGGTAGACCCTGGATGCACTGAAGGGATAATATGTCCCATGTGACCGGGGAATGCCTCAGAGTCCCCCCAGAGGAACTAGTAATCATTGCTGGGGGGGGGGGGGTTAGCCCATTGCTACAGCAGCTCGACTCTGGATATTTAGAAGAAAACGGATGGATTGATGACAGTTACTCACAGAAAATCACTTCTCATGAAACTATAAGGGTTTAAATATTTACAGCAGAGTTATAAAAGATTAAAGTTTGAAGGAAAGGTTCATGTCAAAATCAAAATCCTTGTTACTGCCGTGATCAGGTAGCCTGGCTGGGCGATCCAGTTGCGTGAATCACTTGCCGTTCCTTGTTCCTTGTTCCCACAAGGAACGGCAAGTGATTCACGCAACTGAATGGCCCAGCTAGGCTAGTGATCATGTTCCCCTGATCAACGTCTCAAAGGTTTCTGGTCCAAATTTGGTGCAAATACATCCAACAGTCTCAGAATTGCAGCTCATGAGGTGAAAATATGGTAATTCATGTTACCACTAGGAGGCGCTATGACTGTGATAACATATTACCATATAGAAATGTTCAGGCCTAGGCCCTCAACTTGTGTGCAAGTTGAGTATGCACGGCTGAGGATGACTGTGACTATTTTCCTGTTTCACGGCAAAACACCAAATTATTAAGAGTTTCCATTGGCCGCTGAGTTTTGTCCACAAGCTGACTAAATCTCAGGATTCTGGTTATATGAGAAAAATATCATATCTCAGTGTGAAATGCCATTTTAGTTAGGCTTGATGCAAAGTTTGGTGAGTTTTTAAGAATGTCTAGAAACTGAAAATTGTGTCAAAATTGAAAAGGAGTGAAATCTTTGAGTTTTTAAAGGACTCTTACACCATTTCAGGAACAAGACATGGAAAAATTAAAGGTCTGTCTCCGTGGATCCTCTTTGTAATGTTGTCAGACGATTGAAATGATGGTTTTAGGCTGTTAGGGTCAAAAACAAGAACTTTTAGTGAACTTACTTTTCCCTCAGGTTTAAAAACGGCAGCCTGAACTATGATTTTAGACTTTTTGAACTGTAAAAATGTGACAAAGATATGATCCTGCTGACCTAACCCTTTATAAAAGTGAATATATATTTTTCTTTCACTTTATTCACCAAACTGGAATCTACTGAAGGAGAGCAGTTTAATATGAATGACTATGAAACTGCACAAAAAGTGACTGCTGTAGAAGAGAGAGAGGACCTTTGAATCTTTTGCACTGATATAAATCGATCATTATCTCTGATTGTTTAATTTGGGATTTCTTTTGACCTCCATCCATCATGAACTCGTTCAAATGTTTAAGCTACCATTCAAAAACAGACTCATCTCTCTCTTTTTCCATGTATTACACATATTCTACTCTGTATTTATCTCCCTCTTATGTCTCTCAAACTCTCATTTTTTCATCATAAAACATTCCTTTTCTTTCTTCCTCTCTCTTTCTCTCCATTCTTTCTCCAGGAGCCTCAGACTACTGTTATCCATAATCCAGTAGATGGGATCAAGGTACATCCTCCAGCCTGCTCCCACTCCACCTCTTTCTTTTTTCCTCGTCTTTTATTTCATTTCTCACCCTCGTTCTTCTATCGGTTTCTCTCCTTTCTGTGTGGGTAAAACTGTCAGGAGAAACGTATTTTTTTCCAGGGTTTGTGTATTTGCGTACCTCCTGTGTGCCTCTGTTCGTATTTCTGCATGAGAGGGATGGAGAGAGTGTGAGCTGCAGGAGCTGTGAGGTGTTTTCGTGGTCTTACACTGCCCCTCTGTGTTCAGATTGATGGAGCTCAGTGGTTCTCGCTGCAGGCTAAGCAGTCTGTGTATGTCAGCAGATTAACTGTGTGTGTCTGTGGCCGATCAATCCGTACTATGGGATTGTGCCAATGTGCCGCAGAGTCAAACGTGCAGCTGTGTCTGTCCTGTACTCTTTGGCAAAACCGTTGTGCAAAGATGGAGTCATGTGGTAGATTCAATGGTAGAAACTTGACTGTGTGCATGCACTTCTAGTTATTAGTTTGTTTCAGTGTGTTTGCATGCTCTAACTTTTTGGTAATTGACACTTTTTCTTTGTGCATTTTGCAGGAATCGTCTGACAGCAGCAACACCACTATTGAGGATGAAGATGTGAAAGGTAGGTCATGAACGCATCATCTTTAAAGGGCAGTTCTGGTGTTTTAGACATGCTTTCTTGGGGTGTTAGTAAAAGTTTGGATATGACATTTAATCTTAGCTGATCAGTGTTTCCACAAAAATCGCTCATTTTCATCAACTCTACACTGAGATTTTGTCCAAGAAAACACCAAACTCCATTGGCAAAATCACAAATTCTACTTTTCAGGACATAGGAGTTGCTGTTCAACCGCAGCCCTGATCTGCCTACTTGTTGTTACGGACAAATATTTGTTGTTTTCAAACTTAGCATCAAAAACACTGAAAATACACACTAAAGGTGTGGTAGTCAGGATCCGAGGAAGTTCCAGTTTGGGGGAGAAATCTTGAATGTAAACTCTACCCCTCCCAACCAGTTTTCCCCTCAGCTCCTCCTCTTCCCACCCTCTCTGCTCCAGCAAGCCCCACCCACAAACAGACGCTCCTGCTCGATTGTATCTTTCCAATTAAATTCAGATATAATGCAGATAAATACTTCAGATAATTACAAATGGGGCCCAGTCAACGTGAAAGTAAAAAGCATTGGTGCTACTGTGGATGCCAGACTACAGCAAACAAAATGTTTGCAGGACTTCTACAACTAGGATAAAGTGACGTAGTCCAGGACCCGAGGTCAGTTTAGCGGAGCTACAACATGCAGCAGGTCCCGTTTGACAAGTTACAGACACTTTGTTAAAGCGGTTTACCTGTCCAGCAGAAGGTTACCGGGTCTGTAAGCACCCAAAGCGTCCCCCATCATTGTTGACCCGGCTTTTTAGCTCTTGTCCGGTCTACCTTCGTTTTAAGCGCCCGTTATTCCGTCAGAGTCTCCGGTATTTACTTAGAGGAGGATTCAGACAATTTTCCGTACTATTTGGTTGGTTCTTACTGTCCAATATTGTAGCACGCTAACTTTGTTTGGGCTCCTGAACGACACGGGGGAGCAGTGTCCGCCTCATAACCAGTCAGGATGGGGGAGAGGGGGAATGGCTTTGTTTACAGTCAGAAAGAGCGGAGCGCTCTGAAATTTTAAAATATTGACTACATAGACATAACAAAACACAGCGATATCATGATATTCCCAAAGGTCATTAATAACTAATAACTATTGACTGATATTAAAAGCTTTTTTGTATATACACCACAAAAAAAGATGCTTCTTTAACGGATTCCTGCCTACCCCACCTTTAAGACAACTCCTGCAGTAATCACTTATGCACAAAACTCCAAATATTTTCTTGGTGAGCTCCATGTGTGACTGAAAACAGTAGAGATTTCCACACCTATGGGTTTTATCCTGCCAGCCCTCGGTAAATTTGTGTTAACCTTGAGGAGCGTCATGCAGCTGTCATAATAAAAATATCTGAGGTTAAAGAAAGAGAAACACTTTTAAGAGAAGGCGAGTAAATATGTCTCTGCGTCTGTCTCTCTGTGTTATTAAATAGAATTAATATAAATGTAAAAACGTCCCCTTAAACATGTTTGCAACAAGCTACTCTGGAAGATTTTATGGCAAAGCTCCTGAAAATTTCTTGAAACTTTCAGAGGTGTTTACTGTAAATCCTCTAATATAGGCAGAGGTCTTTAATTTGCTTTTACTGCAGAAGGCTTTTTCTTTTTCATTAAAGTCTAACACATTAAAACCTTTAAAAGACTTTATGTTCACTGTTTGTAACACTTCATAGACATCGCTATAAGCTGCTTATTATGACTTAAAATGATCGGTAAAATGCCCTATACGTGTATTTAAAAGGCTTTATTGATGTGTGGGTTTATATTAAGCGTTATTAGAGAAATTCACTTAAAAAAGATGAGTTAAAGCTCCTGTGAGGAACTCTCTGTTTGCGTCTGTTTGTGTTAAAATGGGGATTTTAAATCATTGGTTATGCTGATGATGGTCTTTTTTGCTTTTGGTACATCATAAAAAAGCATCAGTATGAATTTCAGTGTATTTTTTTAGATGTAAAAAAATTCTTCACAGGAGCTTTAACTAAAAAATAAAGAATTTGTGACTTTTCTGATAATTGACTTGATTTAATGTGACTCTTTGTAGCTTTACACTCACGTTATTTAGATAATCAAATTTTTAGTGAATGATCTGAAGTGTTGGATATGTGCTTTGTCAGTTTATTGGTTGGGAAGAATTCCTGTTTTCTGATTGGTTCCTGTTTTTCCAAAGTTTTCTCGATTTTGGTACCACTTTGCTGAAAACAGATCAAATCAATCGTTAAATGGGGAAATAATCTGCTGGTTATTCAGTGTTAAAAACATAAACTAGCTGGAGTTTTAAATAAGATATCTCAGTACGAGCTCCAGTGTTCAATAACAGTATAATCCTGCTTTTACATAAATACAGCAGTTACAGTAATCTAATGATAGAATAGATGAGAGACAATCAAAATGGGACGTTTCTGCTTTTATTAAAGTGACTTTTTTAGGGATGGTCATGATAGGGTATTTTTTACAGTGTAGTTTAAGTACTTTTACATAAGTAAAGGATCTAAATACTTCCTCACTCATTACAGAGAGAGAGAGAGAGAAAGAGAGAGAGGGAGAGAGAGAGTCAATCAGAGCAAGCTAAGCCGTCCTCTCAGTGCAGGGAGGAAGCGAGGGGAGGACACCGTAAATCTGATCTAAAGGACTGTGACCAGAATAGCATGATGAGCTCAAGCAACCTCGCATGCTAACAGGAGATACGAAGGATGATGGATGGAGGGAGAGAGTCAGAAAACTGCAGGACAAGAGGAGCAGGAAGGAGGGTTCGACTTTAGATAAAATGTAGAGGAGGAAACTTTCTGCGTGGAGGTAGTTTTGGACATGGAGGAGACTTCTCTCTTAGGTGAAACAGAGATGACCGCTCAAACTTACAATGAGTAACAAGGTCAGAGGTGAGTCACGGGGAGCTTGTTCAGGTTTGTGAATGAGTTTTGAGCCATGGCGTCACACTGAGGCTGAATCTCTCCTCTCTTCCCCCTCCCCGCAGCTCGCAAACAGGAGATCATAAAGATCACAGAGCAGCTCATCGAAGCTGTCAACAATGGAGACTTTGAGGCCTACGCGTGAGTCAACATGTCTTATTTCTTCTCCCGTAAACATCTGCACCTCCTCCCTCATGTTTCACATCCTGTAAAGGGAGCAGTAAAGCTGCAGAGAAAGCTTTAGTGTGATGGACGGACAAACGTGCTCCGTCTTTGCATCAAGAGATTACAGTGATTGTTTTATCCTCCCTCTCTCTTTGCCTCACACAATTAAGAGTAATGCTCCCAGATGAGTGAGTGAGTGAGTGAGGTGAGTGAGTGAGTGAGTGAGTGAGTGAGTGAGTGAGTGAGTGAGTGAGTGAGTGAGTGAGTGAGTGAGTGAGTGAGTGAGTGAGTGAGTGAGTGAGTGAGGAGGGGGAGGGGTGAGTGAAAGTGTGTCTGCAGAGATGGAGGCCCATTTCTGACTGTAAAAATAGAACAGATGAAAGGTCATGCATGATGGAGAAGATAGAAGGTGTATAATAGACGCAGGGAAAGATAATCGCAGAGAGCCGAACTGATAAGAAACTGAGGCAGAGACACGACTGTTTTAGACAGTGATTTAATATAAAGACGATCAAGTTATGAGAGTCATACTTACAGGTCAATCATTTACATATACAGTATTTACAAGTGCAAAATGTTAAAGTTAGTGAGGATATGTTTATTAAATCAGATTAAGGGTTTTAATCTGAGTAAAACGTTTGAGTTCAGTCACAATCACAGGACTCTTTTACGAATCTTTACATCTCTGTTAAGTAGGGTGAAGTCATGAGCAGGTGTAACATCCCCGGTTGATTTATGGTCTGACTCTCCGACTGATGTTTCACAAAGTTTAATTTTAAAATGGTTCCTTTAAACTTCCATGAACAGTGTGAACACAGCGGTCTGAGGAGCCATAAACAAACCTCAACCAAAACGCCACTCTATAGCCACAAATAATGCTCAGAACAGCACCTAACTTCATCAACAGTACATACAGGGTCCCAGCCATAGTACTAGCCACCAAACATCTTTTTAACTTTGTCTAATTTCTTTAGCAAAGAGACTAAACACAACTCACCTACTCTCTACCAGCAGCCGCTTGTTTGTAGCAGGACCTCAGGTCAGTCCATTATGGACTACATTGGGGTGACGCAGCTCAATGAAGAACATTAATGATCATTTCTTTATCATTTCCTTGAAGTAATAATCTTCATATTAATCATTTTGCACTGCAGACGCGGTTGTTCTTCTGCTTTAACGTCTCAGTCTGATTGCTTTTCCATGAGGAAATGATCATAAGAGAAGCAAGCAGTCGGCAGCATTCATGTCTGGAGGGGGTGTCTAACTCAGTGTTACAGTGTGTTTGACCCTAAATTAATTTTACTCTGGAATATCCCTTTAAGCTCATGAAATAGAGAATAATAATAAGAAGAAGAAGAAGCAGAACCCGCTAGCAAACCTGCTGTAGCATCCCTCAGAGAGATGGTTTAGCAAACTGACATTCAAAGGTTTATTGTAAATTTAAAAACCCAGTCAGAGTTTGTGCCTCTTCAGGTTACTAACTGATTAAACATTTTTACTTCCTTACTGATTGCAAAAACACAAACATGGATACTGAACCCTGAGAAAAAACAGGATACTAGAGTGTGTTTCTTCATGTTTTCACAGGAAGATCTGCGATCCTGGTCTGACCTCGTTTGAACCGGAGGGGCTGGGTAACCTGGTGGAGGGGATGGACTTCCACAGATTTTACTTTGACAATCGTAAGACTATGATCATCAGTATTGATTATCACTGTTTCAGCCTTGGGGTGTTGTTGACAACTTTACGTGTTTTGCTCTAAAGATCCCTCTCTCCCGTCAGTCCTCTCCAAGAACAGCAAACCCATCCACACCACCATCCTCAATCCTCATGTGCACATGATCGGGGACGACGCTGCCTGCATCGCCTACATCCGTCTGACGCAGTTCGTGGATGGGCAGGGCCGTCCCCGCTCCAGCCAATCAGAGGAGACCAGAGTATGGCACCGCAGGGACAGTCGGTGGCAAAACGTCCACTTCCACTGCTCAGGAGCTCCCGCTGCTCCGATGCAGGGATGAGGTACAAACATTTACACCCGGAGAACGTTAGCTGTCGAAAGTGTCTGGTTTACATCATGTCAGAGTATGAGCGCTGAAGAAAAATTATATCAGACATCAAAGTTCCTGAGAACTGAGGACAATTTTAACGCTGTGTGCTGCTACGCTCAGTCAAGGGTAGGGCCCGACCGATATGGATTTTTTGGGGCCGATGCCGATACCGATTATTAGGGGGGGGAAAAATCTGATAACCAATTAATAGGCTGATTTTTAAAAATTTTCATGAAGTTATAAAAAATATATATATTGTAGATATCTACAGTATACTATATACTGTAGATATAACGTAGGCTACTGCTCTTTACGATGACAGGAAGACCGACTGATCAAACTCCGACCAGAAAAGCGTTTTCACACACACCTCCCCCCTTACCGATCTCTTATTCTCCGCATTTTATCTCAGAAAATATTGGTGAAAATCTGCAAGTTTTGGCTGACTACGGATTAGTCGCAAACGGGCTAAAATTGGGCGATTTAATCGGCTCACTGATAAATTGGTCGGCCCTAGTCTAGGGATGTGCAACGATTTGTCATTAAATCCTAAAAAGTAATAGTCTATACTATCTGAAAAAAAAAGTTGTGTCACAGGCCCCTTTCACAAGGGGGCAGTATTCGCATGATCCACAGTGTAGTGGGCGGGATGCCACTGTAGAAGAAGAAATAAACAAGTGAAAACATGATGGAGAGATGACTGCAGCAACCGTCCAAAAGTTCTATGTGGTGCTAATTTGGTAAAACGAGTGAAGCAAAGGTACAGTGTAAACTCTGCGAGGCTAAGCTTGCATATCACAAGTCTATGACAACCATGCACAGCCATATGAAAGCAAAGCACCTGAGTGAAAGCAGCGGGTCGTCGTCACAGCAAGTCAATTGCCAGCTTTGCCACTAGATGATGTACATTTGATGAAAGACTTGCGGAGCAAACGATGTCCCTCATCTCAATGATGATCGCAAAAGACATGCTCCCCATCAGCTTCATTGATGGTGAGAGTTTTTGGAGTAAATGTTCTTACACAACGGGAACGACGCAAATATACGACGCAAAATTTGAAATATTCTGAGGCGAGTTTTGTCGTGCCCGACTACACATCAAGCGCAATGCGATTTTGCAACTTTCCAGGGGGAAAAAAAGACGCATCCCGGGTAGAAGCGAAAAGACTGACGCAACTCCAGACTGACTGTTTTTGGCTGTCTGTCATGATAGCATGTCCTGAGTCGGGGCCAGTACCAGATAAGCACATTAAACTATAATCCATAAACATAAGGTAACAACCAAGACCTAATGGTGCTGTGACAGCAACGCGATTGAGTTTGAGACAGTGAAAATACATATGGTATGTTGTATCTGAACAGGTTAGCTTACGAGCTAAAGTTACTTAGCACAGATGAAAGTTAAAACAAAGACGTTTAGCAAACTGTTAAAGCACACAAACCATCATCATATGAGAAAACTGACACTATGACTCTCCACAAGTTGTCCTTCAGGTCATTATCTTTGTAATATTTGTGTCTTTTAGCACTCAATAACGCCTTTTAGCACTCTGTTCTCCGACATGTAAAGGATCAGCCGGTTGGCCGTGTTTGATATACCAGTGAATCTGACGTCGCAACAACACGCAATCTGATTGGTCAGAAGTGGACACACCGTATGCGAAACTTTAGAAAAATCAACCGTGATTTGAAAAAATAAATGCCGCAATATCGCAGGACGGGAAAACGTCACTGATGTGAACACTTGTATTAACAGGATATGGTTTGAAAAAACATATTGACGTCCGAAATAATTGCACGAAAAAAATGCTCCCGGTGTGTAAGGACCTTAAGGGTGATGTCAGGATGATTCCCTCAGTCCCGTGGAAGAGAATCGCTTTGTCCCATGGTTTAAAGAGGAGGCGGCGCAGTTAATAATAACAATAATAACGTTCTATAATGTTGTACTGTGAATTGCATCACTGTGAAAATAAAAAGACAGAGTTATGATAATCGCAGATCTCTTTCTTACCCCGTGATTATCAAATAGTAATTTTGCTTGAAATGCACATCCCTAGCTCAGTCTGAAGCCAACTGTTGGCTCTCATAACTTTACGGTGTTGTGTTTGCAGTTTGTTTATGATACGTTAACTCAGCAGTTTGCAGCAAAAACAGATCTTTTCTCCTCTTTCTGCTCCAGAGACTGGTGAGGAGGCAGAGAGGAGCCGAAAGGGAATAAGTGGATAATCCAAGAGAGCGTGTCAGCACCGAGAGAGAGGTGCAGGGGTGGCTTAAAGGAGTCTGAAGAGTCTGATTTAAGGGATCATGGCCGTCCTCCTGCGCTCTGCACACCCACCTCGCTCTTCTCTCTCTCTCTCTGTCTATTTTTTGTCTCTCTACAACATCAAACTCAGACAGACACTCCCTTCGCCAAAACCTACGCTACAGCAGAGGGCATATCAGCCGAAATAGGAAACTCTTGAGCCTGTCTTCGCTCAGCCTGTTTGTGACATTGAAGGCCCGACATGCCTGGACAACACCTGTCCTTTTGTCCCCTTTTATTCTGTGCAGTGTGGCGCTCTCCTGCTGAAGATTTACCCTTTTACTCCTCTGATTATTGTTCCTTAATCTAGTATTATTATGGCTGCAGTCAGTTGTTGTGTGCTTTACACTGTACAGTATATTTATTAGTCATCCTGATATCTTCTTCTTCTTCTTTTTTTATATAACGAGCATGTCTCTTATTACCTGTGGCTGTTTCTCTGCACGACTAAGGCTGCCTGTGTGAAATGAACAAACAGCACCACGTGTCTCACAGAGGAGAGACCAGTGGGTGTGTTTAATTATCCTTTTTGTTCTGTTTGTTATTTAATGGAGCTTTTTTAAAATCCATCCTTTCTCTGGAGTGTGTTTGACCCTGAACTGACGCCTCTGTGTGTCTGCCCGTGGACCCCTCTGAGCCGCTCTGTGAGACAGTGAAAACCATGCAGCATGCTAAGATATACCTGTCGTTCTTGACTGATTCTCTATGTACTGAACATTGCAAGTTAACTACTGAGATTATGACAATGGTTGAAATTATAGTATCACTCTGTTTATGTAAATTTCCAGTTTCATCGTGGTGACTTGACTACAATTATTCTGTAGATGGTATTTAATTGCATGATATTCCAAGTTAATAACATTGGTAAGTTGGGTGTTATCGTGCATTTTGTTGATTTTTCTCTTTTTGGACTGAACCGTCGGCAAGCTTTGCCATTGCCTCTATTTTCTGAGCTTTGTAAGTGCATAAACTTCAATTTTTTTGTGTTTATATAATAGTGTAGTATAAACGAGGATACTGGCGAGGATTATGACAGAATATGCCTTTTAAAGAAATTGCTGGATGCAGATCGCTCTGTTATTCTGTCAAAGACAAAAGCCAAGATATGAAGTCATTATTTATTTTTTGAGTAGAGTAGACTAAAGTATATGTCTCATGTTTATTATTTAGAGTATATACAGCTCAAGAGGTTATTTTAGAAAACTACACAAAGTTATGTTTCCAGGGGTGTATGTCATTATAGATTTATTAACACATAATTAGTGGGATCTTAAATGAAAACATTGATTTGTTAAGTTGTGCCCAAATATAGAGGTCTCTGCCCAGAAAAATATCATATACTGTCTATTCAAAGTGGATATGGCCAACTAGACATTGCCCATTGGTTTCAATGAACCTTGAGCCATCCTTTAAGTTTTGTGCAGAAGCCAAACTTCTTTACTCAATTTTTCTTTTTTCTTCAAAGCTCTTTCAAAATTTTTCCAAATTTGGAGTACATCAGATTTTGTCTTTCATAGCTGATAATCCCAGGGGAACCTGCAGGAATGGCTAAAAGTTTGTTTTGTTTTTTTCTACCAAAAATTCAAAATTGGAGACTTACTGTTGGTTTTACAATATGGGTCCAAGATATGATATGGTTTTTTTTTTTATGCCAAATTTTAGAAATCTTGGTTAAATGTGTGGTGGGGGCTGAATTTTTTTTTTTTAGATATGGGTGTGCTACTGAGCCATTTAGCCAAGCCCCTTTTTAGAACCTATTTTAAAAAATGTCAGTTCTTCTCTAGACTTATGTTTACCAAATTTGGTTGGTCTATGTGTATTTTAAGCACCCCAAAATTGACTTCCTGTTCATGGGGCGCATTGCTTTGCTAAGGCATAGGCTTAATGGGGCACAAGGGTAAAGATAAGAAGAACTTCATTGATCCCCAAAGGTCATTTCAATAAAGCTATCAAATTAAAATACAATTTGACAAAAAAAAAAAAAGATGTGTTTAATAGACGATTATATGGAGGCAAATACCGTCATTAGGATACTTTGAAAATTCTCAATAAAACATGCTAAGACCGAAAAACAGAGTTAGCACCATCAGGTCTCCTCAATGGTTAATGTCCCCTTAAACCAATCTTTAAGATTCAAAGACAGTGTAAATCAGTCTTTTTGAGGTACTTAAGAACAAAATTTTAGATTTTATTGGTTTTTAGTTTTCATGAAGGCAAAAAGTTTGTTCATCCTACGAGTTAAAATTTTTTCCCTGCAGTTCAGTCCAGGCTTTACTTGTAATTGCTATAGTTAAAAATGCCGTCAGGAAACACTACATAACATGCTCACAACAAAACATCTGACAGACACAGTTTAGGACTAGTGATTACTGAGGACAGAAAAAGTAAAAAAAAAAAGGTGTATCCCTTAGGAGTTTGTTTTTACTTGATTCTGATTTGGTACAACATCAGGATTATACACACAGAAAAAAATGCAGAGAGACCTATGTATCCTCAAACCCATCAATCAAAAAACTGAAGAAAATATCCAAACAGATTGAACAAATACACCTCTAATGGTGTAACTTTTAAGATCTTCCACAAGAGAGCGCCAAAATCCATAGAACTATTTAAGAGTGAAGACAAGAGTTTAAAACATGAACCTTTTCTGAGCTGAAGTCTGTATTCGGCTGACTGTTGGTGAGAGTAGGAACACTAATACTGAGTAGCAGAGTGTGAGAGGAAAGAGATAATCACAAACAAATATTTCAAATATTCAAACCCTGCAAAGTTGGTGCATTATTACAAAGAAAAGGGACAGTAAACAAAAATCCAGCTGAGCTTGCAAAGACTAACAATAAGAAAAATTGAAATTCTGAAAGTATTTAAAGAGACATAAGGCTTAACATGAAGAACATCATCAAAAATAACTCAACAGTTCAAAAATTAGATTAAGAATTACATCATGAAAATGCGAACAATATGTACTATGTACAACCTCATTATTTCAATCAGGTTTTAAAACCTGCAAATGTATTTTAATGCTTTTTTATGTAAAAAAACAAACAAACGTATTTTTAACAGTTCAATGGCCCTGAGGGTCAACTGCAAAAGCTTCACAAACCACAATAAAAAAAATTAACAGAACGTCAGTAATACTAAAGCCCCTGAATAATTAGTGAAACGAAAAAACACCTCAAAAAATGTAAAAAAAAAAAAGAAGGAAATAAACAAAATCATTTAATCGATTACTAAAATATTTCACAAAAACAAAAAATATTTAATTTTAACCTTAAGAAAAACTGCAAATTATATAAAACTTGCATCCCAATAAGATTTCATGAAGTGTAAAAATATTTTTAAAATCAAAAACTTTTGCAAAAAAGTAAAAATATTTCATTAAATGCAAAAACTTTAACATATTTTGAACATATTTTAAAACTCTGACATTTATACAACAGAGAAACATTTCATTGAATAATGTATCAGTCTAAAATATTCAACAAAAGTAAAAATTTTACATCACTTAAAAACATTTTCATAAATATAAATATTCAATTGATCAGAGCCTAATTTCACAAAACGTATAAACATTTCTAACCCCAAAACACTTCACAAAAATAAAATACTTGAAATGAGGTAAAAACGTTGTCCTTTTCAAAAATATTTTCCAAAACCTATTTTTTATGTAACACATCTCTAAAGTAATTAAGTTTAATGAAACAGAGTGCAACAATATTAAATGAAACATGAAGCATTAGAAAACATTTTAATATATTTTTGTTGAATGCTTTTCTTTTATTGAAAAATATTTCAGTGTTTTGTGATTTTTTTTTCCTTTGATGAAAGTTTCAGTATTAAGTATTATTTTGAAAAAATGTCTTTTTGGCAAGATGAGGAATTTCTGCCATTTATTTTTGCATTAGCTGAAATTTTAGTGGTCACATTTGTGCAGCTACCCTTCAGGGCCACCGTTATGAGTTATTTTTGTCCACCTGCTTAATAAAATGAGCTTGGTCAGTCATAAAAAGAACTGCAAAATTAAATGCAATAGCTCACATTAGAGTTGATGTTTTAGTCCCATCATTTCATCTGTTTGTGTGAATAGTAATGGAATATGCACTCTGCAGGACCTGAGTTTTTTTTTTTTTTTTTTTTTTTTTTTTTAATTTGGCCCTCTCTCCTGTCCTGGTCAAGCCCTGTAGGTGTCAGTGCTTTAATAGGATTATTGCTCACTTAGTGTCACTGTCCTCTTTGGCAAACAACCCTTATTCCACTAACCATTAACTTGGCTGTAGACAGAAGACCCTCATGATTTATTTTTCTTACGTTTAGTTGAGCAATGATGAGACGATTAATGAGAACGCTGCTGTGTGAAAAACAGAGATTTCTTTTTTACATTTATTATACTGATAACGATAAAGATGATTCCTCTCTCTGGTGTGCATTCCAAGTCTTATAATATTAAAATGTGATCAGATGTAATCAGTGTGTGAACCAATAAAATGACAATGCAGAGAGTACCGCAGCCCTCTCTCTTATCTCCACCCACAGACACAGAACATAATGTCTGACTGCTGTTTACTTGTGTGTTTTTACTGCCTAGCTGTAATTTTATTGGTCATTTACAGCAATCCATTTAGGCCAGAGTCTGACTGAAATCTGTTCATTTCAGGGGCTGAAGGCACCATCAGGGATCACTAGCAATGAACAGTGGGAGTTGGTCAAACTTAAAAAAGGAAACAGGTAGGATGGTAACGAATGAATTATGCTTGATTTGAACGTTTCAGTTGATTTGTATAGCTTCGTTTACGTATTTATATTTCAGAAACTATCAGGATAAGTCCTGTGTGTGAACTAAAATGTAGACGTTTTGCATTCTGTTTTCACCTGAAATGAAATAATTCAACTGAACCATTTTAGGGTTCTTTTCTAGGACCTAGAAAATAGTCATAGTTGATGCAGCTTAAACACAACTTTATCTTCCTTCTCTGTTATCAGTGTTTGTTTAAATCCAGGTGGTGCAGCATTTTTTTTCAAAAAACCCCTAAAACAATGTTAGATTGTCATGTACAATTAATGAGGCTGGTTCATACCATTTCTTGCCCCATGTATTTGTTGATATTTTGGAAACAGCCAGTTACTTGTGGCATAGATCTAAAGGACAATGTAGCATTGCATATTTGATATACAATTTTCGTTTCTTAGATATGTTTGTCACTTGTTGAATTTGGTCATGTCATGTTAACTGTAATAGTTTAATGTTCAGATATTACAATTGTGCTACGATGAAAGTTAAATCAGTACAGTCAAAATTGAATTACACCATCAGAAAATATAATGAAGTAAACTTTAAAACAAGTCCCTCTTAAGTCGAATGGACTGTAAGTTTAAAATAGAAAACTGGACCTATCTGTCTTATAGTTAGTTTACTTTTATAACACCATTGTTTTTATAACCTTTATCATCATAAGCTCTCTTTTATAACAACACCCTGATAACAGTCCTTATAAAACAGTAAAAGCATATGCGACTGTACAGTGGGCAGCAACAAATCATACAATAAACAATTGGAAAACATGAACATGATGAAAAACAACTGGTTCACGGAAAACTAGCACTCAGTTGCCATCCAAAATGTGTTTAAACACAGAACAAAAAGTTTTTATTTTGATTATTAAACCATGTCATTACAAAAATCTGTTCTGTTACTCGAAGAGGATTCTGACGTTGCTGTTTTATGGGTTAGTAATAGTAGCACTTAAGTATGTGGGGAGTTATAGTTAGTGATCTCTTTTGTGTTCACTTTCTCAGTCAAGGAAGGCCAGTAAGTTGCTCTTTACATAATCAGTGTCAGGACAAAGGTTGATGTTTATTGCTCTGTTGTACTGTGAATAAAGTACATCTGGCACTGAGACAGAACATGTAAATGTACCTCTTGTTAAAGATGCCAAACATGCAGTGGGTTATGATTTATTTTAAATCCAGAGTTCAAACGGAAGCACAGCTTCACTAGTGCAAAGTTCTTTGAGTTTGGACTAGGGATGAACTTATTTTTCAACTTAATACTTGAACATGGCTAAAAACGGAATTTGCAGAAAAACATGAAAGAATAAAATCATCCAAAGCTTTTATGATCTGTGTTTTGGCCCAGGGGCACAGCTACAGGGATGGCAGCCCCCACCTAAAATCCAATTAGCTGCCCACAAATTCTGAACTCTGATTGGCTAATTGCCTTTAAAGAGGCGGGACTTAATGAAGAAAATCAGCAGCTCCTGCGCACAGGCCGGTCTTTCAACTTTGGTATGTTTACATGCTCTCAACTCAGGAAGTCAGGTGTCATGTTACCTGACCTTTTTAAACCAAGGTTGAATTAAAAGTTAATTAAATTTAACTGCTTTGACATTGGTATTGAATTATTTCTCTAACGATCCTAGATCACTGTATGTTGACAACAACAAATGGTAACACCAAATCCCAGATACAATTTGGGACAGAATTAAATGTGCGGTATGTAAATTAATAAAACGTTTTTGGACTCAAAACATTTAGCATCTGAAATGAACGCTTTGTAGCATCAATTTCAGAGTAAAAGTCATTTTAAGCTTAATTTTATATCTTTTAAGATGTCCAAAAAAAGTAAAAATTGACAAATTCGTGCAAGAGTGGCTTAATGCTGCGTTCCAGTAACCTCGGAAGTCAGATGTCGGAGCTGGGAACAGCGTTACACCCGAGTTGATGGCATTCTAGTAAACAAGTTGGAAAACCAAGATGGACACCAACTGTTAGCCATTGTTAGCTGTTGTTTACAATTGTCATCTTGTCATTGGCCATTGTCAATTGTTGATGGTTTTCAGCTGTTGTTAGCTGTTGTCAGCTGTTGTTCGCCGTTGTTAGCAATACCAGCTATAAACAATGCATAACACAGTATTTTACTCTACAAACACTATAGCACCGTGTTCACAGTTTGACGTTGGGCAGGACAACATATACCACTTCATTAATTTCACAAAAACAAAACAGAAGTGCCAATGAATAAAACATTGCAAGAGTTTTTACTGTTACTCTTTGCTGTTGATGCACTGCGCTGCCATCTTGGATTAATTTCTCACTCAGACCTCGGAAATCCCAATTTCTGAGGACAACTGGAACTCTGCATTATTACATGGTTTATTTAATTCTTTATTTTTCAGTGTAGATTGCTATGGGGTTTGTAGTTTTATTGAAGGTGTGGCCAATATGAGTACCCTCGTGAGGTTGGCCACCTCTTGTTAACCCCTGGCTCCACCTCTGTTTCCTCTTACAACTACAGGAAAAAAGTTTAGAAACAAATAAATGTTTCCAAACTTCTCAGAAAGTACAGGAAATTGAAAATAAATATCTTTTCTGTCTTTAAACTTTTTCAAATACCGCAGTTTCGCTTCGTTTTTCTGCCAGTAGTGTTTTCTGACGCAACCTTACCGCTGTCTCAGCTGACGTCACCGACGTCATGACGCAGATCAGCACCAGAGTGATTAGACAGTGCCGGAGGGAGCGCGTGTCTCCCACCTCAGGTTCAGTTTACACTCAGGAGCTCAGCGGGGCGCAGCAGCGTTCGCTTATCTGCAACTTCAGGCGAGTAGAGGTTGTAAAGGGAGCAGCGACTGCGTCAACAACTCCGCCGACAAGGTAAAGAAGTAGTAATTTAATTCAAACGTTAAAGTTCAAACCAAGTTTTCACCCAACAAACTGTGAGGGAGCTGCACGAGATGCCACCGTTTTATAAGTGTAACGCGCTCGAGCGCTTAACGGTTAGTGTTTGAGCGTCTTTATGTAGCGTTGTGAGGACATTTCTGTTAAAACCGACACATACAGGGGACAAATTTAAAGCGTATACAACGAAATATCATGAAATTTCGCGATTAAACGTCGCTCAGGAGTAGAATTCGTCTGAAAAGTATAGTTTTATGGCTAGAGTTTGATATCAAGTAACAGTTACGACTCTTTAAGCAACATTTTGTAGTGTAGATGTCTCCAGAAGTGATACGGTTGTATTTAATGTTTACAAAGTATGATGAAGTTGGGGTGTACAGTTGCTGGAATCAATTTTTATTCATTTATTTGTTAGATATTTTGTTTATGGCCACTTAAGTCATATTTTGTATGGTGCATGGTTATGTGATGGTCTTTTTAACTGGACATATTGAGTACTGATGGCATGTTTCCATTGCAGGAACTTCCAGGAACCAATGGGATAGCAAACCAGAACCAAGGGTCTAAATTAAAGCTCCTGTGAGGAGTTATTGACATTCATGAAACAGACTGAAATTCATATTGGTGCTTCTTATTAATATTTGAAATCAGAACAGATTATACAAGATGACCAAAACCTATAATTGAATCTTTTGCTTGTGATTCTGTAATTCTTTTAACACCCTGTCTTTCTTGGGAAATCCCCCAAAATCTGAGTAGGAATCTTTATTGGATGCAAGTAGAGTACTTCAGTTACATTTGTCATCTCCTATGACACAATTTGTGTTGAAGAGGTAACCACACACTGGTTCTACTATATGCTTTTTTTTTAACACAGTATCTATATTTAAATTTTTTCAAAGGCAGTGATCCCCATTATTGGTATATTTGGAAAACCCTTGTGTAGACTATATAAGATGTGGATATGCTCCGTTATATAGGAGTGAATCTGGTATTGAAGTGACCTGAACTCCTCTGGTTGCCAAAAAAGCCTGATTGTGTCAAACTAAATTAGATAATGAGCCTCTTTATCAGCTGATATACCTGCTTAGTAAACACTGTACTGGTATTTTTATGGTCCCAATTGGTTGTTTCAAGCCTCCATGGTAGAATGATACTTATTTCAAATAATGGTCCCTTTTGGAGTTAATCAACTTAAATTGATGACTAAAACGCTGAACTCACTCATCAAACTGATGAAGTGTAAATTTACTGACAGTCGTCATTTTTATTTTCTCTCAACAGGATCCAGTTTATGATAAGCAGAACAGAAGGAGGAAGGAGCAGGAGTTTTGGAGAAGTCAACCTTACCGGCACAGCAAGACAAGTGGTTCAGCTGCCAGGAAGACTTAAGAATCTAGTCATCTTGGACGCTGCACTCTCCTTCCAGGAAGGGGCGGATAGGAGGAGCTGTGGCTAACCGGCAGCCATGCACCGCTTAAGGACTACAGTGTCAAGGCTTCGGCCTCTAACTGCTGCACAGACAGCACAGAGCCGGCCACAGCACAGACTGATTGTGACCAGAGGAAGCTTAAGGACGTTTCAGCCTGGAAGGCACCTGAACACATCAGTGGCATCTGAACCCTTTCTCAATGGAACCAGCTCGAACTATGTGGAGGAGATGTACTACGCATGGCTGGAGAATCCCAAGAATGTGCACAAGGTAGCATGCATCACTGTGTGTGTTGGATGTCACACCTGAGTTGTGTGGTTTTGAAAACTTGAATGTGCCTTCGGGGAAGTACTAATACACAGATGCAAAACAGGTTCAGTGCAACTTTACACTTCACAAAGGGTATTGATTTATTTCCTTATCTTGGTCCCTTCTCAACATACTTAATCGTGCAAGTCAATGAGTGGTCATTTTAGGATTGATTCTGCTTCAGCTACAAAATAGGGTGCAAAGTCTGCAGAGCGAATCATTGTCCTCATCAAAGTGCATCCTCTTAAAGTGCTTCTTTTTGCCACTGGCTGGTTTGTATAGTTTTGCAGGAGTTCCAAGACTATAAGTCACCTCACTCAACAGAGTTCTGGAGCTTATGTCTGATTTGTGAATGTTGTTTTGTGGTTGTGTTGTTTTCAAGGCTCAGCTCAGATCCAACACATTATTATACCACCAACAAAATGAACCGGTTTAGTTTGTGTTAGACCTGCAAATGAGGTAAACTTATAGTTAATGTCAATTGAAACTGGAAACTTAATGTTATTTTTAAAAAAAGTACCCTTTTCTATATTTTGGGGTTCCAAATGAACTGCTCCTAAAGGATCTCAGGCTGCAAAATGCCTCATATGATTGAGAGAATAAATATGTAGCATGGCAAAAGGGAGGCCATGAATAGCCTTAGAGGTCGGGGTAAGGGTTTGAATATAACTCTTGAAGGTGCTGGAAGCCATGGTAATGTTGTCATTTCTGGTGGTTTTGGTTAAAAGTTTGGTTGAAGAGACTGAAGATTAATCTGTCTTCGTTGCTGCCACTTCTCAAACATAAAATTTGATCATACAGAGATGCAGTCAGATTGATTTCTGGAAAACATGCCTCTTTTACAGCAGACCTGTTCTTCCTTTAACGCTTGATAACCATCAGACTCAATTGTAAACAGATAGCAGTCTAAATGAAGTAGGGTAAAGGTAGAATCAGACACAGAATGTACTGTATGTGTTTGTGTGTTTGCTTATGCCTGTTTGAATAGAGGAGCAGCAGCACAGTAGCAAACTGTACTGCCAAAAGTGAATAACAGCAGTTGGAAAGGGCTCTGAATGACTTTTGGCAAAACTACAACTTCACCAATTATTTATTTTAAAGCAAAACACAGCTGTGACACAAGAACATCATTTATTCTTAAAACCGTGACAAAATATGACATCCTTTTCTTCCCCTTATTTCCTAAAAGGACAAAACTCCTCCCCAGGTAATCCAAAAAATACTAAATTTCTCTGAATGTACCGAGTGCCCAACCAGCAAACTCCTGTAGCTCTAAGCATCAACATTTGCAACTCAAAAAGAAGCCAGAAGATTTGAAAGTGAAAGTAAGTTATTACCCTTGGTCCAAACAAAAGACAGCTGTCCCTTTCACGAGGAATTTTCAATAGAAAGAAAGATAATGGAAAAACCATAGCTAGAACAAGAAATCCTGTCTTTTATACAGATTAGATATTTATAAATGAAGGTACCAACATTTGCTTGTATAATCAAAAAGAAAAAATCTGTTGTTTGTCATGTGTTACCTCTTCACTTTAATTTAACACAACTTAAATTATCTCAGGAGGTTATGTCAAATGTTTTCTTTAGAGGCGTTTAGCTGGATGGTTGAGAAATTTTCTCTGGCAGTCAGCATTGTTAAGACGTTTCCTTTTGGCTCACCATATTCAGACACCACTCCCTGCATCCAGACTTGCTGCATTTATCTGAGAGTGGTTATCATTGTTGTTAAATAACTTGGTCTTTTTTTTTGAGTAACTTTGTTCTAGACAATCACCGTGTCTCTCTGTTTTTTATCCCTTCGGTGCTGTAGTTGTTAGGGGTACACTTGCCTAACAGAAAAGTGTCTGCGTCTGTTGCTGTGAACAACGTTCAAAAGTCCAGGCGGTGAATATACACCAAAAAAAACAAGGTTTATTTCCAATTGATGAGTTGTTAGGTTGACGTGGGTGTAGCAGGAGCAGCTTAACCTACATGGTTGTGCCGATACCAAAGCACTACTTACGATTCTTCAGTAGTGTGACTTTAAGACTTGTTTTATAAAGACTAAATAGTTACAAAAATCCAACTATTAGTTGTGGTAAAGGAATACAGCATCAATCTTTGATCAGTCACAGTCCTAAAAAAAGGCTTGAATGACTTATTCCCTAGTTTTACCATAGTTTCTTTTAAACCATCAAAAATATGCTTTAAAGTTGTAACAATGAAGAACAGCATGGGATCTCTACAGAACTTATGTAGAGCATCAAACTTTGATTTCCTTCAGCCAAGTAGAACAACCTCAGATTGGCAATTAACTCGATATCCATCTACAAACAAGGGTGTTAATCTGGGTGAACTATTAGCTCATAAAATGTCTATTCAAACACAGTTTTACTGGGTCTGTTTTCTGCCAGTTCAAGGCTTGTTTATCCTCTGTTATACTTTAATCATGTCACTGCGGGTCTTTGTAGTACAGTCATTATCTCTTTGTGTGTTATCATGCTGCCAAGTTTTGATGTCTTTGAGTGTTGCATGATTGTAGTAAAACTGTTATGTCACACTGTACCTTTAAACTCGTATCCACCACAGAGGAGGGTGTGTTAAAGCTTCCTTTACGTCTAATCTCAAAATCCTCTCTCAGAAGTAAGCCAATTACTCTCCTCTCTGGTTAGAAAGTGAGATACAAAGTCAAACATGAGCGAAGGAGCATTTTAAAAATTAATAATTTTAGCACCATGGGTGACACAGTTTTATTGTGATAGAAATGTCGTGAGATCTGTTAGCTGGTCTGTTGCAACAAGTCAGAGTGGAAGTGTATAAAATGGTTGTAACTTGAGCATCCACTTGAGGCTGTCCCAAGAGCCAAGAAAGGCCCCATTAGGACCCATATCGTCAATTTTGTAGCTGGATCAAATATGCTCACATAAAACAGAATGCATCTTGGACAATAAGTTCTCAAACGGACAGCACTGAATGCCATTATGAGTTGAGACAAATTAATTTGCATTTATTTACTTCGTTTGGGCTAAAGCTCAACTATCAGTATCAGATTAAGACTTTAAAAGTTAGTTTAATTTATCTGAGGTTTAAACATATTGAATAATTTGTCTCCTTTCTCTCCCTGCAGTCCTGGGATATATTTTTCCGTAATGCTAACGCTGGGGCTCCTCCTGGCTCAGCCTATCAGAGCCCTCCCCCCCTCGGTGGGACTATTCAGGGATTGGGTGGTGTCCAGGCTCAAGTGGGAGCTCAGCCCAACATTGAGAAGCTGGTGGCAGATCATCTAGCTGTGCAATCACTCATAAGAGCATACCAGGTACGTCACAGACATCACCTCAGGAAATAAGGTCACACTTGTTTGCCAGTGGTTAGAGGTTGGGGTCTAAGTTTGTAGAAGATGATACTGTTTCCTGACATTGAGTAGGCTGAGTATGAACAATCCTATCAGAGATACTAGTCATGATTTTTATCTTCAGTCCTCTGGGATCAGTACGAGATAAACAACTGACATGACAGAGAGGAAAGAAACAAACTGATAAACAGCTGATCGTCTCTGCAGTTTAGTAGTGGGAAAGATAAACTTAATTAACATTATTAATCAAACAGCAGCTCTGTTATGTGGTTGCACTGGTTAGGATACAGTACATCAGTTTGCAGTTTTACTTTTGTCTTTCATAAAGGCCAGCTTCGGCAGCACAAAATCTTACTTTTCATACTTTCATTTGTATTTGTTTGGGAGAAGCCATGCTGACAATCTTGTCAGCAGTTTCTACATGACCTTTGACCTTCAGTACATGCGTGTCCAGGACTCTTGCTAACAAGTGGACACATGTTGGGAAATCTTTCAGGAAGTGATCAGCGGTTTACAGAGAGTAGACACACACTCATCATCAGTTGAACTGGGCTGATAAACACTGACCTGTTACACACAAACACTGAGCTGTTGTGTTGCTCTGTGCGCAGGTACGAGGTCACCACATTGCCAAGTTGGACCCCCTGGATATCAGCTGTGTTGATTTTGACGATACCCCGTGTGCTGTTGGTTTCCAGAACGTTGGTGAGAAATTTCAACCTGCTCTTATTTTACTCAAATGATCTTTTTGGTCCCTGTTCTTCTTTCTGTCATACAACTTTTTCACCATGAGTGTCCAATCCTTTGTTTCATCATTGTACACAGTTTGCCATCCCCATAAAGCACAGGACGCATTCAGATTGCAAAATTTGAACGTGTTCGAACATTATTTGAAAATCTGACAGCCCTAACCACTTGATCAGGAGTCAGTAGGTCAATAGTGAGGTGTATAGTGCCAGTTCTTGGTCATGTAGCAGCTGATTTAGGCTTATTACCCCCGACACAGCATCATACCCGTTCAGAAAGCAGCATGTAACAACACGATTACTTATCATTAAGGAGTATGACCTTCAGCTGACTTAGTTTACCTGTCACATCTGTTATTCATTCACGGGCCCCTTCTTGAGACTATGGTTGTCGTTTTGAGAGCTGTTGTGGCTGAGATTTTGAGTATGTTTGCATTTAGCTCAAAGTAAAGCCTCAAAGAAGACACTGGACTTGATATTGTTCATCTTTGACTCCGATCCGAAATGGCGGCAATTTTCCCCGTCCACCAATTCCTACCAGATCTACCAGATCTATTGGTGAGGCGACATTTGTGGTGGATTACGGACAGCGGTAATAGCAAGAACTCACAAGAACCCGCAGATTCATGTGCAATTGCGCGATAACGAGTTGTCTTTATAAAGACAGCTTCATAACCATAAAAGCAGTACCGTATTTTTCGCACTATAAGGCGCACCAGATTATAAGGCGCACCGAAAAATAAAGCGCATTAAGCCAAAGAAAACAGTTATTAACTCCGTGAGGCTACGTTAGCTGCAGTGCGCCGATCCAAAAGGATTTTAAGTGCGCCTTATAGTGCGATAGATTGTGTCCTTCCAGAGGAGGAAAATCTACTTCTAGACTTAGAGAATCAGCATCTCCTCATCCATGGTGTCATCGGGTTGAAATGCTGTCTAAAAGCCTTTCACTTGTTCGTCCGCGTGGTGTCAAATAAGATCCACCTGAAACACAGAGTGTTTTATTTTGAGAAGAAGCCAGATGTTTTATTTTGTGTCTGTGCCTGACTTCCTTTCCAGCACAGGTTAATCTGTGCTGAATTTATCCGGCATGCTCCGGCATCCGGAAAAAATTGAACTCTTGCGATCAGCCACGGAGTCTGGACTTGAATGGTTACAATCAGCCACGATTGGTGGATACAGCCTTTTCGTAGCTGTTCTGCATATGGTGGAAATAGTGTGTTTACACTTGTTTTTGGCATTTTTCATCTATATTCAAGCCTTTATTTGTCATATCAAGCTCTGCAGATGTCCTGGTTTTCTTATCAGCACACTCTGCATCTTTTGGTTTTGGTTTTTGTTTGGGCAAATGAGATAAGACTTGATGTTTTAAGGCCACCACCCTTTTCAAAAGCTTCAGTTTAAAAGCTTAAGAAGGAATCAAGTAAAGTATTTGAGAGGGATTAATTAAAGAAAAAAATGTTTTTCTGCTCCTTTCTCTTTTTATATTCTTACATGCCTGTTTTGTTGTGGCGGTGCCAAGAGGTGGACCAAAGTGCAAAGTGTGTGTGCATGTCTGTGTGTGTATATGTGTGCGAGGCATGCCTGCAGCAAACTGTGATTGTCTCTAATGAATAGTTTGGGCCTCTGAGTTCAAAAGCAGGTGATTGTTACGAGCTGTAAAAGGACGTTTCCACAGTTTATTGTGTCATTGTTCAGTTTAAACATGTTCTTCTTTGTCCTGTTAATGCTCAGGTTCACAGAGGTTGAACAACGGGTCTGCGTGTCAGGCTTCAAATATGCCAAAAAAGAATAAATGAGAAGCTGTGAGTGATTCTTGACGTGCGGTGTGTGTTTGTGTCTCTCCACGCCTCCAGAGTTCTCTCATTACAAAGACCGTCTGAGCGATCTGACTGCTGGAGGTAGGATGAGAACATCAAACCTTTGCTCTTTTGGTTGGAACTAACCCTCTAAAACCTGGAGTGGTGTACTAGGCATTAATAACAGAGGCACTAACAGGCTGCTGTACGTTTTTTTCTGTTGGGTGTCATCAGAGTATTAACTCATGAGTAAAGCATCAGGGTTATCAGTCTCAACTCAACATGTTGAACAACTTTATCCTCCAACATCCAACAGCTTTACCTTAATCTGGGCCTAGTTGAGACTTCATGTGGTTGTTTAATCACCATAGAAAACCACACATACAAAGTAAAGACAACAGAGTAGAGGCGCTGCTCGCCACAGATCATCTTTTGCATACAGCAGTAGTTCAGTTTCGTGCAGAACATGGTCTCAGTCAAGATGCTAAGTATAAACTTCTTTCTAAAGTGACGAGAAAGAGAAGAGCTGCATTATGATATTAAAAATCATAAGATCTTTAAAGTCAATTTTAAAAACCACACTTTAACAGGAATAATCTGCAGCTCGAGCAGAACAACTCATGCAGAGGCGAGCCTGAGAGTGGTTCTGTAATTACCTTTTTACTCAGACAAACTGAGGACAGCAAACAAGACAAATGTAAGATAATACAAGTACATACGGCTGCAAGAGAACACCAGCAACTGTTGAGTTTGCAACCATAGTAGAAATATTAGCGTGTCGAGCCTCACTGTGCAAAGGAATGTGGAACAAACTGTTAACGTTGCTCCATTAAGGAAAAAGAAAACACAAACCAGACAATCATTTTGCTGTTCTGCCGTTTGTTGCTGTTCTGCTTCTTGTTTAGTACAAAGGGTGTTGTCTGTTTGCTGTCTTCCTGTAAAGTAAACTCTCCTGTCGTGTAACAGTCTGTTTGTACAGCAGTTATGTTATCTGTCTACGGGACAAGGTGCTGGTTGTAACGGGCATCGGCATCTTTTTGTGATGGTGGTGTTAAGTGTGTTTATATTTTACAGCCATACTCAGTCTATATGGTGTCATGTTTCTTTCTATTTCCATCAGCTGCTGCTCATGTTTCCTTCTTCTTCTTCTGTTAGTTAATGAAAATGGTCAACAGCTTTCAGGCGCTCTACACCCAACTCTGTGTTTTATGCCTAACTTGGTGTTTTGTGCAGCATGTTCTGCTTTTGATGGCTTGGACTGAAGAAAACGCTGACACAGACAGAGTTGTGCTCCTTCGAAAGGCAGTTTTGTGTGTGTGTGTGTGTGTGTGTATGTGTGTATGTGTGTGCGCAACCTTTGCTCAGCGTCCAGTGGGGTCAAACAGGACTCATCCAGGCTTATCTGCGCCTGCTTCATTAAACGTTGGTGTGATTAGATTGCACCCAGACTCACTCTTTTTGATTGCTTCCTTGGATTGGTGCCTCCGCCTCATCAAAGAAAACAAATTGTGTGATATTATGTTCAGAGCGGTTTCTCAAAGGAGGGGAGGAAAGTCCAAAGATCCCTTATGTAAAGCTGAGAGCTGACTCTGCCGTATTGGACTGGGAACCTCCTGTCCTCAGCACGGCAGCAGCCTGCACTCACTTTGCTGACAGAGACGTACAAACATCACCCCCCTCCCTCTTGTCTGTTCTATATTGTCTTATCTCTTATCTTTGGTGCAACCAGGACGTCAGATGTGTTAGATAAACAAAAGCTAACCTGTAATGTCTCTGACGGCTCCTCCTGACAATATAGACATACCATTATAGCAGCAAATAACCCATCGGTCCTGTCCTGTTTGTTTTTCTGCTGTTTGCCCTCAGCTAGAGGAACATCAGCTGCTTCTCACTGCACATTATGAGGGGAAATCCTGTGATCCAATGGTTCCTGGTGCAGCAAAGTCCAGACAGAACTTTTAAAGACAAATACAAAATAATTTCTGTTAAAAAACGATTTTCTTTTGAAAATAAGTTCAGAATTATTTAAAAGTCAGCAAAACACAACTTTGGGTTCTACTCTTTTCGCACAAAAAATAATGTTTACGCCGCTCAAGACTGATTCAGCTCTGTATTCCTTTGTAATGAGAGTAATGTCGTGAACAAATCTATCAGTTAGATGTCTTTTGCAGTGAGGTTTGTTTGCATTTTAGACTACAGGGTCTATTTTGCTTCAAATAATCAGTACTGACTTGTTTAAATGTGAACAGAAGACCATTTTACTAATTGCATGCACTTTAAGAATCAGACTTTGTCTCATTTGCACTAGTTGAGTGGGTGCAGAAATCAGTTCACTTTGTGATTATAACTTCCCTAAAAAAGTGTTTTATAAATGGAAGTAAGGTGGAGTTTAATTAAGAGAGCCGTTTTAACCAGTAAAATTCAATTGCTGTTCTACCTTTTGATGGAATAATAAATGAGATTTTCTAATTGTGCTCAGCAGATCAGCTAACATTCAGAATTAAACATTTCCTTACAGTCAAACACACAGTTTAGCCTGGAGAAAAATACAGACTGAATAAATATTTGCAGGGATTTAAATGAAGCTTTTTAAGGAAATTTCTCTTAAAATCACATAATTACTCTGTTTACTCGACAAAACTTTCCGCCCTGGAGCAGCCATGGTATGCTTTGCAACCTTAATGAAAAGAAAAACAGTGCATGACAAAAACAGGATGAATTTTTAAAAAAGATGAAAGACTTCCAGTTACAACCCTGTAGGTTGGTATTAAAGGAAGACCTGCATGTTCTTGTTTGGCAGGTTTGTTAAGAGTCTCATCATGACCCTGATGAAGAAAGTGAGTCTAAGATTGTGAGAAAGTTTCAGCCTCCTTAGAGAGGAACAGATAAAATTAGAATCAATTAGACACAATCAGACAGTGCAGATTTTCCCTGTGGGGTTACATGACCGATTTAATGCACAAAGATCATTTTACCGTTAATGATGAGGTCTGTTGAGTCTGCTTGACCTGCTACTGCAGAACTCTGAGACACGAACACTAAAGGTGCCATCTGAGCCTCACCTGAGTTTGGATTCTATGGGCTCTATTTTCGTGTGCAGTTGTATTTTCATCTGGCGGAGCCCGGCGCACAGCCAGTTTGGTATTTTCGTGGACTGAGGCGCACCGAGGTCCGCCAAGATGGGCGTGGTGGCGAGGCAGGGGGAGGTGTCGATAGAATCAGCTGCTGCAGTGACATTTTCGTGCTCACCGGTGGCGACTAAGTGCGCTGAAAGCTTGCTGATTCAAACCTGGTCAGCTTTCAGTGCAGGCTGAGCGCAGCTGGTCTAGTAGTATTTTGGTAGACCGGCGGTGTATCGGCATACGTCACTGATGCCTCACCAGCAGGTTTCCACAGTGTCAGGAACATTTCAGTGCAATAAATAATTAACAACAACTAATAATCTGAGTCAGCACATACATTTAGATCCAAATTGATATACTCTGATCTAAATCTGATCTGATGAGCGCGTTTGGCACGCGTTTGAACACACAACCTCACGGATTTAACACAGCTGAAACCGCATTAAATTAAATTAAATATCTAGTAAATAGACACACATGATGAAGTTAACAAGATATGTAATTCGTCTCCCTCCTTTTCTTTCTTCCTCGTCCTCTTATTTCTCGCACAGCTCGACCTGGACACGTCTCCATGCCCCCCCCCCCCCCTTCCTGCAGCTGCTGCTGCTGCGGCGGCTGAACAAATGATTTGTTTAAGTGATCAGATGAGTTCTTTACTTTAAGCCTACATATGAATATTATAATATTCAGTTTTGTGGGCCAAATTTATTTTATATGCCAACATCTATGAAAGAAAGAGCCAGGCCAGGGAGCGCGATGCGTCATTTACGCACAGATGGTTCCAATTTTAATGCCATTATTGGAATTTATGATGTGATCTCTGCGCACAACCCACCTTTGTCACATGATGTTTGAATATGTGCAACTTCATGTGAGTGTCTTTATTTGTGGAAAAGGGTGTTTGTCTTACCAATGGGTCCAACATTACACACACCAAATCCATCTGTGCTCATATGAGAGAGTGTGAAGGACAACCTCTGCAGCGTTTACAGTGACACTTGTTGAGGAGCTGCCTTCTGTCGCCATCGTGTGGCATTACTGTCTTCAGACATCTCTTGATCTCTTTGTCTGCTTCACAAAAATAGTAATACACCTCGCCGGTGGCGGATTTAAAGGGGAGGAGAGGAGCTGATGTTAGTGGTCAATACAGGTCTCGGCTGTGTTAAACCCACTCCATGCCCTCTCTCCTCCCTCGCTATGACTTACGCCGCGAATTAGGGAGGGGGGATACTTACGCCGGGCTGCGCCGCTCACCAAAATATCAAATTGTGCTTGGGAACGCCTTGCCGGCACGGCGGACCTGACTTAAGCCGCACCTGCGGCACGTCTCCGGCGAGGCACGAAAATAGAGCCCAGTGACTTCAAATGTTTAATGAAAGCAAAAAGATCAAGAAAAAACATAATTAATTGATTCATAATAACTATGAACCCAGAGTCAGATAAACTTCTCTTGTTTGTTTTTTCTCAAGCACAGGTACGAATTTCTTTTTTCATTTGCAGAAGCCCCTTTTAAAAGATACTCAAAAAATTGATGTTAATGTGTTTCCAACAGGTCTCTATGGACTGGTGGAGTCCGACTTGGACAAAGTTTTCAGGCTTCCCACCACAACCTTCATTGGAGGAAATGAAAGCGCTCTGCCTCTCAGAGAGATCATACGCCGCCTGGAGGTAACAGAGTTTTAAAATGGGTCGAATACACAGAACTTGGTTTGTAATTTGTGATTTAAAGATGATGATGTGAAGACTCGACAGAAAAGCAGAAAAACTTTTTCAGGTTATGGAGGGAAAAACTAAGTTTAGAGAAGAAGGTGATGTCAGGATGTATGTCCAGCTTGTAGATTTATCTGTGTTTCTTTTACCCAGAATCTGACCCATTAAACACCCTAAGCTGTCCCTCTTTCTCATAGACGGCCTACTGCCAGCACATTGGAGTGGAGTTCATGTTCATCAATGACATGGAGCAGTGTCAGTGGATCAGACAGAAGTTTGAGACTCCAGGAACCATGCAGTTCAGTCTGGAGGAGAAGCGGACTCTCCTGGCCCGGATGATCCGCTCCACCAGGTCTGTTTCTGATCCCCTAAACTGGTAAAAGGTGAGGTGTTACTTAAGTGTGACTGAAGGGGGTTTGATGTTTGTAATGTGGAGCAGCAGCACCTCCACCTGTTCACAGGTTTGAGGAGTTCCTCCAGAGGAAGTGGTCTTCAGAAAAACGGTTCGGCCTGGAGGGATGTGAGTCACTCATCCCGGCGCTGAAGACGATCATTGACAAGTCCAGTCAGAGCGGGGTGGAGAGTGTGATCATGGGGATGCCTCACAGGTGCGTTACATCATGGCCCTTATGTTGTCCTGTAAAATAAGTATGTGAAGAAACACTGAGGTACAAAGTTTTTAACATTTTCATTCACTGCTGTTTCAGTCAAACATTTCTGTGTGATATGAAGAGTTCAGCTGGGACCTTCCTCTGTATTTGTCGGATGTTTTTATAACTTTTTGTCTAAATTATTTTGTCTTCAGTGAGACTTGAATCAGCTGAAATCATTAAAGATGTAAATAAAAGATTTTCTGATTCTTCAACACCTGAGTGTGACCCTCTTCTAAACTGACATCTTTTAGAGGTTTTAACCTTTTTTTCCTCACACAAACTTTTTATTGACTCCCTCCTAAATACGTCTTTGTCCCTCTGCAGAGGGCGGCTGAACGTACTCGCCAATGTGATCCGGAAGGAGCTGGAACAAATCTTCTGCCAGTTTGACTCCAAACTGGAGGCTGCAGACGAGGTTTGAACATTCACTGCTGAGGCCAAGAGAAAGTTTTGATGAATGTCTGGTTATCCTCCAAATATTGCACTGTAGCCTGCATATCTTTGTCTGCATCTGGCAAAAAACTCAGTTCATGAAGAATCGAGCATTTAAATGTCACATCTGAGAGGCTAGAAGTGCAAATATTTGGGGTCTTTACGAGTTAATTCCTCTCAGATGACAATGACATCTTTTATTTATATTCCTTTGTCAGATAAATGATAAAGTGGGGTGTGAGTTTTTGAATACATCCACGTCTCTTTGCCATGTTTTCATTCACTCCTTAGATTTCCTTTCAGTTTTCCTTTTCTGTCCTCAGGGTTCTGGTGATGTAAAGTATCATTTGGGGATGTATCATAAGAGGATGAACCGCGTCAGCGACCGTCAGATCACGCTGTCCCTCATGGCGAACCCGTCCCACCTGGAGGCAGTGGACCCGGTGGTTCAGGGGAAGACCAAAGCCGAGCAGTTTTATTGTGGAGACACTGAGGGAAAGAGGGTACGCAGTCTGAGCTCTGTTTGTCATCATGTGGAGGGAGAAAGCTCCTCTGCTCTGACATGTTAGTAACATGAAGAATGACTCCACAGGTCATGTCTATTCTGCTCCACGGTGATGCTGCGTTTGCAGGTCAGGGTATTGTGTACGAGACGTTTCATCTCTCTGACCTGCCGTCCTACACCACACACGGGACCATTCATGTGGTGGTCAACAACCAGGTAGTTGTTCAGGCTCCTGTTCATCAACCTCATCTTTAAATCAGAGGGCTGTATTTGACACAAAGCATTAGGTCTCGGCTGTAATTGCAGATGATTTAGTTCTCCATTTTGTCGTTTTCACAGATCGGTTTCACCACGGATCCCAGGATGGCTCGCTCATCTCCGTATCCCACAGATGTGGCTCGAGTCGTCAATGCTCCAATCTTTCACGTCAACGCTGACGACCCCGAGGCGGTGATGTTTGTGTGCAACGTAGCGGCTGAGTGGAGAAACACCTTCCACAAAGACGTGGTTGTAGATTTGGTATGTAAAGCAGAGAGTTACAGTGAAATGATTTGCAGCATTTATTCTACGAGCTTTTAAATGTTTGCTTTCTTGGTTTCAGGTGTGTTACAGACGAAACGGACACAACGAGATGGACGAGCCCATGTTCACTCAGCCGCTAATGTACAAACAGATCAAGAAGCAGAAAGGAGGCCTGAAGAAGTACGCCGAGAAGCTCATCACTGAGGGAGTCGTCGGTGTACAGGAGTATGAGGTACAGAAACCTTGAAGAGATGAGCCTCCTTATTGTAAATGAAGTGATTAAATCAGCTCACGTTTTACTCTTTAACTTTAATTTTTCAGGAGGAAGTAGCGAGGTACGATAAAATCTGTGAGGACGCTTACACTCGCTCCAAAGACGAGAAAATCCTCCACATCAAACACTGGCTGGACTCACCATGGCCTGGTTGGATCCTGATGTTTTATCCCATTAATCTTTAATATTCATTTTCTCACCTAGTTTGGATATTTGTTGCTTTTGTAACGAGTTTGTTTGTGTGTTTGTAGAGTTTTTCACTCTGGATGGACAGCCCAGAACGATGACCTGCCCTTCGACCGGCATCAGCGAGCAAGAGCTGATCCACATTGGAAACATCGCTTCTTCTGTCCCGGTGGAGGACTTCACCATACATGGAGGTTAGTTTCCACACTCCTCCTCCGTTTGCGAATTCGATAGAAATATCTAAGCCGCTTTCTTGTCTCTGTTTCTGCTCCTCGTTGGTGTTTTCAGGTTTGAGTCGTATCCTGAAGGGCCGTGGGAACATGGTGAATCAGCGAGTGTGTGACTGGGCTCTGGGGGAGTATATGGCCTTTGGTTCTCTGCTCAAAGAGGGGATCCATGTACGACTCAGTGGACAGGATGTGGAGAGGGGAACATTCAGGTAATACACAAAGAGATGTTTGCGCTCATATTCCAGTTATGTGTGAGTTAGGGTTAGGGTTAGGGTTAGCTTGTTTGTTCTGCTAGGAGTGGAGAAAAAGCAATTATTTTAAAACATGAAATTTTGATGCAGTGAAATCAGCTGCTCTTCTCGTCCACTTGATGGTGCTGTTGAGTAATTTCCTGCTGACATCTTCACCGTTCTCCTTTCTGATGTTTTCATTCAGTCACTCAGTCACAGTCAGAGAGGGAGTCAGTCATTTATTTGCCATTTTCAGAAAAAAAAATACATTGGAAAGCATTTGCTTGAGGACAATAAAGACAGACAAAGTAAGTTACATAGAAACAAAGAATAAAGTGAGTTAAAATTACAGTTAAAGTTAAGTATAAAAGCACACTGCACATAACTATAATGATACCAATAAATAATGATAAAGATACTAATAGTATTTAAAACTTCTGTTTGATGCTCAGACACGACATGAAATTAAGTACACCCCTGAGGCTAGAGGTTATTTAAGCTGCGCACAGCACAGGGAAAGGAACTATCTGAAAACCAGGAGGGAGAATATTTGATTGAAGAACAAAAAGGCTGGAGGCAGGGTGATTGGTGTCGCTCACTATTTTTGAAGCCCAAGCCAGGAGCCTTGAGTTATAAAGTGCATCAAGTTTAGGCCGGTCAGTGCCAATAGTTTTCTTAGCCAGATTGACTTTTCTGGTCAGATATTTTCGGTCCTGTACTGTTACTAAACCAAACTGTGGACAAAGAGGTAAGAATACTTTTGATGATACACCTAGAAAAGTTAATTAAAATCTGACAGTTAGAGGAGAACTCTTTCATTTTACGAAGGAAGAAAAGTCGTTGCATAGTTTCTTGATAATAATACTGGTGTTAAAGTGCCAGTTTAGATTGATTGTAATAATGACACCAAGAAATTTGAAGCTACTCACCATCTCAACCTCTGTGTTGTTTATAATGAGAGGGAGATGGGGTCGTTTTTTTCTACAAAACTCAATTATGATCTGCGTCGTTTTGGAGACATTTAAAATGAGATTGTTCATCTCGCTCCACTCAACTAGGTTCTGTACCTTAGCTCTATAAAGCGACTCGTCATTACAATCTATTTTCCCAATGACAGTACTGTCATCAGCGTACTTTACAATCAAGTTATTTTTGTAATAAGCAGTGCAGTCATATGTACTGAGGTGTTACTCTCCTCATGTGATATTAGCACCATCCCTCCAGCTCACACTCTGTCACACTGATTTTTCTCACATATTTCTTGCTGTGTTCTCATATCAATTCAGGTATGACACAGACACCTGTCCATCTGTTAGTCCCACCCTGTATGCTCTGACTGTGAGGGAAGTTTTTCTTCATTCTGTCTCAGTTTAAACTTGATTTTCTCTGATTTGCTTCACAGCCACCGTCACCACGTTCTCCATGACCAGAACGTCGATAAGAGGATCTGCATCCCCATGAATTACATCTCATCTGATCAGGCTCCTTACACCGTCTGCAACAGCTCTCTGTCTGAATATGGAGTCCTGGGTAAAAAAAAAAAAAAACACGCTTCCATGAATCAGACTCTAACCGTGTTGAAGTTCTGACTAGTTTTCACTTGTGTCTTCTTCTTTGAGCAGGTTTTGAGTTAGGCTTCGCCATGGCCAGCCCAAACGCTCTGGTTCTGTGGGAGGCCCAGTTTGGAGACTTTCACAACACGGCTCAGTGCATCATCGACCAGTTCATCAGTTCGGGTCAGGCCAAGTGGGTCCGACAGAACGGCATTGTGTTGCTGCTTCCTCATGGCATGGAGGGAATGGTAGGAACTAAGAAAAACAAACAGTTATTGTTTCATTATCCTGCAAAATTGCCGGGTGATTTGGAAAACGTGTCTCTGTTATTATCTTTGATTTTGTGTCTCAGGGTCCAGAGCACTCATCTGCCCGCCCTGAAAGATTCCTACAGATGTGCAACGATGATCCTGATGTGTTCCCAGTAAGTTTGAGACGGTCATAGTTTATACCCCGACTCTCCTGTGCAGAAAATGTCTTTTTTTTTAAAAAGGTCTGCACTAAATCTGTTTTAAATATAAAATAGTCCTTATTTCTGAGAATCAGCACATTTTAAAGGTTTTTAACCACTCAAAGTAATCTAGAGTAAGGATAAGTACTCAGCAAACTCTCAATGGCGCCAAAATCACAAAAAGTACATAAATACCAGCTTTAAAACATAGGCTTAAAGAGTAAATCTGTATGTTTTAATATGAACCCTATTTAAACACATTTAAAGGGATATTCCTGTGTAAAATTAATTTAGGGTCAAACACACCATAACACTGAGTTAGACACCTCCTCCAGAGATGAATGTTGCTGACCGCTTGTTTCTCTAGTGATACCAACTTTAGTAATGACAGCAGAATAGCAATACACAGCGGTCTGAGGAGCCATAAACAAACCTCAACCAAAACGCCACTCTATAGCCACAAATAATGCTAAGAACAGCACCCAACTTCATCAACAGTACATATAGGGTCCCAGCCATAGTACTAGCCACCAAACATCTTTTTAACTTTGCCTGATTTCTTTAGCAAAGAGACTAAACACAACTCACCTACTCTCTTCCAGCAGCCGCTTGTTTGTAGCAAGACCTCAGACCAGTCCATTACAGACTGCTGCGGGGTGACACAGCTCAAGGAAGAACATTTATGATCCGTGTTACAGTGTGTTTGACCCTAAATTAATTCTTCGCCACAATATCCCTCTAAGGATCTTTCTCAGGCGTTAAAATCAGCCTAAGAAAGTAATGGTTTAGTTCTAAAAGATGTCACCTGGATCATTGTTTATTGAATGGGTGTTCGAATTCATCAAAAGCATTTTTAAGTTTTAGAGTTAATTTTTTTACCCTTAAAATAGCAGTCAAAGAGGATTACCTAAATGATTGTCTTTTACAGTGATGACTTTTGTATTTTCTGACCTTCCTTTTAATCTCTGTGTTTTCATCAGAAACTCTCGGAGGACTTTGCTGTGCGGCAGCTGTACGATTGTAACTGGATCGTCGTCAACTGTTCGACTCCTGCGAACTATTTCCACGTCCTCCGCAGACAAATCCTGCAACCTTTCAGGAAGCCGGTGAGGGAAACTCCAAGAAAACAGTCTGGATTATGGGCTCCACTTTACTGAACTATCTTTATGTGTTTATCTCCAGCTGATAGTTTTTACTCCCAAGTCACTGCTGCGTCACCCAGAGGCCAAGTCCAGCTTTGTTGAGATGCTGCCAGGTGAGTGCTGCCAGAATCTCCAACACAGCAAAGTCTTAAAATTCTCATCCTTTTCGTGTGTTGAGAGATTCTGTCTGTCACTCTTCAGGAACTCACTTTAAGAGAGTTATCCCAGACGATGGACCTGCAGCCTCCAGCCCGGAGAAGGTGAAGAGAGTTGTTTTCTGCACCGGGAAGATCTACTATGAACTGACCCGGGAACGCAAGAACAGAGGCATGGATGATACTGTGGCCATTGTTCGCATAGAGCAGGTAACTCCAGAGGATGAGCAGAGGGATGAAACCAACCGTAGTGAGCAAAGAGTGCATGTGAATATCAGAGGTGTTGTGAGCTAAGATCAGATTTTTGTCTGCTCTCTTTTGGAAGCGCCATGGTCTTCCTTTAAGGCTAAGCTTCTATGATGTTGATAATGCTTTTTTTAAGTTGTAGGTGTGTGCTGCAAATTGCACTTTTTCACAAACCAATTACATGGCTTTTGTACCAACCAGGACACAGTGAGTGGACTGCAAACAAATAACATCTAAAAGCAAATTCAGCCAATTTTGATTGTTGTGAACTGCAAAAATTTAGACCAACATACAGCGGGGCAGAAGTTGTTGCCAGCTTAATGTAAACATTGATACCCTGTTAAACATCCCTGACAATTGAGGGAGTGTAGATGTAAAGTTTGGAGTTTATTTCACGAAAAAATGACGTGTGTTTAAGTGAAGACGTCCTCTCATTTCAGCTCTCTCCGTTCCCGTTTGATCTGGTGAAGTCTGAGTCTGATCTGTATCCAAACGCCGATCTGGTTTGGTGTCAGGAGGAGCACAAGAACCAGGGATACTACGACTACGTCAAGCCCCGCATCCGCACCACCATCAACCGCGGCCGCCCCGTCTGGTGAGTCTGTTTTTACCATGAAGGAGAGGTTAGGAAGTATACCTGCAGGCAGAGATGTATTAAAGCTCCTGTGTGTGTTTTTCTCTGTAGGTACGCTGGTCGGGAGCCTGCAGCAGCTCCTGCAACTGGAAACAAACAAACTCACCTCAACGAGCTGCAGCGTTTACTGGACACGGCATTTGATCTGGAAGCTTTCGCAGGGAAAGTTTAAAAACCATGTTTACATTTCCCTTCACCCTCCAGCTCACACATCCAACCTGCCTGTTTAAGTTTTTATTTCTTACTTTAACATATCAGATCGTTCTCAGGCACTCAAAGGAAACGCACAAAAACTTACTGACACTGTTACCATCAAACCTCGTGTTCACTTGGATGGAAGAAAAAAAAAAGCTTGAATATGTGAATTTAAACAGAGTTAATTTTTTATACTAAGAGTTTTAGCTTCTTTGTTTATTTTGCTATATTTTCTTTTTAACTGAATGTCCACCTGCTGCACTCTGCACAAACACAATCTCACAAAATAATGAACAACATCCATCATGATGAACTTCTTAAATACTTTAACTTTTGAAATATTTAGTGCAGAATCAAACTGTATATCTCAAATAAGTGGAGGCTCGATCACGTGATTAACCGGAGAGGGTCGATTTGGTTTTGATGTTTTCATGCTCAGGTTTCTTAAAGACTTCTAAACTCTATTTTTAACATTTGGATGGATCTTTTACCCTTGGTGAGAGTCAGTGAGAGTGTGGTTTGGGTTTTTAGATGCGCCAGTTTACTTTAGAACTTAAACCCTGCTTCTTTTATGCAGAGATTTTGAACCCCAAACATACAGCCCCAGTTTATTCCCTACTCTTAATTGATTTCTGCAGATTGTCTGTGTTGAAGAAGTTGGTCTGTACAAGATTTCTGTGTCAGCAGCGGGAATTGTAAACAGAGTTTGTTTAACTTGGTCGACAACACAAAACAAAGATGGCAGCCTAAGATTGAGACAAACTGTGTGCTTAATTTAAAAAGACTTAAAGTGAAATTATGTCGACTAAATGTGTACAGAATGGACTGTATTGCTGTGATTGAAACACTAATGTAGATGTTTGAAAGGGGTTCAGCTTGTTTCTGCACTTTTAGAACTTTAGATTGACTCTGAATCATTTCTTTACATCCATGCAGACATCACGTGTCTTTTTACATCTTTAAAAGCTTTCTTCATTCTTCCTCTTATTTTTCACTTCTTTAAATGTTCTGCGTCACATCGTCTCTCCTCTACCTCTGTGGTTTACTCAACGTCCTGCCTCATCGCTGTAAACGCCTCAGTTTGTGCCAAATCTCACAGATTACTTGAAATCAAAGTTTAATTTAAAGAAGAAATCACTCTGAAGTCAAAAGATTATAAAAGAGGACATTAAGAGATTCTTGAGCCTCAGATTTGAAGGATGTATTTATTTTCTTGTATGTTTTATTGTTCTCAAAAAAATAAAGATTATGGTGCTCCTGAACGCTGCAGTTTGAGTCATTTAAAGCACAAAAATATCATTTTTTATTAGAGTTGGTGTGATTGTAATACAGGATGTGTTTTATCTGTGAGAATTAGACCAAAAAAGTGAGGAAATTTCAGTGGATGAAACTCAGAATACATTTGTGCAATTGAAAAAAAAAACTGACCTTTTGAAATAAAAAAAAGGTACATTCAATCTTGGTGAAAGAAAATTGTCAGATCTAAAAAAAAAGAAAAAATTCAGTGTCTCCAACAAATTTCTTTTACTAAATTCCTGACTAGTTTTTCTTGAATTCCAAGTCAGTGCTCCAACTTTTTTAGGTTTTTTTAGGTTTGTGCATCCTTACAAGATCCCTGTCAGATATTATATAAATATATTTGAGTTGGTGTAATTGTAATACAGGATGAGTTTTCTCTATGAGAAATAAACCTAAAAAAAATGAGAAAATTTCAGTAGATAAAACTCAGAATAAACTTGTGCAAATGCAAAGAAAGTGATTTTTTTTACAATTACAACAAAAAAGTCAAACTTTTCACTTTAATTTTTTTGGGAAAAAAATCAGAAACTTGGCAAAAGGAAATTGTCATACCTAAAAAATGAAAAACTTCAGTGTCTGAAATCCAAATAAATTTGTTCATATAAAAACGTGACTTTTTTCAGAATAAATAAAAACATTTTAACTTTTGGTTTCAATCTTAGAGGGAAGAAAAAATCAAAAACTTGGTAAAAGAAAAAAAAATTCAGTGTCTCCAACAAATTTCTTTCATTAAATTTTTGACTTTTTTTCTCTAATTCCAAGTCAGTGCTCCAACTTTTTTAGGACTTTTGAATTTTTCTTTTTTTAAGGTTGTGCATCCTAACAAGATACCTGTCAGATATTATATAGATGTTATATCAGAGTTAGTGTTATTGTAATACAGGATGTGTTTCTGTGTGAGAATTAGACCTAAAAAATGAGAAAATTTTAGTGGCTGAAATTTAGAATAAATTTCTGTAAATAAAAAAGGTCCCTTTTTTAAAAATAAAACAAAAAATGCAATTTTTTGGCTTTAATTTTTGAGGAAAAATTAAGTAACTTGGTAAAAGGAAATTGTCAGTGGCTGAAATTCAGAATAAATTTGTGCAAATGAAAAAAAGTGACTTTTTTTCAAAGAAAAAAAGTATTCAAACTTTTGGCTTCAATCTTAGAGGGAAGAAAATTCAAAAACCTGGAAAAAGAAAAAAAAATTAAGCGAATCCAATTATTTTTTTACCAAATTCCTGACTTTTTTTTCTCAAATTCCAAGTCAGCGCTCCGACTTTTTAAGGACTTCTGAATTTTTCTTTTTTTAAGGTTTGTGTCCTTGTCAGCTTCAGAAAACAAAATATCTTCACAGAACAGACTATATTCTTCATTTCATTTTCTGACATTCCTGTGAGGTTTTAGTGCAAATCAGTCCTGGACGGATTCTCACAGATTACTCCTGGATGGTTTCAGGCTGTTTCTGATGAAGTCAAACAGATCCACTTGACAGGAGCCGCCAGATGCCTGCTGGACTGCACAGAAGTCCTCCAGAAGTCCATACAGCTTCCCTGTGAAAAGATAGTACGCCATATTTGAGGTTCCTGGTTCTGAGAGACTGCATTTCTTTGCACCTACTTCACCTACGCAACAAATGTGGTTGTGATGGGTTTTTTTTTTTCTTCTTTGGTTCATTTTTATCATTTTGTGTCTGTTTATGTTGATCTCTCCTCTCTTTTGCATCAATTGCTGACAGCTCCATGATTAGATGCAAAAACTGTATGGAGCTGCAGAACTTTGAGGATGCATTTTGCGGCTGAGGTCATTAAAATCCTTGATACAATCATTGGACACTGGAAACTTGACTAATAATGGCATCAAATGTCATTGTGGCATTCGTAATCGATGTAATGTTTACAATCTCATTACAGATTCTTGTGATTGGTTCATCAACAGCTCCAGACCCGCCTCTACTTTTACATTTTCCAAGGTAAAAATTTGCTGCATTTTAAAATGAGCTCATCTGGACTTTACCCTAAAAAACCACTAGAGGACACTAGAGCACATATTTGAGTAAAGTCAGGAGGGAAAAACTCGGCTCTTGGGGGTAATTCAGGACATTTTCAGGAACCATGTGCATGTCTGAAAGGGGGAGAAGTGAATCCTCTCCTCCTCAGTGTTTTCATGTCCTTTCACAAACTCTCACCAACTGTAGTTCCCTCTGTGACCAGCAGGTGGTAAAACTGCTGCAGCTCCAGCTCCAGTTTCTCATCGTGGAAGGTGAAGAAGGCCAGCCCCCTCCTCACCTTCGCCGCCACCATCAGCTGGATCACAGCTAGGCGACGACAGAGAGACAAACAGAACAACAGAACAAGTTATTTTCTAATCTGCGGTGATGATTTAAAAGATCAAGTTTAGAGATGAGTGAGGTACCTTTGAGCTGTGGGTCTCCGTTAAAAGCTCCACAGCCCCACTTTCCTGTGGCGATGTCTGGCTCCTTGGGAAAGTGCGCCTTGAATCCACAGTATGCCTTCAGGTACATGATAAAAACCATGTAAAAATGACGACCATGAAGGAAACAAACAAATCTGATGAATTTATCATCAAAAGTTAAACCAGATATATCAAAAATTACTTTTGTTAAATCAATGAAATACCGCAGATGTAAATGTCACCTTGTTGAGATCCCGTGTGACTTTTAACATGTTGTACTGATCCCGTCTGTCTTTAAAGAAAACAGCGTCGATGGCTAAAATCTGTCTCTGCCAACGACTCCACTCGTCTCTGTAAATTCAGAAACATCAAATATGTTTAACAAGTTTTGATTTCAATCCAAATCCTGGAAAAGTTTGAGATGTTGTGTAAAATGTTGGTTTATATTTCAGTTAAATATAAATGATTTGCAAACAACATTTTTTTCTTTTTAGTAACATTTTGCAAGACATCACAATCTTCTTTGAATCTGGTTGCACAAAGGCATAAAGTGAGAGCTCTTATTTTACTTTGGGAGGTTGTCCTTATGAGGCCCCGCCCACTCAAATGTGTCCCCAAAACCTGAGTAACGGCTGAACTGCTGAGAGCCTGAAACACAGAAATAATTTGATCTGTCAAAAATACAAACACTGACTATTTGGGACTACTTTCAGCAATGGATGAATCCAGATTTGGTACTTTGGTGACTTTTTGTTGCAGTAGGATTGTTCTCCAAAATAAGAATTTATCATCTGAATTAGGATTAATTTATATCTGCGAGTACAAATCCATGAAGTGATAAATCACTTCTTTTCTACCTGTGATGACGAGACATTCATTGTCTGCCAGTTTCTCAGTGAAGAGGCGGGCTACGATGAGCTCTGGATTCATCAAGAACAGAATCTCTTCCTGAACCAGACCAGAACCCAGAACACCTCCACCGATCCGGCTGGCGGCAAAATCCACCTTTAAATGCACAAAGAAAAACACTTTAAACCTAAAAACGACTAAAACAGGTAGAGGATGTTATTTTGGGGGAGGGGGGGCCTGTTCTCACCTGCAGCATACCTGTACCTTCAGTCTCGATACTGCCCCGTGAGGTGACATGCAGTTTGGACATCTTCTCCTTACAGCTAACGTCAAAAACACAACAGTGAAGGAGTTTAACAAAAACAAGAATCAACAGGAAACTTCATGTGGGTTTGTCACGGCGAGGGGATTCCTCCTTGTGGTGTTTCAGGGTGAGTCAAAACTGGGTTAAGTTGTATTATCGCACAGGTCAGATTTTCATTATTGGCCTTACTTTATTATTTACTATAAATGAGGACGTTAATGTAAAATATGATCACAAAAACTTTTATTGTGTCTCTGTTTTCTTTACATTATTTGACTTCAGGAGCACTGTCGCAGCTGACAGTATCTATGCTGATGTGAGTCGAGGATGAAATTGCTCAATCTCACTGAGCTAAAGGATCTGGATCACAAAAACAGCCTGAACTCTCATTAGTAGGAATGTTTCTGTTAAGGTTAAGAAGAAAGATCCAGACCGACCCTAACGTGGTGAGACGGATCACAGACAACTTGAGCATGATCATGCAGCTCTTGTAGATCTGCAGTAACCTGTGGATTTAAATGGTTTTAACATGTTTGGATTCAGTCTTCTTCTAGACTTGGGTTAGACGAGGGACCCTCTTCTTTGCAGCAGGTTTTGTTGACCGGTTAACCATGGAAAATGGCACCATCTTCTCAACCAGGTACTGAGACAGGAAATATGAAAAGTTTCCAATACTGATAACGTGTGTTCATGTGTTCAAATTCTCCCTGTGGGTGGGTCTGTTTTCAATGACGAACATCATGTCCTGACCTTCCCTCTCAGAGCTGTTATCAGTATTTTGTCCTCCTAAGACGGCTTGTTTAGACTCTAAATTTTCTGATAACGCAGATCTGCCTGTCTCTCTCGACAAACCAAGGTCAGATACAGATAAGCTAAACCTCATTGCAGACCTTGGAACACTAAAACTGTCTTCTGGATTTATCTCAAGAGACACATGATGAGTGGGTTTAAATTAAATGAGCTAAATTAGTTTTACAGCGTAATTAAATCCAATAAAACCATTGTTTGTTTCAAGCCTGGAAAAGGAAACTTTTACTGAGCACACAGAGAGGTCAAACATAACACTGTGTACCTAGTGTGTAATTTTGCTTTCCGTATGAACCACAATGATGGCGACTGCACTGGCTGTCATGATGGCAGAAGGCTGTGTGAAGCTTTAGTTTGAGTAGCGCCATCTTCTGGGTAAAGTGCTGCTACAATAAAACACCACCTCTGCATTTTGGTCATACTAGTATAGAAGTCACAGTTCACAGTTAAAAAGCAAATAAAGGTAATAAAATGTGTCTCAGAGGTCCGAATTTAGGGTAAAAGCTGTCTGATTTCACATTTATGCCGATGACACTCTGCTGTAGGTCTCTATTAAAGGGATATTCCGGCGTAAAATTAATTTAAGGTCAAAAACACCGTAACAGCAAGTTAGACACCCCCTCCAGAGATGAATGTTGCCGACCACGCTTCTCTAGTTATACCAACTTTATTAATGACCCCAGGATAGCAGTACATATATACATAAACAAACCTCAACCAAAACACCACTCTATAACCACAAATAATGATCAGAACAGCACCTAACTTCATCAACAGTACATATAGGGTCCCAGCCAAAGTACTAGCCACCAAACATCTTTTTAACTTTGCCTAATTTCTTTAGCAAAGAGACTAAACACAACTCACCTACTCTCTTCCAGCAGCCGCTTGTTTGTAGCGAGACCTCAAGCCGGTCCATTACAGACTACAGCGGGGTGACGCAGCTCAAGGAATCATTTCTTTTTCAGTTCCTTGAATTAATAACCATTACATCAGTCAGTTTGCACTGCAGACGCTGTAGTTCTTCTGCCTTAGTGTCTCGGTCTGATTGCGTTTCCATGGAAAGATGATCAAAAATGTTCTTCTTCTTTGGTTGAGGTTTGTTTATGGCTCCTCAGACCGCTGTGTATTGCTATCCTGCGGTCAATACTTAAGTTAATATAACTAGAGAAGCAAGCGGTCAGTAACATTCATCTCTGGAGGGGGTGTCTAACTCGGTGTTACGGTGTATTTGGCCCTAAATTAATCTTAAAGCGGAATATCCCTTTAAAGCTGAATAAACTTTTTTTTTTTTTTTTTTTTTTTTTTGCTGAAATTAAATCTAAAACTTTTGTTCTTGTTTGTTTATTTTTTAAGCCTCTTACCTACTGACCTTAGTGACTGAATCTTATATTACCTGAACCATCATTTACTAATCTATGCTATATATTTTACACATAATCCCATCTTAATCCCGATTCCGCTGTATTTTCCGCCGGTGTTTGTTTTGCAGACTGGATGCACTGAAGATCAGCTGATACACTTTGCACTTTGAGGTTTACTCTACGGCCTGTCTTAACACCACACTCATTTTTCATCACATTACCTCCTCCAGTTGGGTACGTCTGCGTCTCTGAGCACATGCCTCTCAAACGTCACCAGCCCGTCTTGTTTCTCCTCTGTGAACAGAATCAGAACCCGTCACAGATCTTCACTGATGAGTCTGTTCAAACACAACGAGGAACGACAGTTTAATGTGAACTCACCCTTGTCTGTCATCACATGGAAGTAATGCATGATGGCCCTCAGCTTCTCCTTCTTCCGCTCTGACCACTTCTCAAACAGGCTGTAGAAATAAAGGTTAGCGTAATGAGCGAAGACAACGTGGGAGTTGTGGCTGGATATGTGTCACTGTTTGACGCCTTACCTGGTGAAGTTGATGGAGGGGTAGTGGTGGTACTCTGCCTTGGGGTCTGAGGTGTTTCGGTGGGGGAAGGTGCAGAAAAAAGCGTTGGCGAGCAGGCAGGCTATCTGAGCCTGTGACAGAGTGATGGATGCGGTTTGTCCCCTCCTGAGCAGAGGGATGGCCTGAAAACATGAAATCTAACTTTTACTACAAACACCAACAGCTGAGTTATCTGATGTGGTCCACTGAGACAGTTTTTGTTCATATTCAGACTGTTTAGGTGAGTCCAGATACTGAAATGTGTAAAAATTGAGCCCAGAGTTAAATTATCTGTATTAATCTATGTCTGTGAATATTATCATCAGGAGAAGTTCACTTAAAGTCCCTGGATCGGGTCAGGTTCGTACCTTCTTCACAGAGTTAGGCAGGTCCATAGCCAATGCAGCAATCTTTGGAAACAGAGGCTTGAAGTAGTTTTCTGTCTCATGGACACGCTGAGGAAGAAAACAGGATTATTCCTGATGTTAAAGGGTTAAAAAAGTGCATCATAACACTCTAATCTGACTGGTGTGAATGAACAAAGCGGATTCATGAAACATGAGGAAACCTGTGCACAGATTTAAAAACTGACAGCTGGTTCAGATTTGAATGATCGTATGAAGAAACAAAAATTTAAGTTCATAAATACCAATGAAATCTAGACTAAAGTGAAGTCTGCAGACACCCCCATCTATGAATAGACCCAGACCGCCATATAAGGAGGTGTGGATAGTAGTTCCTGTGAGCTAGTGGGCATGGGGAGGAGAGAGAAAGAAAGAAAGACAGAAAGAAAGAAAGAAAGAAAGAAAGACCCTCCTGACTTGGAGATTGAATAGACGTGACCCTGAACCCTCTCAGTGCGCTCTGTAACCATCCGAATCTCTGCGTGGACTTCATCATAAACCAGTTCCTGTGGTGTGTGGTGCATCGGCAGAGTCTTGAGCCCAAATGTGTCACATTTATATTTTTACAGTTCAGACACAAACTCCTTTTGTGAGAGAGACCCGGTGATACTGACCTCAACGAAAGTGGCGAGGGCATCAAACGACCACCGACCTTTGTACTTGGGGTTATATTTGAGGATGGCGTCCTGGTGGGATAAACAGAAACTATTGAAACTGAAAAAAATATGCAGATGCAGTTTTTTCAAAGCTGCTGATGTACCTCAACGTCTTTAACAGTTGCTGCTGACTTTTTGGACAAAGTTTCCAGCTGTTTCTTGATTATATCCCATCTGGGCTTCTGATTGGTTGTCTGTGGGCGAAACAAACCTATTTAAAAAACTGAACATTACACTCTTTATTAAAGATGGTAAATACTACTGGAAACTGAGCTATTTAAACTGTTAATTAGCTTTAAACACACCTTAAAAACCGCCCCTTTGGTGGTCATTAAACTCAACTGTGAACACGGCATTTTCACAAAGTTACTGTGCCACACGTCTCTGCCTTCCTGCGGTGACAATGACCGTCCACGGTTAAAGATTTTCACCTGAAGAAACACAAACGCAGTCATATGTACAAGAAGAAGCTTGATTTGTTTACTTTGGGTTTAGTGACGACTCTTAAATAATAGAAAACATCTGATCAGCTCTTGAAAATTAATTTAGGGTCAACACACCGTAACACCGAGTCAGACACCTCCTCGAGAGATGAATGTTGCCAGCCGCTTGCTTCTCTAGTTATACCAACTTTAGTAATGAGCGCAGGATAGCAATACACAGCGGTCTGAGGAGCCATAAACAAACCTCAACCAAAACGCCACTCTATAGCCACAAATAATGCTCAGAACAGCACCGAACTTCCTCAACAGTACATATAGGGTCCCAGCCATAGTACTAGCCACCAAACATCTTTTTAACTTTGCCTAATTTCTTTAGCAAAGAGACTAAACACAACTCACCCACTCTCTTCCGGCAACTGCTTGTTTGTAGTGAGACCTCAGGCCAGTCCATTTCGGACTACAGTGGGGTTACGCAGCTTAAGGAAGAACATTTATGATCATTTCTTTATCATTTCCTTGAAGTAATAATCACCATATTTATCATTTTGCACTGCAGACGCAGAAGTTCTTCTGCCTTAGCGTCTCGGTCTGATTGCATTTCCATGAACAAAAACTCTTGACGGGGTGTTGAACTAGGTTTTACAGTGTGTTTGACCCTAAATTAATTTCATGACATGGTAGGATATGATACAATACGATTTGATATGATATGGTACAATATAATAGGATATGATACCCTACGATACAATATGATATGATATGATACAGAACAATATGATATGATACAGTACGATATGATAGGATTTGATACCCTACGATACAATACGATATAATATGATACAATATGATATGGTACAATATGTTAGGATATGATACGGTACTATATGATAGGATATGGTATGATATGATACATTATGATATGGTATGATACGCTACGACATGATACGATATGGTACGTTATGATACGATACGAGACACATTATGATATGATATAAAATAACTATTACTATTACTATAGTACTATAGCTGGGACCCTATATGTACTGTTGATGAAGTTAGGTGCTGTTCTGAGCATTATTTGTGGCTATAGAGTAGCCTTTTGTTTGAGCGAGTGGCTCTCTGTATAGCTATCATGCGTTCGTTACTAAAGTTGGTGTAACTGGAGAAGCAAGCGGTCAGCAACATTCATCTCTTGACAGAGTGTTGAACTCTGTATTATGGTGTGTTTGACTCTAAATTAATTTTATGCCAGAATATCCCTTTAAGTACTTTCTGAGTGAACTTACATCGATGAGGACAGAGTGGGTCATGCTGAAGGTCAGTTGACCCAGACTGTTCTGACACTCAGGGAGTTTCTTCAGAGCGCTCAGAGGAGAACATGATGATGAGGAGACGTCCTCTTTCTGTCTCTCCACCTTCTCTGCCCACGCACCGAACTCTGTCTCCCTGGTTCTTGAGAGTCCAGGGGAGAGGGACGAGTGGGAGGAGGCAGAGCAGGTGGCCTGGCTTGACCCGTTGGTGCTGCTCTGCTCTCTGTCCCGTTCATGGTCGTCTTTGGAGTCCTCGCTCTGAAGCAACGCTTTCATCCGGGAGCTGTCGTTCCGGTGGTGGTCCATGTCTGAAGGTCCTAACATAGAGGAGGTGTAAAATTTGAGGTTTCAAATGACAAGAAAAATCGTGTTTATAAACAAGACAAGCGCTATGAGCTGGCCAAACTAGAAAATGAAGACAAGTGAGGTTTGAAAGTTGAAAATAATGAACTTAAAGCTACTGTGGAGCGAGGAGCTTTCAAGAAAGAAGGTGCAGCCAAACCGGAGTCTATTCTACACATGCACGCACATTAAAGCACTCAATACACGCAGTTTAACCACTTTATCTAAACTTAGATAACCTCTAACACTTCAGTATGGTTTAATTAAAGCATTTCAAAGCAGCAGAGAAAACACAATCCGTTAAAACACCGTTAAAAGTCTTTGAAGTTTGTTGTGGAAGTGAGTGGCGGAAATTTTCGACTTTACTCACGAAAAAAAGAGAATTATCAAAACCGCCCCGGACTTAAAACACTCACCTTTCGAAAAATGTGCTCAAAATTAAGGCGCTTACGGCCAAAAACAGCAAACATCGACGTAAACGCCACAGTCCAGACGCCACAAACACGGACTGAATTAGTTTCACTTAGAGGAGAAAACGAAAGTAAACTGGAGACAGAAGTGCGTCTGAGTCAGAGCAGTGAGACAGCGTTTTAGGCTGTCACCGACGAAAGGTCACAGCCAAATACTCTACTTTTTTACGATTTAAGTTGATATGTTCTTATTATTTCTGATTTTTTTTTACAACAGTCGCGAAAGAAAAACATGCAACAAACTTCACAAACAAATAAAAATTAGGCGGAAAATTACTGAGTCTGAACTTGAATAAGAAAAGTGAAAATTACAAAAGATGAATTAGTGATAACTAAATGTCAAACTACAGTAAGTAAATGTACCAGTGTTTGGTTTGGGGAAGCAAAAAGAAAACTCTTCATGCAAAGTGCAAACGTCTTCTTTTCCTGTAGTTTGATTTATGAACACCAGGTGACAGCAGAGAGTCAGGCGGAATCTGTGGACTGCAGGATTTCCAAGGATCAATCTGTGAGCAACTTTTCCTCCTTTTTTTAGTGTCAATAAAGTTTAAATCAATCGAGTATGAAGTAATTTATATTATTTAAGGAAATAGAATAATATACAGACCAATCATTGCATCGTAGAAATACTTCAGGGTAAATACATTATAAATAGCTTTTTTGGTCTCACTTTCCATGTTTTTATCAAAGAGTTTCTGAACTTAAGATGCTTTCGTATTTCATCTTTTTTGCACTCATCAACTGTATCATGATAAATGTGACTATTAGGAACAAGGTTTACCCAACCCCTCCAACCTGATCATGATGGGAACTGAGATCTAATTCCAAGCAGGTAGCTCTGATCTGGTGTGATTACATCCAAACAACTGGATTTAGAGGTCCAGTCTCCAACTACAGACTACTCAGCTGTTCTGTAATTTGCATCAGTGCACATAGACCACAGGCCAAAAGTTTGGAAGCAAGATCAGATTTTTACAAAAAAAGATCATAGTTTCATATATATAATTTGCAACACAATAAACATGACTATTGTGTAAAGAGTAACTTATCAGAAGACATTTTGACTGTAATTATTAGGTATTTGAGTTATTGTTGCTTAGACTTTGCTTTCTTTAAGGTAACCTCCTCTGGCTTTAACAACAGCTTGGCAAATACAAGGCATTCGTTCCACAAGTTTTTTAAGGTATGTTCCAGGGATTGCGTTCCAAGCTTTCTTAAAGTTCATTAAAAAGAGACTGCTGATTCGTGGGACGCATTTTTCTGGCCGATCGATCCAATTCATCTCACACAAGCTCAGTTGGAGAGAGGTCTGGTGACTGAGGGGGCCAAACCATCTTTTGAAGAACACCTTCCTCTTCTTTTTTTGTCTAGGTAACCCTGACAGAGCTTGGCAGAGTGCTTAGGGTCATTGTCTTTCTGCAAAACAAACTTATGAGCCACAAGTCTGAGTCCAGATGGAAAAGCATGGTGCTGGAGGATGGAGTGGTACTGTTCCTTCTTCATGATACCCTTGACTTCAAACAAAGCCCCGACTCCATCACCTGCAAAACATCCCCATACCATGGAACTACCACCTCCATGCTGAATTGTGGGTGTAACACATGGTGCTTTCAGACGTTCACCAGTTTGTCTGCGGACATAGACTCTGCGTTTTGAACCAAACAGTACAAACTTGTTTCTAGTCATCACAATTTTTGTGAGCTTTTGCACACTCGTATTTCTTTTTCTTGTTCTGTGGACGAAGTAGTGTTTTTTTGCAGATACACAACCCTTCAGACCAGCCTTTCTCAAACATCAGTTCACGGTTGTCAGAGATATGGGTTTCGACCTTGTCATGTTGATTTCCTCCCTTATTTGTGGGGCTGTTTTTCGCCAATCTCTCTTACTGGTGACAATGATATGTTTATCCTCTGCTTTTGTAGTAACTCTCTTTCGTCCAGGTATTTTTCTAGCATCATAACTTCCAGGTTCCTCTAGTCTCTTCAGAGTGTAGTAGACTCCTTTGTTAAACATCTTTAGGCGTTTTGCAATTTCTCTTTCTGTGTATCCTTCTTTCCTCAATGTACAAATCTGTACTTTTGTTTCTTTACTCAGTTGCTTCTTTCTAGCCATTTTTTGCGGTAGTTTGAACGCAGTTGAGATTTATTAGGATTTTGTATGCAGACTCTCAAAAGCCAAAAAGTTGAAGTGAATAATCCAACTGTGATTTGTTTTTTTGCTTTTGCACTGAAGTTGTGATGCCTGCAAATGTTTTCAACCCTAAAACTAAGCCCTTATTATCTTTTGCTGACATGTATTTAGCAATGGTCTGTTAACATCAATGTATATCTAAAGGTAAATGGAGTAAAATGGTGCATTTCCATGAAAGCAACATCTGATCATGGAGTAAATACATCCCAAAATACAAACAACTTGTGCTGGATTTAAAAAAAAAGCATTGTGAACAAAAACTTGAAGTTACTCCCAACTGTTCTGCCTGTAATGGCCTTGCTTCCAAACTTTTGGCCTGTAGTGTATATGAAGTCTAATCGCTCTCATTTACACTTTTCTCTGTAGCTTCTGCAGAGATCAGAGGCAGAGTTGGTGGCAGCAGATGGTCGTAGGAGTAACATGAGAGATAAAAACAGGTCAGAGGACCGAGGGATGATCAGAGTTTATGTTCATGAACACAGACTGCTGACATTAAGTAAGAAAACAACCACACAGTCGTATCAAAAGAAGAAAGTTGAAGAGACAGAAATCGTCTTGATATGAATAACCACAACAGAAAATTAATATGTTTTGAATATCAGTTAAAATGTTCTGTGAGTTTGGCACTGGAGGATTTTAGATGCTCAAATTCAAGTCGAGACTTTTTTCTCTTCATATTATTTCAGCTGAGTATGAAGGAAATGTATTTGTTCAAGGGTATTTTTTATATAACCTGCACATATTTTTTTACTTCTTTATGCACCTTGTTATGCTTCATATATCCAGAGGAGCGTAAAAATGTTGTTTTAATTTTATTTGTTGTCTTGTTATGTATTTGATGCAATTTTACCATCTGTGCTTTGCCCCATTTGTGAAATATCAGGCTAAGACATTTATTTTTTATTGTTTCATTTAAATAGTTTGTCTTTGCATATTTAACACAGAAAAACTAAAACACAAGAATTTTCTGTAATTTTCACAAATGAAAACAAACAAAAAAAATAATCCAGTCAAAGACAAAAAAGTTATTTAAAGTTTTTCTAATCAAAACATATGTTGTTGTAAAGGGTCCAACGAAGGAAGTGAGCTATTTTATACTTAATCATATCCTCAGATATCGTATCTTATCGTATTGTATTGTACCATTTCTTATCATATCATATCATGTCGTATTGTATCATATCATATCATATCATGTTGTAATGTATCATATCGTATCGTATTGTACCTACCGTATTGTACCTTATCCTATCATATTGTACCGTACCATATCGTATCGTACCATATCATATCATGTTGTATCGTATCGTATTGTATCATATCATATCATATCATATCATATCATATCATATCATATCATGTCACATCATACCGTATCATATCGTATCATATTGAACCGTATCATATCACATTGTATTGTATTGTATCATATCATACCATATTATCATATTGTATCGTACCATATTGTAATGTATCGTATTGTATTGTACCGTACCATACCAAATCATATTGTATCATACCATATCATTTTGTACTGTATCATATCGTGTTGTATCATATCGTTTCATAGGGTATTATATCCTCTTAAATCATACTGTATTGTATCGTATCATATTGACATGTATCGTACCGTATCCTATCTTATTGTACCATATCATATCAAATTGTGTCGTGTCATATCATATTGTGTCATATCGTATTGTATTGTAGGGTATCATATTATTTCATAATGTACCTTATCATATAGTATCATATTGTATCTAACCATATCATATCATTTCATATCATATTGTATCGTACAATAATGTGTTGTATCGTATTGTATTATATCATATCATAACATATTGTATCATATCGTACTGTTTCATATCATATCATATCGTATTATATCGTATCATATCATATCATATCGTAACATTTTGTATCATATCGTTCCATATCGAATTGTATCGTATCGTGATATTGGTTCCTACTGTCTCGTTGCTGCAGTGTTATACTGTATTCTGTGTGTAGTATTGTATTATTTGGTATCTGATTTTTTAACTTTATACTTTAGATAACCTGCTTTTCTCTTAATGATTTTATTTTTGATTAATGGTGCAAAAGTGAACAGAAATATCTCGGTCCTTGGATCAAAGTGATGTCCACCAGTGAGGGAGGAGGTCAATCAGGCTGCAGGGTAAAAATCAGAATTTAGTACGGAGTGAGAAGACAATGGAGTCATGGAGCAGTTGAGGGAGTGAACACTGTCATGAGTTCTTGTGATGACGGTCATGTGCGATGCTATCTCAGCTGCATATTCTATATTGTATGAGTGTGTGTGTTTCTCCACAGTGTAATGTCATGTGTCTGTTAGGAAACAGCCGTTTTGGTATTCTTGGGTAACGAAAAAGGGTGGAGGCTGCTATCCTGTGTGTGTGTGTGTGTGTGTGTGTGTGTGTGTGTGTGTGTGTGTGTGTGTGTGTGTGTGTGTGTGTGTTTTTCAGGGTCAGCCGTTTCCCTGGAATGTTCTGCCTCCTGCCAAAGAGAAGTCACTACAATGGTATGCACACATAACTCTGCAGAAACACAGGGATGACTTAAAAAGGCCTGAAAGTGAGCAGACAGAAACATGGAAATGTGCCTGTCCTGTTTCTGTCTGTGTCCAACACCTTCGCCTCCTTGTGCCTCGTCTGTTTTGTGCATAAATGTCAAGATAACACCTTCTGTACTTTGATAGGTGAGTGTGCAATATGCTGAACCATCTGCCTGAAACTCTACATAACACTCACATGAGCTGAGGCGAATTTATGAGCACTTTTGAGAGAAGACAATCACTTTTTATGCCTGCTTTCAAATCCTGCATGCATTCTATAATAATCTCTCTGCCACTTTCTCTCTGCTGTCATTTTACTCTATTTTTAAACATGTTATCCAGAGGAGGGATCCTTTTCTCAGGACTGACACAGAGTTCTTTCATATGAGAACTGGATGTAGGCCCTGAAATCTGCATGCATTTAGCAGGAGAATGCATGATGATGTCCTAGGGCATATGCACACTGCAGATGAGCGTAATCATGTGCATGCACGCCATAAGGCACCACTTAAAGTGTTTTGTTGAGTGCATTATCACTGCTCGTGTTTTTTATGGTCGCATCAGATCATCACGCTGAGAGACTCACAATTATTATGACTGATATTAAGATTGTGATTGTTATAAAACATTCAATCAATTCAAAATCTTTTTAAAACTGCTCTAAGGGCCTGATCCGCTAAGGCGCTAAGGTTCACAATGCAGGTTATGATGCACAATTCGGATTTTTTGTTAAACTGGATCTTTTTGTGCAGTCGTTCACATTACAACAACAAATGCCGCATCTAATGTAAACGGAATGCATCCGTGAAGTGACTCGCATGCGCACAAAGCACAAATTGCTTTCCGTTTGCGTTGTCGAACAATGTCGACGTTTGTCGCATATTGATGAGGTCGGATGAATGCGCCTGAGGGTCCACACTGCAGTCACATTGGATACATATCCAATTTATATCCACATACAAAAGAGGCCTGGGTCGGATTTGAAAAAATCCAAATTGCACTGTTCAGATGAAAAAATCAAATGTGTGTCATATATGGTTAAAAAATCAGAATTGACCTGCAGTGTGAACATACCCTTAGATCCCAAATAGCGAGCGCTAAATTGCGTGTGCAAACCAAAAAATTGCATGTGCTATTAGTGGGTGTGTTGCAGGTGATCTACTATCATTGCATGCGCAATTGATAATGGGTGCAAAAGCGATGTGGACCGCACTCTTAAAAGGAGGATTTTCCGTGCGCTATCAGCCGTCACCATGGAGAGTTTGTGAGAGCAGCGTGTTTGAAGCCATGGAGTTGTACATATCCTATTGAGGAACTGCATAAACGGCAAGGCAAGTTTATTTATATTGCACAATTCATACACAAGACAATTCAAAGTGCTTTACAGATGCAAGTATTGTGAGTAGCCTCCATCTCCGGTTTTATTTTGGTAGAACTTCCTGTTTTCTTTGTGTCCCTGGTCTGGCTTGACTGTCTTTCAGAGCACTCCCCCTAGTTGCTGGCTGTTGTGTGGGCACTTCAAGAATGGAGACACTGGCTGGAAGGAGCACAACACCCATTCCTCATCTGGACTAACCATAAGAACCTTCAGTACCTCTGTTCCACTCGACGCCTCAACTCCAGGCAAGCCTGCTGGTCCCTCTTCCTCAGCAGATTTACCTTCACCCTCTCCTATCGTCCCGGCTCCTGTAACATCAAACCTGACGCCCCATCCCGGATCTACTCCTCTGCTACCTCGGACCCCAGAGAACCGGACACCATCTTCCCCGCCTCCTGTATCATCGGCTCCGCCTCTTGGGAGCTCGACACCGTGGTGGACAAGGCCCTCCTGAAGCACCCAGACCCTGGAACTGGCCCTCCTGATAGAAAGTTTGTCCCAGAGGTTGCACGTTCCCACGTCCTACAGTGGGGGCACTCCTCTAAACTCACCTGTCACCCCAGATTTCAACGCACCCTCCAATTCCTTCAGCAGCGGTTCTGGTGGCCGGGGATGGTCCGGGACGTAAGGGCTTTTGTTGCTGCCTGCTCCGTCTGTGCCTGTGGCAAAGTCTCCCACCAACCTCTGGCTGGCTTGCTGCATCCTCTGCCTGTGCCCTCATGCCCTTGGTCTCACATAGCTTTAGATTTCGTCACTGGTCTCCCTCCTTCTGAAGGTAACACTGTTGTTCTCACCATCATAGACAGATTTTCCAAGTTCGTGCATTACGTCCCTTTACCCAAGCTCCCCTCCGCGCTAGAAACTGCTAACCTCCTAGTATCTCATGTTTTTTAACTTCATGGTATCCCTATTGACATCATATCAGATCGTGGTCCCCAGTTCTCCCTAGGTCTGGAAAGCTTTGTGCCAGGCATTGTGCACGGCAGGCAGCCTCTCCTCGGGTTATCACCCGCAGACCAACGGCCAGACAGAGCAGACCAATCAGAACCTTGAGTCGGCTTTGCGGTGTGTTGTGGCCCATCATCCAGCGTCCTGGAGTACACACCTCCCATGGATCCAGTATGCCCATAACTCACTCACCTCCTCGGCCACAGGTATGTCTCCCTTCATGTGCTGTTTTGGGTACCAGCCCCCCCTGTTTCCCGAACAGGAGCACCCGGTGGCCCTTCTCATCGGTGAGGGAGCACATTAGGCGTCTACGGGAGGTGTGTAAATCCCCCAGGACCGCACTCACTCGCACGGCCGAGTGCAACAAACGCCTGGCTGACGTCCACTGCTCCCCTGCACCAGACTATCGTCCCGGTCAGATGGTCTGGCTATCGTCCCATGACCTTCCCCTGCAGACTGAGTCGTGCAAGCTGTCTCCCCGCTTCATTGGTCCCTTCCCTATCCAGAAGATTATTAACCCCTTGGTTGTAAGACTGAAACTTCCCTCATCCCTCAAAATTCACCCCACGTTTCATGTCTCCCTGATTAAGCCTGTCACCTCGTGCACCCTGAGCCCTCCTTCCATCGCCCCTCTTCCCCCCCGGATGATTGACAACCACCCTGCCTTCACTGTGGGACGAATCCTGGACGTGTGGCCTCGGGAACAAGGCTTCCAATACCTCATAGATAGGGATACGGTCCAGGGGAGCGGTCCTGGATCTCCCGCTACCTCATCCTGGACCATCAACTCCTCGAAGACTTCTACGCCACTCACCCCAACAAACCCAGAAAAACGCCAAGAGGCGTTCGTTGAGAGGGGGTACTGTGGTGAGACTGCTTCTGGGTCCACAAAATACACCACACGCCACGTCAAGAAGATATACTAGAAATCAAAAAAGGGATTAAAATGATTTAAAATCAATAAGACAAACAGATTTTTTTCGTCTGTTCCATGTTTGACCTTATTATTTAGGAAAATCGTCATTTCAAAAAAAAAAACATAAGCTTTTGGACAAGGATCATGGTGTGCATCAAGGCACTTCTGCCTCCTTCTCCCCACAATGAACGTGTGTAACGCTGTATCAGTTTGCATGTGCCTTTCAAACCTGCTAAATATAGACGCAAAACAGCGACCACAATCGGTTTCCGGGTTTGATAGATTAGACTGCGGGTGCTAAATTATTCCATTTGCATCTGCTCCTCCCAGAATTTTGCACGTTCTGATGAACTACATACAATTTGCATATTCATGAAGGCAAACACGCTAAATCGATTGCGCGCGCTGTTTTGCTCATTCGACAGACACAATCCCCGGTGCACCCGGTTAGTAGATCAAGTTTGCACATCAACCAACCAAACCTTAACCAAAACGCCACTCTATAGCCACAAATAATGCTCAGAACAGCACCTAACTTCATCAACAGTACATATAGTGTCCCCGCCATAGTACTAGCCACCAAACATCTTTTTAACTTTGCCTAATTTCTTGAGCAAAGAGACTAAACACAACTCACCTACTCTCTTCCAGCAGCCGCTTGTTTGTAGCAAGACCTCAGGCCAGTCCATTACGGACTACAGCGGGGTGACGCAGCTCAAGGAAGAACATTAATGATCATTTCTTTATCATTTCCTTGAAGCAATAATCACCATATTTATCATTTTGCACTGCAGATGCGGTAGTTCTTCTGCCTTAGCGTCTCGTTCTGATTGCATCTCCATTAAGAAATGGATTAAGGCGTTTTGGTTGAGGTTTGTTCATGGCTCCTCAGACCGCTGTGTATTGCAATCGTGTGGCTGTTACTAAAGTTGGTATAACTAGAGAAGCAAGCGGTCTGCAACATTCGTCTCTGGAGGGGGTGTCTAACTCAGTGTTACAGTGTGTTTGACCCTAAATCAATTTTAAGCCAGAATATCCCTTTAAACTTTCTCTGAAAAGTTTGACTTTAAACCCACATTAAAATAAAGAAATGCAGATACATTGAAAAGTCTAACCTGGTAGGTTTTGTTTCATTTAAACGCTAGACTTTGCTCGAGGAAATCGTGGTTTCTGACACACTCGTCTGAGTTCAAACATGGGTTGAGCCCGTTTTCAACCTGAGCCAAAAGCTCTGAGAGGATTCGAATGTTTGCACGTGTTTTTGCACACGCAAACCTTTAGTAGATCAGGCCCTTAGTGTGATCTCTACAGCCTCTCTCTCTCTCTCTGTCCCTTGGCTTTTCGGGTGGATACAACAGCAGGCGGAACAATATTGTTCAGTCTTGATTATCACGTGTTTCCAATTGTTATCAAATTTGAAATCTGATCAGTCACCCAGCTTTAAGAATAGCCTTTTTTGGACTGACTGGAGTCACCCCCTGCTGGTTGTTTAAAGGATTGCATGTCTAAGACAGTTGGTAATATTGTCACAATTCAGCACTTCTTAAAGACAATTTATGGTCGTATTTTTTTTTTTACGTCCTTTCATTCCTGTGAAAGCCTTTCTAAATCCAAATACAGAGTCTTAATCAGATCGGCGATACACTTGGTGTTAACTTTGTCGTAGATAAAATTTGACTTCTTTATCCTCGCCTACACAAGGACACACAAGAGGAGGATGAACCACTCTCTTAAACCTGCGAGTGCAGCCAGCTTTGTTTTTACTCCCTCTACTCCCTGGTTTCTTCCCTCTTTGTCTTCTCACCCCTCTCCGAGTCTTCTCCCCTCTTCCTCCCCCCTGTTTTCCTTCTCCTCTTCTTTTGCTGGAGGTCAAATTGTTGCAGCAGTGGTAGATGTTCAGCCTCAGAGTCAGAGCAGGGTCAAGGCTTTTCTGGTGTGTGTAGCCCCCACTGTCAGGAGCAGACTGTGACATTGTGAAATGACTGCAGTAGATTGGAAATTGTATGTGTGTGTGCGTGTGTGTGTGATTGTACTATGCGGCAGGTCGTGGGGGAGGAAGCAGCAGCAGCAGCAGCAGCAGCAGTGAGTGGAGTGTAGAGGTGGTGGTGGAGGGGAGGAGGAGGAGGAGGGGGAGTGATATGGATAGTGTGGAGAAAAAATGAAGAAATGGGAAATCTCGGCACCTGTTTCCAGGGCAACAGAGGTCTGAAAAACACAGGCAGGTTGGACTTTTTATTCTCCACGCTGCACTGCCCTCTGGCAAGATACTGCAGACGCCTCTAATGACTCCGAAACACCGACTCCTGCTGCTGAAACACCGCCAGGCTGCAAGTGACACCACCTTTCTATCTGTGTGTACATCTGCAGGTGTGACACAAACACACATGTCCGAGTTGCACATGCAGGAATGTCTGTGCTGCATGCATGGATCACACATACGTGATCACTTACAGGTGACGTCATTCTGCATGATATGCACCTCCCTCCCTCCCTGCTTCTCCCCTCCACCTCTCTCTCTCTCTCTTTTCTGAGATGATCTGCTGCTCTGGTCTGCAGTCAGTCAACCAGCCGCCTGACTCGTAGGAGGAGGAGGAGGAGGGGGAGGGGGAGGGACAGGAAAATGCCTTTCTCTGTGGGAGACATTAGCCCTGTGATCTCATGAATATATTATAGAGGATAGTGAGGAGGATTTCAGCTCTTTGAAATGATCGGGTCATTTTGCATAGCTTCATAAGAGAAGGTTATTTCTGGATTTTATGAAAGTCTAAATTGATGGTACCACTTTACTTATCTCTATAACGCATTATAAATATATATATAATGCATTATTATCACGTTATAGCACTGTATAACTATAGTTATAAACACTCATAAATGATCATAATGCTTTATTGCAATAACCATAACAGATTATAAAACATTTTATCATGACTTACAAGGTCAGGTATTATAATGTGTTATAACTGTTAACAACTCACTGACAATGCCCAATGATATGATGTGTTATAATTTGCTTATAAACTTGTATAACTATCATTATAAACACTCATTAATTATCATAAGGTTCTATAACAATAAGCATAACACATTATAATACTTGACTTTGTAAATCATGACAAAATGCTTTATAATGTGTTGATTATTGCATATATATAATATAATGCATAATAGAGACAGGCGTCAAGTAAAGTGTTACCAAATTGATCAGTACATGGTTTGTTTTCCATAACATATTTTCAATGAATGTATATCTGAAAAGTCAGTTATTTTGAGGCTATTGTGTTGGGTATTAGCTTTATGGAGTTCCTATGTGTACATTGTAGAACAGGTACAATATGGGTATTATACAACATACAGTGTTTGTAGTTGTTAAGAGTACATGATTCTCTATTTAAATGTTTGTTTTAGTTGTTGTGAATTGCTTTTTAGTTCGTAATACTGGAGAGCCAGTATGAGCACAAGAAGTATCACATCATATTGAATCATACAGTATCTTACCGTATTGTATCTAATGTATCATATTGTATAGTATCATGATATATCTTAATCTATTGTTTCATATCAATCATATTGTGTTGAATTGCACCACTCATATCTCATCATATAGTATCATATCTTGACAAATTTTATTGTATCGCATCCTTTCATATCATGACATTACCATGACATCATATCGTATCATGATGTATCGTGATGTATCGTGATGTATCATATCATTTTGTATTGTTTTTTTAAATATTTTTTCATACTGTATTATATCTTTGCATGTTATATTCTATCATATCTCATGATTGTATTTTAACAGATGTATGGTATTGTATCCAACTGTATCATATTGTTTAGAATCGTATCCTAATGTCTGATATAAGTGATTGCCTGTTCTTTATTTTTAACAAGGTTTATGTTTTCATATTGTATTTATTTGTGTTCAATGGAAAGTAGCAATCAAGTCCATAACAAATTCCTGCATAGCTTTACCATTTTTCAAATAAAACAATTTGTTCAAACACTAGAGGCTGTCTTGTATGTTGTGCTAAAATTATATCTGCCAAATATTTGATCCCTTAAAGCTCCTGTGATGTAATTTTTGGTTTGTGCCAATGTTGGTGCCCCCTGTGGACAATGGTCTGAACTTATTTTATTAAGTACATAACAAGGCTTCATTTTTTCACACAAAATCTTGTCAGGGTTACAGGGCTTGACACTAACTTTTTTTTTTTAAAGGGGCACAAAGAACTTTAGGGGCACAATGAAAATTGATCAAACTATGTTTGTCTTGTTGGTCGACATAAGTACTATTATTTGAAATCAATTTTAGGTCAATTGGTCACATGACATGGAAGCTACTGAAGGAAAACAGCATTTTTTGAGAACATCAACCGGTAATTTATTGATAGTCCACTATTCAACACCCAACGTTGACAGCGAGGGTGCCGAGTAGATTTAACCACGCTGCTGTTGCTATTCGCGGTTATGGAGAGTGAGAAGACACTGGTAGATCTGCAGTAAATGTTCGTGGAATATCCAACCTCAAACTAACTTCACTGCGGTATTTACATGAAAAAACATTTGTTGCCTCGGCTAATTTTTTTTATGAAACATTTGCCCCTAAAAACATTTTACAATTTGCACACATCTATTTTTAGTCACAAATGCGAGTGAAATGGTCACACTGTTAAGCCCTGGGTTAGGAATGTTTGGAGATGACACCAATTTATCTTTCTCTTACTTGGTCTGAGAGGATGAAGTTGAACATCTTGTCAGATGAAATTTATTAAACATTTGCTGAATATCCTATTATCGCCAGAAGTTCATTTCAAACAAAATGTGAGCCTAGTGTTGTTGTTGTTTTTACTTCAAACTATGCAATTTTGAGTTTTTATTTGATGGGAGATTCTGGTGTAAAATTAATTTAGGGTCGAACACATCATCATATTAATTATTTTACACTGCAGACGCAGTAGTTCTTCTGTCTTAGCATCTCGGTCTGATTGCATTTCGATGAAGAAATGATCATAAATGTTCTTCCTTGAGCTACATCACCGCATTGTAGTCTGAAACGAACTGGTCTGAGGTGTTGCAATAAACAAGTGGCTGCTGGAAGAGAGTAGGTGAGTTGTGTTTAGTCTCTTTGCTAGAGAAATTTAAAAAGTTAAAGAGATGTTTGGTGGCTAGTACTATGGCTGGGACCCTGTATGTACTGTAGCAGCAAAGCCTAAAACTTTAAGCCACTGAGGGGAGCCTAGACAGACTAAAAGTAATTGATGCGCTGGCTACCGCACTTGATTATTGTGAGTTGTGAAATATGACTCTGGATTGCCTTTTCCTTTGTTTGCGTTCTGTACTGCTAACCATTTGAATTGTTTTCCATTCATTATCAGTCAATAATTCACCACACCAAACATCCCAAGTGACGTAGCACGTAGCGGTCGAAATACTGTGTGCTCCTCCGTCTAGCAACACCTGACACCTGACAAAGGTTCCTACATATATACAAAACACAGACCCAACACAACAAGGACACCTGCTGGCCCAATTAGGTAACATACACAAATCAGAGAGAAAAATGTCTCCAACATGTACTGTTGATGAAGTTAGGTGCTGTTCTGAGCATTATTTGTGGCTATAGAGTGGCGTTTTGGTTGAGGTTTGTTTATGCCTCCTCAGACCGCTGTGTATTGCTATCCTGGGGTCGTTACTTAAGTTGGTATAACTAAAGAAGCAAGCGGTCAGCAACATTCATCTCTCGAAGGGTGTCTAACTCTGTGTTATGGTGTGTTTGACTCCAAATTAATTTTACGCTGGAATATCCCTTTAAACTCTCTCTGAATTTTTTTTACTTTAAACCCACATTAAATTAAGAAATGCAGATACACCAACAAAAGTAAAACCTGGTAGGCTTTATTTCATTTTAAAGCTACAATTTGCTCGAGAAATCGTGGTTTCTGACACACTCGTCTGAGTTCAAACATTGGTTGAGCCAGTTTTCGACCTGAGCCAAAAGCTCCGATCACTAAGAGGATTCGAACTTCCCAACCCTGTTAGCCCCGACTGCGACACTGGCTAGCTCAGTTAGCTTGCTAGCTAACTTCTACAATCAAGCGGATTCACCGTCTGGCAGCCGGAGCAGGCACAAGGTAAGCTCCTGTTACAGCTATTCATTATCAGCCTGGCGTAAACAGTTCTTCGGCTGGCTGCCATCGTTTCCATGTGGCCTCTCGCTCTCGCGCTGTGACGGAAAACGAGCTAACGTCTTATGAAGTTAAGGTGAGCTAATTAGCATTCGGCGGCTAACGGTGTTACAGCAACAGAGGCGGCGGCAGCAGCAGCAGCAGCAGCGGGTTATTAAAGACCCTCCACAGCTCCGTTTCCACTCACAGACACTAACAAGACCAGCGGAGATAACCCAAAACTTAACGCCGCGACATCACCACCTCTCATGGACATTTTTAAATCACCGTTTCTCTTTAATTTTACCCGAATATAACGGATAACCGCAGCACACATCTGCGTTTATTACAGAGCAGCTGAAGCAGGTAAGAGAAAGAAAACATATTCATTTTTTTGATGATGGTAACACACACACACACACACACACACACACACACACACACACACACACACACACACACACACACGCTGCACTCCTCTACAGAAAGCTGCTGAAATGCTTTGTTCTGTCAGAGCTGCACGTTTTATTCCTGCAGCTGGAGATTTGCATGTTTGCATTGTTGAAACCATGCTGTTATGAGCTGCTAATTTAATGATATAAAGTGTACTCTGAAAGGTGGAAAATCATGCTCTGCACAGGCTGATTGTAGTTTTGTGGCTGCTTCTCCCTCAGCAGTGCTTTTCTTGTGCATGTGTTGCTGTATATTTGTGTTGTTATTAAGCAGGCAGACAGTGCCTGTTTTCCCTCTCTGGCCATGACTTCCTGGATGTATCATGGGTACAATAACATGCAGTCTGGGCTTGCAGCCAGACTGAGAGAGTGTGGGTCAGTATTTACTGGAGAGGCAGAGATGAAGGTGTTTAAAAGACTTCAAACCTGCAGGGTGAAGGCTGTGTGTGTGTTTGGAGTGTCCAGATGTTGTGAAATGTGTCTTATGGAGCTGCATCATTTTAATCATTGATTTGCAACAGTTAAATCAATCACCAGATATTTTAATAACCGAGAAGTGTGACTGACTAAGTGACACACAATTTAGAACACTCTAGGAGCCATCTAGACAAACATGTCATCATGAAAAAACATTTCACATAATTCCTCCACATCACAAAACCTTTAATATGTAGTGTAAAATAATTTAAATGATGCCAAAATGTGTAAAGAAACTCAAAAATTTTACAAAACAGGATTTTCAAGAAAAACAGTCTGAAAGACAAAATATGTTTTATAAAATGCAAAAACTGTTTCACAAAACATAATAATGTTCGAGAAAATCCAAAAAATGTAATAAAATATGCAACAAAAACTTTTAAAATGCAAAGATATTTTATAAAATGTTAAAATAATGTCAAGGAAAGTAGCAATGTTTCATGGCAACTATAACATGTCAGTATTTATTTGGTATTTGATGGAATGTAAATTTATTACTATGAAATACTTTAAAATATGATCAAATCCAAAACATTTTCCAGGATGCTAAATCATTCAATGAAATGTCAAACATGTTGTACGATCATTAACATCAATTATTTATCAAATAAAAATTTACACAAAACAAAAATGCATAAAAATTTCAGAAGACACCATAAGTAATACAAATAAAGTCAAAATGTTTTTCACAAACACAATCAATTTCCCCCCCCCAAAAAAACACAAAACAATAATAATCAAAAATTATAATAAAAATAAAATAAAAAACAAAACAACTTTCCTTTAAATTATATTTTTTAATGTTTAATGAATTGTTTTTCACTACATGAAATAATTTTGTGTTTTGTAAAATGTTTTGCACACTTAGTTGACCTTCAGGGCCACCTTCCCCTTACTAACTCCTACAAAATAGTAGGTTAGTTAGTTAGTTTAAGCCATAAAAACATAGATTTTGGTCTTATTAGAAAAGTTCCATGTCCTGTGTCTTAGATTGTTTCTTTTATATTAATCAGCACACGGACCCAGTTAGTGATCTCGAAACGATGAAGGTTTCTGCTCACGTTTCCTCCCCTCCTTACCTTTCTTCTGCCTCACCTCCTCACAGCTTCAGAGCGTCGTTTGTTTCTGAGAAACTTCAGTGAAAATCATTCCCCTTGTCATTGTTGTGAGCTGACATTTGCCTCTTGTTACATCTGCTGCTCTTCTAAATGTGAAAGGCGATTAATTGGTAATCTGTCGGATCTCTCTGAAGGTCTTAATGAGTGTTTTATTAAAGACAGGTACTCAGCAGATCAATCAGTTAAGCATCTGTATTGTACCCACAGTCATCAGGCTGCTAATTTTAGCAGCCGAGCACTTGAATAATAATTTCAATTAGTGATGAATGTCAAAAGGTGTTCGTTTTTGATTTTGGAGCTGCAGAAATCAGAGCTTTAATAAGTTAATGAGTAGAAATAGCGCTGCTGCCTACTGCTTTTTTAATTTGTTTAAATCATTTTAAAGGTAAAATCTGAATTATTATGACATATCTTTGGCTATTTTATCATCTGTCGATATGCATTTATACTTTTGATTTGAGAACAGAATCTGCTTGAGAAGGACATTTTCCCTAAATGAAAATATCTAAGTGATGCACAGCCATCAAGTTTGCCCCTTTGTGTGATACGTGACCAAGTGCAACAGTTTACTCCAGGGTGAGTGGATTTCATCATAAAAAAATGATGAAGAAACTGAGTATCTGATTAATTTCTGTGAGAGTCATGTTAAAGTTGTGATAAAGAGACAGAGCGTTGGCTGATAAATAATGTAAAGTGTGCTCAGAGAGAGTGGCAGTAAATCATCTTTATGGACTATAGCCGTCAACCTCTCTCCTTTCAGAGCACTTTATACCTACATTAGCAATAACAGCTCTGATTATTGAGGCTAGACTGAAATTAATTATCAATTGAATGTAATTTAATGCCTGCAGGTGTAGACAGCAGCTTTTAACTCAGATACTGAGACTAGGTGATGTTTAGAAAATCTTCATACTGTGTGTTTTTACTGAGGAAATATAAGCTCAGTTCAATGCTTCACAAAACTTTATCACAGTGATAACTCACACTTGCAATACTGTGTGTTATGACATTAAAGCTTGGATCTCCCCAATATAAATACTGCAGAAATTTCCATTCATCAATTTGACTCAAAATTCAACAAAATTGGAGACTTAAAGTTTCAGTTCAGATCACGAAAAATGTGTTTGTCGTCTTTTGAAGGGTTGGATAAAAGATAACATTCATTTTCAACAATAAACTTCCTCAGAGAAAAGCTGGATTCAGAGAAAGTTTATTTTCCTTCTAACAAAAAAAGACAAGGGGCCCTTCATTTCCATATTTAGTTTTGGGATAACTGAGTTATGGAATCCCATTTTTTCCCTAATATTATCACATTTTGTCATAGATTTTTTCCACTTAAAATTCAGACCCCCCCCCCCCCCCAAAAAAAAAACAAACATTTTTTTCCCCACAGTGCCACCTTTTTCCCCTCACAAGTCTGCTGTTTTCATAGAATGCTGCATTAAATCTGAGAATTCTTATAAGACTGAGATCAAATTCGGAATTCTCAAGAATTCTCAATATCAAAGTTGAAATTTTCAAAGTCAGAGTTGATATTCTGACTTCTTTACTAAGGAATTCCCGAATCCATATTTTTTTAAATTCTGAATTCTAACTTCGTCGTCTTAAGTTCCTTTTTGGGGAAAAAAAAAAAGATTTTAAGAAAAAAGTTGTAATGTTACTGAGAAAAAAGTAATTTTAGTCAGTAATTAGTGTGTGTGTTACAGCTGTTGTGATCAGCCAGCCAATTTACATCCGTTACACATAGGGGTGGGAGAAAAAAATTGATTCACTTTAGTATCGTGATTTTTTGTTTTACAATTTATAAATAGATTTTTATGTCCAAAAATTTTATTTTATTATTTTCCAAATTTAAGAATAAATCTTAAAAAACTGACCTATATATGATGTGTATTTTTGGGGGAAATGTGTTTCCTGGAATAGTCAGGAGACAATCGTAATCATTCAACTGTTTTACTGGTGTTAAAAATGCAGACTAAATATTGAGAAAATCGACAGTATCATAGAATTGCAATTTAATTCAAATTGGCATCCAAAAAATCATAAAAGAATCGAATTGGGAGAAAAGCATATTGTCCCAGCCCTACTTACATACATTCTCAACATCTATATGACTTTGTTCCTGTAACATCACGGCTATATTTATCCAAAATTCAAACTTTCTTTGAATGCCGGGGTGAAAATTCATGAATTGTAAAGAGCCGTTCAAACTCATAATATTACATTTTATTAGCAGATCTGAAATAACTTCCCAAACAATACAGCAGGAAGCGCTCTCGTCGTAACCTGACCATTGAATGGCACCCTTGACCTTAGTAAACTAATACACAAACATTATCCTACAAAATTTGCGGACATTGCCAACTCAGGCAAATAAAAAATTATATTTCTGAAGTCCGAACTGTCCAAGTTGTGATGTTTTTATTCAGTAAAATACAGTCAGAAATGTTAAAAAAGTGGAAATTCTGACAAAAATAAGACTGAAAAAAACTTACTGGCCCTGATCTCTGTCTTATAGTTGATTAATGTCATGGTTGGCATTGAACTGATTACTTGCTCTTAAAGCACATTTAGAATAAACTTCACTGACAGACTTGAAGCTGAACTTCATTCTTTGTTTCAAATATCTGAAATCAACCCAAACATCCATACAGTACAGCCGTCTGGAATAAAGGGGTCGGCTGAGGTCTGTGTTGTATTGGCCATCTGTCAGTGTGGCTGCCGTCACTTTAAGGTTAGGGGAAAAGTAAAATTAGGAGCAGACGTAGAGCTGTTGGACAAACACAAAGAAAAAGAGCTGGTGGTGAAGAAAATCAGGAAGCTGAGGTCAGGAGAGGCAAAGAGAGGGAGCGAGAGAGAGAGAGAGAGAGAGAACAGTGTGTCTCAATCAGCAGGTACAGTCTGTGCCGCCTGTGTTCGCTCACACACACACGCACGTTCCCCCCGCCGACCTGCTGCTTTGTGTGCGATGGAAGTCACAAGTGCTGTCTGTCTGCTGGCTGTCGAAATCAGGTACGACAGTCATGTGATCACAGCAAAGCCCCCCCCCCATTCTCCTGCCACTGAAGATGTGCAGAGCGTCTGACCCAAATCTGCAAAGTGCAAGAAAGGAAAGCAAAGAGGAGAAGAAGAAGAGGAGGAGGAGGAGGAGGAGGATGTAGGAAAATTAGCATGTCAGTGGGAAACCGGCAGATAAAGAAAATCATTAACGAGAGGTGGCAGAATCTGCAGGAAATAATGGAAACATCTGGTGTTAAAAGGAGAAAAGCTGCACGAGAAATCCTGATTTCACAATAAACACATCAACTGTCTGAAATGATCCCGGTCAGGGATTCAACGATGTGCTCTGAGCTTACGGAGAAATCCTGGAGCCTGCTATTCCATTTAATTTATGATTTGATTGAATATTTCTAATGATGCCTTCTGCCTGATCTGTCCATGCTTCACTTCATATGCAACAGTCATGTGTTCATTATCAGAGATCTGCACCCTCTCATCTTTTATAGAGACAGCTTCAGTGATATAAAAACATCAGACCTGATAGTAGGACTGGGTGATTTGGCAAAAAAAAATAGATCTCAATATATTTTGTGATATTGTCTGATCTCGATTTTTATCACGATTTTTTTTAAACTGCCAGTTTTAAAGCATCTGTACTAAAAACTAAAAGAACTAGAGATTAGTTCAACATTTTTTTAACATACGAAGTAAATAACAAAGCAAATTGAATAAGATATACTTTGAAAAATATTTTTCATTATGTCAAAAGCATCATGCTTTTGGCATAATGAAAAATACTGGAAGTACTTCTTCAAATGATAAAACAGATTTGTTGTGTTGCCGGTTTTTGAGGCACCGACCGCCAACATACCTTGCACATTGGCTTAATTGCTCGACGTCACTTTGGAGATACCCGGACCACCGCCACACCACGGATGTTGAACAACTTCTTAACAATAACATCTTCGAAGGATGACTCAAAGTCGTGACTGACATCTATTTTGCTGCCCTCAGCTCCCCGTTTAGCTCCACGTTCAGTCACTCTGTTTACTTCTCCAGCAACGTACAGAAGTGAGCAGGAAAAGCTCGACTCTGATTGGCTGTTGTGAGGCACATTTCCGCTATGTTTGATCGAGTAAATATGCTCACAGCTGATCACCGGGATCGAACTAAAATTTATCACAAACATCTATCACGATTATATAATCGCCCAGTCCTACCTCATAGTCCACACCCTCCCTGAGCTGGTCACTGAAGTTAAAGCGAGTTTGCCGAACTCTCTCTGCTCAACAGTTTCACTAACATGCAGAAAAGCGGGAACTTTAACACACCGTTGGTTGAATCCGTGAAATAAACTCCTGTATGTGGATGTTAGCATAGTATTTGTGTTGAAGCGCAACTCCGTCTTTAAAATGCTGACTCAACCTCACTGTCGGTTGATCTACCAAGCTGAAAAGAGTTTGTGTGGAGGCTGATTGCGATTTTCGTCATCCACCAATTCCTACCGGATCCGTTTGTGAGGCGAATTTCGTGGCGGATTACGGACAGCAGAAATCGCGAGAACTCACAAGAACCCATGGATTCACATGCAATCACCCGATAACAAGTTGTCTTTAGCCACATAGGCTAACCATATAAGCAGTAGATTGTGTCCTTCCAGAGGAGGAAATCTACTTCTAGACTTATAGAATTAGCATCCCCTCATCCTTGGTATTATCGGGGTGAATTGACGTCTGTAAACCTTTTACTTGTTCATCCCCGCTCGTTTGCATGGTTTGAAATATGATCCGCCTGAAACACAGAGTGTTTTATTTTGAAAAGAAGCCGGATGTTTTATTTTGTGTCTGTGCCCGACTTCCTTTCCAGCACAAGTTAATCTGTGCTGAATTTATCCGGCATGCTGCGGCATCCGGAAATAATAGAACTCTTGCGATCTCAGCTGCGGAGTCCGGCGATCCGCAGTGAAACGGAAAGAAGCCGGTGGATCAGCTACGATTGGTGTATACGGCCTTTTTGTAGCCGTTCCTGATGTGGTGGAAATTGGGGGTCAGTCAAGTTGGTTGAGCCTCGAAATCATCAAACCTTAATTGTTTTACAAAAATTCACTCTGTACGGTGTTAGCTGTGAATGTGTTCAGAAATGTTGTCTTTTGAATAGGTGTGTATGTGCTTTTTGGTGCTACAGGACAGGAACCGGCCTCTAGTGGACACTCAAGGAATTGCATTTCCTTTTCTTCCTAATTTCTGAGGCCTGGAGGTTACAGCTGTGGCGTCTCTGACTGTAATTGTTTTTGACATTAAAACAGCTGATATGAGGCCAATATATATTTGTCTGTTTGTTATATTTCATGTAATCATGTCATTCAGAGCTGAAAACGGGGGAAAGTGACAAAAAACACTGAAGAGGAGGGGCGATCAGATGAACCACAAATGAGATGAGGGATAAGATGCTTCCCCTCTTTTTGTGTGTGTGTGTGTGTGTGTGTGATTGAATGTTGGTGCACTGCTGAGAGGAGAAGCTGCCTCTTCACATCTCTGTTCTCTTAAATTCCTTTTGAAATCAGCGAGCTAAATTTAGCTTCGACACCCCTCCCCCTCCTCAGTTTGAGAGGTATCAGAGCTACAGCAGTCAGTGATAGGCGAGCGTTTTGATGTGCACACATACTAACACACACACTAACACGCACTAACACACACACACACACACACACTCACAGATTAAAGTGAGTGTCTGTGAGTGGGAGGGCGCTGTGTCTTTGTGCGCACACTGTGGGCTGTAGTGATGATAAATTGTTGCTGTGTGGTAAATGAGCTCTGAGTAACCACCTCTCTCTCTCTCTCTCTCTCTCTCTCTGTCTCTCTCTCAGGGCGGCTGCCTCTTGAGGACAGTGGGGGCTCTCCATGATCCCCCCTTCATCCGATGAACCCCCTCAACTCCATGAAACCCTCCCTGCCTCCCACTCCACAAAGGTACCCACACACACACACACACACACACACACACACACACACACACACACACACACACACACACACACACACACACACACACACACACACACACACACACACACACACACACACACACACACACACACTCTCTCTCTCTCTCTCTCTCTCTCTCTCTCTCTCTGCAGTGACATTATTGGCGTCCTCATGTGACACCTCACCTGCTCTGCCCTGTGGTGTGTTTGTTTTGGTTTGTTATGCACCACAGACGGCCTCAAACACGTTGTCTGGCTTTCTTCGGCTCACCTGGATTCACCTGAAGAGGCTTCAAGTTTTCTTTTGAACTTTTTACTTTGGAAATAAAAAGTCACCCAAAGAGTTAAAAGCATACATCTTAAACTGTGACACTTTGGCACACATGAAGCGTTGAAAGAGTTTGTCATGACTCTCTTTGAGCCTCAGATACAAACAAGCAGGTGAATGTTGTTCAGATTTGTCACACATTCTCACTGAAACTCCAAAAAAACTGATCATAAATCAAAAATTCATGCTCTAAAATGAGCTGTGAATATGAAGCTATGCACACAACATCTAAAAACCCCAGTTCTGAATTAGAAACATATTAAAAATGTTAAAGTGCAGAAAGTTTGGTCAGAACATTTCCAAAAGAAGTTTTCTGAGCAGGAGACAGAGGTGCACTCCTCAGGTCAATACTCACATTTTAATTCACTTGACTTTCTTTTTTAACTACAGTGTTAACATTTTAATTAAACTACCGTTCAGTAGACATTTTAAATTTTGAATACACCCAGAACCATCAGTGGAGTCTTTTAATCAGCTTTTTAAATCCCAGAATTAAAAACTAAAATTGTAGAAAACTTGAGGAGCTCTTCTCTAACACAGGTGAAAAACTAAGAAATGAAAATGCCAAAGTGATTCCCTTTAAATACCTGGGGGACCAAACTGTATGTAGTCTATATGCAGTAAATAATGGTCTAAAATCTGCCTTGTTTTTACTACCAACACATTTAACAGACTATTATAATAGATTCATCACGCCTCAGTTAGTTTACATCAATTATTTCCAGAACCATGAGTGGTGTTTTTAACCAGCTAGATCCATTTCACCAACAGTTTTTTAAAATCTTCTATAAATCACAAAGAAAATCAACAAAAACCATCTAAAACTATGAAATAAAAATGTAGAAAACTGTAGGAGCTTGTCTCTAACACAGGTGTAAAACTAAGAAAAGAAAATGCCAAAGTGATTCCCTTTAAATACCTGAGCGACCAAATTATGTGTTGTCTATATTTGGAAAATAAACTCTGCTTCACTTAAATATTGACACAGGTAACTTTGACGCAGACTATCACAGAGTTGCATTTGACCTTTGACACTTTAATCTGAATTCTGTAGTTGCTAAAAGTTAAAAGTCTCTGTTTTCAGAGACCAAAGTGAACTCCTGATCAGCGTTTTTTTCTGAATTTTAAATTAAATGAAACAGAAAATCCTAAAATGTTTAAATTCTTAATTTGCAATAATTGAAGATATTTTGTTTTTGAAACAGAGGCTGTAATAATGGATTCATTAAAAATGGGCAAGAAAAAGTTGTTTATTCAATAAAGCAAAGAGTTAAAGGGAATAGTAGTTGAAAACGCTTTTCTGAGTCCGAGTTTGATCAGTTGGTCTTCCTGTTCGCATGAAGAGCAGTGGCCTACAGTATATCTACAGTATGTAGTATATTGTATCTACAGTATATATTTTTTATAACTTTATACAAAATTAAAAAATCTGCCGATTAATTGGGATTCAGATTTTTTTCCCCCCTAATAATCGGTATCGGCATCAGCCCCAAAAAATCCATATCATTCGGGCCCTAAAACCAACCTCAACAAAAACGCCACTCTATAGCCACAAATAATGTTCAGAACAGCAACAACTTCATCAACAGTACATATAGGGTCCCAGCCACAGTACTAGCCACCAAACATCTTTTAGAATAGAATAGAATAGAATAGAATATTCCTTTATTGACTTTTTATTCCTTTTTAACTTTGACTAATTTCTTTAGCAAAGAGACTGAACACAACTCACCTACTCTCTTCCAGCAGCTGCTTGTTTGTACGGAGACCTCAGGCCAGTCCATTACGGACTACAGCAGGTGACCCAGCTTAAAGAAGAACATTTATGATAATTTCTTTATCATTTCCGTTAAGTTATAATCACCATATTAATCATTTTGCACTGCAGATGTGGTAGTTCTTCTGCCTTTGCTTCTCAGTCTGATTACATTTCCATTAAGTAATGTTGATGTACTGTTGATGAAGTCAGGTGCTGTTCTGAACATTATTTGTGGCTATAGAGTGGCGTTTTGGTGGAGCTTTGTTTATGGCTCCTCAGACCGCTGTGTATTGCTATCCTGCGGTCTTTACTAAATTTAGTAAAACTAGAGAAGAAATAATTTTTGCAGCTTCAAACCATCCTGCAGATCCAGATCCTGTCCCTTCTGAATCTGTGCTTTTGAATAACCACAGTCATTGAGAGCTTATGTGTCAGATGAGTCAGAAAACCCTCATGTGCTTTTTTGGGAGTTTCCATTTTTTATTTTTCATAATTTTTTGCAAAGTTTCTGGAAAAGATGAAGTTTTTATCCACATTTTACATTCCCAAAACCATCAGTGGACTCAAACTCTGACGTGAGATCGAACAGAAGACTGAAAGTGATATTCATTAAAGTAAAACATCAATATTTTCCCGTCTGAATTTTCGACCATTGCAGTGAAATATAGCTGATATGGGTCCAAAAAGACTAGGAGATTTGATCTGAGTTGGAAGATAAATCAAAAATGGCCGTGAGCACAACAACTTGTTTCCTGTGTGTGTTCTTGTTAAATCAACAAAGAAAATCTGAATAAATGCCATCAGACAGGGTTCAGCTGCTTCAAACCCTTAATCACCGACCGTTGAGTCAATCGACTGTTGAGCGTTCAGTGTCGGGTCTGTTTTGGAAGCATCTTGATTAGGTTTACTCAAGCCAAAACACTCTTTAATTGAGTGCAGCCACAAAGCCTTCTGACTGCTCTATTTCTCCTCAGAAAGCCATGAAAGCAGGAGACGTGCTGCCAACTCACTGACACGACACGCAGCCTCCAGAAACAAAGAGAGAGAACAAACTCACCGGGATTCAATCAGATCCTCTCTGCCTGAAAATAATCTGATGATTTTGGCCCCCAAAAGAGAAGAAAATGGACTGTAACATGTTCGGGATTTTAGATTTAAGACAGTGTAATACAGTGGAATATAATTCAAAATAGACCAGTATAAAAATATAGATGATACGGTGTGGTATGATACTAAGTGATGAAACAGTACAATATAAAACGACAAGAAACAACTGGAAACAATACTTACTAATACTAATACTAATACTAATAAAATATGACACAGTATCCTGTGATATAATACATGATGATACTATATAGTACCATACATTACAACACTGTACAATGTGCTATAATATGAAACAACTTAATATGATGAAATGGGATAAAGGTTGATGTGATGCAGTACAATATAATAGGGTAGAGTCGGGTACAATATGAGAAGACCGCAGGTGATACTCTACAGTATATGATATAATACAAATATAAAATTTTACTGTGTGGTACAAATTGAACGAACAGTACTACAGGAACAGGCAAGACACGGTATAATTCAATAAGATCTAAAATTATAAGGTGAAGTACAGCACTGTAGAGTTTGAACTGATACTTAAAAGATACTTTGGGTAAGATACGATACAAAACAATACCAAATGATACGCCCCACAATAATAATAATAATAATACATTTTATTTGTAGTGCCCTTTACATCAAGCGACCTCAAAGGGCTATTTCTTTAAAAGCAAAGAAATTTCACAGTTCACGAATATAAATACAGGTTATTGGTCAAAAAAACAAGAGAAACATCTCATTTACAGTGTAAAAGCAAGATAAGCATTTTTTTTTTTGGCAGCATGGGCTGCGTGATCACAGACAACATCTCGGTACTATTTAGTGGCAGCGCACGCCCCTTGTAATAAACCCCATGAAAACTGTTGTTTAGGACTGCTTTCTTGTGCTTCCTACCCACTTGGCTACTGTGATAACCGTTGTTCTAGCCTAAGCGCAACATTTTTGTTCTCATTCATGAAACGCTTAAATCGGGGACAGCTTTTGCCGGGGGACAGGTCACCCAATTCGGGGACTGTCCCTGGAAATCGGGGACGTCTGGTCACCTTTTATAACAATACTTGAGATAATATATGATATAATATGTTAGGACATGACACAATACTTTAGATAAAATATGATAAGACATAACAATACTTGAGATAATGTACGATATGATATGATACAATACTCAAGATATGATATGATACAGTATGATTAGATATGACACTTAAGATATGATATGGCACATTGAGATATGAGTAAGATATAATATGATATGAAATAATAAATAAGTTATAAATAAATAATATGATATGATATATAATATGAAACAATATGCATGGATGTGAGACAATACTATAAATTGGATGCAATAGGACACAATGTTACAAGATACTATACTATGCATACAATATGATACAGTATGATATGATATGAGACCTGATTTGGAATGATTATTATGATTGGATACAATAAGATTTGATATGATACAATACAACATGATTCGTTACAATACAATACAATACTTTAGAAAAAAAATGATATAACAGGAAAGGACATGATACAATACACTATGATACAATACAATACGACATGATTGGATACATTGCTATACCATATAAAACAATTAAATATAATTGGATGTGACAGTAGGTATGATATGATATGTTATGATATGATAAGTTATGATATGGTACAATTGGATACAATGAGATATAATATGAAACTATATGTATGGATGATACAATACCACAGAATTTAATACAATACAATGCAAAAGGATACAATATAATATGATACGATACTATGCAATACAATATGACACAGTATGATATGATATGAGACCAAATTTAGTACGATAATTATGATTGGATACAATAAGATTTGATATGACACAATACAACATGATTGGATACGATACAATCCTTTAGATTATATATGATATAACACTAAAGGACATGATACAATACATTATGATTTGATACATTGCTATACCATTTGAAACAATACAGTATGATTGGATGTGACACATAAGGTATGATATGATACGATATGATGTGTTAAGTTATGATATGGTACAATGAGATATGATATGTATGAATGTGATACAATACTACAGAATTTGATACAGTATGATAGGAAAAGCTATAATAATGTACAATGTGGTGTGGTTTATTTAATCTGACATCAGAAGATACTGTAGCGTTAGATGATATTTGATACAGTTAGCAGTTAGAATGTTAGCAGCACATGAGAATTATGAGGTTTTGTTGAGCTACAGTATGAGTATGGTGAGTTAGGAGAACACATGATCGGATCCAGTTTGATAGGATTTCTGACAGGTGGGCTGAAGCAGTTATATGAGAGCAGTTAGAGAGACTTTCTCTTTTTCTTGTAGTCCTGAATATGAATCAGGAAAAAGGACTCAGATTAAGGGAGTTCAATCTAACTGACCCTGTAAGTTTGTCTGTGGTGGATCCTGCAGAGAGATGGTTCAGAGGGAGGAAGTGAGGTAACCTCAGCTGTCAGATGACTAAAACAAACTCAGGTTAATTGTGTTAATCTCTGAGGTTTAAATTAAGTATTAATTCAGCTCTGTCTCTGAGCTGCTTTAGTGTAAATAACCTCAAACGGAGAGTTAAACACTCGTTAATGAGCAGACACAGAAACACTCAAACATCTCATATCTGCATGAACGCTCTTTTCTGAACCTTCCCGACCATCCCAGTAACTCGGCTTCTTCTCCTCCTGCAGCAGTGACGGCCCCTTCCTAAATGACCCAGTCTCCTGGCAACCAGGCACCAATCAGCACGCAGGATCTCTCTCTGTAGTAACCACAGTGTGGGGCGTGACCAATCCCACACACAGCCAGGTAACACATGCCTCAGCACCCGGGGACATTCCTCCTCTCCTCTTTTTATTCGCTCTAATCAGACAAAAAAAAAAAAAAAAACAGCTACAGCAACAAAGAGGAGGCAAAGGCCGGTTTTTGTTTTATTTATCCATGAAATCCAGGCCGTTAGGAATCAGATTATTACTGCAAAAGGACGGTTTTGGGGGTCTATGTGTGTTAAAGCTGCTTAAATTATATTCATGAATAAGGGTTATAATAAAAAGCAATTGGGATGATTTCAAAAATATGCACATTTGGGACAAAATATAGATATCTAAGGTAGAATACAGATGTTTAGAGGGTAATAGTGACCAAAAACTCAGTATTTGTATCTGCAAATATGCAAAAAAAAGTCTTCCTCTGAATGTGTCTCCTTTGTGTGAGAAGGATATTTTCTGAAGTTTGTTTTATGAGATTCTGTGAGAAGAGACAAGGCCGTTAATGAAAAATCTGTTTCATTATTAAAGTCGTAAATTTCTGAGAAAACAACACGGATGTCCTCTGTGATTTTCAAGCTTGTATGAGGAGTTTAAATAGACTGAAATTCTTTTTTTTTTTTTAAGTCCAAAAGAAAACAAGACCCTCAGCAACAAAACTGATGATTTTCATATCCTAATTTGGATGCCGGAAACCAAAAGAAATCACCATTTACGCACACTGAGGACAAGATAAGCAAAGGATGTTTGGTCCACAGGGGGCGCCAAAATCTGAGACAAACCTCAAGTTCCTCACGGGAGCTTCAAGTTTTTATTATTGGAAACAAACTGAGGTGTTTTCTTACATAAAATTTGCAAAACTTAAGATAAACACTCAGATTTTGACAAAACAGTAGAAATAATTAAAGCTCCTGAAATGATCTTCACCATAAAAGAAAACCAGATTATCAACATAGAGATTAACTTTTCTGTGAAGTTGTTTGAGGTGTTTATGTCGTTTTATGTTGAGATCATTTAGATTTGTCTTATTTGATGTTGTCATTGGTTTCATAAGAGTTGTAGTCATACTCTATCATCAGCTATATTTCTTTTTTATTTAAAGGTGGGGTAGTCAGGATCTGAGGAAGTCCCAGTTATAGGGAGAAATCTTGAATGTAAACTCTACTCCTCCCAACCAGTTTTCCCCTCAGCTCCTCCTCTCCCCTCCCTCTCTGCTCCAGCAAGCCCCGCCCACAAACAGATGCTCCTGCTCGCTCGTATTGTTCCAATTAAATTCAGATATAATGCAGACAAATACTTTAGATAGTTACAAATGGGACCCAGTCAACATGAAAGTAAACAGCATTGGTGCTACTGTAGATGCCAACAGACTACCAGCAAACACAATGTTTGCAGGACTTCTACAACTAGGATAAAGTGACATACTCCAGGAGCCGAGGTTAACAGTTTAGCGGCGCTACAACACGCTAGAGCAGGTTCCATTTGTTAAGAAACACTTCTGTTACAGACACTTGGCTTACTTTGTTTAAGCGGTTTACCTGTCCAGCATCCAGCGGAGTGCTCTGAAATTTTAAAATGTTGACTACACAAACATAACAAAACACAGCAATATTGTTATATTCCCAAATGTCATCAATAATTACTATCTATTGACTGATATTAAAAGTTCACCTTTAAAGCTCCTTTCAAGAACTTTTGCTTTGTGTCATTTTTGACGCCCCTAGTGGACGTGCTCTAGACTAGGTAGGAATATCAGTCATTTTAATCAACAGGGTTTTACAGCTGCAGACGAAACAGATTAAACTTAATTTATGCGTGTTTTTTTTTACTGTTTTCACTTCTAGCAGTCAGATTTTATTGTTTTTTTCCTCTGGTTTATCGTTCACCTAATTTAGCTCGCTTTATTCTAATTTTATAATCAAACTGAAACCCCACAGTACTTGAGTCAGAGCATTTATTTAAAAAGCTGTGAATGGAGGATGTAAGCTAACTCCACGGGCTGTTTCTCTCCTGTGATTAAATAAAGTTGTAAATAAACACTTGAAAGCTGCTCTTAAAGGTCACTCCTACGCTCGGCGGTAAGTAGGAGGAAGCTGCTCGATTCGCTCACAGAGAAAACAAAAAAAATGATTTTACTCCCTGTTCGGCTTCTTGAAACATTCGAGTGTGATTTTCTCAGCTTATTAAATCAGAGCTGCACATATTTGGTTTCTCTTGAACGTGTGGGAGTTAAAACACTTCATGACTTCACTATCCAGGGAAATATCTCGTAGAGGCCGTCATCTATCAAAAGACATTATGTGAAATGTGAGCAAGCCAAAAAACATCACATTTGAAATATTTTTAGAGTTTTAAATGGCATCTGGTCTGAAATTTTTTATGCAAAATGTAGTTTTGTGCTTTATCGTGCAAGGAGGTAAAGACGAGTTTAAAAATCTGTGTTAGGTAAAGACGAGCTCTGCTGAGGGAGTGGGAGGTTTGGACGTGATTTTACATCGAATCAACAGGTGATCAGGGGAAGTGTTGGCTTTGAATCAACTGGAGAAAACAACAGAGGTGAATTAAGGCCGCTGTTTACTGGAAAAACTGATCCAAGTCCTGGTTCAGGTCAGACTGTTTGGCTCTGTTCTCAGTGACCGCTCATGCAGTCCACTTCACACTTCATACTGCGCTGGAGCTTCAGCTGAATCAACCCAACAGACAGTAAAATGCTGCTCCGTCACCAGCACCAAATTTACAGCAATTATTCAGCCGGTAAATCTAAACTTAAACGCCGAGTTTGACAGGAATGAGACAAACAGTTCAGGAGATGTGCCCTTTATGGGCAGTTTAAGCTGCAATCTGAGAAATCTGAAGCAAATATCTGAACAAATATGATGATGAATGACCCAAAAACATTTATATCAACAGCCTGATTGTTCAGTGTATCTTTCGTGAATAACACGAAAAGTTTCTTTATTTGGGTCAAAACTCTTCAATTAAGTGTTCAAAGTTTCGTTAAAGTCATAGTTTTGTTTTACGGTCAGCAGCCAGCTGTCTTCACCCTCCCACCGAATAAAAAATAAACATTAATTAGATAAAACTTATCATTTCAGAACAAAAACTTAAAAAACAGACTTTATCTGGTTTGAAAGTTTTGAGATTAAAGTTTAAAGATGTGAGTGTTTCAAATAGACAGTCTGAACTTGGATCGTCTGCCCTCAGTTCAACTTTCATTTTGACTCTTCAGTGAGAAAATGTCAGAGTGATGTGGTTTCTGTTTTTCCTTCTCCTCCTCCTCTTCCTCTCTGATTGACTCTTTTCTCCTCCTCATGGTTCAGATGACGGCTCACTCTGAAAACCTTTCTCTCTCTCCCTTTGTTTCCCTCACAGGTGTTCGGTGCCCCTATGGGTCCAGGTGAGAGCTCTGGTGGTCACATGATGCCCGGCGGTAGTCCTGGGATGGGTCCTGGTATGGGCTCCCAGTTCATGGGGCAGCAGTCTTACGGAGATGCCGTCTCTAAGGGATACGGTCAGCCGGTGATGTACGGACGTCCCAGCGCTGCTTATAACCCCGCCTCTGCGTATGGGGGGAGGTACGCAGCTTTTCCGTCAGCTTTGAGTTTTACTTTCAAATTCACTCACAAGGTTCTCTAAAGACCCAAACAAATCACCTTCCTGCTTTTTGACTCTCTGCTGAGAGCTCAGGTTTCTTTGTCTGAAGGTTCTGCTCTGAATTCAAGCTGCTCACAAATGTCCTCGACTCTTTGATAAAAGCTGCAATTGTTTCTTCATTTCCTCAACTGTCGATCACACATGAAAGGAGATGCACAGGTGCAGCAGAGTCGGCTGTTTGAACCGTCCAACTTTGAGCCTGTCTTGATTAAAAAGTTGAATAAGATCCAACTTTTTAAGAAAATACATAAAAGTAAGTCATTTCTAAGGTATGAAAACAAGTTAGAGATCTGTTAAAATGTCTGAAAGTAACATAACCAACTTGTGCTTTTAATTCTTTTAATGCTTTTAACATTTCTTCAAGTGTGTCAAGCAGCAAAAAAACAAGTTTAAAAAAATAATTCATTAAAGTACAGACTTAAGATTATAATCAGAATCAACTCAAATAAAAAGTTGTTTACAGGAGCTTCAAATTTGAAATAATGAAAATACAGATTTTATTTATGTTAGTTTCAATAAAATGTTTTAAAGAAAACAAAAAAAGTATTCCTAACTTTGAAATAAAAGTTAAAAGGAGAAACAAGAAGCAAAAAAATGAAAACAACAAAAAAAAAACAGAAAATTAAAAATCCAAACTTTGTTAAAGTTTTTTAAAAAAGTTTTTAAAAGGAAAAACAAAAATGTGTTTCTTGTTAAATAAAATAAGTTGAACATTTGTATGCATGCGAAATATAGTATTTATATTTTTTATTGTTAGTCAAAAAACAGTTTTTTTTTGTCACACAACGCCCCAAAAAATACTTTTTATTATTGTTGTAATAAAGAGAATAATTTAAAAAAGAGAATAATTATTTTTTTAAATCCCAAATTTGTAGTTTTCATTTATTATCTATATAAAGTATGAATATAAAAACAGAAAAATGAAAATATTTGATGATTTCTTTCAAACAGGAAAATCATAAAATCAAGAAAGCACCAAATAAATGAACAACAAGAAAAAAAAATCCAAATTTTTAGAGAGTACAAACAATGTTTGAATTAAATTGTAATCATGAAATGAAAATAAAATGATAAATCTTGAACTGAGCGGTGCTGCAGTCTTCATGCTGCTGTTCCTCTGAGCTCTTTCTGCTGGATTTTGCATCAACATATGTCAGTTTGGCTGTTATCACCCACTGCTCTGACTCACTGCTAATGATGGAGACACACACACACACACACACACACACACACACACACACACACACACACACACACACACACACACACACACACACACACACACACACACACACTCCTCCCACTCATCTCCATGTCTTCCCCTGCAGTTACTCTGGAAACAGCGGAGGTGCCGGGCTTGGCGTGCGTCCTCCCTCAGACTTCACGCAGGCTGCTGCCGCTGCCGTTGCCGCCGCCGCTGCCACAGCAACCGCCACTGCTACGGCAACAGTTGCAGCAATTCAGGAGAAGCAGAACCAGGAGATGAGCTATGGACAGGTACATGTTTCTGACAGGGGAAGGTGTCTGTCTGCAGATGAATGAGAGTGAAGGCAGAACGCTTAGAGCTCCCCCTGTTGGCTGCCTGCAGTGACAGTCACACAGCCTGCCTCCTTTATTGACAGATGGGACTTTTGTGAAACTGTCATGTCAAAATACTGTCAGAGGAACTTTTGAAAACATTAGAAAAGTAAAGATTTCTGCATCACTGTGATAACCTGGGTTTATTAAACCTGGATTAATTTACCATCTGTTAAAAAGAGGAGTAGTTGAGATTTCTCTGAGAGTTGGAGTTCAATTCATCCCTCACACAATGTGACGTGACTCACTGCTGGAGCTCTTCTTTGGCTCGAATGAACATGAAGCCTCCAGGTTGAATCATCAGCTTAAAAAAAGAATTGTGAAAGACCGTGTAACTGCTGTTTTAAGCTCTGAAATATCACGTTCAAACTCCGCTCACAGGGATATTCTGGTATTTTTAACCTGCGCCCTTTTTTAAGAAACATTAGGGCAAAAGTTGCTCACAGGTAAATAAAATTTGGAGCACACAAACCTCTTTCCTCTGTGCCCCTCAATAGGAGGTTTTCAGTCACGTGATCCTGACTTTGCGCGACAACCAAATGGAGGGCAGGAAGCGACCGACTGCAATGGAGGAGATGCGGGAAAGCTCGTATTACACCGGTTTAGATGCGTGAAGGTATTTAGCCTTAGATGGAGTTTACCACCCGCTTTGGGCTGCATTCCCAAACAACCCGACTCCGAGAAGACCAGACCCCGGCGCGACGGGGGCCGCTACCGGCCTCACACTGTCCACAGGATTCGGCGCTGGGCTCTTCCCTCTTCGCTCGCCGCAACTGAGGGAATCCTGGTTAGTTGCTTTTCCTCCGCTTAGTAATATGCTTAAATTCAGCGGGTCGTCTCATCTGATCTGAGGTCGTAGTTGGAGGATGAGGGTCGGGGAGCGGGGATAGGGGGCCAAAAGGACCCCCCTTTTCCCCGTCCGCCCCCTCCGGAGCTCTGGGGCACTCCCAGCGTGTCCGGCCGCTCCGCACCCCCCTCCCTACACAGTTTGACACGACTCAACATCGAGATAAGAGAATTTAACTACGGGCTGAAAATGAGTCATTATCTTTGACAAAGTGGTCACTGCACACACGGGCATTATCCAACGCAGCTCCTCCAGACCGTAGGCCAGTGGTTTTTAAAATCCAGTTCTCGAGCCCCCCCGTCCTGCATGTTTTGGATGTTTACCTGCTCCAACACACCTGATTCAAATGATCAGCTCGTTGTCAAGCTCTGAAATGGCTTAATAACCACTGCCGTAGGCGGAGATTAAAAAGCCATTTTTTGTGGTGTTTTTCAGTCAGCTTCTTACATCTTTCCCCTTTGTGAAAAACTACTTTGGGCACACGATAAAAGCTTTATCGTTTTTTTCCCTGTTCGATCAATTCGAGCAGCCGTAAACGGAGCAAAACATCGGCATGTTGCTGGACTCTATAGCAGCAACTCACTTCTTGCCCTCCATCTGTATTGCACGCGTGCCGCGTAACACGGAAGTGACGTCAAGTGAAAACCTCCTATAACTGCCTAACCCTGAACCTGTATCGCCCTCCCCAAGACACACCCCCTCTGGCAGCGCAAGGAGCCAGTCGGCAGAAGATCCTATGCTAGCTTCAAATAGGATTCACCATGTCGGATTGTTAGTGACTAGCGGCAGTAAACGCCAGCTCTGCTAGCGAGCGCCATCTGCAGCTGCCTGAACAGCTACCGTGTTGAAATTGCAAAGACCGATAAGAGTTATTTATGTAACATGTGCCACGATAGAAGGCGATAAAAATGACCTGTTCAACAAAAAACTCTGCTGTCTCAGCGTTTGTTTTCAGACCCAAATCCTGGCTGAGCTTTCTCCACCGCTCCAAGGATGACCCAATATTAATTCCAGTTAGATTATTCCTCGCCTGGTCATATTAACTCTTCGACTCCTCCCTTTTTTCTGTCGGCTTGCGTTTTCTTCCCACTTTTGGCGGTGGGGCGAGCAGAAGTGTTTTTTTTTTTTTTTTTTGGTGTCCTTCTCCATCACAGCTCCTGTAACTAAGCTGCTACGCTACTTTTAGCCGCTCAGAGCTCTGAGGAGGGCCGGGGGAGTGGGAGTGGATGAGTCGGAACTACGAGAGAGGGGTGTGTCGAATACAGCGAGGTGATTGGATGGAGAGGCGGAGCAGGAGATTGACCAATAGGAGCTGTCTGGGACGCATGGCTCCCTTTGGTTAATGTTTTGCAGCCCTGCAGCTGATAGAGTGAACGTATTTTTTCCGTTCTTTTTTCTCTTCACTTTGTGGAGATCGCACTATAGGACCATGATCACCATAGAAACAAGGTTAATAAAAATGACCAATCTCTACAATCGTCAACAATGCCTTTAAATCTCGTTTTCCTCGCTGACAGACTCATATTGTTTTTCTAAGTGATTGATAACGTCATAGAGACAGACCTCTCTGAACACAGTCTAACAAGGAAACACTCCAAGATAAATGAGCCTATTTTGAGCCTCTTCTGAGAATAGTCCTTGTAAAATAGAGTGACTCTGCAGCCCCCAGTTTGAGTCCTGCCTTTAACTGACAGTCTGCTGACTCAGGAGTCAGAATTCAGGGTTGCTCCTTGCTGGTTTTCTACCTTCAGGCTGGTCTGGATGTTCGCAGTGATGTGGAGAGGTGCAGAGCAGAAGCTGGTTTTCTGCTGTTTGCTCAGGTTGACCACACATGCCTCCTATTAGCAGCAGACATTCCCTAATCTGACTCCGCTCTCTGTGCCAGAGTGTTTACTCGGTGGAGCGTATGTTTACACTCTGAGTGACGGCGCAGAAGTTCAGCAAATACTGTCAGGATGAGTTTGATGGGTTACTGTTTTCAGCCCTAAAACAAAAATACTCCATACTCCAATACTCCAAAATACTCGTCATTGTACTTTATTCTCAGATGCGGGGCGCATCCTCGTACAGCACCCAGTTCCTGCCCCCCGTGGCCCCCCCAGTTTGATGCTGAAAAAGATTAAAAATGAGTAGAAAATTAGAAATATTTTAAAAAAATGTAAGGAACTCAGGTCAAAGAAATGTAGTTTCAATTGAGAAATGTCAGTTAAGTGAAAAAAATCTAAACTTCTGTAGTTTGTGGAACAAGAAGTGAGAAAAGGAAATAAAAAATAAAATAAATATTAATTGAAACTTAAAATTCAAACTTTGGTAATTAAAAAAATAGTTTTTAAAAGGAAAAACAAAAAATATGTTTCTTTTCTTGTTTTGTAAAATTAGTTTAAAATTTATATACGAAAAAAATATTTATCTTTTTATTATTAGTTAAAAAAAACCACAAAGCCAAATACAAAAAATATATATTTTTTACTAAAGTGTAATAAAGAGAATAAAAAATAAATAAATAAATAAATTGTAGCCTTTTGTTTATTATCTATATGTAAAATTACTTTTGAAAAGGAACTTAAAAGTAAAAACAGAAAAATGACAATATTTAATATTTTCTCTCAACCAGATATTAAAAATAATGAATTCAAGAAAGCACCAAATAAATAAATAACTGTCGGCATGAGTTTGACGGTTACTGTTTTCAGCTCTGCAAAATACTCACCATCGTACTTTATTCTCAGATGGGGGGCGCGTCCTCGTACAGCACCCAGTTCCTGTCCCACTCGGGCCCCCGCGGCCCCCCAGGGATGGTCTCCTCCAGGCCTGGACCTCCACCTTCCAGCGGGGGGATGTATCCCTCTCACCCCGCCCAGAGTCAGAAGATGCCCCAGCATGGAGGGTACCAAGGAGGACAGCAAGGACTCAAACGGCCTTTTCACTCAGAGGTCATTAAAGGGCGAAAAACGTGTTTTAAATACTAAAAAAAACACTGACTTTCTTGGAGTTAACGAGCTGTTGTGTTTCCTCAGGGTTTCCCAGTGCAGCAGTATGGCTCTGGGGGGATGTCTGGGTACCCTAACCAGCCTCTTCAGTACCCTGCAGGTCCACCACAGCGCTGTGCCCCCTCCCCTTCCTACCCCTCCAGCAGGATGCCCCTCATGGGACAGTACAGCTCTGGATCTCACAACCAGGCACAGTTCCCACCTGGAGCCGGACAACCAAACCCCCCACAGTACTACAAGGTAATGGATTTAAAGGGATATTCCGGCATAAAATTAATTTAAAGTCAAACACACTGTAACACCGAGTTAGACACCTCCGAGAGAGATGAATGTTGCTGACCGCTTACTTCTCTAGTTATACCAACTTTAGTAACAACTGCAGATAGCAATACAGAGAGCCACGCGCTCAACCAAAACGCCACTCTATAGCCACAAAAAATGCTTAGAACAATGCCTAACTTCATCAACAGTACATATAGGGTCCCAGCCATAGACTAGATGCCAAACATCTTTTTTTTTTTTTTTACTTTATTTTTATGATTAGATGTTTTTACATTAAACAAGTAGTGAAAGGAAAGCAATTAAAAAGGTAGCAGACAGGGTCGTTACAGGCTTAAAATGCAATAACTCACAAAAATGTTTGTTTCTAAAGCTGGGCCGTGGGGACACATTCATTTATACATCATATCCAACGCGAATTGAAGAATGTGACATCTGTACAGGATAAGACCAGCACCTCTCAAACTTATCACTGGCATATATCAGGGAAAATGTCAAACGCTCCATAATATAAATCTCCCCTATGATCTCTGTCCATTCTGAAATTGATGGTGGGTCCTTGCTGAGCCATTTTCTGGTTATTGCTTTTTTGCAACCAACCAATAGAATCTGTCACTTAACATCTTTTTAGCTTTGCCTGATTTCTTTAGCAAAGAGACTAAACACATCATACCCACTCTCTTCCAGCAGCTGCTTGTTTATAGCGAGACCTCAGGGCGAGTCCATCGATTCCAGCGAGGTGACGCAGCTCAAGGAAGAACATTTATGATCATTTCTTCATGGAAATGCAATCAGACTGAGGCGCTAAGGCAGAAGAACTACCGCGTCTGCAGTGCAAAAGGATTAATATAATAATTATTACTTCAAGGAAATGATAAAGAAATGATCATAAATGTTCTTCCTTGAGCTGCGTCACCCCGCTGTAGTCTGTAATGGACTGGCCTGAGGTCTCGTTACAAACAAGCGTCTGCTGGAAGAGAGTCGGTGAGTTGTGTTTAGTCTCTTTACTAAAGAAATTAGTCAAAGTTAAAAAGATGTTTGGTGGCTAGTACTATGGCTGGCCCCCAATGTCCTGTTGATGAAGTTAGGTGCTGTTCTGAGCATTATTCGTGGCTATAGAGTGGCGTTTTGGTTGAGGTTTGTTTATGGCTCCTCAGACCGCTGTGTTTTGCTATCCTGCGGTCGTTACTTGAGTTAATATAACAAGAGAAGCAAGCCGTCGGCAACATTCATCTCTGGAGGGGGTGTCTAACTCGGTGTTACAGTGTCTTTGACCCTAAATTAATTTTACTCCGGAATATCCCTTTAACTGCCTGTCACTTTCCAAAATATCAACCTGACAGGAAATATGAGCATTTATATTCTTAGATAAAAACACGTGTCGGTAATGAGAGAAAGAGCAGATTAGTCATTAATGAGAAACACTTAACATCAATTTAATCCCCTTTGGAAAAACGACAAAGTCCACTCAGTGAACCCAGACGGGTTTTTGTGTCTGATGGGAGTTGTTGAGCTAACAGATCTAATTTGTTGGACTGTGTGGGGTCTGGGTGAATGTCTTCTCTCCGTTTGTGTGTGTTTACTGCAGTCAGAGCCATTTAACGGTCAGGGCGGTCTGCCATCTGCAGGAGGATACAATGCCTTCACTCAGGCTGCAGTCAGCGGGGTAAGCTGTGTACGCACTCGACACAGACGCTTTTTAAAATCACTTAACGAGTCCAATTAAGAGACAAACCCACACATGAACGGTACAGTTACGGACCCTTCTCCTAAGACATTTAATGAGACACTTCCTCCTCCTCCTCCTTCTGGTCCTCCTCCTTCCTTCCCCCTATTAGCCAGGTCGGGGGGGAGTTATGCCCGGGTATCCCAGTTCGCCCATGGGAGGGAACCCCACGCCTCCAATGACACCCGGGACCTCCATACCTCCATATCTGTCCCCAGGTCAGGACACAAAACCCCCCTACCTCCCACCTGACACCAAACCGAACATCATCTCCCAGCAGCCCCCTACAGGTGAGACAGGGAACTACAGGAGGCACACAAACACACACATAACACAACAGACGCCACACAAAAATAAAAACACACAAAGTACAGCGATATAAAAACACAAAAATCTACAGAAACTTCAAAAAGTTCAAAGAAAACTACAGAAGTCTAAGGAGAAACTTAAAAAAAAAATAGTAAACACCATAAAAATCACAAGATTATAAATTTCCCACATATATGAGCACACAAAAAACGACAAAAGTCACTCAAAACTACAGAAATTTCATAAAAAACTAGCGAAATAAAAAGAAAACTACAAAAATTACACACAAAAACTCCAGAAATAAAAAGAAAAATACAGAAATCACACAAAAAACACCAAAATAAAAAAAACTACTAAGTCACACAAATAACTAAAGGGGGGAAAAAATAACACAAAAAAACAAACGGGAAACTACGTGAGACAGAAAAATAAACTACAAAAGCAAACATCATACCACAGTTGGCACTGAAAAAAACTACAGATATTTCATAAAGCGCACATAAAACTACAAGAAAGCCAACAGATCTTACAGAAAGCACATGAAAAACTACAGAAATTGTAAAGAAAAAATACAGAAAATGCAATTAAACCTACAAAACTACAGAAAGTGTACAATAAATTAAAGAAATCACACAGGAAATAACAGAAATGGCTTAAAAACTGACCAAAAGCACAGAAAACCAAACAAACATGACAGAGAAATTACAGAAAGTGCTCAAAAATTCAGGAGGCACACTGAACAATACATAAATCCTGTAGAAAACTACAAAAAGTACACAGAACTTACAGAAAACACACAAAAAACCTACAAAGAGAACAATATAAAACTACAAGAGGTGCACAAAAACTACAGAAATCACTCTGCGAAGTAGAGAAAGCCCACAGATATCATAGACAAAACACAACAATCTACATGAAAACTACAGAAATCACATTTAAAACTATAGAAATCTTCAATTACACAGAAAAACTCAATAAAGAGAGAAAAAAACTGAAGCACGTACTCATAGATTAACACAGAAAACCTCAGAGGTATCACTGAAGGAAGAGTGAGGGATCCGATAAGTACAGGACAGAAAAGGTCAAATGTTTTCTCTGCATTTGTGGATTTGTCTTCAGCTGCAGCGTCTTTTAACTCATCTCAGCCTCTCCTCCCCTCGTAGGAAACCCGAGTGACGACCTGCGTCTGACATTCCCGGTGCGAGACGGTGTGGTGCTGGAGCCGTTCAGACTGGAGCACAACCTGGCCGTCAGTAACCACGCCTTCCAGCTGAGAGACTCGGTCTACAAAACCCTCATGCTGAGGTATGCTGAGGACCTTTACAGTCGTGAAAGTTTTATGTGCTAATATGTATAAAAAACTGTTAAAATATGAAAGAACTAACCTGAAGAAGATTGAAAGCTTCACATGTGACATGTTGGTGAGATCTGAAAGAGCTGCTTACCCTTTTTATAAACATGAATGAATCTGTTTCTTCATTTTCAGTTTTCAGATTTTTTCTTTATTTTTTTATTTTGTGTAATTCTTTTTCTCTCTTGTCGCTCCAGGCTGCTTTTGTTTCTGATCACCGTTGTTGACATCTTCAGATTTATGTTTTAATCTCTGATCGTTGAACAGACGGTTAATTTAAAGCATTTGATCCCTTGGCCTTTTACATCTTTTCATGAGCGATGCTAAAAGCTTCCGCTGTTTCATCTCCCTGTCATCAGTGTTGACAACATCATAAAAAAAAAAAAAACGTCTTCTCTGTTTCAGCTTTAAAAAGAGCTTTTATGATGAACAGTCCTCTCAGGGATCATTCAGCGAAGAGTCAAACACATTTTAAAGTCGCTAAAGAGGTTTTCTGAAATGATCATTTCACTTCTGACAGGAACATTTCATCTCTAAAACGTGGGGTTGATAGTTTTATTGAAAACGATCAACTTTCTTTGTTTTAGTGTTATCTTAAATCTCAGAATCCATCAGAATTTATCATCTCTCTGACAGTGCTTTACAATGTAGAATCTCTGAGATCAGGTGCAGTTTAATTATAAAGATCAGAAACGAGGTGGTCTATGATTTACAGAAAGAAATCAAATCAAATCAAATTTTATTTATATAGCGCCACAACAGTCGTCATCCCAAGACACTTTCCAAAGAAAATTGGTTTGATGAATAATTAAGACCCAACCATAAGATGGGACAGATTTGGCCCATCTCATCTAACATGAGTAACAGTGGCAAAGAAAAACTTTCTTTTAACAGGCAGAAACCTTGGGAAGGACCAGACTCATGCTAGACAGCCACCAAGCTGCTGCTGGGTTGGGGAGAAATATGGAGACAAGGGGAGAGAGAGAGAGGAGTGGGAGAGAGGGCAGGGGGAGAGAAAGAGAACAAGATAGAGGGAAGGAGAGAGAGAAGAGAACAAGGAACAAGGAGAACAAGAAAGTCCAATTGTGATTCGTCAGACCTTAGAGTCCATCCTAGTCAGGATCGGTCCCACAGAATTTCATAGCGTTGCAGGGTCAGGATTTCAGCTGATGTTGTCAATAGAAGAGTCCATGGTTTCCTAAGAGAAAGTCTCATTTGATTTTTCCAGCTGTGCCTTGGGTTACTGGTGTTTGAATGTTATCTTTTAGCCTCACAGCTCCTTCAGTTTTTAATTACATTTAAGGTAAGAATATTATTATCAAGTATGTGTAATTTTTTTAATTTTAAGACTTGATTTGTTTTCATTTGGTTAACAATCTGTGATTTCCAAAAAGATTTTTAAATTCCAGTTTGACTAACAGCAGGACAGTTTTCCACTGTGTCTGAGTTCAGTGGCCCTTATTTATCAAGCTTGTGTACGGCAGAAAACTTGTGTACACCTTGCGTACGAAAATTTTGATGTGAGGATCGGCATTTATCAATCTGCACGTGAGCGTACGCTACGATCAAATCTCACGACAGGTCTGACATCGTGTACGCAAGTTTGAGTCAGTGTGGATCCTCGGAGCAGCAAATGTCTGTCTCAAAATAATTGATATACAAACCTCAAACCTGTCATTAAGCACAATCAGCCAGATTTCATTGAAGATTAAGACGTAAATAAAATAAAATAAATTTGAAATAAAAAGAAAAATATGTCCTTAGTGAATAGGCCTATTTGATAACTCTGCCCAGAAACACTGCCACAGAGCAGGAGCGCCGTTTCAACATCACGCACACATGCGCCACTGTGGAGCGCTGCGTTTGACTCCTAAAAGGCAAGTGTCTCTGTCTTGGCTCAGCAGCGGTGATGTTGTTGTACACTCCTGACAGGGTGTGGGACATCATTTGGGCCAGTACAGTTTTGCACAATGTTGCACCGGTGAATGGAGTGCCATTAGCTGTGCAGGTGCAATGTGAGAACGAGGTCCGGAGAACAGTAACAAGGAGAGATTCCACAAAGGTGATGCACAGAGGAGACAGGACCTTATCGATGGATTCTGACATGTAAAGTATAAGTTTAGAAAGTGCTCTTGCTATTTAACAGTGATAAAAATCCAATAGAAATCCATAAAAAATGTTCCTCAGGAGCAGCAACACACCGTTTGGTGACGTTAATAATTATTTTTGTTCAGCCTCTGTCAGACTCTCCAGTCTGCTCTACATTACAAAGACGCAATGAAATTAAAACTAAATACTTTCAATAATAGGAGCAACGTACCCTATGTCATGGCAATAAAAAGATATGAAGCATGTATGAGATATTAATTTATCATCATGAGCAACTTATTGACTAATGATTTATTCAAACTTCAGTAACTGTCCGCTATTCCGCTGCAGCGCTGTTCAGCGCCACCATAATCCTGCTCCAGACAGGAGTTTTCTGGACTGCTTTTAGACCAGTTTTGATGCTTCCAAAGAGAAAATCCTTGTTAGTTTCCACCACAGATGTGAGGATATCCACTTTCAGCTCGGAAAAGTTTAGAATCTTTCTAATATTTCTCCTCTTTCATGTTTGACCTCAGTGGGCGAGGCTTCTGAACCACAAATATTTAAGGGCGTCAACATGTTAATGACGATCGATTTCACCCACCGCATTTATCAAGACCCCATTATACGTACGCTGGGATAAGTCAGATACGAACCCTTTCATAAATCTCACGTGTCTCCTATCGTACTATGAATCCTGCGTTCAGATCTGCGCAAGATTGATAAATGAGGGCCCGTGTGTTTTGGAGTGATTCTGAGTCCATGCGGTGATTTCCACTCCAGAGTCGTGTCTGTTTTTAATGCCCTGAAGATCAGGACCATCCAGTCCTGGTTTTGATCCTTGTCCCTATAGTAAAGAGATTTCTCCAGATCCTCTTTGAATGATATTATATTTTGTAGATGATGAAATCTGCTCAAACTGTTGAACTGTTAGCTCACGCAGTCTCTCACAGAGTCCTGAATCTCTTCCATCTTTCCTTCTGATGGACTTGGCCTCTACATGATCCTGAATGTGGCGTAAACAGAAACCAGAACACTTTGTTTCATGAGTCTGGACCTCATTTTAACGCAAATACAGACAAAAGCTGCTCCTTTAAATCAGGATGTCTCTGTGAAACAGTGACAGCATCAGTTCATGTTTCTACATTCATCATGTCTGAGATGTCTGGAATGAATTTATTTTCTCTTCAGGTTCTTGTACCTGGAGTAGAAACATCTAGGTGAGAGGTTAACCACAAATCCACCATGGCCTGACTCAAATGAGGTCTTCTAATCACATTTACACTCGGAGCAGACATGTGGTTTCAGAGCAGGGCACCTCTCTTTGTTTTCCTTCCTGACTGATTTTTTTTTTTTTTTTTTTTTGTACAAAGAAAACCACCACAAGAAGAAAAACATATGAGGAATGTTTGATAACCCCACCCTGTCTGTTTCACATCATCTGTGCTGTGTCTCCCCCTGCAGGCCGGATCTGGAGCTGCAGTTCAAGTGCTACCACCATGAAGACAGGCAGATGAACACCAACTGGCCTGCTTCAGTACAAGTGAGTCATTCTGTGATCTCTGTGTTATAGATATTATGGTAATGAGGCCGAAATGATCTTGATTCTGTTTTTAAAATAACGGCTGATTTTGACCAGGAAGGATCTACTCGTCTTCTGATTTCTCTTTTCTTCTCTATCAGGTAAGTGTGAATGCAACTCCTCTGTGCATTGAGAGAGGAGACAACAAAACCTCCCACAAGCCCCTCTACCTGAAGCAGGTGTGTCAACCAGGACGCAACACTGTGCAGATCACAGTCACCGCCTGCTGCTGCGTGAGTCTCCCATCTTGAAAATACTGACCCCACCGTCCAGCACATGTAGATCTCTTCCATAAAACCAGCTGTGACCCTGTTTGAACTCAGACTTTTGTCCTCCTCTCTCTTCGTAGTCCCACCTGTTTGTGTTACAGCTGGTCCACCGGCCGTCCGTCAGGTCGGTGCTGCAGGGTTTGATGAAGAAGAGGCTCCTCCCAGCTGAGCACTGCATCACCAAGAGTGAGTTCAAGTCCAAAAGTTTTCCTAGATAGTTCAGCGGTTTCACCACTAGGGATCAGTGTAATTATTGTGCATTACTTCTAGATCAAAGCTGGAGAGTGTGTGTCCAACAGGGAGCTGAAACTTGTTGATGCAATTCTCCTGTGAATGTGGCCAAAGCAGAAATGCATAAAACTGCAGTTCCTCGAGTGTCCAATTGGGCTGTGACCAAAAGCAAAATAACTCCCACTGAAGGCGTGGTTGACAATTAGAGAGATTGGTAATTATCATGAATCTCGTTTCTATGGCGATCATGGTCCTATAGTGCGATCTCCACAAAGTCAAGAGAAAAAAATCCGTTCACCCTAGCAGGTGAAGGGCTGCAACAACATTGACCGATGGGAGCCATCTGTCCCGGACAGCTCCTATTGGTCAGTCTCCTGCTCCGCCTCTCCATCCAGTCACCTCGCTGTATTCGACACACTCCTCTCTTGTAGTTCCGACTCATCCCCTCCCACTCTCACGGCCCTCCTCGGAGCTCTGAGTGGCTAAGAGTAGCGTAGCAGCTTAGCTACAGGAGCTGTGATGGAGAAGGACGCAAAAAAAACCACTTCTGTTCGCTCCACCGCCAAAAGAGCTAAGAAAACGCAAGTGGAAAAAAGAGGAAATGTGACCAAGCAAGGAATCTAACTGGAATAAACATCGGGTCATCCTTCGAGCGGTGGAGAAAGCTCCCCCAGGATTTGGTCCTGAAAACAAACGCAGAGACAGCAGAGTTTTTGTTGAACAGGTCATTTTTATCGCCTTTTATCGCGGTACATGTTACATAAATAACTCTTATTAGTCTCTGCAATGTCAACACGGTAGCTGTCCAGGCAGCTGCAGACGCTGCTCGCTAGCAGAGCTGGGGTTTGCTGCCGCTAGTCACTAGCAATCCAACATGGTGAATCCTATTTAAAGCTAGCGTAGGATCTTCTGCCTGCCAGCTTCTTGCTTTGCCAGAGGGGTGTGTCGTGGGGGAGGGCGATACAGATCTACGGGGAGTTATCGTGGAGCACAGAGGGGAAAGGTTTGTGTTTTGGGGGTGGGACGCTTTTTTCAAATCTGCCTTGACAGCTCAGTTTTTTTCAACTGCTTCTCAGATCGTTAACCACGTCTTTAAGCGTCATATAGAAATGTCAATTTTAGCAGCAAAAATACACGTTTAGAGTATGTTACAGAACACAGACTGTTGGGAATACAGCTCATTTATTTATCATTATCATAATAAGGGATGCAGAAAACTACAGAGGCCCCAGGACAGAACCCTGAGGGACTCCAGAACTTGTATGAAGGATTTGGTCCCAGACCAGGCCAATAGTTCCTTTTATGAGTTAAATGTTGCCGTAAAGTAATCCTGCTCCATTTTCCTCGTTTCAGTAAAGAGAAATTTCAGTAGCGGCACAATCCCTGGGACCCCCGGGCTGAACGGAGAGGATGGCGTGGAACAGACGGCGATCAAAGTTTCTCTAAAATGCCCCATCACGTTCAGACGAATCCAGCTGCCGGCCAGAGGACACGACTGCAGACACATACAGGTGACGTCCTTCATATGAGTGCAAATACAGGAACTCAGGTGACTCAGATGAACTCATACTGAGGACTTTTATTTTGTAGTGTTTCGACTTGGAGTCCTATTTGCAGCTGAACTGTGAAAGAGGGACCTGGAGGTGTCCTGTGTGCAAGTAGGTGCCGCTAAAACCTCTTTTTGCACCTTCTACAATCAGCTGTGCGAGATTTAGCGTCATGTTCTCTCTCTCTCTGCAGTAAAACAGCTCTGCTGGAGGGACTGGAGGTGGACCAGTACATGCTGGGGATCCTGGTCTACATCCAGAAGTGAGTTTTGTACCAGGATTTATGACATTTGTTTCTTCATGTGACATCCAGAGACTCATCCTGCTGTTTCCTCCTCAGCTCGGACTACGAGGAGATCACCATTGACCCCATGTGTGGGTGGAGGCCGGTCCCCGTCAAACCCGACCTGCACATAAAGGAGGAGCCTGACGGTCCGGTGCTGAAGCGCTGCAGGACGGTCAGCCCGAGTCACATGGTCCTACCAAACGTGATGGAGATGATCGCCGCTCTGGGCCCGGCGTCCTCCCCTTACCAGAGTCTGACCACAGGAGGCAGGAACACCCCGGACTACAACAGACCAGGTGAGACCAAGAGGAGGGGGAACGATGTAAACATGACCTCCATAAATGATCCATAAATACACTAACCCCCAATTTCCACAGCATCCGGAATGGCTACAAAAAGGCCGTATCCGCTGATCACAGCTGATCGTAACCATTCAAGTTAACGTGTCAATTTCCACCAGCTTCTTTCCGTTCAGCTGCGGATCGCTGGACAGCTGATCACAAGAGTTCTATTTTTTCCGGACGCCGGTGCATGCCAGATAAATTCAGCACAGATCAACTCATACTGGAAAGTCGGGTACAGACACAAAATAAAACATCCGGCTTCTTTTTTCAAAATAAAACACTCCATGTTTCAGGAGGATCATATTTCACACCATGCAAACGGGCGGAGACGAACAAGTGAAAGGTTTTTAGACGTCATTTCACCCCAATGACACCATGGATGAGGAGATGATGATTCTAGAAGTCTGGAAGTAGATTTCCTCCTCTGGAAGGACACAATCTACTGCTTATATGGTTAGCCTTTGTGTCTGTCTTTATAGAGACAACTTGTTATCGCGCAATTGCATGTGAATCCAGGGGTTCTTGTGAGTTCTCACGATTCCTGCTGTTCGTAATCCGCCACAAAATTCACCTCACAAACAGACCCAGTAGGAATTGGCAGACGGCAAAAACTGCTGCCGTTCCGGATTGTAGCCATTTCGTATGCGGTAAAAATTGGGGGTTAGTGTAGACAACAGCACTCTGAAGCCTGAGCTACTTAGTCCGTTTTTCTTTGAGGGGAGGTGACCCAGAATGATCTCGCCCCCTTCCCTGTGATGACCTCCCCTCCTCCACAGCTGGAGGCTCTTCCCCTCCCATGATGCTCGGCCTCTGTTACACAATCTGACAGTCTCCACTGACCTGGTTTCATCCTTAGTGACGGTAAAAGTGTCTTTTTGTTTCGTCTTGTAGGGAGTCAGGGGTTCTCCAGCCAAACAGGATTCACAGACTTCCCAAACACCCCCGGCACCCCAACTCTGGGAGAGTACGCCCCCTCTGGACCTCCTCCTCCACAGCTCCCCTATCAGTCTGAGCAGGTAGGACCTCCTCTCTGTTATATAATCCATATGCTCCCCTGTTCTGTAGCCTCTGGTGTCTTTTTCTGTCCTGATCACTGAGGACTCTTTCCCTGATGGACGGTGAAGCACAAGTGACAGCAGGGATATGAATAGACCTCTCACTTCCATCACACATAATAACAGAGGCAGAGGTACCTGTTATGCAACTCAAACTAAGGCTTACAGTGTCTGAATATGACGCATTTAAAGGTCTCTCTGAAGAAGCTGTGCGGTCTAATCAAGGGCATCAGTTTGTTTCGAAAAGTGTGGGGGGGGCTACTATAAAACGCATAGACTTATTTTACGCAACCAACTAACGCTCCCTTGCATATATTTATTACATGGGATAATCATAGGGTTAAACGAGCAAACAAGTTTTGTAACTCACCACAGGTATTATCAGATGAAAAAGCACACTCTGGGCCGCAGCTTCAACTTGGCACAGACACAAATTTACAACAGCTGCACGTTTGTGTTATCCTCCCAAAGGTCTGCCGCGTCTCTCAAGGGCAAAACCCACAGGATCCAGAACGGCTCTGCTCCGCTCCGGCAGGCAGCTCAAATACGCCAGCATTATAATCAATGTGTGTCATTCCAGAGAATCCGTCCGGCGTCCGGCTCTGCTGCGGATCAGCTCCGGCAGCCAGATCAGATACGCAAGGCTTCTATTTTTGTCAGATGCCACAGCATGGCGCATCAATTTGGTGCAGCAGAAGTTGTATGCGGCTACAGAGTAAAATATCCTGTTAATTTTTTAATTTTAATTCATTTTATGTTAAACTGTTCTCAGCTTGATAATAGGAGAGGCCAGGGTTGTGGGATGTGGTTGTTTATATACACCACCGTGTATATACACTGATTGGCGGATCTCATTCAATGTCTCATGGGAAAATAAGTGAGATCTCGTCTCGCAAGAACTATCAGTAATATCGCGAGAGCTTATCCTCCGATGGCGGCAGCAGATCATACCCCCCGTCCCCCCCTGAACTGATGCCTATAGGTCCAATGCAAAGGCAAGAAAAGTGACACACACCAACTCAGACAACTTGTTTTAAAAATTGCATCACCTGCAAGGGCGACCTCCAAGACAGAGAATTAGAAACGTCTGTAAACTGCAGTACCTCAACTAGACCACTAGAAGCTGGCTTTAAAAGTGAGCATGTCCCCGTAGCGCCCCATGTCTACAGCAGAAATAAACATGTTTACAGTGTGCTCATCAGTCACAGCTGCACAGATCAAACCTGATTGTTTGAATTCTAGTAAAGCTTAAAGTTATGTTTAATTTGGGGCGTGGCCTCTTTGAGTGAAAGGTGAGGACATTTTCTCATGCAGGTATCAGACAAATAATCTGTCTTACTATGTCATTCAGTAAGTCTGAGCTCCAGCTTTTTTACTCATTGCGTTGCTTTTCTGATATCTCAGCATTATTCTGCAGGTACTTGTGTCTGGAGGTCCCATACTTGACTTGTTAGCTCACTCAGTTCTTGTAGTTTTCGCCTTTTCTTGCAGAGATAACAGCACTCTCTGGGTATGAGAGTAAATTTCCTTTGAGTCACCTGCTGTGCTCTTTGCAGCAGATCTGTGACAAAGCAACAAGCTTGCTCAGCTGAGTCTGAAAAATCAACAACTAAGATTCTGTGTGAGACTTTCTGGATAACTCAGTGATGTGCCAGATTATGAATCAACAAGAGGCACAGACTGTTCAGCTTTGAGGACTCGGTGTTTGCCAGTCCTCACTCCTCCGTCCACCTCTCCTCAAAAAAAGTACTTTGAAAAGCTAAGAGAAAAATTTGATCAGTGTTTTTCTCTTTGTCTCATCTTGGCTAATGCAGAGTTTTTAGTTCCTCAGCCACAGCTCCTCTGGGTCATGTCAGGGCAGGTTCGGGACTATGTTTCATGAGTAAAAGGGACCCCTGACTGTCTTTTCCTTCTGGCCTGTGAGTTGAGATAAGAGCCTTTGACTGAACCTGAAGACGACAGCGCTGTCCTCGAATGCTGAGCAGTCTAACTCCACACGGCCTGTCTGCAGCAGCTGCTCACTGTCTGTCTGCTGAAGGTTTCCAGAGAAAGATCCCAATGTCACTCACTCCTGGTGTTTGGCCTCTCTGGGAACACGTCAGTGTTGACTCCTGAAGCTCTGTGAATGAACTGACATGTTTACAAAAGTAAAATGAATGTTGTATGATCCACCATCAACAGACGTCTCACTCCGGAAGGGTCGAACACTCCCACAGTGTCCTCCAGCAGCACAGCTCAGCTGTTCATGGGAATCAGAGTCTGACGTCTGATGCAGGCAGCCCACTGCCGCCACGGAACTCCAACTCCCAGAATTCCCGGCTGCAGAATGAGGGCTCCTTTGGTCTGGGAGGTACAGGAGCTCCAGGAGGAGAGGGAGCTGATCATGCACTAGATGTGAGTGAAATCTGCTGTATCTTCAATATAGTTGTGCAACAGAGAGGAGAGAAAGGAGAGCGGGAGGACAGAGGAAAAAAGAGAGAGTAGGTAGAGGAGCAGCAGGAGGAGAAGAAGCAGGAGAGAGGAGGAGAGAGGAGAGAAGGGAGAGGAGCAGGAGGAGAGCAGGGAAAGGACCAGGAGAGAGGAGGAGAGCAGGGAGAGAAGCGGAAGGAGAAGAAGCAGGAGAGAGGAAGAGAGCAGGGAGAGGAGCAGAAGGAGAAGAAGCAGGAGAGAGGAAGAAAGCAGGGAGAGGAGCAGGTGGAGAAGAAGCAGGAGAAAGGAGGAGAGAGAGCAGGGAGAGGGGCAGGGAGAGGGGCAGGGAGAGCAGCGAGAGGAGCAGGGAGAGGAGCAGGAGGAGAGCAGGGAGAGGAGCAGAAGAGCAAAAGAGTGGAGGAGGAGAAGAGAGGAGAGCAGGAGAGAGAGGAGAAAAGAGGAGGAGAGAGAAGAGAGCAGTGGGAGGAGGTGAGAGGAGAGCAAGGAGAGGGGGAGAGAGGAGAGCAGGGAGGGGAGCAGGAGGATAAGAAGCAGGAGGATAGAGGAGAGCAGGAGAGAGCAGAGCAAGGAGAGAGGAGAGCATGGAAAGGAGGAAAAGGAGACGAAAGGAGAGCAGGAGGTAAAAGGTGAGAGGAAAGCATGGAAAGGAGCAGGAAGGAGAGAGGAGAGATATGAGTATGTAGAGAAAGGATCTAGAAATCTATTGACTGCTGGACTGAAAATGAAGAATCTGTCAGCAGAGAATCAGAGTCTGCTCCTGTTTTCACTCAGATGTAGTTCTTATATTTTTTATACACTGACGCTGACCTGTTGGTCACCTGTTTCCAGTAGCGCTTGTTTATTTGGTGTTTCTTTTTCACCTGTGATTGGATCTCCTCCGTGTCTCCTCAGCTTCTCCCTGAGCTGACTAACCCTGACGAGCTGCTGTCGTACCTTGGCCCTCCTGACCTCCCCAACAACAGCAGTGACGACCTGCTGTCTTTGTTCGAGAACAACTGACCGCCTTCATACGCCACTCTGCTCATCTTCCAGTCTGCACCCGCCTGCTGTAGCCCTGCCCCCATCGGTTGAAGGCAGCCCCATCTTTGTGTGTGTCTGTGTATTTGTCTGTGCGCGCGCCCGTGTGTGTGTGTGTGTGTGTTTGCGTGAATGAGTACGAGTGTGTGTTGTTTTTCTGTGTGTGTGTCTTTGTCCCCCTGCTGTACTTGGACGTTGTTTCAGTGCAGATTAGAGGAGCAGGAGGAACATGTGAAGACTGTCTGTGATGAAGAACTGAACAGAGAGCAGCACTGACTCTGCAGACCAGCATCTTTGACTATAGCACAAACCACAGGCTGAAGGATGTGAACATATAAGATTTAATTTATAGAAGGAGTAACAGAGGCTGGTGCGTGTCTACGAGGAAATAACGGACGTTATTGATTTAGTGGTTCCCAAACTGTCTCTGTTGTTGACGGTATTTTCCGTTTCAGATCTGAAATTTCTGCATCTTAATGAAGGCTCAGAATAAACTTGTGTTATAAACAGGTCTAGTTCACGTCCTACCAAACAGGACAGCCGTACACTGAGATTTGAGCTGTCCCATTAGTTTGAAGAGTGATGTTTGGAGAGGTCATTTATCTTCTGCTCACCTTATTTAACACCCTTTTAACCCTAATGTAGCCTCCTCGTTTGGGAACCGCTGTCTTAAAGATGAAGACCTGTGATTTTGTGTGTTTTTCTTATTGTCAATGATCTTCATAACAAACGCAAAACTAACCCCTTTTTTTAAATTTGCCCTCAGCAGCAGCAGCAGTATTAGTTTGCACTTCAAGATCTGGTCAGCTGATGTAATTCTGCTGTCGTCCCGCCTTCGTAAATGACGATCAATCAACCAGTCTTTATTTATATAGCACTTTTCATACACGACCATGTAGCACATAGTGCTTTACTCGGAAAAAGAGGTAAAGAAACAAAGAATACCCAAATCTACCCCAGCCCAACCCCTCATTCCCACCCCATGATCTTAACTCAACAGAAACAGAATTAAAACACATAAACTTAAAAAGGGCTTGATTTCATGAAAACAGCATGTACGAACTGAGGAAACGCCATTTTAAAACTCAAGATAAGGAAACACTGGAGGTTAGGATAAAATCTAAAAACAAAGTAACATAGAATAAAATTTAAGAAATAATAAATGAAATGAAATAAAAACAACAGTAAAGATACTAAAATTAGAGCACCAAAATAGCTCAATAAAAGACAATCCTGTCATTAAAACTAGAAAGAGATAAATGCTAAAACACTCAAACAGAGTTAATGATATAAAATTTAGTTAAAAGTAAGACTAAAAAGGTATGTTTTCAGTTTGCTTTTAAATTCATGTAGATTAGTTTCAGTCCTCAGGTCTTCAGGTAAGGTGTTCCATAGACGGGGGCCATAGTAATAAAAAATGCCTCACCGTATGTCTTGGTTTTAACTTTAGGCAATGTTAACAGAGAACTTCCTTGAGATCTGAGGACTCTAGCTGGTTCATAAGGTAAAAGAAGATCAGATAAATAAGATGGGCCAAAGCCAGTAAGAGCTTTAAAAACCAGTAAATTAAGCATCTTAAATAAACACACTATGGAAACCAAGAGAACAGCCAAGAATTGGATCCAGCATCTAAATGTTTACTGGAAACACTTCTCACCTGTCTCAATCCTGCACCTTCTCATTAGCTAACATTTTCATTAGTGACCAGACATCCAGTCCCTGTTTTGGATGAACTGTCCCTGGTTAAAGGTGGGGTAGGCAGGATCTGAGGAAGTTCCAGTTTTTGGGAGAAATCTTGAATGTAAACTCTACCCCTCCCAACCAGTTTTCCCCTCAGCTCCTCCTCTCCCCTCCCGCTCTGCTCCAGCAAGCCCCGCCCACAAACAGACGCTCCTGCTCGCTCGTATCGTTCCGATTAAACTCAGATATAATGCAGATAAATACTTCAGATAATTACAAATGGGGCCCAGTCAACGTGAAAGTAAACAGCATTGGTGCTACTTTAGATGGCAACAGTCTACCAGCAAACACAATGTTTGTAGGACTTCTACAACCAGGATAAAGTGACATAGTCCAGGACCAGAGGTCAACAGTTTAGCGTCGCTACAACACGCAGCTGGTCCCGTTTGACAAGAAACACTTCAGTTACGGATACTTGGCTTACTTTGTTAAAGCGGTTTACCTGTCCAGCAGAAAGGTTACAGGGTTCAGAAGATCCTGAAGAGTCCCCCACTGTTAATGCTGATGTTGACCCGGCTTCTTAGCTCTTGTCCGGTCTTACTCCTTTTTTAAGCGCCCGTTATTCTGCCAGAGTCTCCGGTATTTACTTATTTACTAGTTTTCTTGCTTCTGTTGGCAGTCGTGGCTAAAGGAGGATTCAGACAATTTTCTGTACTTTCTGGTTGGTTTCCACTGTCCGATATTGTAGCACGCTAACGACACAGGGAGCAGTGTCTGCCTCACAACCAATCAGGTTGGGGGAGGCGGAGAACGGCTTTGTTTACAGTCAGAAAAAGCAGAGCGCTCTGAAATTTAAAAATGTTGACTACACAGATCTAACAAAACACAGCGATATCGTTATATACCCAAATGTCATCAATGACGAATAGCTATTGACTGATACTAAAAGCTTTTTTGTATATTCACCACATAAAAGATGCTTCTTTAACGGATCTCTGCCTACCCCACCTTTAAAGCTATCCCTGGTTTTAGCGTTTCATGAATGAGAAAAAAAAGTTGCGTGTAGACTAGAACGACGGTTATTATGGTAGGAAGTGCGAGTGAGCATGTAGCGTGCAGTCAAACAACAGTTACTGGGGGGCGCTAGTCCCTGGATTTCAATTCGGCAATCTGCTCCCCTTGAAGGTGTCTAAATTCAAACATTAGCACTACTGCTGCAGCTGAAGGGTTAGCGGATTCGTTTTAGTCTTTTATGAATGTTATTGATAATGAGGACATGAGATACATTTCCGAGCTTCTTGTTTTTATAGGTCTATAATCATGTTGTAAGATAAGGGCAGCTTCATGTGGTCACATTAGTTGCTTTAACAAATTCAAAGATTTGAATGTGACCGTAAAAACAGTGAGAGCCCACCCTTGAGATTTGGAGCCCAGGTGTAAAATAGATGTTCGAGTTGAATTTAGTGCATTATTCTGAGAGAGCGCTGAGGTGCACTGTATCTCTGACATCCTTCAGCACTGTGACCGATAATAACCTCCCCTCTCTGTAACTCTCGCCCTCTGTCCCTCCGTCAGAGGGATTTTTCAGCATACTGTAAATGAGTACAGATCTGTGTCGTGGCATTTTCTGCCATTTGAAAGTTTTTTTTTTTTTTATCGTTTAACATGTATAACCCATCATGACGCGGGTTTATGTACTGTATAATCAGCTGTTTTCATTAGAGAACGTGTGTGTATCAAATGACTTGTTAACCATGGTAATTTTAATGTTATTAGTTGGATAATGGATCATTGTTGGCACTGTATACATGCTGTATGTTAGAAATTATAAAGCAATTGTTCAACAGAAAACAAACCGACAGACTAACACGGTTAAAGATGCAGAAATTATTCTTAATACCACTTTTTAAAGCTGACCGTGTTTTCTATGAAAAATTTTCGGACATGTCCAACATTTGTCGAAAACAAAAAGAATTCCAACTGAGCACCACAGTAATGTTATATTTGGAAATATTTAACAGCAAATTTGCTAAAAAGAAAAAAATGTCTTTTTTAAATATGTAAACTATTCCACATATTTTGTAACACATTGTAATTGCCATTATTTTTTATTTATTTTTTAATCATAACCATCATTGTACCAACAGTTACCTTGTCCCAGATCAAGATTAAAAATCATTTTACTTGAAGATAAAAGTTTTTTCTGCCTTTTTAAACCACAGTATTCATCATTATCTCAAATATTTTTATACTACAGATTTATTTTTGGGACTATAATTGCTGCAGTTTGATTCAAAATGTGCCTTAGTAAGTTAGGTTATTAACTACAGATGCTTATAAGCTACTCTGTGGGGTTTTCGACTTATCATGAAACGGACTCAAATTTATAATGACGCCTCTTTATTAGCTACAAACGGGAATAAAAATATCGTCAGAAAATGTAACAGAAAATTACAGCAAATTAATACCTACAGTATGTCTCAATTTGCAGCATAAAGACGATTTCTACAAAGTAACTTAAAGTTCCCCTTAGGAACTTTCAGATTGTGTTGAGGTTGGCACCCCCTTGTAGGTACAACTTATCTCTCATTGATTTTGTGGTATTTATGCATAGGTTGTGCTCTTTTAACAAAAAAAGTGCCAACTTGCTTCCTTTCCACAGGCAAATTCATCAGTAATCAAGGATGTCTATGCACCAGTTTGTCCACAGGGGGCGCTAAAATCAACGCAATCTTAAAGTTTCTCACAGGAGCTTTAAAATGTTGGAATTGGTAAGGTAAAGCTCTTTTTTTATTCCTTTTTTTTCAATCCGGACAGAGATAATTTTAAGAGTTTGATCAGAAAAGAGTTTTATTAGATAAAATAAGTGTTGTTTTTTTAGGTATGTTTCAAGACAATTTGAAGACCAGTTTATGTACTAAGTAATTCTCCTTCATTTTATGATTTATGTGAATTGATTTATTTAGAAAAACATAAACTTATTTAAGTTTTATTCATGTCAACTTAAATCTTTTACATTTGCAAAGTATCCTGTTGTTTTTTTTTCTACCGGATTTTTTTTGTTTTATTCACAACCTTTAACCCCCCCCCCCCCCCCGGTTGCCATGGAGTCAGCTCGCCAGCCGCTCGCTTCTCGCATCAAGCCCCGCCTATCCTCAGTCCAATTGGCCCGTTTTAAAGCCACTCAGAAAATTCTCGATTGTGATTGGCTCCCGGTATCAATGACATCACCGGTACATGTTGTCACATATAGAGGGACTTAAATAGACTCGGTGAATCAAGGCGCTGTCGGAGAGTGATTCAAGTGCTTTTTCCCATTAAAACCATCATATAAACGTCTTTAAAACCATGGGAAACCCTAAAGTTTTCTTTGACATCACTATAGATGGAGCTAACGCCGGCAGGATTGTAATGGAGGTAAGAAAACAGCACATTTTCTACTTCATATTTGTTTAAATTGTACTTTGTTAATCATTACAGTCAGATATTTGCACATTAACATCCTCCTGTGTGGTTTAAAAAGCCTCACAGTTCAGTGTTACAGTACGCCAACTTCTCTCCTGCAGCTTTCAGGCTTCCATCTTGATCGTCTCTGTCACATAATTATTTATTTGATACCTTGATATAATAGGATTAATTACATAAGGACAGATAACAGCAATTACATCATAGAGAAATCCTCCAGGGTGATCATGCTGAGGTGGAAACGCCCATCAGCAGCAGCAGCAGCAGCAGACACGGAGCTGCAGTTATTTATAATGAGCAGAGCAGGCTGTACATCATGGACATGGACATGATCTCAAACACCTCTGAACATTAAAACAGTCAGATAATTATACTAAACTAAACGAACAATAAGGTGATACTCTATTTTAAGGCTCAAATCTCTGTTTCCAGCTGCTCCCATTTGAGAATTTCTTGATTTATCATGATAGATGTTAAGATGTCATGGATTTTTACTTTGAACTTTTTGATGCACAAGATTTGACATTTAAATGTGTAAAAGAAACTGCTGATAAATAATGACTTTAACGTAAATTAAAGGGGCAAAGAGACCCCTAAATGGCACAGGACTCACTACTTTGTGAGCAGAATATAATTTTCTTGTAGGTTAAGTAATTTTGCATGCACAAGTTTGTGTCTTTTTTTGCATTTTATTAAGTTGCTATTTGAAATACAGTAAATAAATACTTGTTTCTGTAAAATTGGGGTGCACAAGTTTGTATTCTGTATGCATTAATTCATTAACCTGTGGGATATAATTATTATCTTGTGCTTACAATGTAGTTATCTGTCAGCAATAAATAAGTATCTTGAGCACAATGTTGTTATCTTGGAGGAGCACGTTGTGTTTTTGTGTACAAGATATTATCTTATTTGCTCAAGATGATTGTCTGCTAACAAAAAATTATTGCAGTGTTGTCACAAGTTGACATCATATGTACACAAGCAGTGGATTTTTGTCTTTTCGAACTGTGGAGTCTGTATTATCAAACTTTTCTGTTTAGTTTGCAGAGATTTAAATGTCTTTTTATGAGCTCATTTTTTATTTTTATTTCTGCAGTTATGGAACACCTCATTGAGTCTTTAGTTCATTTTTAACTGATGAAATTGTCGTTTTTCTGCAGCTGCGGGCTGATGTGGTGCCAAAAACTGCAGGTAGGTGACTTATTCTTTAACATAAGACCGGTGTTTGGTTGGTAAATGGCGCTCCCTCATTAATCCTCAGCTGAGAAGTTCCTCTGAATGTGGGTCGAGGCTGTGGGTGCAGTAGGGTGTGAAATCATTCATCAAAAGAGCCTGAAAGTCCCAGGGATACAAAAAGATCTGCAAGGTGGCAGAAAGAAAATGTCATGAGTGGATAATTTTCTCCAGCTTTTACATACACTTTTCAATAAAACAGGAGTTCTATAGATATAAAACTGTGATTAAAAAGAGAAAAAGTATGGCTCAAGAAAACTTAGTGATGTTTGTGTTTACTGGGGTAAAAAGATATGCAACTTTTACACTCCATCCATCATTGCATAGCTTCACAAAACACTCCTTTTATAATAGATTAGAATTTGGAGTGGAAATTTGTGTTTGAGGAAAGTGTCACCGTGTGGTAAGTTTTTTTTCTGTCCTGCAAGTGAACATAACCCTCCTGCATGATGCATCACTGCAGACTGAGTCTGTCCCACTTAGCCTTTGTTAGTGATGTGACCTCGTTTCTGAATAAGTGGCCTATATGCTTTCTCTCTGCAAATATTGTGAAATGCAGTACTTTTAATGGTCATATTTTCTTGAGAGGACTAGATACATTAATATGATATCTTAATGGGTTGATACAGTTTGACAAAAACACATCATCTAATTTAAATTGTTTTTATTCTGAGTGATTGATTTGTAGAGCTGTTTTTTAAGAATTATCACAGAATTTCAATGATTAACTGCGATTTTCTTAAAAGAAACCTCTAAATTAACTATATAAAATAATCTTTACTGGAGTTTCAATTTAAGAAACAAACAAATGAAATAAGCATATGTCATGATCGTCACTTAGGTTTTAGAATTCAAATAAATGCTGCACCTGTGTGGTCTGAAACCCATTCTGTTAGCAGAGACGGCTTCAGATTGTTGGCAAGATCGTTTTTGTATTTTAAAGCGTCTAAGGAACTTTTTGTTAGTGTCAGTTCTGGCGCCCCCTCTGGACAAAGCAGGGTTTTTTTTTCCTGACTTTTGATGTTTAAATTCATCCCAAAGCGAGGAGTTCCACTTTTGGTTGCTTTGTTTCTGTGATAATTTTTGTTCTCTGCAGGTCTGTTGTGATGAGCGTACTAAATCACGCTCTGCAGACTTTTGTGATGTGATTCCCGCTCACATCAGTCTGAGCAACAGGCTAAAAATAACAGGTTAAAACTTTTACTGATGCCTCTTTATGACCCTCAAAACCAAAGACCATCTGCAACAAGTCCGATATCTCCACAGTTGTAAATTTTGAAGCTCAAAACGCTGTCAGCAGGTTGATGTCAGATGTCCGACAATCCTCGGCTAATGTAAAAGACTTCAGAGTTTCTTCAGGAGTTTCAGTTCGGACTGTTGCAGAATGTTTGTTTTAAAGTTTTAGTTTTAACAGGTATAGTTTTTGTCTGAAAAGACTATTTTCACTAGCCTGGCTGGGCCATCCTGTTGCATGAATCACTTGCCGTTCCTTCCCACAACAGTCTGGACTTCGGCCCATTGGGAGCGTGTATTAGCGATCAGAAAATAACCGGGCTAATCAGTGACTGTGTTTCCACTGTTTCCCGGACAACAGGGAAAGGCAGCCCCTGATTGGTCCATGTGTAGATGGTGACGGCTAACACATGCTGCAGGACTTTTCAAAGCGCCGTTCATTCAGAACGCCGTAAATTCTGCCGTTGACTTTGCAAAGTCAACTGCAGAATTTACGGCGTTCTGAGTGAACGGCGAACAGTGGCAACACAGTCACTGATTGGCCCAGTTATTTTCTGATCGCTAATACACGCTCCCAATGGGCCGAAGTCCAGACTGTTGTGGGAAGGAACGGCAAGTGATTCACGCAACAGGATGGCCCAGCCAGGCTATGTTTTCACAGGGATGTGACAAGAAGTAAGAGGTATCACTTTGTCCACAGGGGATGCCAAAATGAACACAAATCCGGAAGTTCCTTCTAGCGGCCTTAAAGATATTTAAAGGTTTTATTCCCATTTGACATGAAGTGCAGATTACTTTATTGTATTACTTTATTATAGTCTTTTGGGACTTTTTAAAGTGTGAACGACTTTTATAGCAATAACAAAATTTACAGTAAATAATAGATAAAATTAATGAATTTGAGAGAATATTTTATTGAATGTACGTGGATGAAAACTCGACCTCTGGTATTAGAAACTTAGAGGACCTGAATCAGGTCTGGATTGTGGCGGTGTAGTGTGAGTATGTTGTTTTGCTTGGTTTCATATATTTATTCATGTTTCTGTGGCGTCTTTATCTTACAGAGAATTTCCGTGCCCTCTGCACCGGAGAGAAAGGTTTTGGTTACAAAGGCTGCTCGTTTCACCGGGTCATCCCAAAATTCATGTGTCAGGTACGGCGAAGGAGAGGAGTCAGTCATGTGTCTCTGGATCAGATTTAACGCTTAAAGAACTGAACTTTTGAGTTTTTAATATTCTGTTTTCCAGGGTGGAGACTTCACCAACCACAATGGGACTGGAGGGAAATCCATCTACGGGGAGAAGTTTGCTGACGAGAACTTCCAACTGAAGCACTCCGGCATGGGCACTCTGTCCATGGCTAACGCTGGACCCAACACCAACGGGTCCCAGTTCTTCATCTGCACAGCTAACACTGACTGGTGAGCCGAAATGTGACCTGCATACAGCTGTATTCAAGCTCAGTGAGGAGTCTCTGTCTGTTTCTCATACTAATCAGCCTGTTTCTCTCGTTTCAGGCTGAACGGGAAGCATGTGGTGTTTGGCAGTGTGGTGGAGGGCATTGATATCGTCAAGGCGATGGATAAGCAGGGCACAAAGAGTGGCACTCCTAAAGCCAAGGTGGTCATCGCCGACTGTGGGGAGCTTAAATAAGCGCAAAGAAAAGCCCCCTCAGTTCAGGCTGTATGTGAGAGGTGTTTCCTTAAACATCCACTGACCTGTTGATCCGTTCGTAGACCTCAAACCCCTGAAGAGCCACTTCCTTCTCTGAAGATGTTTGTCTTTTGTGTGAACCTTGTCATATTTTGTACCTCTCAGTCTGTGTTTGTTCAACTAATTTATTAACAAAAGCCAAACAGAGTGATGTGAGTGATGGTGGTCAATGTAAATAAAACAACATGACAGCAGCTCGCTCTGTGCTCAGCCTCTCATTTAAATAAAAAAAATCCATATCTCTTTATACACTGAACTGGGTCCTCTGAGTATCAGGAGACTTGTTTATTAAGAAGAAGAAGAATTAAGTCCGCCTTCCTTCATTATATGAATTTAAAGCCGAATTGCTCTCAGTATTTTCGGGATTTTCTTCACTTCCTGGAACCAATTGGACAAAATTTTCTATTTGTATTCTGTGCAATTAATTTCTAAAGTTGTTTTCATAACTCCATTAAGTTTGCTGATGGAGGCGGGATTTATGACCTGTACTGCAGCCCGTCACCAGAGGGTGCTGCTCCCGCCAAGGCTTCACCCAGCAAGGAGGCAGACGGCGTCTATTCTATAAACATGTGTTCCTCCACTGAAGATGTTTGTCTTCTGTGTGAACTCTGTCATATTCTGTACTTCTCAGTCTGTGTTTGTTCAACTAATTAATTAACAAAAGCCTTCTCTTTTATAAGGTAAAGAATTTAAAGAGTTTTCTTAGGCAAAAAAGGATTTAATAAAAAATATTAAAATCCTTTTCCTTTGATTGAAAAGTATAATAAGGTAGATCAGTACTATCAAGATAGAGATTTGGTTTAATCATTTTCTTATGAGAACCAAGTCATGTTACAGGGACTAAGTTGTTTATTTAGCCAATAATTAGTCACATGATGCTGTTTGAAGGTCATCTCAGTCTTTTCAGAGCCCTAATTCTTGTTTTCCGACCGTCTTCTCTTTATATAGAAACTTAAACTCTTTAAGGAATATCTCTAAATGTGGTACTTAAACTGTGTTAAAACTGAGCGTTTTCATGTTATTTCTTCGTTATTGTAGTTGACACCTTTAACCACAAGGGGGCAGTGGAGGGTTACATGGAACAGATTGAAAAAGACAGAAAACATGCAGCTGTATAACTAAACCCAAACTTCAGGTGTTGATCCACTAGGTGGCGTCCAAACAGCTTCAGTCAACCTCTGCATTGGATGATTTTCTCTCTAACTTCACATGTGAAACTTCAAGATCCTTCAATATTTTTAGACTTTTTACTATTGCAGAAATCTTTTTAGGTCACTTAAAAAAAGAGTAAAAGCAGAATAAGTCATTTTTATTTTGCACATTTGACATGACATGAAATGATGTTTTTCTCTCTAACTGTAAATGTGGAACCCGAGATTCTTCAATATTTATTTATTTTTTTCTATTGCAGATATTTCAAAGTTTCTTAAAAAAGAGTAAAAGCAGAATAGGAGTAACCCCCATCAACTAACAAAGGAGTCCTGCGGCGACAAACACTGTTTAGTTTGCATGGTTGTATGTTGTTACATTTAAAATTGGAAAACTTTGTTCATAATTTAGTAGATTAAAATTACATTGTGTGAACTTCAAAATTGCATGTCTGTACTTTGGAAGAATCTCCTGACCCTCTTTTGGTGCCCTGTGGCTGTAATATTTGATCAATAATGGGTCTGAAGTGATACAATCAGTATAAATTTTGTTTTAGACTTCAGACTGGGACAGCTAAAGATGAAAGACAGGCCAAAGGTGCTTTAATTATTACCAACTAGATTCGGAAAGTAAAAGTTCCTTGATCACATGACTCACAATTGACCTCTGTACCCATAAACCACTAAAACTGTCCTGCTTCCCAAACTGTGTGGATTTGGGATCTGTTCCTGCTGATCTACATAAACGTTTGTGTAATCTACCAACACTTTGACTCCAAAAGCTTCAGTGAGGATTTTTGTGCAGTCAATTTGAAAACTTTTGTCTTGGTTGAACACTTCCTGTTCTTGCATAAGACCAAAACTCTCGCCCTACATCATTGTCTGTCTAACAGATGACTCAGCTGTTTCTTCACTGTTCTAACACCAACCTGTGGCTGCAGACACGTGTTAAAAATGACTCGTTATCCTGCTGATGGTCTTGTTTTCAATCTTAGGTCAAACAGAGACATCAGGATTCATATCAGTCTGTCTTAACTGGCTGAAAACCGTAAACCTTAGGAGTCAAAGGAAAAGGAAACTTCCTGACTCCAATATCCCGCTAAAACTCAGCTGAACCTCGCCCAGTATTTTGGGTTGACTTGCCCTGAACACGTCTACACAAGAGCATTTTCACAACTCCGATGTGCACCACAGAAACCTGTCAGACAAGTCTTAGCTCCGCCCACAGAGAGCTCTCGCCCTTTACACACATCTCTGCACACCACCTTTCCTATTGGTCCGTTCCTGAGCCTCTGAAAGGAGCCTTGACTGTGAATGGTTGTTGGCAGCTTCGACTCTTCCGGTCTACAGACCCACATAAATAAAGACCCGGAAAGACAGAGTATCTGAGGCACTGTCTGGGATTCATTCAGGTGTTAGTCCTCCGTACTCGTGTCTTATTAAGTTTACAGACATGGCCAACCCCAAAGTTTTCTTTGACATCACTATTGGAGGCCAAGCAGCAGGCAGGATTGTGATGGAGGTGAGAAAAAAGTTTGACTTTTTCCTGAACATCTGTTTCTTTATCTCAATACTGTCTTTTATTTCAAAGTTTTCAATGAGCTGCAGCGTTATCTTTGACCTCACTGTGAGCGGTTTGCATTAAGATGATGTCTTTGTTTTGCAGCTGCGACCTGATGTGGTCCCAAAAACTTCAGGTGGGTGTTTTACAGCGGCACAGTAAAAACCACAGGTTTTTTTCCGCTAGGTGTATGTCTGGTTGGTTTGCAAACCCTCTCTAAGTCTTTTAGTTGACTGTGGGGTGAGGCTGTAGGTGAGGCCAGATTGAAAAGCTGCAGAACCAGTTGCAGAGCCAAGTGCAGCTGCCATAGCTGCTTCCATTAAGTTCAAGGAAAGGAGGAAGTGAAGGGAATGGAAATCTTTAATTTTGCTGCATAGGTCTGTGGAAATTCAGGGCTGTTTGCATCGTCCTGCAGCCTTTCCGAAAATTCTAAGTGTTTGCCGGTCTGATGATGGTGTTAAACCAAGGACTACAGCTCTCTAATACAGACACAATCACTTGATTTATTCTTTTTTTTTTAATACTTTGTTCAGTCTGTTTTTGGACGTTTTTCTGTGTTTTTCTTGAACAGAGAATTTCCGTGCTCTCTGCACTGGGGAGAAAGGTTTTGGCTACAAAGGCTCTATCTTTCACCGGATCATCCCACAATTCATGTGTCAGGTACAGTGAAGGATTTAAGCAGGTCTGATCGAAACAAAGCTTGAAAATTCACTGAGTCGTCTGAGTTTTTTTCTGTTGTCCAGGGTGGAGACTTCACCAAACACAATGGGACTGGAGGGAAATCCATCTATGGCGATAAGTTTGCTGACGAGAACTTCCAACTGAAGCACACTGGCAAGGGAATACTGTCCATGGCTAATGCTGGACCCAACACCAACGGGTCCCAGTTCTTCATCTGCACAGCTGAAACAGACTGGTAGGTTCCACTCTGACCCATGTGCAGCTGTATTCTGGTAGTTTTCCAACAGTTTGAGCTCATTTCTTTCTTCTTCAGGCTGAACGGGAAGCATGTGGTGTTTGGCAAAGTGGTGGAGGGGATGGATGTTGTCGATAAAATGGAGGAGGTGGGCAACGGGAAAGGTCAGACTTCTGCAAAGGTTGAGATTGCTGACTGTGGTCAACTGTAACAGAGAAACAAACTACCATCTCTCTTATCTGAAAAATATTTCTTCAGCATCAGTTATGTTGATCAAAATGTTGTCTACAGTTTGATATTGGTCGTGTATCTTCTTCTTGATTTGTTCTTTTGTCAAAGAAATTCAAACATTTTGTTGGCCTGTTGATTCTCTTTTACCCCGCTAAACAATACAGTGAAAAGTCTTTCTTTTTCCCACTAATTCGAGAATATCTTCTTGCTTTCTGATTTTATTCCATGATAGCAGCAGAATTCAATTACAGGCTCTGTACTCATCCAAGTGTGAGATGTTTGTCTTTCTACTGTTGATATATTTCTTTGAGATAAACTCTGACCTTTGTATATTGAGAAGTTGTTTCAATTGAAAGTAGAAATATAGAAAGTTAAAATAGATTTTATGTATTGTTTTCCAAGTAAAAGTTTGAAGAAAAAGCAGGGCAGTGGATCAAAGATGGATGGTTCAATTTTTTACAAACCAAGGATTGACTTCTGTTCAAAATAACAAAAATAAATCACTGCTAACTTCGAATGTCTGTTATTTGCTAAACAATGCAGTGCTTTATAATAAAAAATGTAGTACAGCAGCTCTGAGAGAAGTCTTCTTTTTTTATTTTTGATCAGGTACAGAATTTCTCAAATGCTCAGTGTTATCACAATAAAAACATAGAAACCAATGTCTAAAAACCAACATGAAGAACAAGGATTTAAGGCATCAACATCTCCTTCGCCAGTTTCTCCTTCAATGAACCTCATAGAGAGTGATACAAAAATAAACTCAAAGGAATTCAAGTTTTACTATAGAAAGGTCTTGGTAAGAAAACAAACATCACAGGAATGGAAACTAATGGTCAATCACTGCACAAGAAAACCACAAATATAAAACATAGAGATTCAATACAGCTAACCTACGTACTTTGGGGCATTCACCTTTTTAATGCGTGTGTCCTTTGTTTCAACTGAGTGGACTGAGAAATACTTGTGTAAAAAGACAAGTTCTGCTACACATTGACATCTTTGTATTTAACAGAGAGTTGTGGCAAAGGAAGCCTCTGTTTTCCTGACACAAAATACACAGAGAGATGAGTTCTGATGTATCGAATCTAAACTCAGAAGAAACTCCACATTTCGCTTGAAATATTACAAAAATTATGCCAATTAACGACATTAAGAATCTGATGACACTATCATTTTGCAACAAGAATACAGGGGTTTTCTGCAGCCCCTTGGGTCATCCGTTGGTCCCCAAGAAGCCAGCTTTGATTGCTTTGATTGAAATGGGTACTAAGTTCACACACAATGCTTACGAGTTGGCCATTAAAACTGGTGATAGGCGTGTCTTGATAGTTTGATGATCAACTCTGAGGCTACAATATAAAACACTTTGAAGGACATTTTTGGAGATATTCTCCATCCACCATTTAGGCTTCACTTGACATGTAGACTGAAAGCAGAAGAAAAACAGCACAGCTCTATTTAGTATATACTGTATTTATACTCTATATTTAGATAAGAGTGGGTTCAGGGGTAGAGTCCCTCAAAGACCCCAGCCTATGGCAGACCTGGTCTTTGCAACCTACACTTTTCCCATAGAACGCTGCGTGTGCAGTTGTTTGGTCTTGTTTTCTAAAAAATACATCATCTGGTTCATTTGAAATGGCGGCCATGGCAGATTTAATGGACCTTCCAGGGGTGGGAGCGGCCATCTTGGTTGTTTAAAAATATGCTAAAATCGCGTTACAGTGTTGATCTTAATTTAAAACAAAATAAAATAAAGGGCCGTAATTCAGTCAGAATTTGTGCTGCTAAATTCAGACCCACATGCTAGCTAAAAATAAAAACTAGCCGGATAATGGGTCTGATGGCACCAAGCTAGTGCTGCCAAGATTGTAATAAATGAATTTGGGCATCTATGTTGACCAACATATCCAATGATTATTTGATATGTAGTCCAAACATGACGGCAGCTGAGTAATGTACAGGAAAATATCTTTTTGGTCCCAGCCCAGGGAGATAGTGAGCAATACATGTTAAAAAAAAACCTTAAAAGCTTTGAGAGATGATGTCAGACATATTTTAAGCTCTAGAGGGAACAAAAAAATCTGTTCTCTCCTGCTTTCAGTCTTTCAATAAAACCGACTTACGCTCATAACCCCCTGATTCACCCCTTCTGACTTCTGACAGTCACATCACTCACTTGATCAAACTCTCAGCAGGACAATTTTCAATAAATTCGCCCCAAAAATGTAATTACGCTTTTAAATCTCCTCATGCTATACATATTTACTTATCAGCTCTTATTTACATTTCTTCCGCTCATTACAAAGTTGTCTCTTTTCGTCTCCTCGTGTTCTTTCGCAGTGGCGTTTAACAGCACGGACAAAAACCACAAGTCACGAAGAATGTTCACAAAGTGATATTTGAGGTAATTATTAACAAAACACAGAGGAGGATATCTGAAAAGCTGGTTTAGAATTCAGCATAGGATCTTCTATTGTTTTCCATTAACAGGAAAACATCAGCCTCGTTTAACACTGAGACTAAACAGCGGACTTTGCAAGACTGGCGAACAACTCTAAACGCTGTACTCTCCCGTGGTCCAGGCAGTTTGTAGCTTTAGCAATGGCACATGTGTGGTATTTTCTTCCACTGCTCGTCTACTGTATATGCGTCATACGAATATATAATAGAATGATTAACTATCACTTAGAGTACGATTCTGGACAGCTAACAGTCACTGTAAAGATGAAGTAATACTCTAAACTAGAGATTTCTCAGTGTCAGGTCAGAGTACCGTGAGTCCAGCTCACCATTTGGACTGGACTGGATTAATTACTGTAGAGGGTTTGTGTGTGTGTGTGTGTGTGTGTGTGTGTGTGTGTGGGGGGGGGGGGGTTATCATCGGGACCGGGCAGTCAACCCTACACAAGTCAGGAAATAAACAAAGAGCTAATATTTTCAAAGGCCAATAGAGGGAACATGTGGAACTGCTGTATTCCAGGTTTGCTCAGGTAAGTGTTAGGAATCTGGTGAATCATTTGTTTTATAATTTCTAAGGTGACCAGAGAGTGTAGAGACGTGGTGAGGAGAAAATCCAGACCACATATGAAACCAAACCAAATTTATTTTGACACTTTTGCCAAGAGAGACTTGAAACAATGAGGGAGAGGAAAGTGGCAAATGATGTGCGGCAAAAGGCCATGACCTGGAGTCAAACGAGCAACCACTGCAACAAGGTCTGTAGCCTCTGGATATGAGGCGCACAGCTGATAATTCAAAACTTTAACCGCTAACTAAAGGATCAACAAACTTAGTCATGGCCAACGTAAACATTTAACCACTGTCAAGCCAAAGTTACTGCCAGCTAAAGCTCTTGGACATCCATCATGGCGACTACATCCTGAGAGTCTCCTAAATGATATTTCTAGTTAGGGAGTGGTTGTGTGCTATCATTGGCTGTTTTTGCCAATGTCTGACTGGATTTTCAGTATTCAGCCTTTTCAGTTTCAATATTTTCAAACCTGGAACAAAGCAGTTCAACACTACAACAACAATCGGGGAGATGGACCCAAAAACTACGAGGTCGGAGGAGCACTACAAAAATCAAATCCTCCACCTGCCTGTTACGCTAATCCAGTCCAAAGTGGCTAAAATCTGTAAGGACCGGACAAAGTTTGTTTATCCCAAGCAAAATATCTTATGAACAGGATATTTCACTTGAGACTATAGACTGGACTTTAACACCCCCAGAAAGACACCAAACATGGTATTATACTGTCATTAGAGATAATCATTGTGTACAGATTTTGACAACATGATATTTGAATAAACAGGCTACATAGCTGTGCTGGTTCAGACCTGGGCTACAACTAGTTCATGAGTTGTTCCTAATAACACTTGTGAATATAAAACAGTAAGTTGCGGGAAGACCTGCGAATACCAAAACTGTAGTGAACCATCTTGACAAGCACGATATCACTGATTTTACCTCGATTAAATAGTTTTTGAGACAGCTGTCGGATGATCTTCATACACACATTAAACTGTCACGACACTGCTGTATACTGACAGATTTCCGCTACTCTACAAAAAACAGCAAAGTTCTCTGAAACAAGAGGAGAAGTTCCAGAAAGAAGAAGAAAAAGAATCATTTGATTTTGCAGAATATTAACAACTTCCATTTTTTCTTTACCATGGGTGTAAAAGTAATGAATCACAAAGTTTAAACTAATTAGAATGGAAAGAAGTTTGATTAGTTTGAGTTTAAAAAAACACTTTCAGTATTTATATATCTCCTTAAAAGTGGTTTCCAGCAATTTAGAAAAACTTCCTGACCTCTGTTGTTCTGCTGAAACTGAGGGGTTGAATGTATTTTTGAGATGTTGATAGTTTGAGAATTTCATTTTTAAAGTTTGTTTTTATCTTGTCTTGGCAGTGTATATTTGAAAGGCAGACAAGATAATATGGACATGCAGAGAATAGAAAATAGAAAATTGGATTTTCAGGGATGTCAGAGTTTTGTGGCGAGTTTTTTTTTTCAGCTTCCTGGTAACCTTAATCCCCCCCCCCCCCCCCCAAAAAAAAAAGAAGAATTTGATTATATAAAAGTGGACAGAAATGTTTTTTAGTCCCCTAACTTTTCTGTCACTGTTTACCTGCTGTAAAACAAGGTATGTTTTTCATTTTCCTTTCTATTTCAAGCCCTTGGTGTTTCTAAATGTCCAATTTTCTTTAACTAAGTATTATGAAGGTAAAATTTGAACATTTCCTTTTTTTAGATTTGACAACTTTTTGTTGAAATTTAGAGAAATGGGAGGGTCAAAAAGGATTTTTCAGTGACATTTCAGTCAGTTATGTCAGACCTCATTTTTTTCAATTTTCAGAGGCAAGAAGGTCTCTAACACTGTATTTTCATGTCAAAAAGCAAATATTGGAAATAGTCAAGATTTTAACCGATAAACATAATTTCATAAGGAAAGGATTACATTTTGTTTTTGCACCATAACCTATGTCCATCCAGATTTTGCGTAACCCAGGAGGCATAGCCTAATGTAGGGTATAATTTGATATTCTTGTATATTTCAAATTTATGACTTCCACATATGTTATCTTTTTATCTTCTTATTGTTGTGTGATTTTATAAATCTGTCTTGAGAGTTCCTTCAGGATTAGTAACTTCTGTTTGACCATTAAGTGCTCAAGTTTTCTTCATGGACATAAAACCCTAATTATAACAAGCTGGAAAAAAAATGAACTTATGACTTATTAAACATCAGTAACTTTGCTATCACCTGCTGCTACAGAAGCATAGTTTCAGAAACAACTTTGCATCTAATTTGGTCCCAATAACTCCCAGCAGTGTGTAGACGGACTGCTTTCTGCAGCAATGTGTGTACAAGCTCTTGTGTTTATATCAAACAGGGGACTTTTGTACTGTGCCACATTCACCAACAGAGGACCTTTGATGAAAAGGGAATATTTTTGAGGCCCTGTTTTGGTCATGCTTTAAATCATCTCAAAATTGTTTTAAAATCATTCGAATGAATATGAACAGATTTCGCAATAGGTGCCTGCAGTTAATAGAGTTTATAGAGAATTTTATCTGTAATATTATGGTAAAAAGTAAAGCTTCCGATAACTTTTGTAATTTTGAATGAGCAGGCACAAAAGTCCACACTTGATCAATTTACGATTATAGTCCTCTGTTTGGTAGGTAGGCCTGTATGTGTGTGTTGAAGATTTTTTTCAGCTCTGTGGTGATGTCTTACGGCTCTCTCTCAGGATGCCGTCCAGGCCATTGAGCTGACGGAGGAAGCCTCGGTTGGGGATGACTCCTCTGTGGTCTTTCACCGTTTTGATGGCCTCCACCAGCGTTAGGTTCTGCCTGATCATCAGGTAGGCCAGCACCAGAGTTGCTGAGCGGCTCACTCCCACAGTGCAGTGGACAAGCACCTTACCTTTAAAAAAAAGAATACAAATGCACTTGATTAAATTTAATCTGCTCTCTTGTTGAATGTTTTTCCAACACACTTTCCTTAGAAAATCAAGCTGCAATACCTTTGCACCTTCAAATTTGACTACAACACTTTTTAAGACCAACATACCCCTGGGCAATAGCGTGGGTGCAAGATTTTTAGCAATTTGCATGACAAGACGCAATGTGTAAAACTGACAATGGCTTCAGGTGGAAAATTACAATAACACTTAAGCTGCAAGCCAAACACTTTGTACTGGGTGTACAAATCTGAGTCCTACTGCGTCCTTGTCCTTTCTTTTCTTTTTTACTGTCTACCATCAAGAATTACAACACCAGTCTAGCTTTCTCTGAACTATTGCTGCTGCTCTTACAAATCCTGACAGTTAAGAGGCACTTTGAAATGGCCTCAAGGGAGATCAGATTTACTTATCTTTTCTACCTTTGCTCTGACTCAGTTTTCACAAAAGAGACCTAGAAATCAAACTCTCAAAGACAAAGAAGCCTTAATACTTTGGCTGATTGTTCCAGGAGACTGTTTTCAACCCACAGGTGGCTAAAAAAAATCTAACGCTGTAGGTTTGCCCTGTATCATTTTGTATTTCACAGAGATTATCAGGCCAAATGTGAGACAAAGCTTTTGTAATATGAATATTATTCTTTACTATAAATAACATAACCTCAGTGCACTGAACTCTTCTTTGCAGATTTGTAGACTTATTTACATTTTGGAGGACTTCATAAAGAGCATATTTCACACGTGTGTCTGCAGACTAACCTCCATTTGTGAGGGCTTTGTGGATGAACTCAGCTGCAGGATAGAAGTTGACGCTCATATCGAAGGTCGGTGAGTCGTGCGCCTCAATGCCGTGGTACGTAATGTTCATCCCAGCATAATACTCGGCTCCACCTCGCCACTTACTCTGAGCGCAGTTCAGGATGTGTGTGATGCCGAGTTTGGCCAGCTCGCGCCGGTCTGATGCGATATCTCTGCAGGAGGGAGAGGAGATTTTTCACAGCTTATTATCAGACACTCTCACACTTAAGCTTTTTACATGTCTCACACTGACACCTTTTTTTTTTCCCTTTTATTCTCTTTTCTCCTCTTCTTGGACTCTTTACTGTCCTTGTTACCCAATAATTATGCTAAAAACCTTTAAATTAGCTAACAATCACAGAGAAATTGAAGAAATATAGGTGCAGATGCATGCCTGTTTTGGCCTTCCTTATAAATAGTTCATTTTGATCAATCTACATGGTCAATTAATTAATACAGTTTGTAGTTAATCAATGCTTAAAAGGGCAAAAATGGATAAGTAGTGCAGCTAATAAGTGAAAATTACTATAGGCTATTTGTAAAATGCAAAGGTCTCCATCTCTTAATGTCAGATGCAACACCTATTGTGTTTGCTTCAACCTGTAAGCAATAGGGATTCCTAAATCAAGGATAATTAGCAGTTAGATTTAGGTAATAATTGGTATGGAACATAGTTGAAACCGACCCCTGTCCCCCGTATTTCCACCACAAAGACCTGCTCTTTTCAGGTATATCAGGTGAGTTTGCTTTGTGTTTACTCACTGATCTCCGATATAAAGCCGTGGCCACACTTCGTCTGCATGGTTACATGCTGTTTTTCCTGTGCAAAGGAGCCTCTCCAGCTCGGATACGGTCAGGATCGGGGAGACACGCTCGGAGTCCTTTCGGTTCGGAGACCTGGAGCTGCTCCGGGACCTGGAGAACCGGGACATGAACGCCATTTCATCTGTAGAGGAAAAATAAACGAATACAATGACGTTTTTCTCTCATTAAATATTAAAGCAATGAACAACGAGAGAGAAAAAAAGAACATGTGAGGAAGCACTTGAATCAAAATGATGCGTTTAGGTAAATAATCCCACAATTTGAACGATTAAATGACGAATCTTTTACCTGTAGCTTGTTTTGGTGAACGAAAGTCTTTGTGGCTGAAGCTACACACCTCTCACGTGTGATTGAATACCACGCAGGCCCTGTTTTTTCCCCCATATAATGTCCGTGTTTGTTTTATTTACCTGTGTTGTTTTATTCCTCCTCTCTGTGCTGCTACAGGGCGATCTCCTCCGCGGCCATGTTTGCTCATCTGCTGTAGGAGGGTGGATGTGAGGATGAGACGGCTGCTGATGGTGCTCAGCATCCACCAGACATCTTCACCTCCGACCGCAGCTTCACCATCTTCCTCTCAACAAGTTCTAATGAAGACACATGACCGTGTCAACATGGCTGCCGTTAAAAGACACAATTACGCTCACCTTAAGTCTTCTAACCCGAAAGCACTCTCCGTGTTTCACGTCTGGCAAAGTTATGCTAAAATTGTGCTTATTTTTACATTAAATCATCAATGAGTCTCTACAACGGTTGTGTTTCGGTGGATGTGCTTTCGCCGCCATCTACTGGTCAATCTGGAAAAAGGCGGGAAAAAAACCTTCCTCAACGTCTGTTCAGGAATGATCCAGAACTTTCCTCGAATTTTTCAACAGGCTACTTTAAAGCAGATAATTTTATTTATTTATTTATCTTTAGATATTTCACAAAACAGAATTATGAACATTTTCATTAAAAAGCATTTCAGGAAAAAATAAAAATAAAAACGAACGTCACATAAAATGCCTACTGTAAATTCTGTGAAAGAAACTCAAAAATATTTCACAAAAGGTACAAATATTTCCAATAACTGCATAACACGGTAGTTTAATTCTAAAATGTAAAATTATTTCATGAATCTCTGTTTTCCTTCCCAACCCAGCAGTGGCTTGGTGGCTTTTAGCATGAGTCTGGTCCTGCCCAAGGTTTCTGCCTGTTAAAAGGAAGTTTTTTTCTTGCCACTGTTACTCATGTTGGATGAGATGGGCCAAAACCCATCTTAGGTTAGGTCTTGATAATTCATCAAACAATGAGCGTGGTCTAGACCTGCTCTTTTTCTTTGGAATGTGTCTTGGGATGACGACTGTTGTGAATTGACGCTATATAAATAATATTTGATTGATTGATTAAAAAAATGTGTCAAAAATGCTCAAAATTACTTAATACAAAATAACTTTGCAAAATGCTGAAAAATCGTGGTACTCTGTAAACTCTCGATTATGAATTTTAATGAACAAATATTATGAAGCCTTGCCCAAGTATCTGAAAAAGGGAGCAAAAAAACCTTCCTCAACGTCTGTTCAGGAATGACCCAGAACTTTCCTTGAATTTTTTAATAGGCTACTTTAAAGCAGATAATTTTATTTATTTATTTATAGATATTTCCTAAAACAGAAGTATGAAACATTTCATTAAAAAGCATTTCAGAAAAAAAAAAAAAAACACAAAAAAAAAAATTCTGTAAATTCTGTGAAACTCAAAAATATTTTACAAAAGGTACAAATATTTCCAATAACTGCATTGCACGGTAGTTTAATTCTAAAATGTAAATTTATTTCATAAATCTCTGTTTTCCTACCCAACCCAGCAGCGGCCTGGTGGCTGTCTAGCATAAGTCTGGTCCTGCCCAAGGTTTCTGCCTGTTAAAAGGAAGTTTTTTTCTTGCCACTGTTACTCATGTTGGATGAGATGGGCCAAAACCCATCTTAGGTTAGGTCTTGATAATTCATCAAACATGAGCGTGGTCTAGACCTGCTCTTTTTCTTTGGAAAGTGTCTTGGGATGATGACTGTTATGAATTGGCGCTATATAAATACAATTTGATTGATTGATTAAAAAAAATGTGTCAAAAATGCTCAAAATTACATAATACCAAATAACTTTGCAAAATGCTGAAAAATCGTGGTACTCTGTAAACTCTCGATTATGAATTTTAATGAACAAATATTATGAAGCCTTGCCCGAGTATCTAAAAATGGGGGAAAAAACCTCTTCATGGAAAAAGTATGGTGGCCCTGATAGTTTAGATTACTTAACACACAAAAAAGTGTTCATAATGGTGAAAAAACACATTAAACTGAATGCAAGGATAATCCTTGACTGTCAAAAATAGTCACAAATATAAAAATAAATTTAAAAAAATACGTATTTTGACTTTTTGAAATTATCTTTCTAGTTTAGTGATAAGGTTTGCTTTATGTCGGCCCAAGGCATAAGCAAACTAAGCAACTGCTTAGTGCCCCATGGCTAATAGGGGGCCCCCAAAAGAAAAAAAAAAAAGGTTTTTAAAATATTTTTTACTTTTTGCATGTATGAGTAATGCTTTCTGTACGATCAAATATTTATGATTGTAAAAATAAATTAAGTAAAAACATTTTAGTGCTGCTGCTGATGTGGGCCTATGATTCTTACTGTTGATATGCCAAAGCTTCATTATGTGCCTCCTGCTGTGCAACGTGCACTGAGCATCCAAAGCGCAGGTAGCTGTGGGGCAAAACAATGTAGCAAAAAAGGACATATCCTTCAGGAGCAGAGAAAAGAAATAGGAAGAAGAGAAAAAACACCAAGATAAAGGTATGTTTGCATGCCAGGGAATGTTAATCAAAGAGATTAGTGAAGGTGTGTGAATGATCAACAATCAATATTATTGGCAGAAATAGAGGGCCTCAAAATCAAACTTTGCTTAGGGCCCCATTGAGGCTTGGGCTGGCTCTGGTTTGATGAAATGTTGTCAGTGATTTCATGAATATGTTCATGTTTACAAGTGATTTCATGATTTCATGAAATGTTTGTGCAGGTGACTTCAAGGGTCATCGTAAAACAGAATATCAAAGTAACTTTTAGCCCTCCCAATAGAAAAAGATATGCAGTTCAGGGAATTACTCTATTTCCTATGTGTTGAAACCGTCTTTTAAATAGAAATAAAAAAGATCAAAAACAAAGAGGGAGAGTTAAGAAGAGAAATAAATGTAAAACACACAAATACGACGCTTGACAGGAGGTTCCTGAATGCAACATGACGCAAAACTGTAGCGACGCACGTGTTACTGTAGCGAGGTAGCGAGATGGCTGAGGACAGGCTACAATTTCACGAAATGGGCTTAGACGACCGTCTATTAAAGGTAATTTCATCAGAATATTTTGTATAAATTAAAAACAAACGTTATCGCAAACTTCGTAGCAGGATTTAGAGAAAATAAACGGCGTTAAAGTGAAGCAAACTCGAAATAAACAGACATGGTCACAGCTGTATTAGCTCGTCAGTACTGTGTATTTGGGAAAAGTAACTCACATCAGTATTTAAGTGAATAAAGACGTGTTCTATATGACCTAATTTGGTTTCAGACTGGTGTGTAATGTAGTAGTTTTAAAGTTTTGCATCAACATTGTCAAGATGATTTACAAACATTAAGTAGGGGAGAGTGGGGTAAGTTGAGCCACCCCCTTATGCTTGGAAATGGTCAACGAAATTGATCATGTGATCAAATATTTAAGAGATGAGCATCAATTCATGGAGTCTGTGAAGGTTAGAAGCACATGGGTGAAGGGGTTAGACATTTATTTACAAAAAAAACAAAACATTTTCCACTCTTGAAAGTGAATTTAGTCTGTCATAAGTTTTATCAGAATTGTGTTCAGACCAAAAAAGATCATTTTAAATTTGTTTTATACATCGATTGTGGTATCTATGAGCTACAACATGAGGTCAAAGACCTAACATAAAAATCCACCATTTTAGCTTGGAGGACTAATAAAGTCATCATAGTAGTTCAGGGGTACCTGAGAAAGTAAAGGAGTCTGATGAGAGGATCAGAGTTTCAGTCCAGATTGTTGAAATGTTTTTACTTTGTCTTTTCAAAAATACAGCTGTGAATGTTCTGAATCACTTAAAAACATTCTCATGTTAAAATGTCTTTATACAAAACAGCTTTTTAGCAGTTATATGCAGTAATAATAAAAAGAAATATTGTACCAGTTGAATAGTGTATACTAGATAAAAATACACATGGATGTGAAAAAGTGACTGTTATTTTATATGAAGGTGAGAGGGGGACTCTGGTGTTTGGACTGGGGGGGGGGTTAGTAGGGATAGTAGGGCTACGGCTCAACTTACCCCGCTCCTATGGTCAACTTACCCCATACACAGAGTAAGTAGATGATAGGAGACCACTTTTTTTGGCCTGCTATATTATCAAGACAGTTATGTTTACACTCATTCTGTTGTTTGCAGGGATGAACAACATCTTGAAATATCTGCAGATAAACTAGTTAGAGACAAAACTATGATTGACTTGATGTAGTGATCTGAAATATGAAAAATGGCTCATCTTACACCACTCTCCCCTACTGTGTATTTGAGAAAAGTACCTCACATCAGTCTTTAAGTGAAGAAAGGTGTTCTAAATGACTTAACTTTGGTTTCTGATTGGTGTGTAATGTAGTAATTTTTAAGTTTTGCATCAGCATTGTCAAATCTTACTATTAAACCAGACTAACTAATGATTAAAATCTTAAATCTATTATATTTTTATATACCCAAACATGTCGCTTTCTAATTGTTGTTATTATGTTGTAGGCAGTTGCAGACCTGGGTTGGTCCCAGCCCACCCTGATCCAGGAGAAAGCCATCCCTTTGGCTCTGGAGGGGAAAGACCTCCTGGCTCGAGCCCGAACCGGATCAGGAAAGACAGCTGCTTATGCTGTACCTGTCATTCAGAGGATCCTGACCTCCAAACAGGTGAGGAGGAGTCAGTAGTTTAGTTAGTGGACCCAGAAGACCAGTTTTTGGAGTCTGAAATGTCCCATTCTTGCCTGGTAGAGGATTTCAGCTGCTCAACAGTTCAGGGTGTCCTTTGTCTGGTTTTTGGTGTCATGATGCTGTAACTGTTTTCAATGGGGGACAAGTCAGGCCAGTTTCTCAGCAGGACTCTTCTACTACAGAGCCATGCTGTTGTAATCCCTGTTGTCAGAATGTGGTTTGTCATTGTCTTGCTGAAATATGAAAGTCTTCCCTGAAAAAGTCTTTGTATGGATGGCAGCAGATGTTGCTGCTAAACGTGAAGATGTTACTTAACATTAATGATGTCTAAAGGCTAAAACATACAGGATACATATTTGGAGCGTGGCAGCAGCGTCATGTATCACGCAGCAAATAGGTTTCCATTCTGATCAATGCTGCAAAGCATACAGGACGCGTATCAGCTCCACCGCAGCATTGTATCAAGAGCAACACTGCTAAAGATACGCGGCAAGTCTATTTTTGCTGCTCTACGCTTCCAATGTGCATCAATCCAGAGAAACACAGAGAAAATCGTTCTAGATAGGAAGTCAAGCACAAAAACCGCACATGTCATCCAGTATTCCAAAATAAATCACTATATGCAAACTCCAGACTGTGTATCAGTTCGCGTAGATGAGAAATACTTTCTGGTTCTGGATTTATCAGTAACACAGAACAATCCGATTGTCAATCCCTGATTCATGAGGACCCCAACAGGACTTTGAACTGCTAACTCTGTCTGAAGGTAACAGCACAGCATAAAGGAACATAGTTTAGTTTATTAAACATGAGTAACCCTGCAAAAACCCAAACTGTAAAGGAAGGAAAAGGAAAAACAATCTGTTGTGAACATGTTGTTTCCTCTATACTGAGCCCAGCTGACCGGGGCTGAACTACGCTGCTGCTACGCTCCAAATACACTGATCCTGTATGAGATACCAAATGCTGCTCTATGGAGCAAATACGGAACGCACTCAATACGGATCCTGTATGTTTTTGGCTGAAGTTGGCATCCATGATTTCCAAAAAGAATTTCCAATTTTAACCCAAGTTAAGAGAAGTCTCCGGTGTTTCTGGGTCCTGTCTTTATCTGGTCTCCTCTTTCATGGTCCTGTATAAACCTCATTTGTGGATGCAGTTATGAACTGTGTTTCCAGTCAATGGTTTTTAAAGTGATTCTGAGTCCATGGGGTGATTTCCACTTTAGAGCCCTGTCTGTTTTCAATGCCCTGAAGATCAGGACCATCCAGTCTTGATTTTGGTAATTGTCTCTTTAGTACAGAGATTTCTCCAGATCCTCTGAATCTTTGAATGATATTATGCACTGTAGATATTAATGAAATCCACTCAGGAACTTTATTCTGAAACTGTTGAACTGTTAGCTCACGCAGTTTCTCACAGAGTCCTGAACCTCTTCTATCTTTCCTCCTAAAGAGACTCAGCCTCTCCAAGTTTTCTTTATTTGAAACATCAAATTTACAAATAAAATTACAGTATAATTTTCCATCTTTCCTTTGTGATCATTTGTTGTTTTTGATGTTATTGTTTTCAGAGTGTTCGTGAGCAGGATGTACGGGCTCTGGTTCTGGTACCGACCAAAGAGTTGGGTCAGCAGGTCCAGACGATGATCAAACAACTGACGGCATTTTGCTCCAGGGACGTCAGAGTTGCTGACATCTCTGGGAAAGCTGACCTGTCAGCTCAGAGGTTGGTCTTTTTTACATTTAAATCACTAAAAACACTTATGTATACAAACTGTTATTCTACATCAGCAGAGTGTACAAAGTTTGATTATTACTGGTGTTTTTGGTTGTGTCTGAACAGGCCAATCTTAATGGAGAAGCCTGACGTTGTCGTAGGGACGCCGTCTCGTGTGCTGGCTCACCTGAACGCTCAGAACCTTTCCCTGCACTCCTCTCTGGAGATGCTGGTGGTTGATGAAGCCGACCTGCTTTTCTCTTTTGGCTTTGAGGCGGATCTGAAGAACCTGTTATGGTGAGAAATCATACGTCACTTATTTTATTTAACCTGTGTGATACATATCTTTATACTCTCTATCTTTGGTTAAATGTCAGGCTGTTTGTTGAAAGTTAAAAACTGACTGGTTGTGATACAAGGTTGGTGCTTGATGATGGATAGACTTTTATTTTGATTTTTCTTTCTAATTGGGCAAAGAAAAATCTTGTAATTTCATCAGTTTCTTTTCCTCCTTTAACTAACTTTCTGTGTTGTGTGTCTGCAGTCATCTGCCGAAGATCTACCAGTCGTTCCTGATGTCTGCCACTCTCACTGAGGATGTTCAGGCTTTGAAGGAGCTGCTGCTTCACAATCCTGTAACGTCACATATATGTTTGTAATCTTGGGAAAATTCTCAGTGTTTAAAAAGTTTCAGCCATAGAGGAAAAATTTCATTAATGTCAAAGCGTGTGTTTGTTCTCTCAGGTGATCCTGAAGCTGCAAGGCTCTCAGCTGCCTGACAGCAGCCAGCTGCAGCAGTACAGCATCAGATGTGAGGAGGAGGACAAGTTCCTGCTGATCTACACGCTGCTCAGGCTGCGGCTGGTTCAGGGGAAGACACTGGTGTTTGTGGGAGCTGTGGAGAGGAGCTACAGACTTAAACTGTTTCTGGAACAGTTTGGAATTCCTGCCTGTGTGCTCAACTCAGAACTACCTGTTCAGTCAAGGTAAAACCATGTTCTAATATGTAGGTGTTCATTTAATAGAAGAAAACACTAAATAAATCAGTGTCCCTACACCACCTGTAAAATTACAGCTTCAAGGAATCAACTCAGGGATATAAGATGATGAAGAAAGTTGTAAACATGAACATAAATATTACCCTGCGCTCTGACACAGACAGCCAAATATTTAAGAATTCACATTTAGATTTTTTGGCCCTGTTCTTTTATGTTTAACACGGCTTGTGTTTCCTGCAGGTGTCACATCATCACTCAGTTCAATCAGGGATTTTACGACTACATCATCGCCACAGACGAGCAGAGTTTGGTGGACCCGACGTCAGCTCGACAGACGACTGCAGGAAAGGGGAAAAGGAAGAAGAGCTCAGAGAAAGGAGCGGGAAAGTGAGTCAGATGAAGTTTTTACAGAGAGTTTGATCTCATGTCTGTCTGGATTTTGTGAATGTAGGTGATATTAATGCCTGAATGATGTTTTTAAAGGAGTAAAGATAAAGAGTACGGAGTCTCCAGAGGGGTGGACTTCCAGAATGTTTCAAATGTCGTCAACTTTGATTTTCCCATGACTGTAGAGTCCTACATCCATCGAGTCGGGAGGTTAGTGTTTTTTTCTTTTGTTTTAAGTTCACTCAAACTTTTATAAAACTTTTTAATCAGTTATTTTATCAGGGCAGAAAGAGAAGATCTCACAATAGCAGGTTTATTACATTTACACGAAGCCTGGAAATCATTTCTCTGTCATTGTAGGACGGCGAGAGCAGATAACCCCGGCACTGCACTGTCCTTTATCGCCCACACTGAGCTTGACTTACTCTCTGAGGTGGAGGAGGCTCTCATCGGAGGTGAGATCAGTTTATCTTCCCACACTTTAAGTCTCAGTTGTATGAGCTAAACCAGGTTTAAAACTGTTTCTATGACTGTAACAAGGAGGTCATATTCACTGAAGCTAAAGAAAGAGGCCAGTGTTTTGACCTCTGCTTAGTTTTACTGCCTTTTTGTCTTTGTCTGCCATGTTTTTACATCTATGATTCTATATTTTGTTTTAATATGAAACATTTTTCTGCTCAGAGAATTCAGAATCAGCGTTGAAACCGTACCAGTTTAAGATGGAGGAGATCGAAGGCTTCAGGTACAGGTGCAGGGTGAGTGTCCTCGTCCGTGTCCTCACTTTGATGAAGTCGCTCTGCTTCAGATACGACTTCGCTGACTGTTATAACATTGTCATGGAGATTGCTGCTTGGTCTGTTTGAAGGATGCGATGCGTTCAGTAACCAAGCAGGCAGTGAGAGAGGCCAGACTGAAGGAGATCAAGCAGGAGCTGCTCAACTCAGAAAAACTAAAGGTCAGTTTTTACACTTTTCTACCAGGAGATTAGTGAAGCTGTGCACTTTCCACAGAGGTGAGGGCTCATGACAGCAGCCAGTGTTAAAATTCCTCCTGAAGAATTGGTCTACTTTGGTTTTAAGACCCTGAACATTCTTATAAAACTCTGATAATCAATTCAGTTGAGTTTTTCTGCTTTCATTCAGACATATTTCGATGATAACCCCAGAGATCTTCAGCTGCTCAGACACGACAAAGACCTCCATCCTGCTGTGGTCAAACCTCACCTGAAGAACGTACCAGAGTACCTCAGTAAGACATATGATGATGCATCGACACAGCTGGAGATCAAATTCAGGAGTAAGAGACCCGTTATTTGTCTTTCTTCTCTCTTTCAGTTCCAGAGACTCTGAAGGGAACAGTGAACCCTCTGCTGGGCCGGAGGAAGAAGAGGAGTGAAAAACTGAAACCAGGCGGAGTGATGAAGAGCAGTTTCAAGGTGAGACTCAGGAAAACTTCATGCTGGTTTTCATCCATTCAAAATAATGAAAATGGGGACAGGCTGTTGTCAGAAGAAGTGTCTCTGAGTTTCATATAACTTGATCTCTTCTAGAAAAACATCAGAGGAAAGAACCCCCTGAGGAGTTTCAGGTACAGTGGAGGGAGGAACAGGGACAAGAAAGGTAAAAAAGCAGAGTCGTAGCTGCTGGATCTTCAACGTGTGCTGAGACTGTCTTCAGGAGGACAGTTTTGATTTCCATTAAATGGTCCAAACAGGAAACTATGAACCCTGTGGCCTCTGGATTAAACGGCCGGTGAAGCTAAATGGACCATGGATGAAATGGAGTGTAAAGACGGACTCATGTGAACTTTGAATCACAGGAAATCCAAGAAAAAGCAGTTTGAAATCCCAACATGTCTTACTTAGTGGAAGCTTTGAAGGCAAATAAGTATCTGTAGTAACTAGTATACACCAGTGATGTATGTCCTGGAAATATATCTTTATTAAAACAAAATGATTGCCTTGAAAAATGAGTGTTTTCAGTTAACTTTGGAAGAAACTTTTAAGCTCCTTTTCTTTGCTTTTTTAATCTTTCAAGAATGTTGTCAAGTTATCTTGTGATTCTAGTTCCTAAAGGTAAAATTAGCTCATCGGGACCAAAAATGAATCATAGTCAAACTTTATTTAGAAAACAACTTCATTTAATCAATGCATTCAGCTGAACATACAGATCAGTTTAACTCAGGCCAACAACCTGCAGTAAAACCTACAAAAATCATCCATACATATGAACTGTGATGTATTTTTTTTATCATACTCTCAATGTGATCCTTTTCTACATAAAACTTATTTGAATTTTTCAAGTCTCTGCTCAGCAGAAACTTTATTACTCTTTAGAAATGCTCTGAATCAAATCTCTTGTTAATGAAATGAAGGATAGGTGTTTTGATATAGGTGATCTGATATCTTGTAACCTGCTCAGGGTTTGAATGTTTAAAAGGTACATTAAGTTTTGGGATCTCTATGCTGGTTGTAAGTTTGGCTTCACTTTCACTACTTGCATGTAGCTTACAGGCTCAGATTGTTATGCCAAAAACTTGGGTGTTTGATTATTTTCTTTGAAACCTGAAACTATCAACAACTATTTTATTGCTCCTCACAACCACTGGACACTGTGGCAAAAGCAGTGACTACACTCCATAGAAGTCACCAAGTAAACTGGCCTATCACTACCAGGACTGGTTCTGTTGGGTTATTAAAATGATGTGATTCTACTTAATTCTGATTGGTCAAAACATAGCAAAAACAGCAATTAAGTCTACCCAGGCATTCGTTCCTCACGCAGAGTGGGGAAACTATTATATCTCTGTAATCATGTCCAAATTGACTGCTTTAAATCGTAGCGTGTTGCATTTAAGTGACATGTTTATCTGGCCGCAAGTATGTTGATAAGATTCTCTTACCAACCAATGGATCTGATCTCGTTATTTTTTTTAAGCTGTATAAATAAAATCATCCTCAACTAGAAAAGCACTCGGAGAGCGCAGACCTCCACCAAGCAGCTCATGTCCCCCCTTATATTGTGATTCACACCAAAACTTTTACTGTTCCGTGTCTTTTATTAACTTTTATTTGTGTTTAAACTGGTATGTTCACTGTTCATAATGTTCCTAAAACAACAAAGCTCATATTAGATACATAAATGATGATTTATTACGCAATATTTGTAAGCGTACACTTCCTTGTATCTTCACTGGTTATCTTTCCATTTTCATTTTCTACCGCTTATTCCCGTTCCCGGGGTCACGGGGGGGCCAGAGCCTATCCCAGCATCTTCGGGCAAAGGCAGGAGACACCCTGGACAAGTCGCCAGTTTGTCGCAGGGATGACATATAGAGATGGAGATGAACACCCATCCACTCTAACGTTCACACCTATGGGCAATTTGGAAGCGGCCAATTAACCTAACCCCACTTAGGCATGTTTTTGGGATGTGGGAGGAAACCAGAGTAAACCCACACAGACACAGGGAGAACATGTAAACTCCACACAGAAATGCCCTGACCTGGATTCGAACCCAGGACCTTCTTGCTGTGAGGTGACAGTGCTAACCACTACACCACTGTGTCACCCATCTACACCACTGTGTGGTTATCTTTTAGCATTGAAAATTTTAACGATACCCTTATTTTTGTGTGTTCTGGATCACAGTATCCAGAGTTTTGTCTTGATCAGGATCAACCTTTGACACCTCATAAAACTCATTGAGATCCTTTTGTGTCATTTTTTACTAAAGACTCTGGCCATTTTTATAGAGTTAAATGCAAAAGTTCCAAAATTTGCCCTATCTCACAATGATAAAGAATCCTTCAAAAAATTCCTGGATCCAGAAGGCGATCCCGATCACCACCAAAATGTAATGGCATCCTCCTGGGGCAGAGACGCACCTCTGGTGAAAATTTCAGGTCAATCCGTCTGTAACTTTCTCCGTAAAGTTGTTCACAGACAAACAAACAACACAACCTCCTTGGTGGAGGTAATGAAGAGACAAGACTCCTCCATGCCCTCACCACCCTATCAATATTCTTAGGTATGTGATTCTGTGAGCTTCACCTTGAAATCTGGAATTTCTGACCTAAATAGGTGACCTTGGAATCAGGCGTAGGGCATGGGGGGGGGTTATTGAAGATAATTATTAGTATAATTATCTCTTAAATACAACAGAGTATAAGGGGCACAATTAGAAAAAATAAAAACGTTTTTAAATCTTAAAGAATAAAGTTATTATTTGGTAGAATAAAGTCATTAATATATAAGTATTAAGTCGTAAAGTTACCTGTTGTGAAGAAGAGTTGTTAAAATCAGCACTGTGGAGCATTTAGATGAATTGTACTTAAGTATAGGTTTCACAAACATGGAGATACTTAAAGGGGACCTGCCACCAAAATTTCATACCCATTTTTATCATTTTTTCATAATCCTTGATGTCCTCTAATCATGTTTGCAACATAATTTTAGCTGAAAAGTTATTTGACGGTTTGTTTTATTATGCCTAAAAAACCTTACGGGAAAACCAACTGGTTTTGGCTCATTAACATTTATGGTAACGAGCTTTGCTCTGATTGGATCGCTGTTGTGAAGCCTGCTGTGCTCTGATTGGCTCAGCAGTTGAGGTTTCGATTTCGGTTTATCCATTGTTATTATGCTAATGCTAATAGCATATGCTAATGTGTGCTAAAGTAAGGTGCCCAGATGTCTGTAATGATATCCAGGGATATTCGGTGCGGTGGCGGCGGCGGTGCAGGGGCTGCAGGGGCTGTGTGATGACAGACAAAATCTCGGTACTATTTAGTAGCATCGCATGCCCCTTGTAATAACCCCGTAAGAACTGTTGTTCAGGACTGCTTACTTGTGCTTCCTACCTATTCGGCTACTGTAATAACCGTTTTTCGAGCCCACACGCAAAATTTTTGCTCTCATTCATGAAACGCTTAAATCGGGGACATTTTCGGGGACAGCTTTTGCCGGGGACAGGTCATCCAATACGGGGACTGTCCCCGGAAATCGGGGACGTCTGGTCACCTTATGCTAAAGGCTAAAAACGGCAGGTATTAAACCATATATTTTAGACCCCTAGTCCGAAGAGGAGGTGGAAGTTGAAGAAGAAGCCGGAGATCTCCAGCGGTGTTTTCTCATTCATTCTGTCCAGCTTTAAGTTCATTTTCCCGGCAGTGAACCGAAGGAAACACCGATCGTTTGGAAGAGACCCAGAGCGGATACAGTGGTAGCTGGGTCTCGCTCTGGCTGTGACTGAGTACGAGAACGAGAGAGTGGGCGCGGCTCACCGAGGACGCGTTCGTGAATAATAATGAGCAATGTCAACGCAACGTCAGATTGACCTGCTTTTTCAATTGGCCTGGTTTACTCGTTCCTTTATTTTAAACCTTTACAGAATTCAAACGACGTAACGGTTTGTTTTCACATTTACAACATAAGACGAACATAATATGGACCTTATCTGACACAAAAAAAAACCAAAATTACATTTTTATGGCAGGTCCCCTTTAATCCTTTGGTACATGAGCATTACACTGTCATGAGTATCAGAACTTATATTTGAGATATATGAGAAATGCTGCTTTTCTGCTTCTATTCTAAAATTACTTCTACTGCTTACATGACTACTAATATCACTACTACAACTACCTATTATCATGCTTCTTCTAGTACTTCAACTTAAACTTATGCCCCTTCTTACTTTTCTGTGTTTTAAGGTAATTGTCTTCCTTATCCAATTTTTTTTTGCAATTTCAGACAGTTTTTCTAGCCTTATTCAGCATGAATGCAATTTTAATTTATGAAGCACATGCATACTATTTGTACTTCAGCAATTCTCACTTTCATCTAACTTCTACTTTTCTTTCTCCAGCTCTTTAACCAATTTTACATTTAAACCTTCCTCCATTTTTTTTTTTTTTAGCAGTTTTGCATTGCTTTTTCAGCTTTCAGCACTCAGCATTTCCACGCATTTTCTGCAAGGAAATGCAATTTTTCTAGTTTTGATAATGCCTGTCACATTAAAGTCATAATCACTGTAAATATCTATGCACACATTTAATCCTTGTCGATGCATCGCTTAACCATCACGAAAGTCTCGACAGTAACACAAGTTTGTATGATAATATTGCCATGAAATCTTACGGTCTCCATGTCGTAGATGTTGTCCTCTCTGTTCAGGTGTTGGTCGAAGGTGTTTGTCGGAGTCCTTAGTCGTCTGGTGAGGTTTTATTTACGATGAAGCCGTCAAAAGTTGTAAGTTCGTGAGCCGCTTAAGTTTTTTGTGCTATTCTCTTCAGATTTGATCTTCAGAAATGACCGCTCTCTTTTGCTTGTAATGATTTAAAGTTTTTACACCGTTACAGGTTACCATGGAGATTTAAAATGCTGTTTACTTTAGAAAGACCCTTACTCTAGTAGGTTATATCTAAAAGTTTAATGTTATCTTTAATTGACTTTAATCTCAATTGAATATAAATATCTCTTGAAATAAAGTGGAGGTTATTTCTCGTCAACTAGTTTAAGAGTTTAAAAGCATTTTAATTTAAAAACCTTCCTTATTTCGGTACAAAACGACAACGTTTTGAAAACTATAGCTAAGTAGGCCTATGTCTCATAGGTAACCCAACAAAAACTGTAAACTTTGTGTTTCATTATAAATTCCACTGAAGCCTTAACTTCAATTAAATACAGTCGATTTTCTTTAGAAGGCTACTAAAAATAGTCTATATATACTCCTACCATATCAATATTTTAGAGCAGTAACTACATCTGTAAAGCACTTTGTCCCCCTGTTTTAAAAAAAAACCCCAAAGTTGATCATTGTCATTGATCATTGTTTAACCCTTGTGCACCCCTAAGAAAAACTTCAATTAACACCCCTAAGGGACCAAAATGGTCCCCTCCATTTTGCTGCAGTAGAAATATGGTCTAAATAAATATATATATTTTTTTTTTTGCTGCCATCATTGACATATAGCCTACTCATAAAGAGCAAAACTTTATTCAGGTTTTATATTTTAACCCCATAAATGCCAGTCTTTTATGTAAAAACCCCATATTATTTTAAGTCAAAAAACTCACTTGGTGAATTATTTTCCATCCTATAAATACAAATTGTTTTTTTTAACTTTTGATTATTAGAGCATGGGATTGGTAAACATTGATGAGAAAATTGATTCGAAAGGATTTGTATTTTTTCTGTAGTGTTGAATAATAAAAAAAAAACTTCAATTAACACCGCTAAGTGACCGAAATGGTCCCCTCCATTTTGCTGCAGTAGAAATATGGTCTAAATAAATATATTAAATTTTTTTTTTTTTTGGCTGCCATCATTGACATATAGCCTACTCATAAAGAGCAAAACTTTATTCAGGTTTTTTATTTCAACCCCATAAATGCCAGTCTTTTATGTAAAAACCCCATATTATTTTTGTGAGGAGCCGAGAGTGTGTGGACCCAAAAGCAGCGGACGTGAGGCAATAGTTCAGTTTCCAAAGAGCAACTCTTTTATTCCACAAAAAGAAACCCGGCAGGGTCAAAAATCAGAGCAGCCAAATATCAGGCGACAAACACCAGTGGGACAGGCAAGAATCAAAATCCAGGACGATCAAAACAGGTCATACACAGGGAGCAGATATATGGCGACAAAAACCAGTGGGACAGGCAAGAATCAAAATCCAGGACGATCAAAACAGGTCATACACGGGAGCAGAGATATATCAAAGAACGCGAGAGAGCTTGTACTGAACTGACAAAGACAATCTGGCAGGGAAGAACTAGTGAGGAGGGGTTAAATAGGGAAGGGAACAAAACACAGGTGAAGCCAATGGGGTAATTAACTAAGGCGGGAAAAGGAACAAAGACCGGAAGTAAAGGTGACAGCAACACAGGAAAAACAGGATCTTCAAAATAAAACAGGAAGTGGATTTCACAGCACAGATCATGACAGTACCTCCCCCTCAAGGGGCGTCTCTAGACGACCCCGGAACATCTGGATTCAGTCTCTGAAAGTCTCTGATTAATGTCTTGTCCAGTATGTCCTTTGCGGGGACCCAGGACCTCTCCTCGGGCCCGTACCCTTCCCAATCGACGAGGTACTGGTGCCCCCTGCCCCTACGACGGACAGCCAGCAGTCGATTCACCGTGTAAACTGGGCCTCCATCAATTAACCTGGGTGGTGGAGGCGGGTCGGAGGGTGGGAGCAGACGACTTGTCCTGACGGGTTTGATCCGTGACACGTGGAAGGTGGGGTGGACCCTCATGGTCCGAGGAAGGCGAAGGCGAACGGCAGCAGGGTTGATGACCTCTGAGATGGGAAAGGGCCCCACGAACCTTGGAGCCAGCTTGCGACACTCCCCCCGAACCGGCAGGTCACGGGTGGACAGCCAAACCTCTTGACCAACGCGGTAGCGAGGGGCTTGGGAGCGACGGCGGTTGGCGGACCTCTGGTACCCAATGTTGGTGCGGAGAAGGGCTGCCCGGGCTCTCCTCCAGGTGAGGTGACATCGGCGGACCAAGGCGTGGGCTGATGGAACTGTGACCTCCCCCTCGAGGTCCTGAAAAAGAGGGGGCTGGTACCCGTAAACACACTGGAACGGGGACAGGCCAGTAGAAGCCACCGGAAGGGAGTTATGGGCATACTCCACCCAGAGGAGCTGCTGCAACCAGTTGGTTGGACTCTGGGAGGAGATGCAGCAGAGAGCTGTCTCCATCTCTTGATTGTACCTCTCCGTCTGGCCATTCGTTTGGGGGTGGAGCCCGGAGGAGAGGCTGACCGACGCTCCGAGCAGCCGGCAGAACTCCTTCCAGAAGCGTGAGGCAAACTGGGGACCCCGATCAGACACAATGTCCTGAGGAAGACCATGGAGACGAAACACATTAAATAAAACTGCCTTCGCTGTCTCCCTGGCGGAAGGCAACTTAGGCAGGGCGACAAAATGGGCCATCTTGGAAAAACGATCCACGATGGTGAGTATGACAGTCTTACCCCCCGAGGGTGGCAAACCTGTGACAAAGTCCAGAGACAAATGGGACCAGGGGCGGCGAGGAACAGGTAGGGGCCTAAGCAGACCGGCAAGAGGGTTTCGAGAGACCTTGCTGCAGACACAGACAGGACAGGCAGAGACAAACTCACGGGTATCCTCCCTGAGGGAGGGCCACCAGAAACGTTGCGTGAGGAGGCTTAGTGTTCTACTCACCCCAGGATGACAGCTTAATAGAGAGGAGTGCCCCCACTGCAGGACTCGGGAGCGGAGCGGACCTGGGACAAAGAGCCGGCCAGGGGGGCAACCCACAGGAATCCTGGCCGTCAACAGTGCTTGCTGGACCTCCCTCTCGATGTCCCAGGTCACCGCCCCGATCACACAGTCGGAGGGCAGGATAGGAGCTGCATCCTGGGGGCGGTTTTCGGCCTCAAACTGCCTGGACAGGGCATCCGGCTTGACGTTTCGGGAACCAGGGCGATAAGACAGGGTGAATTCAAACCTGGTGAAGAACAGGGCCCACCTAGCCTGTCTGGAGTTTAGTCTCTTGGCTCCACGGATATACTCCAGGTTCTTGTGGTCAGTCCAGACTAGGAAGGGCTGCTCTGCCCCCTCCAACCAGTGCCTCCATTCCTCCAGTGCCAGCTTCACAGCCAGCAGCTCCCGGTTCCCCACATCGTAGTTGCGCTCGGCATGAGACAGCTTCCGGGAGAAGAAGGCGCACGGATGAACCTTTCCGTCACCCGCAGAACGTTGGGAGAGAACTGCTCCTACCCCAACGTCGGACGCATCCACCTCGACAATGAACTGGAGCTTGGGGTCGGGCATCTGCAGGATGGGGGATGAGGAGAACCTGGACAGGAGGGTTCGGAAGGCTGTCTCTGCCCCAGGGGACCAGGCAAACCTTGAGCTTGAGGAGGTGAGAGCATGCAGAGGGGCTGCTATGTGGCTGTAGTTACGGATGAACCTGCGGTAGAAATTGGCAAAACCAAGAAAACGTTGGAGCTGTTTCCGATCGGTGGGAACAGGCCAGTTCATAACGGCCTTGACCTTTTCAGGGTCCATCTTGATCTGACCTGGTGATATAACAAGTCCAAGAAAAGACACAGTGGTCCGGTGAAACTCACACTTCTCTGCTTTTACAAACAACTGATGCTGCAACAGCCGCTGCAGCACCTGACGGACGTGACCCACATGCTCCTCTTCGGTCTGGGAAAAAACCAGGATGTCGTCAAGATAGACAAACACATAAACATTCAGCATCTCTCTGAGAACGTCGTTAATCAGCGACAGGAAAAACAGCAGGAGCATTAGTAAGTCCAAAAGGCATTACCAGGTACTCATAGTGGCCACTGGGGGTGTTGAAAGCCGTCTTCCACTCGTCTCCTTCACGAATTCGAACCAGGTGGTAGGCGTTGCGCAGGTCGAGTTTGGTGAAGACACGAGCCCCTTGAAGTAGTTCAAACGCCGATGAGAGGAGTGGCAATGGGTAGCGGTTCTTCACCGTGATATCATTCAGCCCCCGGTAATCAATACATGGACGAAGGGTCTTATCTTTCTTGTCCACGAAAAAGAACCCAGCTCCAGCAGGGGAGGACGGATGATCCCTGCCGCTAGCCCCTCCTGGATGTACTTATCCATGGCCTTCCGCTCAGGCGCGGACAACGAGTACAGTTGGCCCTTGGGTGGCATTGTTCCTGGGAGCAGCTCAATAGCACAATCATACGGGCGGTGTGGAGGTAAGGATGCGGCCCGGCCCTTGGAGAAAACCTCTCTTATGTCTAGGTAGACCCTGGGCACCATGGACAAATCTGGGAACTCAAAAGAAGAGTCAGCAGACCTATGGGGAACAGGCAGAGAGAGCAGGCGGGCTGACTGGCAGGCTAGGCTCCATCCTAACACCCTGCCTGTAGCCCAGTCCATCAGAGGGTTATGTCTACACAACCAGGAGTAACCCAGGATAAGAGGGTAGTGGGGGGAATCAATAATCAGAAAAGAAATAGTCTCTTTATGGTTACCTGACATCTGCAGAGACAGGAGAGGAGTCTGTTCTGTAACCCGTCCAAGCAGATGGCCATCGAGGGCGCGGGCATGGTGCGCTTCAGGGAGAGGCTCAAGCTGCAGGTCCAGCTGGCGGGCCAGGTCCCGGTCCATAAAACTCTCATCGGCGCCGGAATCGATGAGAGCTGCTAGATCCAGGACGTTCGTGGGAGAAGTGATGAGCTGAACTGGGTTCAAAGCGCGTTTAGGTGCAGAGGCGCTTGCGGAGTGGCTCACCAGTAGGCCTCTGGTTACCGGTGAGCCTAGTCTTTTACCGGGCACCGAGCTAGGAAGTGACCGGTTCCCCCACAGTAGAGACAGAGTCCCTCACGCTGGCGGCGACATCGCTCCTCTAAACTTAGGCGAGTCCGACCAAGCTGCATGGGTTCCACTGGGGGGCTAGGCGGTGTAATTCCCAAAGCCGTTGCAGAGCCATGCTCTCCCCGATTCAGCCGATCCACATGGCCCGTTGGCCGGAGCTGCTCCCGTTCATGTCGCCGGTTGTCGACCTTGATAGCCAGTTCCACGAGAGCTTCGAAACTGGTAGGGAGATCAACCATGGTCAGTCCATCTTTTAGTTCCTCAGAAAGACTTAAAAAAAAAAGTGTCAGCTAGGGCCGCATCGTTCCAGCGACTCTCAGCCGCCAGAGTGCGAAACCGGATGGCATGATCAAAAACACGGCTATTACCTTGCCTGAGCCGACCTAGTGCACGGGCTGCCTCCCGGCCCGAGACAGGTTGACCAAACACACGGGCCAGAGCAGCAGAAAAGGAATCCACAGAGGCACAAACGGATGAACCCCTCTGCCACTCGGCAGTGGCCCACTCTCTCGCCCGCCCGGTGAGATTTGTAATCATGAAAGCCACCTTAGAACGTTCAGTGCAGAAGGTGATGGGCTGAAGCTCGAAGGTTAGCGAGCAGAGAGTCAAAAAGGAACGACAAGTCTCGACAAGTTCCATCGTACCTCTCAATAGGCGGAGCACTAGGCTCAGAATGGTGACCCAGGGAAGCAGAGGGAACTGGAGGTGAAGAGGAGGTGTCAGGGCTTGAAGCGACCGTTTGCAGTGTAACCAGGCGACCCATCAGCTGGTTAGTCTGAGTTGCCAGGGCTTGCAACTGGGCAGACAAAGACTGAACTCCAGGGCCCAGGCTGGAAATGGCCCTCTCCAACTCGGTTAGCCGTCTTCCCTGCGCCCCCAGAGCATGGCAAAAATCCTCACCTGCTGGGTCCATCATGGCCAGATTGTACTGTGAGGAGCCGAGAGTGTGTGGACCCAAAAGCAGCGGACGTGAGGCAATAGTTCAGTTTCCAAAGAGCAACTCTTTTATTCCACAAAAAGAAACCCGGCAGGGTCAAAAATCAGAGCAGCCAAATATCAGGCGACAAACACCAGTGGGACAGGCAAGAATCAAAATCCAGGACGATCAAAACAGGTCATACACAGGGAGCAGATATATGGCGACAAAAACCAGTGGGACAGGCAAGAATCAAAATCCAGGACGATCAAAACAGGTCATACACGGGAGCAGAGATATATCAAAGAACGCGAGAGAGCTTGTACTGAACTGACAAAGACAATCTGGCAGGGAAGAACTAGTGAGGAGGGGTTAAATAGGGAAGGGAACAAAACACAGGTGAAGCCAATGGGGTAATTAACTAAGGCGGGAAAAGGAACAAAGACCGGAAGTAAAGGTGACAGCAACACAGGAAAAACAGGATCTTCAAAATAAAACAGGAAGTGGATTTCACAGCACAGATCATGACAATTTTAAGTCAAAAAAATCAATTATTTTCCATCCTATAAATGCAAATTGTTTTTTTTAACTTGATTATTTTAACTTGATTATTAGAGCATGGGATTGGTAAACATTGATGAGAAAATTGATTTGAAAGGATTTGTATTTTTTCTGTAGTGTTGAATAATAAAAAAAACTTCAATTAACACCCCTAAGGGACCAAAATGGTCCCCTCCATTTTGCTGCAGTAGAAATATGGTCTAAATAAATAAATATATATATATTTATATTTTGGCTGCCATCATTGACATATAGCCTACTCATAAAGAGCAAAACTTTATTCAGGTTTTTTATTTTAACCCCATTACGCGCAATATGCAACATTTATTTACAGGCCGTGCATACATTGAGGGTGTGTTCTTTGCATGAGAAGAGTCCACACTTTGCGCAAGATCCTCTGGCCTTTGATTTCGGAGGAGTGCAGAGATGGCAGAGCACCCGCCGGGATTCAGGAGCTTGAGGAGCAGCTGGCAGAGCAGGGTCCGATTCTCGCGCCCCCTGAGCCCTCTCCACTATGGCTGCAGCGGCAGGGTTGCGGGGAAGGCGGAGACGTTGTACGATGAGCGGCTGCACCAATAAACTCCCCAGCTCTTGAAGGAAGAGCCGCCTGATGGCCCGCTTCCCACTGTTCCAGTCTGGATCCACCTGCCTCCAAAGGATGAAGGCGTTGAGAGCGCTCACATTCAAGATGTTGAAGAAGAGCGCCAGAGGCCAGCGCTGCGTCTTTCTCCCAACACTGTATGTGTTCACACGCTGCAAGAGAAAAAAATATGATGATAAAAGGCATGAAAAAATCACAGAAAAATAAAGCACAAAATATATGGCATGCATAATAAAAAATAGCCTGTAAAAAGAATAAATTGTTTACCTGATCCAAAGCATCCACTCCCCCCTTGCAGCTGTTATAGTATTTGATCATCTCGGGTTTGTGGGGGGGGGGTCCGCCGACACCTGTCCGTCCCTGTGTCTGGTGCTGAGCAAGAGCACATTTCGGTTTCGTTTTGGCAGGAAACTGACTAATGTTGCAGCTGGTTGGAAGCCGAAAAGGGATGAATCCGGCTCTCATCCCCTGGTGTTGGTCAGTTGGCTTGGTATCTCGGGTTTGTTTCTCCGAATAGTCCCGACCAAGGCCAGCTTCCGCCGCTGGAGCTGCATGGCCAGGTCGTAGGACGTGAAAAAATTGTCCACTGTGATGGTGTGTCCAGACAGCCCCTCAGTGAGCTCTAGAACCACCTCCTTCCCCTCCTGCCTCCGGTGAGCAGCGCTGGCCTCTTTTCCCAGGTAGGGAATCATCTTCCAGGCATACGAGGTGTTGACGTTGCAAAGCACCCACAGCTTCAGACCATATTTTGCAGGCTTTTGCGGCATATACTGCTTGAATGACCAATGGCCGTGAAAGCTGACCAACTGCTCATCAATGCAGATGTTCTCACCGAGGTTGTGCCCCATGTGCAGGCGGTCCACCCAGCGCTGCCAGAGGTTCCTGATGGGTGCGAACTTGTCATGTGGACGCCGGGTCTCCCGATTATCAAATCGAAGATTTATGCACAGCTCATCAAATCTTTTGCGCGACATGGTTGCGCGGAAGATGGGGCGCCCGGTGTCCTCTCCCCACAAGTTGACAGTCGCCTCATGACGCGCACGGTGCAGTCCGGCGAGGGAGAGAAGCCCAATGAATGCCCGAATTTCCGTTACGTCCGTAATCCTCCAATTTTCATCATTTAGCCGGCCCTCCCGGTTGGTCTCAAGTACAAGTATTTGGATGATTTCTTCAGTCAAAAAAAACCACAAGGTGTCATCCAAAACTTTTATGCGGGCTGCGGCGTGTCTGGTAATCCCAGGATGTGGGATGGCAGGAGGAAGATAACGCAGCGTCTCCTCGGCGGTACGGGACCATGTCAGTCCGTTTTTTGAGATCATACCTGCCTTGGGCACCCCGCCCTCCACCTCCATCTCTTCATCATCCTCATCTTCGTCCGAATTCTCCTGGTTTTCAGGATCAAAAGCGTCCTCCATTTCATCCCCAGCTGAGGCTGAAGAATCACTCTCCAAAAATGCAGTGTCTGTCTCCTCGTCATTGAAAAAAGCTCCAAGGCTTCGCTAACATCCATATTTCTTGAAGTTGCACGACGTGCCATCTCGAGGATCTCGGCAAAACTGATTCCGAATAAATGACGAACTTTTAAACTTGAACTTCAAAAGCGCACCTGTGTAAATTGGCATCTCTGCACACCTTTGATCTCAAAAGCCACAATCATATTGTTTACATTATCTGAAAGTAGTGTACTCACGTGTTTTTGTTTACAATATCGAGATTCTTCTATTCCCACGCCGCCGTCACACACACACACACACACACACACACACACACACACACACACACACACACACACACACACACACACACACACACACACACACACACACACACAAACCATTAATCCATCCCTTGCTTTTACACACGCACATCAATGAAGCCCGCTATGAACCTCGCACGCACGCACGCACACACAATCAGACACACACACACACACACACACACACAGAAGGAAACTGCAGGTTCAGATTGTACTGCCACTGTTTCTGGAAGGATTTTGGCTATTCTCAAGGCTGCATATGCACACACACACACACACACACAAGTAATTCATAAAAACACACGCACATAATCCATGATGTCCCTAAAACACACCTAAACAGTTTTTATTGAAGAGATGCATGAAATACACCAGCTCTGTGAAAAAAGGGAAAACAGTGCCCTTCTGGTTCTAAAGGGTATGGCAGGAAAAAAAGAAAAATGGTGCAATCTGCGTGTCGGAATAAAAAAAAAACCCAAATTGACTCTCAAAGAATAGGTGTAAATGAGTGAAAAAAATATATCAGAAAATTATACTGCATTGGCAGTGTATTGAAGAAAACATGTTTTAATGGGAGTCAATGGGACCGTTTCGGTCCTTAGCGGTGTTTACTGAAGTAATTAAATTTACTCACATGCAAACAAGGTCAAAGGAAGAAAAAAAAAAATTTGAATTGCACCTGAAATTACACACTTTGACAAATTTTTATGCCATTTGCATCATCACAGCCAAAATTATGCACAAAAATACAGTTGCGAAGGACCAAAACGGTCCTTAGGGGTGCACAAGGGTTAATCGCAGGGCTCTCAAGTTTTGAACTAAGCTTAGAGTGAGATTTCCTTGGGGGGGGGGGTGATTGAAGATAATTATTAGTATAATTATCTCTTAAATACAACGGAGTATAAGGGGCACAATTAGAAAAAAAACGTTTTTAAATCTTAAAGAATAAAGTTATTATTTGGTAGAATAAAGTCATGAATATATAAGTATTAAGTCGTAAAGTTACCTGTTGTGAAGAAGAGTTGTTAAAATCAGCACTGTGGAGCATTTAGATGAATTGTACTTAAGTATAGGTTTCACAAACATGGAGATACTTAAAGGGGACCTGCCACCAAAATTTCATACCCATTTTTATCATTTTTTCATAATCCTTGATGTCCTCTGATCATGTTTGCAACATAATTTTAGCTGAAAATTTATTTAATGGTTTGGTTTATTATGCCTAAAAAACCTTACAGGAAAACCAACTGGTTTTGGCTCATTAACATTTATGGTAATGAGCTTTGCTCTGATTGGATCGCTGTTGTGAAGCCTGCTGTGCTCTGATTGTCTCAGCAGTGGAGGTTCGGATTTTGGTTTATCCATTGTTATTATGCTAATGCTAATAGCATATGCTAATGTGTGCTAAAGTAAGGTGCCCAGATGTCTGTAATGATATCCAGGGATATTCGGTGCGGTGGCGGCGGCGGTGCAGGGGCTGCAGGGGCTGTGTAATGACAGACAAAATCTCGGTACTATTTAGTAGCAGCGCATGCCCCTTGTAATAACCCCGTAAGAACTGTTGTTCAGGACTGCTTACTTGTGCTTCCTACCTATTCGGCTACTGTAATAACCGTTGTTCGAGCCCACACGCAACATTTTTGCTCTCATTCATGAAACGCTTAAATCGGGGACATTTTCAGGGACGGCTTTTGCCGGGGACAGGTCATCCAATACGGGGACTGTCTGGTCACCTTATGCTAAAGGCTAAAAACGGCAGGTATTAAACCATATATTTTAGACCCCTAGTCCGAAGAGGAGGTGGAAGTTGAAGAAGAAGCCGGAGATCTCCAGCGGTGTTTTCTCATTCATTCTGTCCAGCTTTAAGTTCATTTTCCCGGCAGTGAACCGAAGGAAACACCGATCGTTTGGAAGAGACCCAGAGCGGATACAGTGGTAGCTGGGTCTCGCTCTGGCTGTGACTGAGTACGAGAACAAGAGAGTGGGCGCGGCTCACCGAGGACGCGTTCGTGAATAATAATGAGCAATGTCAACGCAACGTCAGATTGACCTGCTTTTTCAATTGGCCTGGTTTACTCGTTCCTTTATTTTAAACCTTTACAGAATGCAAACAACGTAACGGTTTGTTTTCACATTTACAACATAAGACAAACATAATATGGACCTTATCTGACACGAAAAAAAACCAAAATTACATTTTTATGGCAGGTCCCCTTTAATCCTTTGGTACATGAGCATTACACTGTCATGAGTATCAGAACTTATTTTTGAGATAGATGAGAAATGCTGCTTTTCTGCTTCTATTCTAAAACTACTTCTACTGCTTACATGACTGCTAATATCACTACTACAACTACCTATTATCATGCTTCTTCTAGTACTTCAACTTAATCTTATGCCCCTTCTTACTTTTCTGTGTTTTAAGGTAATTCTCTTCCAATTTTTTTTGCAATTTCAGACAGTTTTTCTAGCCTTATTCAGCATGAATGCAATTTTAATTTATGAAGCACATGCATACTATTTGTACTTCAGCAATTCTCACTTTCATCTAACTTCTACTTTTCTTTCTCCAGCTCTTTAACCAATTTTACATTTAAACCTTCCTCCATTTTTTTTTTAGCAGTTTTGCATTGCTTTTTCAGCTTTCAGCACTCAGCATTTCCACGCATTTTCTGCAAGGAAATGCAATTTTTCTAGTTTTGATAATGCCTGTCACATTAAAGTCATAAACACTGTAAATATCTATGCACACATTTAATCCTTGTCGATGCCTCGCTTGACCATCACGAAAGTCTCGACAGTAACACAAGTTTGTATGATAATATTGTCATGAAATCTTACGGTCTCCATGTCGTAGATGTTGTCCTCTCTGTTCAGGTGTTGGTTAGAGGTGTTAGTCCGAGTCCTTAGTCGTCTGGTGAGGTTTTATTTACGATGAAGCCGTCAAAAGTTGTAAATTCGTGAGCCGCTTAAGTTTTTTGTGCTATTCTCTTCAGATTTGATCTTCAGAAATGACCGCTCTCTTTTGCTTGTAATGATTTAAAGTTTTTACATCGTTACAGGTTACCATGGAGATTTAAAATGCTGTTTACTTTAGAAAGACCCTTACTCTAGTAGGTTATATCTAAAAGTTTAATGTTATCTTTAATTGACTTTAATCTCAATGGAATATAAATATCTCTTGAAGTAAAGTGGAGGTTATTTTGCATCAACTAGTTTAAGAGTTTAAAAGCATTTTAATTTAAAAACCTTCCTTATTTAGGTACAAAACGACAACGTTTTGAAAACTATAGCTAAGTAGGCCTTTGTCTCATAGGTAACCCAACAAAAACTGTAAACTTTGTGTTTCATTATAAATTCCACTGAAGCCTTAACTTCAATTAAATTCAGTCGATTTTCTTTAGAAGGCTACTAAAAATAGTCTATATATACTCCTATCATATCAATATTTTAGAGCAGTAACTACATCTGTAAAGCACTTTGTCCCCCTGTTTTAAAAAAAACCCCAAAGTTGATCATTGTCATTGATCATTGTTTAATCGCAGGGCTCTCAAGTTTTGAACTAAGCTTAGAGTGAGATTTCCTTGGGGGGGTGATTGAAGATAATTATTAGTATAATTATCTCTTAAATACAATGGAGTATAAGGGGCACAATTCCAAAAAAAACGTATTTAAATCTTAAAGAATAAAGTTATTATTTGGGAGAATAAAGTCATTAATATCAGTATTAAGTCGTAAAGTTACCTGTTGTGAAGGAGAGTTGTTAAAATCAGCACTGTGGAGCATTTAGATGAATTTTACTTTAGTATAGGTTTCACAAACATGGAGATACTTAATCTTTTGGTACATGAGCATTACACTGTCATGAGTATCAGAACTTATATTTGAGATATATGAGAAATGCTGCTTTTGAGAAATTTGAGAAATGTCTGTACAGAGGCTAAATCCGTCAATACAGCTGTTAATAGCAATAGCATAGGGCTTTAGTTTATCATTTGAGTTTATATGCCATGAGGTGTTGAGGTCTCTGCATGTGTAGGTTACTGACTTACTGTAATCATCGGGTCTATCTCGTCCTTATAAAACCTGCTCTATTACGGCGAGTGTCTGTCTTCTTCTGTAGTCAAACCGTAAGATATCAAAATCTACCCGGATACAGCAATGCTGCTTTTTTATTGGCTGTTCAGTAGATATACTTTATTTGATTGGCTTGCGCGTGGCACGCAGCTTCTGAACTCTCAGAGGAACTCAGTTGAATCCTACCTGTTCAATAGTTAAAGAGGTCCAACTTGGTGGACATCACCGTGTTCATTTAAATGCGTGAGAAATACAATGTGTGAGCGTGTGAACGGGTGGGAATGCGTGTGTCACACTCTGAATGCGTGAGACTTGAGAGCCCTGAATATGAGTAGTAAAGCTGTGCACTTTCCACAGAGCTGAGGGCGAATGACAGTGGCCAGTGTTAAATTTTCTCCTGATGAATTAATCTAGGATTCAAGACCTTGAAAAGTCTAATTAAACTCTGACAATCAATGCTTTTTGTTACTAAGAATTTCTGCTTTCAATCACACATATTTCAAGGATAACTTCTTCAACTGCTAAGACACATCAAAGACCTCCACCCTACTGTTGTCAAATCTCAAGGTAAAAGCGCCATACTTCATTAGCCACAAGCTAACGGTTAAGCTAGTGGCGCTATGCTAATAGTTCATCTTCCGTTTCGCACTTATTTCCTACACTTTGACAACCGACCACATAGACAGCTTTACTGTCAATTGGGTTCAGAACTGGAGGAGATCACACAGAAGCTGCTCAATGCAGAAAAACTAATGGTCAGTTTTTACACTTTTCTACCAAGAGATGAATAAAGCTATGCACTTTCCACAGAACTGAGGGCTCATGACAGCAGCCAGTGTTAATTTTTTTCCTGATGATTTGATCTACTTTGGTTTTTAGTTCTCGGAAAGTCTTATATAACTCTATCAATCAATGCTTTTTGTGACTGAGTATTTCTGCTTTCATTAAGACATAATTCGAGGATAACCCCAGAGATCTTCAACTGCTTGGATGGACAAAGACCTCCATCCTACTGTCGTCAAACCTCAAGGTAAAAGTGCTGTACTATATTAGCCGCAAGCTAAAGGTAAAGCCAGTGGCGCTATGCTTATCGTGCCATCCTCCATTTCACACTTATTTCCAACACCTTGACGACTGACCACACAGACAGCTTTAATGCCAATTGGGTTGAGAATTTAGCAGATTGAAAGTTTATGTACACTTTTTATCTCTATTAGAAGGCTACAGCCACTTTCTGCGTGTTGAAACCAACACCTTAGTTCCTCTGGTTGTGGGACCATCTGTGTTTGTTACTGAAATGTTCTGTAACCCTCCAGTTTATCAAAATTAAGCAATATACAAATCAATTATATTCTGAAATGTGATTTTGTAAAAAAAAATTGACGAGTTTTATTTTATTCAATGGGAAAAAATGATATCATGTCATTATTGACATTGGTAATCTTATCAGCCTGTGCTGTTTTCTCCTGGATAAACCAACCGAATAAACCAACCAGCAAAAGCAACAGAACCATGCAGATTCTACCTGGTGAATACAATTAAAATAAACTTATTTAACTATTAATCAACTACTTAATTTGAAAACCTGAAGCAACAACCTGGGGCCTGTTCTACGAAGCAGGATTACTGCTTAGCGAGGTAACTTCGAGGATAAGTTCAGGGTTTCCTGTTCTACGACGCGGGTTCACTTCTTAGCGAGGCAGGTCTCCATGGCAACATACGCTGAAAAGCTAACCTGTTCCGGGGCAGGTTAAGTTCCAGATTGAACTCACGAAGGACAAAAACCCCGCCCACTGACCAATGTGCTCTCTCGAAAAATGGCTTGTCCGTTCTTGGAGGATCCTATAGACCTCGGTGCTCGCATTGTCCGCGGAGCACTCCGACACGCAATAGTTTTCAGGGACCGCACGGACCCACTTACTATTCCGGATGACCACCTTTATGAAAGGCTTATATGGCCTACATATCACAAAAAAAATGTAAACACGATAGGAATGAACAAATGAATGAATTCATCTTGGAAATGAATGGGCATAGGCTGCATGGGCTGCGTGATCACAGACAACAACTTGGTACTATTTAGTAGCAGCACACGCCCCTTATAATAACCCCGTTAATACTGTTGTTCAGGACTGCTTACTTGTGCTTCCTACCCACTGTAACAACCGTTGTTCTAGCCCACATGAAACATTTTTGTTCTCATTCATGAAACGCTTAAGTCAGGGACATTTTCGGGGACAGCTTTAGCTGGGGACAGATCATCCATTCGGGGACTGTCCCCGGAAATCGGGGACGTCTGGTCACCTTAGTTAAAAGCGCATGTTGAACAGTGCTATTTCAGGGTGATAATGGCATCAAAGATTAATTTTCTGCCAGCATTCCCTCCGTGCTTTTGCAGCGGCGACGGTGTTGCTTTTGAGGTTTACAATAGATTTGAATTCTTCATACTTTCTCATGATCGTCTCCTGCTCCTTGTTTGTAAAGTCCACGGTCCTTCGCTCTCCGGCCTGCTCTGACGCTCCAGACTGGTCCATGTTCACGATTGGTCAGATGCGGCGGGCTCCGCCTTACATGCGTGCACGTGCTCATAGCAAAGCTGGATCCACTTATGAGGTTGATAAACAGTGTCGTAAGACTGTTTAGCCAGACCCCTGGCTACCGCACTAAGTTGAGCGAGGTAGCTCCAAGGCTACCTCGCTAGGTTAAACTTGCTTCGTAGAACAGGCCCCTGATCCTGTCAGTGACAGAACAGAAACTTACTGAAGGAATCTGCCAGAGCATTCCTAATTTTTTTGGTACATTCTATGTCATTCCGATCCAACAATATGTTTAAAAATTTAAAGTCATTCGTCATTTAAAGTCATCTTTATATAAACTCAAATTGTTGCACAGTTAGTGAAAACCTTTAGACGGCTCAATTATGAAAACATTCATTCTGAGAATCTTTGAAGCTGTGATGCTGGAACAAACTGAAGTGGTTAGTAAGGGTCTTTGTGTAGCGTAGAAGAGGTCAGATCACTGTATGTGGTGTTTAATCAATAGTGTATTCAAAAGGATAGTCCTGTGTGGGTCCCACATCAAAGTTGATGCTGTCAAATGGGTTCTCAGTGGACCAAATGTCCACAGGAAACCAGGAGTCGTACCAAGAGGTTGTTGTCTCTGTTTTTGGTATTGTTGTTGGCGCTGCTGTTGTTGTAGTTGTGGTTGTTGTTGTTGTTGTAGTTGAACTTAAACCACCTCTTAATCTCTGTAGACGCAGCCTTCGCAAACGTATGATTCTCAGCCGCCTGAGTCGCTCTGCTCTCTGAGCAGCTGCATGACCATCTGTTGTGCTGGCGATGGTGCTGGCTGGGGTGGTTCTCACTACGGCTTGTTTGGGGACTAGTCGAATGGGCCGGTTTCCATTAATCGCCATGATCTGTTTGATGCGGTCCCAGTTGGATTTGGCTAAAGTGAAGCTGCAGGGGGTGGCTCCAGAGTCATAGCCAACCATGCACAGTCTGGTCTGAGGGGTGTAGCCATCTGCTTTGGCGGTCACTCTGTACTCTCCAGGGTTCAACAAACGCCAGTAATCACCACCTACAGCTGAAGTAATGACAGAAATTTTGGGGAAGTTATTGTGTAGGATCTGAGATCGTTTCACCAAGCAAAAACTGTTTTCATGTGACCAAAATAATCACAGAACTGAATATGCTAATCAGTTTCAACTTTGAAAACATCAGGCACTTTGTAAATAAAGTAGACTTACCAGTTCTGACGTCGTGCCTTATTCCCTCCACAGTTATAGTGGCATTACCTAACGCATTTCCCTCCATGTCTCTTACAACACCTTTAATCCCTCGATTTACCTGTGCAGGACAAATTTATTAAAATCCTTGAGCCATCTCATTTGTTAAATTAAAGTCTAAATCTAAATGTCCAAAATGATAAAAGATTAGTTAGTCAAATTACTGTTCGTATTTTTTTTCACTTTCAGCTCTTCATTTGAAATGTTTTAAAATTTCACTCTACTCTGTTTATATGGCTGGGGATGCACTGTCCCAGCATGTTGCCGTTTGTTTACATTTCTGTTGCCATGGCCATGTCACATTCTGCAATAATCTGATTGGTTTTGCGTCCCCTCAATCACCTCTGGATGCTCTCCTGTCTGCAACCATTGCTAGTTTATGGAAAAGTGAAATGAATTGGACGGTTCTAGACCCTTTCATCAAAGTCAGCTGATCTGGTGATGCTGGGCTGGCACAATATGGACTGATCTGATGAGTTATAGGCCAGTAACGAGACTTTTTATTGATGTCATTAGGGTAATGCAGTTTTTACAGAAAAATTGATCAGAGTTTCTCAAAAAAAGATAGCGGTGAACCATCTGATGTGTTTGAGTTCTTACCTGTTCAATGAAGGACAAGAGAGCCTCACGGTTGTTTTCCCACTCCAGGGGAAGGTCACTTTCATGGGGAAACTTGTCACAGCCCAAGAAGATGGACAGCTCAAAGCAGTTGGTGTGTAGGTAGCTGAAATCATTCATACCTGTGGATGAAGTCACCAGAAAAGGATGGAAAATAAATAAGTTGTTACCAACCAAATACTGCAAGTAAGAAGTTAAAACAGCCACTCCGATTTCTCCCATTGCTTTTTGAATTCTGGTGTTTTACCGTCAACATCACGGTTTCTTTTTAAGAGTTTGTGTTTGTCTGCCCCATTGTCCATGTTTTGGCAAAATGATGAAAGGACTAAAACAATGGAGGACTCCTCTACATTATTTTTCCCCCTCCTGTCTTGCTTTCCCACTTATACACCACCAAGGCTTCTCCTAACCAGTGATTTTCTGTTAAAGGCAAAAGACTGTACAAAGTTTTAATATCTCATCAGTGAAGACTTACTGCCCACTACTGGCTTCCAGCTGGCTCTGTTGGCAATGCCTTGGCCCCCTGTGACATCATCACCATGGCAGGAACCCCTGTAGGTCTCCGTCATGGTCAGGTGACTGTGAGCATATGACATCGCCAACCATCTGAACATGGCGTCATCTGGTGTCTCCCTCAGAGCTCCCTCATTTTGCCGTTGAATGCGGGCCCATGTCTCCTCGTTCATCTCAGCATTCATTCTCCAACGCCGACTCTCTGATAACTTAAGAACACCAAATAGGGATTTAATTAGCTTTTAAGATTGCCGCTAGTGAAGTCATTTGACTGTTTTGTATGAATAATAGACTTACAGAAATAGGTGGACGCTGCATGTCAAAAGGGTACGCCACCAGTTTTTCTCCTCCCTGCAAATTGGCGCCCAGTACAAATGGTGTGCGCTCCATCCAAGAGATGATGGCTTTGGTCTCTGTAGCGAGCTGTCGGAGCAGGAAAAGGTTGAAGATTTAAAATGATCAAAATAGATCATCTGTGATATAATGAAACTCACTGAGCCGTTGAGGGAGTTTTCTGGAAGCGGGATGTGATGGTTGGGGACGATACGAGGGACCCAGCCTCTGTCCTCAGCTCCCCACAATATGCTGTTGAGGTCTGGGAAGTTCTCAAAGATGTCGTAACCTTCTTCAGTCCAGTGGCCCAGTGCCCAATTCCCCATCTCTGAGCCCTGGAGGACAAGAAGGAGGATCATGTGATCTCCAAAAACATCAGTCACTGTCACTCAACTGTAGTCTACTTTGGGATATCGGCCAGATTTCTTTATGACTAAGCCTGAGTTATGGAGAAGTCAAGAAAAAGAACAATTCCCTTTGGAGGTACTGATAAGATTTATGGGAAGTGTCTGCTATGAAAAGAACACTTCCGTTTGTAAAATTTGTTAACATGTTGGTTTTCCGTACCATTTCAAATGCCAGCTCATAAGCATCCGGGTTTAGTGAAGGTACCAGATGTATTCTCACTCCGTCCACCAGGCGGCGCACTCTGGGGTTTTCATCGTTGTACTCCTTACACAGGAACTGCATCAGAAGCAGAAGAAGCTCTCGACCCAGTGCCTCATTACCATGGAGACCAGCAGTGTACCGAAATTCAGGTTCACCTGTTGACAGAAAGACAAACAAGAAGACCATCTAGATTTATCAGTTGCAGGAACAAATACCCTTGAAATCCACTTCTACCCAAAGAAAACACGTCTGCTGGAAGAGCAGGGAAGGTTCAAGTTTGTAAAAGTCATTCAGGCTGGAAAAAATGTTAAAGACTATATTCTAACCTTTAATGTCTGACAAGAAAGAAAATAAACTGCTTACAAACAGTGAGTAAAGAGTCCCTGAAATCAAATCCTGTGTGCAGAAAAAGAGGGTAAAGTTTTGAGTTCGTAAGACCAGCAGTTTTTGACCTAGACCTCTATATAAGACCATTTCTGTTCATTTCCTCAATTACAATTCTAAATTGTGAGTTTGGTTTGACAGCTGGTATGCTGAGAGCTGACTCATTAACCTTCCGTCCCTCATACCGGTCTCATGCTCCCCAGGGTTGTCAGAGATCTCCATTGCGTACATCTTCAGGCCCTGAGCGCTTTTACCAATGTTGTAGATCCTGGTGATGTTTGGACACTCCTCATTTATCACCTTCATCATCTGGAAAACAGCAACATGGACAAAAACCTTCATAATGTTGATCTTTACAGTTACCTGCCTATAAAGGACTTTATCTTTTATTTGGCAAACCTGTCTCATTTCTTTGTAGTTGTGGTGTCTGAAGTCCAGGTCATCTGTGGGGTTGACTTCATTCTCACTTTGGTGGCTGCCTAAAAGACACAACGTATTAGTGCTTTGTCAGTCTTCATTTCTACACAAAGGCACTTATCAGATGAATATTTTCACTGCATAACTCCCTAATATTTTACAGACACTTGGCCATGTGATGTTTTATATGAAGGAAAATAGAGACATTTAGCCTGTCCATTTAGATTACCAGTCTAAAGGAAAGAAAACAGTCAAAACTGAGCACCATTAGGGTGCAAGTTTGGCTGTGTCAGTGGAGTAGGCATGTGCAAAGTCTCTAGTCCTTATTGCTGACACCTCATCTAAAAAACATGTTGGTAATGTTGGAAAATGTTGTATCTTTCTGTGTTAGTTATGTAACACATTTTCTAACACGGAGGTTGAGCAGTTCATGTTGTGAAACAGCCTCTTGTTGGGTGAAACCATTCTAGCTCCAATTTTGGCTAAAGTTGTGTTTTTTTTTTTCCAATCAGCTATGACCTACTCCTCGAAGGAATGAGACTGACTCATGAGGCTGTAAAAACCTGTAAAACTCCAGCTTTGAACAAGGTTTTCATTCTGTAAATCCTGCAGATGTTGGTGTTACTGCGGTGTTGTCTCAGTGCTGTACTGACTTGGTAGCTGACAGGCGAGGATCTCAGCTCTCATACACAAGCTGCCATTCCAGCTTTGGGGCAGGATGCGGATGTAGCGAGCGACAATAGGGGGAGCAAACTGACTCATCACTGGCGTGTCTTTATCCACATTCCCGTAAAACAGCTGCAGAAAGAAAAGATCTCATAAACCAGAGTTTATCGTAATTACTTGCTGTTTAGCTAAATTTTGCTTAATTTAAGTTGCTGTTACCCATTCAGCATAGCCGTCATGCAGCACAGTCCAGTCACGGCTGTCGTTACTGAAAGCCACATAGTAAGAGGATACAAAATCCTCGCTGGAAAGACAATGAGAATACTGGCTCAGTATCTTGGTGTCTGCATGAGAAACGGTCTGCAAGCAAGCAGAACACAATCCACCAAAATGGCATCCCAGCTCTTGTCCGCAGAAATCTGACGATTTATTTCTTTCTATTAACAGATATCTGTATGCAAGTGCAGAGCTCATAGATTTACAGCCATTGATTATACATGGTTGTATTCTAGCTTCAGTTTACTGTTTGTTTCTGAAGCAAAGTTTTGAGGTGTACTAGAAGCAGTTGCCATATTGAAAATGCTGACCCAATCTAATGTATGGTTGACCTACCAGAGAAAGGCCTTCTCTAGACCCACTGAATGTTTGGTTGAGTTTGCTTTTCCAGTATGATGATCACCACCATATTTAGCTTTGAAGTACCCCTACCAAAAATGATGAGTAAGATGATGAAGGTGTTAAAGCCTTTGCTCTGACCTCATGATTGCTTCTCAAGGTTACTAAATAGACTGTAAACAATGCAGGACAGTGCAGTCCTCAATGGTGGAGGACTAAGGGTCCATAATTTCCAAAAATGATGCTAAATTTTGAGTCTTGGGCCCTGTTAAGTTGCCGGTGTGTCTGGATCATGTTTAGGCATGGTTTCCTCTTTGCATGGTCCAGTTTTGACCTGTATTTGTGAGGAGCTGCCCTGTAAATTCAGAAAATTTGATCTCGTTCCCAGAAACATCATGATCAGAAGATAGCTGATGGGCTCTGAGATTAGGCAGAAATTGGAACACAACAATGGATCACAGCAGCACAAATGTGTGCATTTGAAGACTCACATAGTCTCTGAGTTTCTCCCCTGAGTGATGACCCCTGTGAACTCCACCTCCCGTCTGGCATCCACCTCAAACCAGTGGTTAGACTCCTCTGGCTCTGCACACCATGCCCCGCCGTAGAGGTCGTCCTCATTATCTGAACCCTGAAAAGAGACCACTGTTTTTTTCAACTGCATAATTTTTTAAAGATAGTTTATTGTTTCTAGTTCTTCTGGTTTTTACCTGCATGTTGAGTCGTCCTCGCTGAGCCGTGAAGCCATGATGGGACTGAGAGGAGGCCAGCAGCTGGTCGTCCTCCACCCGGTGAGACTCCAAACCCAGAGGAGGACACTCTGAGAGAGAAAACACAAACAGGACAAATAACTCGAAACAGTCCTCTGTCTCTACAGCAGAGGAGCTGGGGGCAGTTATTTTCTTTTTAATGTGGGGGTTTCAGACTTAAGAAGATATAGACAAACAAACGTGGAGTTTTTCTTACTTTTGGGCTCAACAGGCACTGACATCTGCCTCAGCCTCTCCTCCTCTTCCTCCTCCCACTGCTTCCTCAGCCGCTCGGCTTCACAGCGTAATGACAAAACAATATGTGTCAAAACATGTTTTTCTTTACATGGACCCTGCTCTTCAGCAAACCGCCGCCACACAAAATATTTCCATATGTGCTCGTACAGTTCAACCTTGTTCCCACTCGTGCATTCCTCATGTGTCTCCAGCCTGAAATGTGGGTCAGATCAGTCTGTTTGGCTTAATATCTTCATGCTGTTTGGGCTCATAGAAGATTTCTGGAACTTTTAAATTGACTGAAGTGAACATGCCAAAATATTGAGTAACACTTCAGCAGATGGTTATCACTCACTGTACTTGAGATCATTTTTACATCGTACAGCTGGACTTTGAGCTTCAGTTAAAAACCTACAAAAAGACCCGGAGCAGAGCAGCTGTTTGAAACTGATCCCCCTTTTTCTTTACAAGCCTCATTTTCTTATTGTTATCACTGATAACCCATAATCACAAATGAAGGGGAAATCTGAAGTTGAACCCAAAGTTACAAAATACAAACCTTTTTCTGCCTTTTCTTTCCTCGCTCTCTCCTCCTCTTCCTCCTGTTTCTTTGCGGCCACTACAATAAAAGAAAAAGTGACCAGATACAAAAAACAAACTCATACCCTCGCCACAATCGCAAACTAAAGCACACATTATCATTTGCTAGTAGTTACTGGATTTACTGGGAGTTATTATCATCCAAACATTGGACTTACAGTCAGCATAGTCATATTCTTCGTACCAGGGGCCGACATAAGGGACAACAGTGGTATCCTCTGAAGCACAAACAAGAAAAGGTCAAAGCTAGACTTTTCTGTTACAACGTTTTTTAACTTCACAAATCCTGTAAAATATTAACTGTAATCTTTGTTTGGAGAAAAGGGTTAAATATATACAGAAACAGAGTGAGATGATCTCCTACAGAGCCATGCTGTTGTAATCCCTGTTGTCAGAATGTGGTTTGGGATCATATAAATGTCTTCCCTGAAAAAGTCATTGGCCCTCATTTATCAAGCTTGCGTACGGCAGAAAACTTGCGTACACCTTGCGTACGAAAATTTTGAAGCGAGGATCGGCATTAATCAATCTGCACGTGAGCGTACGCTACGACCAAATCTCACGACAGGTCTGACATCGTGTACGCAAGTTTGAGTCAGTGTGGATCTGCGGAGCAGCAAATGTCTGTCTCAAAATAGTTGATAAACAAACCTCAAACCTGTCATTAAGCACAATCAGCCAGATTTTATGAAAGATTAAAGACGTAAATAAAATAAAATAAGTTTGTTATGTCCTTAGTGAATAGGCCTATTTGACAACTCTGCCCAGAAACACTGCCACAGAGCAGGAGCGCCGTTTTAACATTACGCACACACGCGCCACTGTGGAGCGCTGTGTTTGACTCCTAAAAGGCAGGTGTCTCTGTCTTGGTCCAGCAGCGAGGACGTTGTTGTACACTCCTGAAAGGGTGTGGGACATCATTTGGGCCAGTACAGTTTTGCAAAATGTTGCACTGGCGAATGGAGTGCCGTTGGCTGTGCCAGAGCAACGTGAGGACCCGATGCCCAGGGAACAATAACAAGGAGAGACTCCACAAAGGTGCTGTACAGAGGAGACAGGACCTTATTGATGGATTCTGACATGTAAAGTATAAGTTTAGAAAGTGCTCTTGCTAATTAATCAGTGATAAAAATCCAATAGAAATCCATAAAAATGTTCCTCAGGAGCAGCGACACTAGTAGATGCAGTGATGAACTGTGTTCACAGTCAGTGGTTTCTGAAGTGATCCTGAGTCCATGCCATGATTCCCACTCCAGAGTCGTGTCTGTTTTAATGCTCTAAAGATCAGGACCATCAAGTCTCGGTTCTGGTCCTTGTCCCTTTAGTACAGAGATTTCCACATTCTCTGAATCCGTAGATGATGACCCCCGCCCCCCTTTTTTTGTTTTTTTACCCCTCTATGTTACTAACCTGATGCAATTCAATGTGCTCAGTCAGGAAATGTTCCTTTTAATTAAATAACCAATACATATTTCTCTCTCTCTCTCTCTCTCTCTCTCTCTCATACTCTCTCTCTACACACATATATATGTGTATACATATTTTTAAAATTTTTTTGACCCTCTGTGAATTAGGCCTGTATACAAAATTTTAATGTTTCGCAAACCCTCAAGCTGTACCAACAATTAATAAAGTTTCCACTTTTTTTGGAAACTTAACAGGGATGAATGCAACATACTTTGATGGCCAAGCTGTCCAATTTAACTGATTCATTTATCCAGAATACCTCAGTAATTTTATTTCACTGTCACACTATTAACACAAAATAAAAACATACCATATGTTAAATAAATTAAGGGTTACCTGGTATGTACATGATGACTTCTGTGGTTGTGGCCTCCTTTTTAGGCACCCGGTCTGTGAAGTAATAGGACCGACTTAAATCATCAGAGAAGCAACATTATAGAATAGTTAGAGTGAAATCTTTGCCATTATGTAACAGGACTGAACCCCACATCAATGTTTTGACCCGCTCAGGCGTCATCAGGCATTACAAAGGAAATATATCCTAAGGAAGTTCGCTGCTGTTTTCTTACATTTATGATGTATAGACTCATAAAAGACTCACCTAGGTCTGGTTCAACAGGCTCTACCCAGGTTTCAGGACTCTTTGGGGTCACAGGTCGAAACACTGCAGAGCAGAAATAAGGTTGATTTATAAGACGGCATCCAACTATCCCATCAGATTGATCAAGAGTAGGTGAAGCTGAGTAATATTCAGAGTAAACTGCTAAAAAGATCTTTGTTTTTCCACAGGAAAAATGTTAAGTTTTCTGAGGCTTAAAAACTTTGAATTACACAATTTTTTCCAGATATTTTAAAAGGACAGCAGCATCTGTTGAAGTCATAGAAACCCTGAAACCCCTGATTTTCTTAAACATATACTGTTTTAACATACATGTGTCCCAGCCCAGCTCAATCATCAGCTTCTCCTCCTCCTCCTCCAGAGACGGGTGTCTGGTGCCCGTCTCGACTGTGGTCATGGTCTTTGGTTTCTTGGTAGCTTTGGGCGCCTTGGGTTTCTTTGTGGGTTTAGGTGGTTTGGGTTTTTTGGTGGGCTTGGGTGGTTTGGGCTTCTTTGTAGGCTTCGGGGCTTTCTGCTTCTTTGCTTTGGCTTCTTTCTCGGCTGCTTTCTTTGCCCTGGCTTCAGAGAGAGAAGGTTAAACAGGGAGACAGTTACTTGTCTGGATTCATGAGAGAGTTTGTCTCATAAAGCAGCTTTTAAACTCCTTTTAAAAAGTTAGTATGAACCTAAACAGTAGAACGTTTCTCTGTAGTTTTTCTTTATATGTTTGTAAGCAGAGATGTTTGTACTGCTAACGTCATTTTGTACCAATAAAACAATATTAAAGCTAAGACTCAGACACACACAGAGGCCATGACACATAAAGCAGCAGGACCTGGTTCTGAAAGAGGACTCAGGCGGCTCTGGTTTGTTTTGGTCTGAGACCAGACAAAAAAGAACTCGGAGCCAAAGTCTAATGACCTCCCCAGACAGCTGCTCCTCTGACAGGCCAAACTTTACACTGTTCATGATGGAAAAGTTAGATAAGAGTCCAAAAAGAGTGACCTGAGAGTAGGGTGAGAAAAAATACTGAGCACAAAACATAACCGTTTGCAGCCTTGAATCTACTCGAGCAGTAAAGTCAACAAACTAACTCAGATCAAGTTTCTTCAATCCAGTCTCAATTCCAAAAGAGCTGAGATGCCACAATGTTGATAAGAACAGATTTTGAACCATAAAGCCCATGCTAAATATTAAGAAAATGAAAAGACAACATAACCAATGTAGAGACGCAGATTTTCTGTAAAAACTATATCCTCTTTTTAAATTTAATGCCAAAAACTGTAGTCTGACATTAAAATTTAGCATTAATTTTGGGAATTATGGATGCCACAGGCTCTGTAGTAGAAGAGTCTTGCTGATTTTTATCTGTGATGCTGCTGTGACAAAAAATTTCCCCTATGGGGGATCAATAAAGCAATATTCTATTCTATTCTATAAACTGCCTGCAGTCCTGACTTGTCCCCCATTGAAAACATTTGGAGCATCATGACACCAAAAATAGGACAAAGGAGACCCTGAACTGTTGAGTAAGGTATGCGCGGCCTACTCTATTTCTTGGTATGCAGACAATACTGTTGTGTTTAATACATGCCTATTATCAGGCTGGTTAACATCAGTTTTAGGGATTGGGTTGAGGGAGGATTTTGGGTGAAAAATTGACAAAAGCAACTACCCACTAACTTCACGAAGAGTAACCAAGTCAGCGAAATCTGATATTTTAATTTGGTCTATAGGGTTTATTTCTAGTTTGTGTAAACCCAGTGTTTTTAAGATGTGTCCAAATCCTGTGTCCTGCTGTTGAAGCCTTAAGTTGACAGAGGTAAAAGCTTACAAATGGATGGATGTGGGCGACTTCAGAGCCCCACACTTAAACTGTTTGATCTGCAATCAGCTCGGCATTCCTGAACGCCCCCTTAACTGTCTTAATGAGAAACTGTGTTCAAACACTAAAAGTCTAAGATAGCAGGTTTCAGGTTAAAGCACACTGAACATTACAGAGAGGAGATCTGCAGAAAGTTTTTAATCCACCTTCATTATGTAACCATCTCCAGACTCAGAGGGCGGCTTGTTTTCTTCTGCTAGACATGATTCCTGACTTTCCACTGGTCCTTAAGCACAACACAGCCCTCACCTCACAGCCAGTCCATTACTCACCTGCTGTGTACCTGGCATTATACTGTCAGTCACCTGTTTTTGGCCTTTTTGTGGCTAAAATAACATTACACAGCTCAGTAAACCAAGAATGAAACCAATGAAAGGTTGTTTGGTTTTTATCACTCTGAATTTGGGGTGAAAACCAGCCAGCAAAACTTTTCCTCAAAGTGTAAAAGAATGAAAGCTTATGAGCTTTTTTAAAATTATTTATGATGCCCTATTTATGACTGTTGGTTTGGCATTAATCTCAAGTCAAGGAGCGGTTAGATCAACCCAGTTCACAGTGGTAACAGAGTAAGTGCTATTCAGAAACAAAAATTAAACTTTACAGGACCTGAAAACTGTCTTTATTAGCGAGCCGTATCGATGATTTTAATCCGAGAGTGATGACAGAAGTCTAAAGCTTTGTCTTATGACTGTGTATAGAGTAAATCGGGGTTTGGTTAACCTATTTTCACATAAAAACTAGCATAAATCTGGCTCCTTTCTGAGATGTCAGTATGAAATCTTAGCTGAACTACACTCAAAATTTCCAAGACAAACCTCCAGCCCCCATAGTGAAGAGCTATGAAGTGGTCTAAAATATAGTATATCTGTGTTAATTTTTGTTTGCATTGGTTCCCTATGGCATACAGGAGGTGCCCTTTTCATTCCCCTCCCCCACAAACAGCCTGAGTCCTCCTCTGATCCAGACCCTAATATTTTCCCAGCATGTCAGTTTCCTTTTCAAGTCGGAGAAAACCTACAGGAGTTGTTTAACATAATTTATACTTAATAATCCAGTAACACTCAAGTATGTGAAAGAAACCAGTGGCCTGCATTAAAATAGTGGAAATCCCTTTTCATGGGAGCTCGATGACATTTTTACAGGCTTTCAGATATGCAGGTAAAAGCGTTCTTTATGGGTTTCAAATGGGCTCTGTGCAGGAGATGAAGGAGTGACGCTGATATTCAGCTGTGACAGTTCAGGTTAAGATATTGCATACTTGGCAAACGCTTCCCTTTAGTAACAAAGACCTTAGAAACAGTTCAGGGTTTTGTTCATGATGGCCCTTTTTATGTAACTGAAATCAGCCACGCTAGGAGCTCTGGCTGCTCTGGTTTGTGGTTTTGCTTTATGCAGCGGAAAGTGAACATCAGTCAGAGCCATTGAATCAGTGCTATTGAAAGTAGGTCCTCTCGTAAATGCCATCTGCTAACTAACGGAAAAATGGTAGTGGAAATATTTGTGCTGTTCAGACTTTGTGTTTTTCACTGAACTGAGGCGTAGACAGAGAAGAAACTTATTCTCTGATTGTTGTGTTGACTAAACAAGCTGCCCAAAGTTTTTACCCTCGTGTCCACAACCTGGACTCCTGGCAGGGAAAGCAGGTCATGCAACGGTGGTGTGGTCAGGGAGCCAAGAAATTGTCGAAGCTCTAACTGGAAGTTTCTGCTTCGTCATCTCTGAATCACTCAGAGATTCTTCATCCAAACAAAATCCACAAGTCCTCCAGTGTTCTGGTTTTGGAAAGTCATCAGGAAAACAAACAAGGCTGCAGCATCAGCTTTCTGACTCAAACTCTGCAAAAAATGAAGCTTTAATGTCTTAAATCTGGGGCACATACGATGAACTCTGTTTTACGGAACACATATTCTTTTTAGGAGGGTTTTATGTTCAAGCATGTCTCTTGTTTCAAGATTGATATTCATTACTTCTTTACTGGAAATTGCAAAAGCATGGAAATAGAGGCACTGGCTGACTATTTTATTGCAGAGTTTTTGTTAGCAGGCTGCATTTTTTAGAACAGATTTTACCATTTCTGTTAGCAGAACTATAGGTGTTGTTTTTATTTTGTAATATTTCTCCTGATTTGTTGCCTTGCTACCTTGTTTTTTTGTTCGTTAGCAATTAGTGTGGAGCTTGGAGAGGTTTTTTGCAGAGAAATGTGGAGTAAGAGCTCTGAAGATAACAGAGTCCAAACCAAAGGTTTGCCTGCCTCAGAGATTGATTGCAGCCTTTCCTGTCTGTGTATCATCAGTCTTGGCTGCGAGCTCAGAGCAGAAGAGAGGTCAATAAACCATCATATTTAACCTGCATGCTCATGACTCTGCACTGAGAAGATTTAACCGTTGGATCAACAAAAAACAAAAAAAACTGAAAGGAAAAACTTTTTAGTGAAGTCAATTTTATATCTATGATGTTATTCTTTTGTCACATTTTATTGATGATGGTACCTTTGTGGAAACTCTTTAATGATTCGAGTTCTTATTGAAACAGTTATTGAGTCTTTTCTGTTGTTTGGTAGGAAGCCAAGATGACCATGTCTTTTAACAGGACCAGCATTGCTTTTATTGCTGGATCAGTGACTTTCTACTACACATTTTTCACCAAAAACATTTTTTCTTTTGGCTGGACATGACATTTGTTCACATCACTATAATGTGATATTAACTTTCGCCTAATTAATTTTTTCTGACCTGACCTTGAACACCTCACATATGCATAGAAAAGGGGACTGGGTTTTGAATAAAACTGGGTCTTGATAGTGACCATAGTGTAGGGTAAGAATGTCCATCGACTGATACACTGAAAGTTTTTCCCTCTGGCTCAGCTCTACCCAGCCCTCCTCTGGTTTTGCCTCCTGCTATGCAGATGATTCCCTGCTCTTTCTGACTGTCCCACTAGATGACAAAGTTGTCTCGGACTGAATCACCATCATTAGGTTTCAGTAATATTTGGTTGTAAATATTTGAAGGACTGCCATCTACAGCTTGACCTGTCCACAACTGAGCATTTTATCTTTCTAGCCAGTTCCTCCACACAACCTCAAAACATTATCCAGCTTGGATCAAACCAGACTATGCCCACTAAGTTTGGGGGTCTTTAAGGTCCATGTGGCATCAGTTACTCAGTCATGATGAGTCACCATGTACACCAGGAGGATCAGACCTGACTAGACAAAAAAACACAGCACAGCTTCTGGGAAGGGCTCTCATAATATTGCAGATTTACAACTGCAACTCCTTACTGGCAGACCTCCCTGTAAGCACAGTCAAACCTCTGCAGATGCCTGTCTAGTCTGAAGCCAACAGCCCGTCTGGTCTGAAGCCAACCCAAACCAGTATGTCATCCTTCTACACTGGCTTCCTGTTGCAGCTTGCATTAAATTTAAAACGCCACTTCTGGCTTCAATAACGGCAACACAAACAGCTCCTGCCCACCTGGAATAACTCCTCCAGGTCCACACTTTCACTCTGCTATGCTCTGCCAAAAAAAAGCGCCTGGTGCTCCCATCACAACACAAGGGCCCTAAATCAGACTCTTCCTTCTGTTGGGGACCAAAAGTACCAAACTTTCTTTGATCCACACTGTCCGTTTCTACTTCTGAGACACTTAGTTAACCTGCTCTCTGTGATCAATTCAGCACTTTGTGGTTTGCTGCAAGAGGATGATGATATGATAATAAATATGGTCTGCATAACAAGAAGTTTAGAGTTATAAATCAGCCTATTAAATTTGACTAAATGCTGAGATTGAGAAAAAAAAGTTTGATTAAAATGAGTGTTTATCCTTGAAAGACACTTTTTGTCAAACTTTTTCCAGCTCTGACAGTAAAATTCAGCCTCTTCTCGACTGTCTCACCGTGTTTGTAGAAGTTGTGACTCACCTGCCTCAATCTCCTCAGGTGTTTTCTTCTTCTTTGGTTTTGTCTGCCCCTCCTCCACCACTTCAGTCGGCTCGTCTGACACTTCAACCCCCTCTCCTTCCTCCCTCTGCCTCCCGTCTGTCCTCACCACTCCTCTGGTTTCTCTCACCTGAACACGACCCCCGGAGAGTTCACCCTCCTTCACATTGTCTTCTGCGCAGACCAGAGCGCAGCACAGGCTCAGAGCCAGCCAGACCACCAACACCTCAGCTTTCATCCCTCCGATGAAAATACACCACGGACTGGGACAAAACAGACCAGACGTACTCAAGGAGAAGCTCCGAGTTTTAAAAGCTAGCTGCAGAAAGACAAGTTTGCACAGAGCATCTGACCTGCAGATGCACAGATCTAGCTGTCTAAGGTCTCCAGACTGTAAGGTCCTTTTCTAAGCAGCCGCAGCAAAGAGGACAGAGAGAACAAAAGGATGGGTCTGTGGAGGTGTGGAGAGCTTCTTTCTCCACTCTGAAGTTTTAAAGCTGCCTCCTAGTCGAGCTGGAGAAGAGGAACTGCATCTGTCTGGAGTGGATTTTCTCTAACAGCAGCACATACTCCTCCTCCTCCTCCTCCTCTTCCTCCTCCTCTTCCTTTCTCATACACTCCACAGACAAATCTCTCCCTCCTGGCCCTTCACCCCCTTTTCCCCTCACCCATCTCTGAGTAGAGGGGAGGAGCATCTGCCACATGGGACATTCCTACAAAAGAGGGAAGCAAAACAGAGAGAGGAAGATCATTAAAGGCAGACTTTTTGATCTGGTTTGCAGCTGATTTGAGGAGACGGGGGCACGACATGACCAGAGGGTAGTTAACATTGATTATTAAACCTAAGAGAGCGAATAAAGTGATAGAAAACACAACTCCAGAGATATTTAAAGCAAGCACATGGCTCCACAATACCTCTGAAGAGAAAAATAAACATGAGGACATGTGGAAAGGAAACTGACATGTGGCTGCTTCCTGAAGAGATTCAAGACGGAGGCAATGTTGGCACGACAAAAAAAAAAAAAAAAAACATGCTGGTAAACGTGGCACATTCCTCCTTTTAATCACTGAAAAATTGAACCCCAAACTCCTGAAATGCATCTTTTTCTCAGGATAGGACTTTGCTGCTGCAGCCTGACTTGGTTTCTTACAAGTGTCCGTTATTCTGACTGTAACTGGACTACTATGAAGCGTACATAACGATGCCACTGATGTACACACCAGATGCAATCAACATTCAACATCTGCAAAAGTAAAGTACCTGCCAACTCAATTTGAAGACATAATTAAGATGCTAGTTCTTGTTGGCTGATGTGGATGACTCAAATGTGTAGCATGAATTCAGCACGTTGTGCAAATGGCTTGAATTTGTGCTGCATTCAGTTACATTCGCTTACCCGTGAAAATTGAAAAACTGGAACTGCAGTGAATCGCTTTTGGTATAATAGCCAATCAGAACAGGGATCCCCTGGTATCTGCTGTGACTCCAACATCAGCCTGACTGAAATGGCACTATGTTTAATTTCTCTCTGTTAGACTGACATATCAGAATAGTGAGTTCATTTATTCTCTGCAGTCGGTAATCTGCGGTGCCCATCAGATTAGTCACCAGAAGTCATCAGACATAAACTGAAAAACAGCTGTCACTTATTGATCACACTAAATGCCCTTGAAATACGTCACCCAGAATGTGCCCAGAAGTTGGAATCCCTACTGAGGTACCCTGAGCTGAAATCTACGTTGGCTCCCCCCTTTATCAACGATAATGGAGCTCCACTTTAAGTTGTATTTGTCATTCTTTTTCATCTTGTTTTTTGTAATGAAATCAACCATACAGTAGTATTGGTCATGTTTATCTGTTCATATGTTGTCATCTTGCTTTTGGGCCCAAACTGTGATAGCTAGCATTGCTAATAATCACAGGATTTTCAACTAAGAAGTGGAACTCGTTCACATTTCTGACATCCACTTTCCAAAGTTAATGGAATGCATCATTACAGCCTGTTAGCCTCTTGATTAACCCCTTTTGTGATTGTCCTGGTATGCACAGGAACCCCCAAATCCTACCGGAACAAATCCTACCAGATGCGTTTGTGAGGCAAATTTTGAGGCGAATTTCAGACAATGGGAGTGGTGAGGACTCACAAGAACCCGCGAATTCACATGCAATCGTGCGATAACGAGTTGTCTCTAAAGGATAGCCACATAACCAAATTCCAGCTGGTGGAATTTGACACATTAATTTGAATGGAAACGATCAGAGGTCAGAGGGGGTAAGAGGTCAACCTGGAGACGGCCCAATAATAAAGGAGGTACACTACCACCTACAACCTTATTCTGTCAGTATATGGATTCTATATGAACTGGGAAAAGACGGCAGCCCAGTTAGATCTCCTAATCAAGCTAGAACTGTAGGAGAACTTGACTGAGTATGTTGAGTAATGTTTACAGTCCGTTTACTGATATTTCTATGTGAGGGGTCTCATCATGAACCTCATGAAAGATGATAAAGGAAACATAATAAACATGCTTTTATTTCCATCACTGTGTTGTAGCTGTCCTCAGTGTTGACTTTGCTGTAACTAAAGCAGTTTTTCCCCTGACTCAGACAAACTTGACTCAATTTGACTTTCTCCAAACAGTTAAGAGAAACATCCTTTAAGAGTTTGAGCAAGAAGACAATATCTTGACGGCTTAAAGTAATACGAGACAGAATCCCAGAGAAAGAAATAATCTTGCATAACACTTCGGATGGTGGTCTGGGTCCCTGTTGGGTCACCAGCATTACCTCAGTCATAAAAACCATGAGCAGATGTGAGAGCTGAAGTATTAAGACTTGATGAGCAAACTGAGTCATAATGAGAAGTCAGCAGAGGGACATGTTGTTCCTCTTTGTTGTCCCATTTTCAGCAGATGTTCACTGGAGATTAATCAGCAAAAGGCAAAACAAAAACAACCAAGATGATCAAATGTACGAAACTAAACTTTATTTAAACTGGAAAAATATGAAAATAAAGACCAGAACCAGCTGTGTGAGACAAAGCTAAAACTGAAGCACCCTTTCTACAGCTGGAGTAATCATGAGCCAAGCTGTGTTGGCAAAGTCTTATTGAATAAATCACTGAGTTTTAACCATGTGTTGGGAAGGAAAATAAGAAGTATTGAAGAGTATCTAACAGCGGTTTGATGAGGAGACTGTCTCACAAATGTTAAGAAACAATTTAGGATACTTTTTCATTCTAAGATTCCTGGGGGTCGGTTTAATGAGGAGAGTAAATTGAAACTAAAACATAAAAGTACTTTAAAACAGATGTTAAAATGTTTTTATATAGAACTATTACAAAGAAATCTTTTATTTAAACCAACACAAAAATACCTGGAAACACAGTAAGGGTCAGCCTGTAGTCCCTTCAGAAAGATAAAAAATACTGTAAAACGGACAGTAATCACAATTATGCTCATTTTAAGTGAGAGTAGAAGGGTTTTAAAACTAACATTGTAAGAGATTCTAAAGGGTCCTGAGGCTGTTTGTACACCCCGTTGGTATACCTTCAGTACAAAAGGTTCCCTTCAGGTGGAGTTTACACTAAATTTCTTCTACTTTTTCTCCTACGATTTTCAAAATCTCAAATATTTCATTATTTTTAACGTGGCTCTAATCCTCAGTCATATCATAATAACAGAAACTATGATTGGGGAAAAAAATGTTTTTTTATTCCAAAGTTTGAATAATTTCCAACATGTTATAACCTTACTGCACTCAGCCAGCAGGGGGAGCTCCCAACATTTTGGCTTCACTTTAGAGGTGAACCAATGTCAACCATCTTTTAATACTGAATATGATGATGGACAGTGAGTGATCTTTGTAAAGTGAAGTAGAGGAGGAGTTTGTGTAGTGACAACACAATCACACTGTGTGCAAAAATAAAAAGCTCTCATTTGGTAGCTTGTTGGTTTAACCAGCAGGTGGAGCAGCTGCATTAACAATAAACTGAGACTCAACCAATCAAGTTCCTGTTTTAGTGAATTTATATAAATTTGGACGCAAGAGAGGAAGATTACTCCCAGGAATACTGAACTTTAAAGATGATCTTACATTGTCAGTAAATGATGAGAAGAATCTGTGATCTGGTGGTTTAGGCTTCAGTGAAAACAGTCACTGTGAAAATGAAAGTACGTGAGCTCAGAAACAGACTCCATTTTGAGAAAAGAACAGAGAAGAGGGAGGAGAGGATGAGGATACAGGGTGAGTCTTTACTCAGGGTTTTTGTTTTAATGTCAAACTCTTTATCTGTATCATCCGTTAATGAAAAATGATTTACTGACTAATACACTTCAAAACTGCAAAGGAAAGAAACCTGACCAGACAAAGAGCTGGATCAGTTCTTGATACAGGAAACTGTGTACGTGCAGTTCTGCTTCCTCTTTGTTTAGACTTGTCTTTTTAGTAAAAAGATAAATAAGAATCTTTTCATTTAGCCACTCATTTAAAATTTGATAATTTAATCCAGTCCCCTTAATTTTCTTTATTACAGTTCAGGGACCGCACAGCTAATTGTGTTTTGACCCTAAATCAGATAAGGATCATTGAGAGGCCCTGCAGGGTGAGGAGACATCCTAAGTACTTGGATATTAAACCTGTATAACTCTTAAAGAGGGATATTAAGCTTTTTTCAGACTCTGTACTTCCTTTCTAATCCCTTTTTAATATTTTTACATGATTTAGAGTCTTAAAAAAAACTCCTGTTTCTCACTCTGGTTTTAAAAGATCATTATTTCTGCCCCCCTCCTAGCTGCTGTCCTTTTTGCCCAGACCCCCCAACCTACTTTTATTTCTAAACACTCCTCCTGTTTGTGTTTCACCTGTTTATCTACTTTGTCCTCAGGTTGTATAACTCAGTTTCATCTTCCATAAACTTTGACAACATCAGATGGAGAAGATGAGTGATTGTGTTGAGGAAGAGGAGGGCAGAGCAAAGTCTGTTATGTCCGACTGTCTGTCTATGAAGAGTGACCGAGTGATCGAGAACTTCAGTAAAGAACCAGGACCCTCAAATGCAGAGTAAGAGAAATACTTTTTAACCTCCAAACTCTCAAACTGTAATTTAGTATAAATTCTGACCCCTCTGCTTTCTACCATGGTGAGAAAAATGATCTCTGCTCTTAAAACAGTGATTTTCCTGTTTAACCTCCGACCTGGAAAAAGAAAAGGAAAAGTCACTGAGCACATATTTACTTATTATTCATCATGTTTATAAAAATGTCTTTGGACTGTGGTGTATAGACCCCAGAAAACAGTCTGTGGGTCACAAAATACCAGAAGACCAAAGAAGAAATAAATCCTGAGAAATACAAACTAATTCAGAGCATCTGTCTGTTATTAGACCTTTAGATCTGATTGGTCAAAAAATGGTTTAAACTGTCAGAGAAAATCTCTCTACCCTCAAAAATCACAGTTTAGTTTTCTCTCCTGTCTCCACACTTTCAGGCAGCAGCAGCTGAATATTTTACAGATTGTTTTATGTTAGAGAAAAGAGTGAGGTCAGAAACTCTGGAAACTTATTCTGTATCTTTCAAACATGAAATGATAATGATAAAGAAAATAAATGTTCTTTATTTCCACAGAGAGACACAGAGATGTGACTCTGTGGAGGAGCAATTGTCCAGATATCTCAATTCTGGTGGAAGTAAGTCTGAACATCTGTCCTCTAAAGTCTGTGTGGATGAAAATTCAGCTGACTGATTGATCACAAAGACGTTTTTGTGTTGAGCAGTTTGGTTCATTTTATTTTTCTTCTCTTTCAGCAGATCGTGGTCTGCAGGAGGTTTTAGATGAACATAAGATCAGTCTGAAGAGGAGATGTGAACGTGTGAATGAAGGAAATGATGAAGCAGGAAGTAGTCAAACCCTCCTCAACAGGATCTTCACTGAGCTCTACATCACAGAGGGACTGAGTGAAGAGGTGAACACCCAACATGAGGTGAGACAGCTGGAGACAGCTTCAAAGATTAAGACCGTCCATGACACGCCCATCAAGTGCCATGAAATCTTCAGAGTCTTACCAGATCAACAGGAAGTGGTCAGAGTGGTTCTGACCAACGGCGTGGCTGGTGTTGGAAAGACCTTCTCAGTGCTGAAGTTCACTCTGGACTGGGCAGAGGGTTTGGAGAACCAAGACCTCAATCTGGTGATCCTGCTTTCATTCAGGGAGCTGAACCTGATCAGAGATGAGTGCATCAGTCTTCTGAGTCTGCTCCATGTTTTCCATCCAACACTCGAGAGGGTCACAGCAGAGACGCTGGCTGTCTGTAAACTTCTGTTCATCTTTGACGGTCTGGATGAAAGCAGACTGTCTCTGGATTTCACAGACTCTGAGGTTGTGTCTGACGTCACACAGAAGTCTTCACTCAACGTTCTGTTAACAAACCTCATCAAGGGGAACCTGCTCCCCTCAGCTCTCATCTGGATAACTTCTCGACCGGCAGCAGCCAATCAGATCCCTCCGTCATGTGTGGACAGGGTAACAGAAGTACGAGGCTTCACTGACGCCCAGAAGGAGGAGTACTTCAGGAAGAGGTTCAGAGATGAAGATCTGTCCAGTAGAACCATCTCACACATCAAGTCCTCCAGGAGCCTCCACATCATGTGTCAGATCCCAGTCTTCTGCTGGATCACTGCAACAGTTCTGGACGATATGATGATTACAGAGCAGAGAGGAGAGCTGCCCAAGACCCTGACTGATATGTACTCACACTTCCTGCTGGTCCAGACTAAGAGGAAGAAGCAGAAGTATGAAGGAGGACATGAGACAAGTCCTCAGGAGCTGATGGAGGCTGACAGTGAAGTCCTCCTGAAGCTGGGGAGGCTGGCCTTTGAACACCTGGAGAAAGGAGACATCATGTTCCACCAAGATGACTTGGAGCGGTGTGGTCTGGATGTCTCAGAGGCCTCGGTGTACTCAGGTGTTTGTACAGAGATCTTCAGAAGAGAGAGTGTGATCTTCCAGAAAACAGTTTACTGTTTCGTTCATCTGAGCGTTCAGGAGTTTCTGGCTGCAGTCTACATGATCCACAGTTTCACAAACAGGAACACAATGATTTCAAAGATTGTTCCCAATTTTTTTCAAACCCTGGATAACAGTTTGTCATCTCTGGATGTCTTCTTGAAGAGTGTCATGGAGAAATCCCTTGTCAGTAAAACCGGTCACCTGGACCTGTTTGTTCGCTTCCTTCATGGACTCTCTCTGGAGTCAAACCAGAGACTCTTTGGAGGTCTGCTGGGTCACACAGACAACAGTCCAGAAATGATCCAAAGAGTCATCAAGAACCTGAAGGAGATGAACAGTTATAATTCTCCTGACAGAAGCATCAACATCTTCCACTGTCTGATGGAGATGAACGATCTGTCTGTTCATCAGGAGATTCAAGAGTTCCTGAAGTCAAAGACCAGATCAAAAAGAATCTCAGAGATCCACTGCTCTGCTCTGGCCTACATGCTGCAGATGTCAGAGGAGGTTCTGGATGAGTTGGACTTAAGGAAGTATTACACATCAGCCCAGGGACGACTGAGACTGATCCCAGCTGTGAGGAACTGCAAAAAGGCTGTGTAAGTCCAGGTTTTATTCTCAGAATAGTGTAAATGATCCCTGTAGTTCTTCCAGTGTCCAGGTTACTGATGATGTTCCTCTTCAAAACTCAAATATCAGGGAGGGGGTTTCTTTAGGTTTGGCAAAACATGATCCTGGTGTCAAAAGTCCCGTTAGCACAGGATGAGGTCTACCTGTGGACCCCTGAGAACTTGTCCTAAATGTGGGGGACCTCTTTGTTTTTAATCGTGTCTGTAATGAATAAAGTCAAACTTTCAGGACAAATCAGCGACCATATCTGAGGACACACAGAGGTCTTCTGATGATGGTATCAGTCCAGTCCAAATCAACATCTCAGTCAACTGTGGTGAACTTGAGTGTAAAGAAGGTGGCTGCAGCTTTTTCCTGCTGGGTTTCAGGTTTGAAATGATGAATCTGTTGTAAATGAGGGTGTTGACAGCATTTATGCTGAAAATAGAACAGGATTATTTTCTACACAGTGGCAGAACTGTCTCTGTACCATAATGCTCATCATTCAATATTTATAATCAATACAACCATGAAAACTAACATCATTTTCCACCACTCACTGGATATTATATGGTGGACTGTAACATATGCATGATGACAAGATTTGAGTTATTTGGACAGCAGCTTGATGGGTCGGAAAACAATGATGGAAATAGGATGTTAATGTCTCTCTCTCTCTCTCTCTCTCTTTGCCCTCGGTGCTGCAGGTTGGCACTGACACTAGTCTGCCTCATAACACCTTATAGCATGTGGAAACAGCCATGCTCTTCCACTGTATATATGGACACCATGGCCCTCATTTATCAAGCTTGGGTACGACAGAAAACTAACGTACACCTTGCGTACGTAAATTGTGACGTGAGGATCAGCATTTATCAATCTGCATGTGAGCTTACGCTAAGACCAAATCTCAGGACAGGTCTGACATCGTGTACGCAAGTTTGAGTCAGTGTGGATCTGCGGAGCAGCAGATGTCTGTCTCAAAATAATTGATAAACAAACCTCAAACCTGTCATTAAGCACAATCAGCCAGATTTTATTGAAGATTAAGACGTAAATAAAATAAATTTGTTATGTCCTTAGTGAATTGGCCTATTTGATAACTCTGCCCAGAAACACTGCTACAAAGCAGGAGTGCTGTTTTAACATTACACACAGGCGCCACTGTGGAGCGCTGTGTTTGACTCCTAAAAGGCAGGTGTCTCTGTCTTGGTCCAGCAGTGGGGACGTTGTTGTACACTCCTGAAAGGGTGTGGGACATCATTTGGGCCAGTACAGTTTTGCACAATGAATGGAGTGCCGTTGGCTGTGCCAGTGCAACGTGAGGACCCGGGTGCTGTACAGAGGAGAAAGGACCTTATCGATGGATTCTGACATGTAAAGTATAAGTTTAAAAAGTGCTCTTGCTATTTAATCAGTGATAAAAATCCAATAGAAATCCATCAAAATGTGCCTCAGGGGCAGCAACATACCGTTTGGTGAGGTTAATAATTATTTTTGTTCAGCCTCTGTCAGACTCTCCAGTCTGCTCTACATTACAAAGACGCAACAAATTCAAACTAAATACTTTCAGTTATAGGAGCAACGTACCCTATGTCAGGGCAATAAAAAAAAATGGGGCATGTATGAGATATTAATTCATCATCATGAGCAACTTATTGACTGATGATTTATTCAAACTTCAGCCACTGTCCGCTATTCCGCTGCAGTGTTGTTTAGCGCCTCCATAATCCTGCTCCAGACAGGAGTTTTCTGGTACCAGTTTTGATGCTTCCAAAGAGAAAATCCTTGTTTGTTTCCACCACAGATGTGAGGATATCTACTTTCAGCTCGGAAAAGTTTCGAATCTTTTTAATATTTCTCTTCTTTCATGTTTGACCCCAGTGGGCGAGGCTTCTGAACCACGAAAATTAAAGGGTGTGACATGATAATGACAATCGATTTCAGCCGCCGCATTTATCAAGACCCAATCATACATATGCTGGGATTGGTCAGATACGAACCCTTTCATAAATCTCACGTGTGTCCTATCGTACTATGAATCCTGCGCTCAGACCTGCGCTCAGTTCTACGCAAGATTGATAAATCAGGGCCATTGTCTCTAAGGAGAAGCAGTATGACTGCATCATCATCAACATCATCATCAGCAGCAGCTTTCCATGGTGTCCCTTTGTTGTCATAATGCAGAGTGAAGATGATTCCTCTAATGTTGAGGTGTTGGTGGGCTGTAGCGGTCACATCTCTCCCTCTTGTCTGCATGCCTCTGTTTAAGATGTTGATGTAAATTGGTCAGACTGCTGAAACAGCCTTTGAACAAACACGGCAGCAGACTGGGGTTTGATCCAGGTCTGAGACTGTGAGACTGGACCAGTTCAAAAGGACTAAGAAGACAGACTTTTTTAGGGGGCAGAAAAGTCCATTTTTAGTCATTTAGTTTAAACACTAAAAAGGTCAAGAATAACCTCAACCCTAACTTTGGCCACAGCTCTTAGGGATTTACTTTTATTTTTATTGTTTAACTTTCATGAAGTATTCGACGATAACGGCTGAGAGAGAGAGAGTGAGTGTGAAGGTTGTGTGTCATGGTACTTAGTAGTGAAGTGTGGAGTCCTTTTGTAAATCAAGACCCAATTGAAAGTCTGAACACAGTGATTTTTAAAAGCATTCTTGGAGTCCACAGGAACACCCCCAATGATGGATGCAGAGCTGAATCAGGACAATTTCCCCTTATAATTTAAATCCAAAAAAGGGAAATCAAATTCTACTAACACCTCAAAACCAGTGACCCCAGCTCCTACCACTACAAAGCCCTGCAGAGCCAAGAGAAGAGCAGAGACAGGAGTCCTCTCAGCCAGCTGGTCCACAAGCTCAGCTCCACCAGCACCAAGCAACAAGACCAATCTGTGTGAAGTTGGCCCCCCAATCAAATTATACAAAAACAAAAAGACAACTACATCAACTCTTGGACATCTACAACCCAACTTCAATGCTATGTGGCCCTGAACAGACAATACTCCATGGCAGATAACCTGAGTTCAGTAACTGACCCCAGACTAAAGAGAACCTGGACTGTGTATAGACTCAGCAACCACAGCCTGGCCTTAAAGAGCGGCCGCCACAGGTAGACCTGGCTGCCCAGAGAGAAGCGGCTGGGTCAGCTCTGTCCTCACACACAGCTGGAGACACAGCAGCACTTTCTGTTAAGGTCCTTACACACCGGGCGAGAATTCGCCAGGCGAATTGTTCGCCTTTTTTTAAAACAGCTTAAAGTCAATGCAAGCTTCCACACCGGCGGCGATTTTTCCGCGGGGCGAAAAGCCGCTTTTATTTTTTCGCTCCTGTGTCGAATTTTTCGGATATTCGCAGGCGAATATCTGGACCTGCTAGACCTCTGGCCAATCAAAAGTCATGTTGTTGATGACGTCACAGACCCATACGGCTGGAGGAGAGGGAGACGTTTGAGATTATGAATACGCAGAGAAAGGCAGCTGAGGTGCATCCAAAACTCTTTCTAATTACTAATGAAGTAGTTTCCTCACAAGATGACACTCTCTTGTCTTCCACCTCGCATCTCCTCTCCTCCGTGCCGCAAAACGACTTTATTAATTCGCTTTGCAAAAAATATACGCATATTCGCTTCGCGGCCGGTGTGTATAGGCGAAAGCGATTTTTCGGACCGGTGAATATTCGCAATTTTCGTCTCGCTTTTTCGCTTCGCTCCGCAAATTCGCCGGTGTGTAAGGACCTTTACACTGTGACACATACACTAAACTCACACACATAACTCCTCACCACTCCACCAACTCACAGACCAGGAAAAGTTAAATCATCTATTAGGAGAACAAAGGGCCACTGCTGTAGAAGCAACAAAATATGTGAATACATGAAAAAATGTGAATACATGCCATCAGAAAAGAGAAGAGCTGCTGAAAATAACCTGAACAGCTGCTCTGGAGTTTTTAACTGCAAAAATGATGATACTGACACTATTTATTTACTTTTATTTTTATTATTGTTGTTGTTATTGTTATATTGTAATACTTGGGCAATATTGTTATAACAATCATGCCGATAAAGCTTAGAGAGAGAGAGAGAGATCACCAGAGCCCAAAGACAGCGGTGCAGTGGGTCTTTGTAGCTGTCTCCTAAAGGTGCTCTCTGGATTCATCAGGCTTTATAAACTTGTTTCTGATGGTGAAGGGAATTTTACATGGAGAAAAAAACTTAATTGAAAACAAATAAATCTTCAAGTCTTTAAATGTTCAGAGTCAAACCAGCTCTAACCTGCGAAAAAAATGATTTTATCTGAATCAATCGTAGAAAAAGGAGTTGCTGTGATTTAGTGAGTCGTCATCTGTTTGGTCAACAGTCAGCGTCTATGGAAAGACTTACATTACAGCAGGATGTCAACATTAAATACTGAGAGGAGCACTGATTCTCCATGTGCTAAGAGGTACTTTGGATACTAACCAATCACATACCAGGACCAAAAACCTGGTTCTCAGTCCCCTTCTCCAACCAGAACTCAAGAATTCACACAATCATAATGATACAGCTGCACTAACATGAAGACAACACTGTTAGAGAACAGAATGACTAAAATAAGTCATGGAGTCATTTGTCTTGAACATGGATATTAGTAGCTGTCTGGTTAAAAACAGGCCATCTGTCAAACCAAATAAAATGTTTGAGTTGTTTTTGGTGAAGAGAAACATCAAATGACCCTTCAGTTAAATATTGTTTGATATTTATGTTGTTACAGACTTTATGGCTGTGGACTCTCAGAGACTCACTGTGAAGTTGTGGCCTCAGCTCTGAAGTCCAACCCCTCCCATCTGAGACATCTGGACCTGAGTCACAATAATCTGCAGGATTCAGGTGTGAAGCTTCTCTCTGCAGGACTGGAGAGTCCAAACTGCAGACTGGAGACTCTGAGGTCAGACACCATTTCCTTCTGATCTAACAATAAGATGTGACAGTTTCTGCCTTAGATTTTTCTCTGTGGTTTTTCCATCACCTTTGGTCGAGCAGTTTGAATTTGTAGTTGTAAAAATTCAACACAGGAAGAAAAATCCAACATTTCAGAGTTGACTTTGAGTAGAATGATGGATGTAGAAAGGAAGCAGGAGAAAATCAGTCCCACAAATATTACACATGCTTGTAGAGGGCAGGAGCAACACAGACTAAAGGCTGATATTGAACTGATCCACAATTAATGTGATCACTAATGAATGAATGAAGTGTCAGAGAAATGATGAGCTGCAGATTGAAACCTGAAGAACAAAGTTAATCCAACTCTGGATATTTCATTTGGAAACTCTTGAAAACTTGAAAATTTCTTCTTTGCTCAGTCGTGTTCAAATGTAAATACAAGATCCAGATTTTTCTACAGTTTTCACTTCAGTTTGTTGAACATTAACATCATCTTGTCCAGTTGGTCCATAAAAACCTCTCTGATCAATGATCTGTTGGTTTATTTACAAGTAGTTTGGCAGTTGTTGACAGCAGACAGAGAGACCCCTGAATATATGCCTGACTGTTTTAATCTTCATGAAGAATTCATGACTACAAAAAAAAAAACCTCTCACAAAAAAGATTTCTCACATTAGTTTCTCAGGATCTCACTAAAGTTTTCTGTTTCTTTAAGATTTTCCTGACTGAAAAATTCCGCAAGATCTTCAAAAAGTTTAGAGAGGATTTCACAAAGTTCCTCAAGATCAACTCTGAAAAAGTTCTTCTACTATGTCCTTCAGAGGCTCAAGGACATTGAATCATTAAAAGCAGAAACAGTTTCTTCAGAAGTTAAAAGATTTTTTCTTTTTTTCAGACTGTGGGACTGCAATTTGTCAGAGATCAGCTGTTCTTCTCTGGCCTCAGCTCTAAAGTCCAACCCCTCCCATCTGAGACATCTGAACCTGAGTTACAACAATCTGCAGGATTCAGGAGTGAAGCTGCTGTGTGACTTTCTGCAGAGTCCAAACTGTAAACTGGAGACTCTGGAGTCTCTGGAGTAAGTTTAGTCTTTGTCTGTTTCTGGTATAGATTTCTGTGTTTAATTTTAACCTAATTTAAATGTTCACAGAAATCTTTAATATGTCCAGAACTTTCTTCTCACTCACATAAATTCATAGGTTTTTATTGAATCAGCAGTCAGATAAAGATGGAGGATTTATTAGGTTCCTGTTTTGGCTTCACTGTCTCTTTTCTGTGAATCCAAACCAGTTCTCCATCACATTTGAGGTCTTGTCCGTTATTTTACATGGAGGGTCAGAGCAGACCAGATAAGGAGCTCTGACAGACTGGATCTGGTCCAAAGGCCTCCTGTTGGAGTTCTCTAAGCTTCATATTTTAAACCTGAACATGATAAGTTTGATTATTAATTATTTTTATTTTCATTCTTCTATTTTTTCAGACTGGATAAATGCCGTTTGTCAGAGATCAGCTGTTCTTCTCTGGTCTCAGCTCTGAAGTCCAACCCCTCCCATCTGAGAGACCTGGACCTGAGTAACAACAGGCTGCAGGATTCAGGAGTGAAGCTGCTGTGCGACTTTCTGCAGAGTCCAAAGTGTGAACTGGAGACTCTGGGGTCAGACCTTTTTCCTCCGTTCAAACATTAGCATGATATGTTTGTGATGATGACACGAAACTGCTGACTCAGGACTGAAATACTGACCAAGACTGATCACCTTCAGTCCAGAGTAGATTTTCTGCATCAGTGGATTATTTGAGTGACTCCAGTTAGATCACTGCTAAGCTCCAGTGAATTAAAACCTGAGCACAAGAAGAAAACTCTTTGTAGACTTCACAGTGAGAAGCACATTCAGACAGAAAACAGAAGCAGGGAGAGATTTGTCAGACGAGAGCCATTCAAACTTTTGTTCAGGGCAAGATCAGGGAGTAGAAAAAACTCAGAGTTTAGTTTCTGAAAGTCCAGCCCTGTTACTTTAAATTTGTTTTTGAATCTTTGAGTAAAAATCTTCATTTTATGATTTATCATCACTTTTCTGAAACGTTGCTGTGTTTAGACTGAAATATATGCCTCTCAAAGACGTGATATTTTTGGTTCAGCAAAGTGAAAATATTCTGAACATCCTCTCCTGACATTTTCTGAAAATATTGAGCTGCATCTACAATCAGTAAAAAGGTCTCTGAGATTTTTTTTCTCTATTTAATGTGTTTTTGAATTTACTGATTCAAACTTACTTCCTGTTTGGTTTAGCTCTTTGGAGCGTCACTTTACTTTGATTCATACTTTCCAAACCTTTCCCCTGAACTCTACAGATTTAAAACATCAGATTTCAAAATGGATCATGTTTGTCTAAAATCTCATTATTTCCTCTTTATTTAGGTTGAGTATCTGCAGTTTGACAAAGATCAGCTGTTCTTCTCTGGCCTCAGCTCTGAATTCCAACCCCTCCCATCTGAAAGAACTGTGGCTATATAACAGCAATCTGCAGGATTCAGACATGGAGCTGCTGTGTGATCTTCAGAAGAGTCCAGACTACAGACTGGAGACTCTGAGGTCAGTATAGAGTTGGAGTTAGTCTGTGCACTCCACACAGTATCACAGCAGTTATTCAGTATTTCCTGCTGACTCTTCGACCCTCTCAGAGGATTCTTTCTTTAATGAAGCTGTGAGAACAGAAATCATCAAACCAGGAGTGTAAGAGTGTCAGTGATGAAAAAGTGTCTCCTCGTCTCTATATTTCAGATCAAATATAGAAATTAGACATAATGAAATAGAAATGTTCAGTTTCTACTTTGAAGTTGAGTTTATAGGTCTCTGTATTCAACACAGACTTTATTTCTCTGCTAACTTGTTGATTTTGGCCTCTAAGTTTGAAAACAGATAGCTGTTCTGTATACTTATTTTCACAACAGGTTTGTTACATCAGCTTTAACACATTTGACAGGAATGATTTCTTTATTTTGATGATGTTGGTTTATTTTTGAGGAAAGCTGCTGCTTTACACCATCACTTCTTGTCTGAGCAGGACTCAAACCTGCTGGTCTTTAAACTGAATGTTCTTCAGTCCAGCTGATGAAGTGAGTCTCAGAGTGGAAACACTGATTGTCTTTTTTTCTCTCCTTAGGTGGAAGTAACATCTGTGACAGTTATTTAAAAAAGGATCATCTGTTTCCTGACAGTCAGAGAGGTGGCGGCAGCAGTAGTGAGGGAGACTGACTGACCAATCACAGCGGGTGGATAGGACTCTGGGAGCTGCAGTTTGACCTGCTCTGAGATCAGCTCAGGACCTGGACTCTGGATATTTGATATTTTCCCTCATTTTCTGGGATCAAACAGTCTGAACAGGTTTGTTTTGTTGATGGAAACATGATCACAAATTTACACTTTGATTGGATTACTTTTTTTTCATGATGCAGCACCACCTAGTGGAAATATAAAGTGGTTAAGTTGATGTATTTCCTCATATTTCTACAGCAGGAGTTGATAACGTGTGAGAGTTGATCTGTCAAGGACAGAAATTACCGTATTGACTTGAGTCTGGAAAAAGTGAGATCAGCATCTATTCAGGGTTAACTCATTGACGTGGTTGATGCTGTTTTATAAATTCAGTGTTGATTACAATCTCAGCTTCATAAATCGATGCTACAGTGAAGTGACTCTCTCTAAAATCCACTGGCTTTGTGAGACTGGCAGCTTTCAGGAGATAAGTTTGTGTTACTGTAACACTCCAAAGCTTTTCTATCCCACAGAGAAGATCGGTGTGTTTTCAAGGATCTTTCTGATCCCATCCCTCCAAAATAAAAATAATCTGATGATTTATGGATTCATTTCAGTAACAAAGTGTCATTTCTGTTGTCAGCCAATCAGAGGCTGTATCTGCCATCAGCTGACCTGTAAAGGTCCAATCAGAAGCTAGGACAGCTCAGGTCCCATTCGCTCACAGCACAGAAAAAGGAAAGATAGAACTGCTGTGAACATATTCATCCTGTCCAGTTTATCTAGTGTCTATAGTGTCTCTGTCTGCGTAACAGTGTATTTGTGCTTCATTTACACCATTTTTCCTTTATTTCTTTTTACTGTAACAGTGTCATTTAAAGACAATAAAAAACTTGATATTATTGTTAAAAATGTCGACTAAACTTGTTTTATTCACTGTGTCTATTTGATGATTATTTTCATTCAAACTGTTTTCTGTATAAAGACTAGATCCGGTCTGTAAAAAGTCTTAAAAGGGAGTCTGAAAAGTGGAGGAAGGTCTTACCGTCAGGGTGCTCCTATATACAAGTCAATATGGTAGCAGGTCAAAGAAACTCAAAGGGCTCTATTTTCGTCCGCGCCGGTGAGGCGGCGGAGGGCGGCGAGCCCCGCGCAGTTGTATTTTCGTCTGGCGGAGCCCAGCGTAAGGCCAATTTGGTATTTTCGTGGCATGAGCCGCACGGAGGCGAGCCGAGATCCGCCAAGCTGGGCGTGGTGGCGTGGCAGGGGGAGGTGTTGACAGAATCAGCAGGCGCAGTGACATTTTCGTGCTCGCCACCGGCGTGTAACGTGCGCTGAAAGCTCGCCGATTCAAACCTGGTCAGCTTTCAGCGCAAGGCGGAACGCAGCTGGTCTTGTAGTATTTTGGTAGACCGGCGGCGTATCGACATACGTCACTGATGCCTTACCGGCAGGTTTCCACAGTGTCAGGCACATTTCAGTGCAATAAATAATCATCATCAACTATTAATCTGAGTCAGCACATACATTTAGATCTATATAGATATATTCTGATCTATATCTGATCTGATGAGCGCGTTTGGCACGCGTTTGGACACACAACCTGACCGAATCAACACAGCTGAGACCGCATTAAATTAAATTAAATATCTAGTAAATAAACACAAATGATGAAGTTAACTAGATATTTAATTTGTCTCCCTCCTTTTCTTTCTTCCTCTTCCTCTTATTTCTCGCACAGCTCGACCTGGATATGTGTCTGTGTCCTCTCTCTGTGCGGCGGCAGCTGAACGGATGATTTGTTTCAGTGCTCAGATGAGTTATTTACTTTAAGCCTACATACGAATATTATAATATTTAGTTTTGTGAACCAAATTTATTTTATATGCCAACATCTATGAAAGAGAGAGCCATGAGGCCAAGGAGCATGATGCGTCATTACGCACAGATGGTTGTGATTTTAATGCCATTATTGGAATTTATGGTGTGATCTGTGCGCACAACTCATCTTTGTCATATGGGATTTAAATATATGCAGCACATACATTTAGATCTACAGTACATTTTGATGTATATCTATAGGAGCGCGTTTGGCACGCCTAATTGCCACTCCACCTGACCGACTAACACAGCTGAAACTCTGATGCAAACTAACTACATCACGTCTCTCTACCAACCACAAACAGCTTCGTCATCACAGAGAGAGTATATATTTGGCATGTCATCTCAGAACACTGAGAAAAGAATCAACGCACACTGAAGCAAAGTAAGTTATGACCGTTGTTCTCAAGATTTACATGCAGCATGTGATCTCACAGCTACAAATTTAATAATTTCCATGCTTAACATTATCTACAAAGATGGAGTACATAATTGCAAGGAGGTGGAGGAGGAGGAGGAGAAATTACAGAGAGAGGGTGATTCATCACAGGGCATCATATTTAACCTTAACAGAGCAGGAATGCAGGTGGGCCACATGGATAACGCCTCCAACACCGTGTTCAATAAAACTGCCTTTTAACAATCTACTATTTTCCTTGACACAGGACCAAATTACACCTGCCTCGTGAGGTGGTCCACGCGATCACACGGATTGTGGCCTCAGATGCGGACCCCGGTGGCCCATGCGCTCTCCCAGTTGCTGTGAGGGTGACAGCGGCTCTGACTTTCTTCGCCACCGGGTCTTTCCAGCATACCGTGGCTTCGGTGGTAGGGATAAGTCAGGCCGCTGTCAGTTTGGCCATACATGCAGTGTCCACCAGTCTAGTCCGACACGCAAATGAGCACATCATTTTCCCATCATCACCTGCAAGCCAGCTGGAAACGAAGCGAGGGTTCTTGTTGAAATATGGATTCCCTGGGGTCCTTGGAGCAATTGACTGCACACATGTGCAGTTGCGCGCACCAGAGACCCAAGCCCTCATTTATGTGAATCGTAAGGGAGTCCACTCCATTAATATCCAGGTGATTTGTGACTCAAATTGCCTGGTGACAAACGTGTACGCTAATTACCCCGGGTCTGCACATGATTCATTCATCCTGGCGAATTCTATCATCCCTACAGTCTTTCAGGGGGACACCCCTCTGGATGGGTGGCTGCTAGGTGATAACGGCTATCCACTGAAAACGTGGTTGATGACGCCATACATTACACCTTCAACAAGACAGCAACGTGTTTTTAACAGTGTCTTCAGCAGTGCTAGGTCAGTCATTGAACGTACTTTTGGAATCCTCAAAATGCGTTTCAGATGTCTGGACCGGTCAGGTGGTTCATTAACATACAGCCCGCAGAGTGTCGGTGCATTCTTTGTGGCATGTTGTGTTTTACACAACTTAGCTATACGCCATGGATGCCACTACGACCTCGCCGAGGACACATTACTGGACTTTAGACAGAGAGAGGCCGAATTGCATGTGCCATGTCAGCAGGGAGAGCAGCAGAGCGCGCAGGTGAGGAGGGACCGCCTCGCAGCACAGCTCTGCCCTTAAGTGTGAGTATTTGCTTTCATTCATTTATACACTTTTTGTAATTATCCACATTAAAACATCCAATAAATAGTCAAACATGATTGCATTAACAAGTGTTTTTATTGTGTTTCTCCCCTCCCAACCCCCCTTCTTCTTCTTCCTCCTCCTCCTCCTCCTCCTCCTCCTCTTGGGTCTGGACGCTGCAGCCGGTCGGTCAACCCAGGGGGCCTCTTGTGCGCGGCCTCAGCGGCCACCTGGGACAGGCGGGGGCGGATGATTCTGCTGGTGGCAGCAGCCTTTCGGCTACCTGGACCAGCCGCTGCAGTGTCGCAATGCCAGCGGCTAAGGGGAGCAGGCTGGCCTGGAGGACCTCCTGGAGAGCCTTCACCTGGGCCTCCAGCGACCCAAGCCGCGTCCCCATCGACCCCAGCTCCCTCTCCAACATCAGAAAACCAGCCCGCTGGGTGTCCAGGAAGGGCTGGTCCTCCCGCTGAACGCGGTTTCGTCTCCGACCCCGTGTTGCCGGCTCGTCTCCACGTCCTGCCCCCTCCCGCGTCTCCGGCACCGGCTCCGGCTCCCCCTGGTCCTCCTCCTCGCGGTCGTCTTCGTCCTCTCCCTCCTTCTCCTCCCCCCCGACCACCTGCTGCTGCTGTTCTTCCTCCTCTTCCTCCTCCTCCTCCCTTGTGGTCTGCTGCTGCCGCGACGGCGGCAATTCTGCCGAGGCTGACCAGAAATTTTATTTTAGTAAATCACAAATTCTTTTTTTAAAAATGTTAATACTTTCATTTAGAATAAAGAAGTTAGAAATTGTGTGAGCAAAGTTCATTTCAGATGCAAACATTAGCGGAAAGGGGGAGAAAATACAATCAGGCTTTGTTTGATCCGTCTTTATGCACAGGTGGTTCCGATTTCAATCCCATTACGCATGGCATTTTTTCAGATCACCTGTGCACACAACACACCTTAGTAACACGTGGTTAAATATACATGTTAGTGTCTTTATTTGTGGAAAAGAATGTTTGTCTTACCCGTGAGTCCAACCTCAGAGACACCAAACCCCTCGATACTAATTTTGGGGAGTGTGGAGGACGCCACGTCCTCCGCAGGGCTCAGCACCACACTCGTTGAGGGGCCGCCTCCGGTCGTTGCAGTCTGGCGACGGTGTTGGGATAATTTAAGTTTAGCCCGTCGTCTAACATCATTGAACCGCTTTTTGCATTGCGCAGCGGTTCTCAGCACGTCCGGGCAAACTTGATTGACAGCAGCACTTACCTCTTCCCAGGCTGCTTTTGCATCATCGACCCGTGGAGGTCTGTTCGCGTGACCGTATATCCGGCCACTGCGAGACTGGACCTCCCGGACCAGAGCATCAGTTTCCTCCTGAGAGAAGTTCGGCTGTCTCGCACTCGTTTCCATCTCGGCCATCTGTGAGTCTGCTGCACGAAAATGCCAATGCGCCTCGCCGACGGCGGATTTAAAGGCGAGGAGAGGCGGTTATTTGATTGGCGCAAATTGGACTCGGCTGTGTTAAACTCACTTCACACCCACTCTCCTTCCCCCCACGACGTATGCTGCTGGGAGGAGCTGAGTTAGGGAGGGGGGATACTTACGCCGGGCTGCGCGGCCCACCAAAATACCAAAATGTGCTTGGGAACGCCTTGTCAGCGCGGCGGATCTGATTGACGCTGCGCTTGCGGCAGATCTCCGGCGAGGCACCAAAATAGAGCCCAAAGTCTTGATTCAGCTGAGGTTGTACGACGCTGCGTGAAGGAAAGTTGGAGTGTTTAGTCGGTCATAGTTTTTATTCAGCAGGAACTTTGATTTGATCGTCTTTTCTTGGAAATCAAACTTACTGTTGGACTCGAAGATGAAGTCTGTGTGATCCCTGTCAGGTTTGAAGACTTGAGACTCACAGCAGAGTGTTTGTGAAACAGAAAACAAAAAGACAAAAACACTCAAACATCAACATTGTGATACACACAGTTTGAGTCCCACTGTGAACAACATCCATCAAACCCTCCTGTGATTAAGAACAGATATGAAGCAGCCTGATTGAATTCACTGTAAATGTGAAGCTGATTCACAACAGACTTTTGTTTGAAGGAAGATTTTCATCCATTTGAACATTTTTCAGCCCAAAAGGGACACTGAAAATAATTAACAATGTGGTGTAAAAAAATTTATTTATATCTTTGCAATACCAACATGCAGAACTATAACACCCTATGAACACAGCTTTGATTATGATCATGTTTGAATGTATTAAAAACAGAAGGAGCTCTGAACCTGTCTTCAAAAGGGTTTTCAGCCAAAGTCCATTTCTGATCTGCTGTTAGTTTTCCACTCTTCCTGTCCTCATCAGTTCAATATGAAACTGACAGAAATCTGCTCCTAATTTGATCAAAACAAGACTTTTGAGGGAGTTTTTTCACCATCTGGTCGTG